TTGTTAAATGTATTGAAAAAACTGTCATAGCGATTGGGAAAAAAAAGCTGTAATAAACCCTCTAATGTTTGTGGCGTAAGTCATTGTGCGGATACTTTTCTAGATCTAGAAGCGCTGATATTGAAATATATATTGTTATTGTTCAATATGGAAAATGATTAATGGAGATTACATTTTTGCCATATCGCCCGGACCTAGTCTACACTATAAAAAATGTTGACTCAACCTAAAATTTTAAGGCAACAAACTTCAGGCCATTTTTGAGTTTACTCAACTTAAATTGGGTCAAGTGCAGTAATTGGGTTGAAAGTTGAGTCATCTCAAAAATTTCCTGATGTTTGTTGCCGTAAAAGTTTAAGTTGAGTCACTGTTTTTAGTTTTTGTACAGTGTACTCTCTGAAAATATTGCCAAACATTTTAGGCTGGGTGAAAAAAAACCCTCTTAAATTTTTTTTTATTTGGACTGCAATGCCTATTTTAACCATTACATGTCAATCATACACACTGCACCTTTAATAAAGTTAGGAAAATGTGAACCAAATTAATGTGAGAGTTTTATAGTGAGCTGTTTACATAAATCACAAATCATAAAGGCTAAGGTGCAAGTATCACTTACATTAGGTGAGATAGGCAGATGTACATGTGCTTTTCTTCGTGCACATTTGAGTGAATAGATCCTAGAGCACCACCTGTTGATAAAATCTACGCATCCAAGAGAGAATTTTGATGCATTCTAAAAATCTAAGAATTAATTCACAAAATGTGAGAAATTGATTTATCCTCCCAGCACTTGTGCCAAGTGAAAAGTTTGGTGGAGGGGGATAATGATGTGGGGATGGCATTCAGAAATTTGGCTTAGACTTTTTGTTTGAGTGAACGGAACTCTTAATGCTTCAGCATACCAACACATTTGGAACAATTTCAAGCTCCAAATTGGCACAATAGTATCTGGATACAGCCTTTTTAATGCACGCTAAGATTGCATCGCTCAGAGATGCAATGTCAGACATAATGCAATCAATGGAGCTAGTGACATCAATGGGAGGGGTTGAGTTAGGAGTGGGGTTAGGTGAGCCTATTAAAAAGCATTGGATGCAGCTCAGATTGCATTTGCACCATGTCTGCAGCCAGACCCCTCTCGTTTTGCAGGAGCAGTTTAAGGATGAGCTCTTTCTGTTCCAACATAACTACACACCATAAGACAAAGCAAGGTCTATAAAAGCATGGATGAATGAGTTTGGTGTGGAGCTGAACCTGATCGCATTTGGGATGAATTCAAGTGGAGACTTTGAGCCAGGTTCTCTCATACAACATCAGTCCCTGACCTTACAAATGCACTTTTAGAAGAGTGGTAAAAAATTCAATAACACACCCTTAACATAGTGGAAAGCATTCCCAGGAGAGTTGAAGCTATTATAGTTGCAAAGAATGGGCCAACTGCACATTAAACACCACAGATTATTAATGGGATGTTATTACAGTTTACTAACAGTTTACTAACTGTTACTGTAAACTGGTATTACAGTTTACTGTTATTACAGTTTATGTTTATGTAAAGGCAGGCATCCCAAAACTTTTGGCAATATATATATATATATATATATATATATATATATATATATATATATATATATATATTAGGGGTGTCACGATTTATATTTTTCATCGAAATCGATCGAAATTTATGCTCAATTTCGATTATCGAATCAAAAAATAGAATCATCGATGCTGCCACGCCCCAATGTCACGTCAGCTTGGCTTGCCAAGCGGGAAAAAAACAGGCTTGTTGAAGTGCTTGTTGAACTGCAGATACAGGAGACCTGTCGACAGAGCTTAAATCCTCTTCTCTTTCAATTAAGTCGCCGGTGTGTAAGCATTTTGGATTTCCAGTGAGTTATGTTGACAACGTTCGTGTTGTCCACAAAAAAACACAGTTTTGCAAGCTCTGCTATGTACGTATTAGGGTTCGTCCAATAGACAACACCGGCATCGCGATCCTCCGCCCGCCCCCGTTGCAAATCCGCTCGCGAAAAGTACACACTCAGGCCCTGTTTACACTGTCTTTGTTTTTAAATGGCATTTTAGAACGACAACGATTTGACATCCACAGTGGCGTGTAGCATTTCTGAGCAGCCCTCCTTCCTCGCTACCTCTGACACACACACCCACAGACACAGACGAACACATAGCCATGGGCTCGAGACAGCGGGTTCAGGCAGTCAGGATCAGTAGACTGCTTCAATCTTTCACTCACTTGTACTTAGTCATTTTAGCGAACACCTCAGATACTGTTGGCTGGTACCTGTTGGTTGTGCGTCTTTTTTACCAACGCCATTATAACGACACAGATCACTGCCTATTCACGATTCCCGCAGAAAAAAGTGATTGACAGGTGGTAATTATGTGCGTAACTTATCTTTATTCATTTACTGTATAATTTGCTTATGGATAAAACAAAGACCACGTAGGTCAGGTAGTTTAAACGGTAGGCTACAAATAATTAATTGGTCATTAATTAATTAATTATTCATAATCGAAAATCGAATCAAATCGTGCCTTTAAAATCGAAAATGTAATGGAATCGAGGATTTGGAGGATCGTGACACCCTTTATATATATATAAATATATAAATATAAATATATATATATATATATATATATATATATATATATATATATATATATATATATATATATATATACGCTATTGTAATTTTTACTTCATGGTGGGATGTGTCATCTTTGAACCAAAGAGACATAAGGGAATCATGAATTCATTTGTTTAGGTAATTATACAGTAGCTCATAAATAAAAATGTTGTATTAGTCAATTAGTCAAGTTATTAACAATTTCAAAATTTGCCAATACATTATAAAATCAAAAGATGTGTCTATTAATATTATTTATGGACCCAAACTAACATGAACTAACAAGGAACACTTGTACTTTAAATAACATTGTTAACGATTAACAAACACTGCAACAAATGCTCACTGATGGTTAAAGGGAAAGTTCACCCAAAAATAAAGCTACTCTCTATTTATTCTCCCTCAAGTGGTTCCAAATCTTTAAGCCTTTCTTTCTTCTGTTGAGTGCAAAAGAAGTTATTTTGAAGAAAGCTGAAAATCTGTAACCATTTAACCATTTAATTTCAAGTGAAACTTAAAGGAGGTTTGGAGCCAACCAAGGGTGAGTAAATGACCCCTTTCACACATACAGACCTTTCCGGAAAATTGCCGTTGTAAATGATGTCAGAATTTACCGGTATTTTGGAATGGATGTGTGAATGCTCTTTTCCGGAAAATTTCCGTAACGTCCTCGCCTGTATGAACAGCGCTTTTTTGAATATACCGGTGAAGTCGTTCCGGAAATTTTCCAGATATTTACCGGTATCACTGTGTGAAAGGGGCTAATGATGAGAAATTTTTGGGGTGAGCTATCTTATTAATAAGCATTAACTTACAGTACATCAACTAATCTGATCTTAATGCAAGGTTTTACCAAAAATATAAATAAATAAATGATTGAATTAATGATTATTTCTGACATGTCAAGCATTATGTATAAAGTCACTGTAAATGAAATGGTAGTTCAGATTTTTTTTATGTAAAAATGATAAATGAACACGTTATATGTTAACCATTTAGCCATTTTCACTGACAGTTAACATTTGTTTTTCTAAAATTATCAGACTTTTTAAACAAATCTTTATAAAGTGATGGAAATAATGAAGGCTTTGGGTTTTTGAGCATTTCTTTTAACACAGTTTTAATTACAAACTATATTATGTTCATTTGGCGGTTCACTCTGCTGTGGCGACCCCTGATGAATAAAGGGACTAAGCCAGAGGAAAATTTATTAAATTCTGTCATGAAGACGGGATTTAATATGTTAATGAAAATATATATGGCAATGTTGAAGTATTTGATCTTGGTGGTATAGATCTGCTACTGCTGCTGCAAACATAATATGCTTGTAACTCCCATGCTGCATAGCCGCCATAGATCTGAATGCAGGTGGAGCTGGGGTGGAGGAGGGTCTCTGAAAACCACAGCTTAAACAGCATAGAATGATGCAGAGCTTTTAATTTAAACTAATGAGGAGCAAGCTCATTGGCTGCCGAGATGACAGCAACCAATCTCCTGCGCCATGTTAATGACACAGGAGCAGATTGTTTATTCCATGGTCTGTTGAAATTCTTGATTCTGATTGGCTGGAGGGTTTGCATAAATCCAGCTAGCTCTATGTTAATGGATTTTAAATACACTTTGCGGAGGCTAACCACCCTCCGCTGAGTGTCAAGCGTTTACTTGCCTCTATGTTGTGCTTTAAAAAAAACACACACACACACACACACACACACAATAATTTGTTGATTATACCTTATATACTCTTGAAGTCAGAATTATTAGCCCCCCTGTATTTTTTACTTTCTTATTTATGTTTAACTCAACACATTTCTAAAGAATAGTTTCTTTTGTAGGTAATCAGAAAAAAATGCTTAAAGGGCTTAATATTGACTTTAAGATGTTTTTTTAAACGGTTAACAACTGCTTTTTGTCTTGCAAAATAAAACAAATAAGACTTTCTCCGGAAGAAAAAAATATTACAGGAAATACAGTGAAAAATTCCTTGCTCTGAGAAATATTTAAAATAAATAATAAAGAAAAAAAAATCACAGGAGGGCTAATAATTTTGACCAAAACTGTATATTAATTAATTTTATTTCGCCTTAGTCCCTTTATTCATCAGAGGTCGCCACAGTGGAATGAACCGCCTACAACTGTATTTAATAAATGCTTGTTTTTCCCATTCAATGTTAAATTAGATTGTGTGCAGTTCAGTGCTTGTTTTATCCACTTTATCACATCATCCTTTTGTGCTTCTGTCATTCTGCAGGTGCTTGTTCTTGTTCTGTGCTCAGGGTATGTTTTGGCCGCTTGCCTGTCTGCACTGAACAAGAGTTCAAAAGTCCTCACTGAGTCACCGTTGCCGTCTGGAGAGACAGTGTGGTATACCGCCTTGCTCACTGTCTTGCTACAACACTGAGGAGGTAAGACTCACTTTAACAGACTTCTGTGTTAAAAAAAAGTGCTGAGTGAATACAACTGTGTCTCGACTGTGCATTGATTTTTTTTGTTTGGATTTTTAGTTTTAGAGAAGTGTAAGTTAGTAAGCAGTTTAGATTCAGGCCATCACTGTCTGTACACGACTGTCTGGAACTAAAATAGACAGCTATGCAAAACTCAAAGTATTTTTTTCAGTGTTCACAAGCTGCTATTTAAGTATTTGAAGCAAATATCTGTTATAAAACTGTAGTGAGAGCAGCATTTTTGAGCATTCCTGAATAGCGTGGCACTAGCAGTGTCGAGGTCGTAGGCTCATTCCTGGAAATGCGTGAACAGATAAAACATATTCCTAGAATTTAATGCAAGTCGCATTGGATACAAAGCATATGCAATATGCATTTGGAAATGAATGATGTGACTGCTACAGATCATTATGGCAGCAGAATATAACTTGCATTTCTTTGTGATGAAGTATAAGAGTTGAAATAAATACATAAAATGGGATGTTAATGCATGTATGTATAGTAATGCAATCAGAGCTGATTCTTCCTACAGTATACACAGAGCATGAATGCAGTATAGGGCCCTAAACCACCAGAGAGCCCCCTTGCTATCAAATATATCTCACAATGGTAATAACTGTGTGAACCTTTTTTTTCTGTGGTTGTGGAATGATGAAAATGGCCACATTTCTTTTGGTTCCCTTAAAGCCATGCATGATTGGTCAGCCTTTCCAAAGAAAACCTACGCGAGCACAGGGAGAACAACTCTTTACAGAAATGTCATCTGGTTTTGTAGGGACTTAAACCAGAGGCATTCTTGCTAATAACTGGGCCGCCGTGTCGCCAATCTTAAAAGGAGGGAAAGTAGGGGTGGGTGGGGGGTTCTTCAAGACGAAGGTGGTTATTTATTGTGAGTTAGGAATCATCTGATTGAATAATTAATCATGAGCTGATGCTGACACAGCTGAGAACAATCATAAGCATGTGATCCTCTCGAAATTTGTTTATAAATAAACTTCACTTGGGAAATATTTAAAAAGAAAAAAAATTAAAAGGGGGCTAATAATTCTGACTTAAACTGTACATATTGCAATTTTGAAGTTAAAACAATGTAGTAGTTACAAAATTAAAACGAAGTAGCAAAATTCTTACTTTGATAACTGGAAAATATTTGAAGAAATCGCTTTACGATATACTGATGCCCTATTTTTCTAGGCTTTATTGGAAATGATGGTCAGGAATGTTAGACCATTATTGCCTTGGCATATAAGCATAACACAAGCTAGTCAGACAGCAATAAGTAAATTTGGAGTGGGCTAAATCTATAAAAAAAAGTCAGTATTTTTTAGTGAGTGTACTTTTTTTTTGGCTTTTATTCTAGCCATAATAAAAATACATATTTGTAGTGCAACCTATGTTTTGTTGTCATTGATATTTAACTTTAATTGGTAGAACTGTCTGAGATATGAACAAAAGCAAGTGATGCATCAAAGTTAGTTATAAAAATGTTTATAATCATTAAAAGGTGCAGTCTGCAGAGGTCCGCGATGTGGAGCCAGGTGAAAGTATAAATCAGCCTTAAGGGGTTTGGGGTCATTTTGGGATTTTTATTAATTTACTGACAAGGTTCCGAGAATTTTGTTTATGGGCCCAGAAGCCTAGGATCAGCTTTGAATGCAGTGTTATGTGTTTATGTTATATGTACCGTATGCTTGGTGGAACACCAGAAGTGTGTAGAAATGTGTGTTGTCTTCATTCTAATTTGTTACCCAGTGTACACTGTGTGTACTGTGAGAGACTTGTCAGTAATCATTAACCTAAGGATGTTGTATTACAGCTCTCCACTGTGCCTACTTTTGTCTGGTTGAAACTTAATGAAAAGAAATAAATCACTGTTCAGTAGTTTAGGTGAAAACTTTCTCTTTTTTTTTTGTCTTTTTGTCTTTTTTGAAAATTAAATGACTGAATTTATACTGCATGGCTATATTTAATGCATTAAAAGTTGCAGCTAAAATATTGTTACTTGTACAAAAGTTTTTCTAAAGATTTCTTTTTAAAAGAAAAACTGTTTCAAATGATTCCAAATGATTTTAAATGATAAGATATTATTCGCACAATGGCTCTTATAGATTTCATATTTTTGAGATTTTCCAAAATTAATTTTCCTCATTTAAGTTTTCAAAACTAAAATATATTTATTTTAAATCACCTGTACATCATATCAGTTAACTTTGAATATTCACAATATCGAGTGGCCATTTTAATGCAGTTCGTGGTTCTTAATTTTGGTAAAGAGGAACTTGCAGTGAAGAATGCACAAGACAAATAATAAGTTCTGATGTTGGTGAATTGTAAATAAAATATAGAATGTTTGTTTGTTTTTTATTTAAATATATTAAAATAATACATTAATTTATTCATTTTCCTTTGGCTTAGTCTCTTTATTCATCTGGGGTCCCAACAGCGGAATGAACTTATCCAGCATATGTTTTACACAGCGCATGCCCTTTCAGCTGCAACCAAGTGCTGGGAATATACTCTTACATTCACAAGTACTCTTACACTGCGGCAAATTTAGTTTATTCAATTCACCTATACCACATGTCTTTTGACTCTGAGGAAACCAGAGCACCTGGAGGAAACCCACGTGAACAAAGGGAGAACATGCAAACTACTTACAGAAATGCCAACTGACCAAGCTGGGACTGGAACTATTGCCCTTTTTGCTATGAGGCGACAGTGCTACCCACTGAGCCTCAATGTCGCCACTTAAAAAGAATATAATTTTTAAATATTATGTTTTAATTATTAGCTTTTCATCAACTCGTAAACTGTACAGTTTGGGAAAACCTAGCATAGTGTATAAATGTAATGCATTTCACAATGTTGCGAACACAGAACTGAGTATATTCAGTCCTTCAATATATAATATGTTGCTTATTAATAAACAATGTTCCTAAAACGCACTACAGTTTGGTAAAAGCTTGGAGAATAATAGTCAATATGTTTATAATGATGCCATGGCAACATGTTAAAGCGTTTGATGCCACTTTCTTTAAAGTACTGTATGAAATCTATTTACACTGTGTGTGGAGGAAAATAAAAGGGTGCTGTATTTACAGATAATGAAAAGTATTTTAAAAAGTCTTGACCTTGATGTAGGTTTTATGAATTCAAGAAGCTGACAAATGTTTCAGATTTGGCCATTTTTAAAGCTTGTTACAGTGATTCTTTTATTTGCTTGCAGTCTTTTACTGTATTTGATTACAACATCCATATTTTTCTTAATTAATAATAAAGTAATTTTTCCCTATATTAAGATAATTGACTCTATTATGATTTTAAGATCACATCTTCCATGTGGTGTGTATTATAGTAGTTCATTAATGTGGAATGTAAATGATTTCAAAGTGCACAATAAATGTCTCCAGAAACAAGGGTTTGACTCAGAACTTTCTTAAAGGTGCAGTTTACCAAACAATTAAAAGTCTGTCATCATTTACTCAGCCTCCACCTGTTCCGAACCTATTTGAACTTCTTTTTTCTGTTGAAACAAATATTTTGAAAAATGCTGGAAAGCAACCATTGACATTCATAGTATTTTTATTTCAACTATGGATGTGAATGGTTGCTGGTTTCCACATTCTTTTTTTTTCAAGAGATTTTGTTATGAGTTTAACAGCAGAAATTAAAACAGGTTTGAAACCATTTAAAGGTGAGTAAATGATTACAGCATTTGCATTTTTTGGGTATAGTGTACCTTTAAATAAGTTCTCAGTAATTGCATTTCTAAACATTGAAACCATCTAAGAAGATTTGTAACAAATTTGCATTGTGCCAACCTTTAGGGCTCTGTATTTTAGTGTAAAGCGCAGGGCGCAAAAGCATTAAGGTCATGTCCGAATCTACTTTTGCTATTGTAAGGACTAATAAAAACGCTCTTTGCTGCCGCGCATGGTCTAACAGGGTTGAGCTTATTCTCTTAATGAGTTTTGGGTGTGTTTTGAGAATAAAACAATCAGAGTTTCATCTCCCATTCCCTTTAGGGGTCCCTTTTTGTTCCCAATTGCTATTTACTGTACATAGCGGACTTTGTAAGTGTAAAAACTGAATGCTGACAAGAAAACAGCAAGAAAACAGTTAAACAGATCATCTGCGGCACAAGGATAAAGAACAGGTCTCCTTCAATCAGCCCTTACTTTCACTTTTTCTCTTTCGTGGATTAGGAAACGGGTTGTACGCACAGACATCCATAAGCCTACATAATTAATTTAGTTTGTCAAGCACAAAGATTTGTTTCATAGCTATTTCTAAAATCAGTTCTAATTTCCAGCAAACGAATAAATGAACAATAATAACGAAGTGTGTTCAAAAAACTGAGTTGCATCCAAACACACATGATATGCCCCATGTTGCCCAAAACCTGACAGGTGGACAAATCTAAGCTTGTTTTTAACAAAACAAATATAAACACAAGAAATACTACTACTACTACTAATAATAATATTATACAAAAGCAAATTGTCATGAATAAACTAAAATAAGCCCTCCAAGATGAAGGCAGTGGTTTTTATATTCATGTAGAAAATAATATTTTTGTAACATTTTAATCCTGTACTTCTTTTTCATTTGTAAAGATATTTGTGTATTGCTGTACATCCTGCATGTATTAAGCAATGTGTAAGCAAGACACACAACTAACACACTCTGCGCTGCTTTCAGCTGGTCTATTGAACAGTGAGTTTTAGTTCCTCAGAATAGCAACGTGCCAACAGGTCTTGCGCCTTACTGCGGCACGTGTATGATAGGTCCCTTAGTCTTAATTTGTTTACGCCTGGAAGAGTTTAGTTGCTGGTTTCTGTCACAAAAGGAAAATGCTTATGTCTCATTTACACTAGCATCGACTTTGTAGCTGCCTGTTGCTCTGGGTAGCGAATTGCTTCAAATGCAAGTCTGTGTAGGTCTACAGCAAGGAGAGTACAACCGGCCTCTGAGAGAGGATCACATGAGTTCTACTGATGCTTCTATTGACTGTCATTCAAGAAAGTTGCCCTTCATTTGCATAAAGTTGAAGGACTCTCAACTTTGACGAGTCACTTAACATGTCCATCTGGTCACCAACGGTCACTGTCGCTCACGTAAATGGAGGTTGCTGAACGTCACCCGCTCTCCATTAAAATGAACGGTTGCTTGTCGCTGCGAGTCGCTCATAGTGTGAATGAGGCTTTACAAAGCATGCAGAGCTGAAATTCAAATATAATGACTGTTTGGTTCCCGACACATGATGTAAATGTTCAACCAATCACAACAGACTCTCTATAATCACAGCATCTTGTCTGAGCAATCAGACCTCAGTAGAATCTCAGGGAGGAGGGCTTTAGGAAGACCAGATCCCTAAATTAACCTTTTCAGACACAGAGAAAAGAATTGATGCTCTAATTTACTCTATTAAAATTTATTTTAATTATCTACATGTAAACAAAAACACCTTAATGAAATTAAGAACTGTCAAAGTGGCATAATTCAAGTTCTTCAAGAGCTTCCCTTAAAGATTACTGTTCAAAATGAGTCTGCTCAATGCTAATTCACACTGTAATTCTTCCTGCTTTTCTCCCAGTATCGAGGACTGAGAAGTTCACCATGACACACATCAACAGTCCCCCGTTACTGATGCGACAGCTCTGAACTCATCCGCCTTCACCATGTCCGAGTATCCCGAAGGAGACAGTCCTCTTCTTCAGCTGCAGGAAGTGGACTCAGGCCGGGTGGGAGGTCACATCCTCTCCCCCATCTTCAACTCATCCTCTCCATCTCTGCCAGTGGAGAATCACCCCATCTGCATCCCATCGCCCTACACAGACCTTGGCCACGACTTCAGCACTCTGCCCTTTTACAGTCCCGCTCTGCTGGGGTACAGCACATCGCCTTTATCGGACTGCTCGTCTGTGCGCCAGTCGCTAAGCCCGACTTTATTTTGGCCACCTCACAGCCATGTTTCCTCACTCACATTGCAACAACAGAGTCGACTTCAACAGAACCATGCTACTAGTGGGACTTGGACCGAACATACACCACATGATCATGTTGAAGAGGAAAACAGGTAGGTTTAAGCTTAATAGTCCATATGTAATGTTCTTAAAGGAATAGTTCACATAATTTAATTTCTGTCACTGTTTACTCACCCTTCACAAGCCTTTATGACTTTCTATTGTCTAAACACAAAATGAGATATCTTGAAGAATGCTTGGAATTCAGTAATTATTGAATTCCATTGTATTTTTTTCTACAATAAATGTCAGTGTTTTCCAGCGTTCTTTAAAATATCTTCTTTTTTGTTGAACATATAATAGCAACATAAAAATTTGGAATCACTTGAGGGTGAGTAAATGATAACAAAACTTTCTCTTTTTTTTCTTACTTTTTAATACTAAAAAACACCTTCTCTTCCTTGAACTATCCCTTTAAGTCAGCATGATAACGTCTGGTGAAAGGTTGGTGTGACTATATCATCAGGGATTCTTTAACAGTTGTAGTTCATATTCAAGTTTATAATAGTAATCCAATTCATAATTTTCAATAGTTTGAAAAATCCAGCTTAAACCAGCCTAAGCTGGGAGATGACCAGCTAAAACCAGCTTGACCAGCCTAGCAGGCTGGGAGCCCAGCCAAAACCAGTTGTGTCCAGCTTAAACCAGGCTGGTCAAGTTGGTTTTAGCTGGATTTAGCTGGTCATTTTCCAGCCGGACCAGCTAAGACCATGCTGGAAATGGCTGGAAACCAGCCTGGAAGTGACCAAAACCCCTCTAAAACCAGCCTGGTCGACCAGCTAAAACCAGCCGACCAGCCTAGGCTGGTTTAAGCTGGATTTTTTAGCAGGGTTATAATAGTTAAAGGTGAAGGAGGTGATCTGCCTAAATGCTAACTGGTTAGCATAGTATCTTTCAAATACAATCCCTCCCCTGTTGTCCAAAGCCACACCTCCTGATATCGCGAATGCGCACATTAAAGATGACAGAGACCCACAAGATCATGTCAATTGCGAGTAAACAACACACTGTACTATATCTAGCACATTTTCAGTTAGGTAGTTAGCAAGCAAAGGAACATGGTAAACAATACAGGGAGAGTGCAAAGGTTGTCATTATTAAAAAATGAACCGATGGGAATATAAAAGCAATCTCACCTTAGTAAAGCAGGCTAGGTGGAATAGCGATTTTATTTTAACTGATGCTTTTTTGTTAAACTAAATAAAAATCTACATTATTGATGCTATAAAAGGTCCCTTATGAAACTGAAAATGTCACATCAATCTTTCAAAAAAATGTTTCTGAAGACAATCACCTACTGCACCTTTAATAGTAATTGTTTCTAATCAAAACATATTTAGTTAAACAGACCTAAGCATTGTTTTATGGTTAAACAACAAAAAAAAAAGCTGAGGCCTGTTTCACTAAATATATTCTGATTTTTATTACAACATGAACAATCAAACATATCTACTTTAATACTAGCTGTACTTTTACAGACAAATGAACCTAAATCCAGAACAACATAAGATCTCCCACATGAAAAATTACTACAGTAATTTATACCAAATACTACAGTAATATTCATGTTGGAGACCTTCTGTTGTCTGAATTTAGACCCATTTGTCTATACAGCTAATAGCCTATAAAAGTGTTTGAATTTTCATGTTGTAATTGACATGGAATGTTCCCAAGCCAGCCTAAAAACTTCTGGTAAAACATTGAGGTCACTGTATCTTGAATTTCAGAAGGTTCCTTTAACAGCTTTGACAGTCTAATACCTAGTTTATAATAAGAAATCAGTCAATATACAGATAAATTTTGTGAGAGAAAGCAGCTAAGCACTGAACATTGGAGTGACTGTCTTGTTCCAAATCAATAATCTACTGCTTGACTGAGACAAAGCTTAAAGTAGGACACACACCAGACAAGAAGTACTGCATTAAACTACATTGTGCAATAGTACATCTTTGAAATAAGAAAACAGTATTATATTCACTAAATATAGAATGACATGACAGTTTTTTATTATGCAATTCTGGCTATCTAAATGGGTGCTTAGATGTATTTGTCCATTCCTCCTTAGCAAACCACTGGTAAAGCGGGTAGCAGATACAGAGGAGACGTCTGTGTCTCTGAGAGGTAAAGCTGACATGCACTACTGTGCCGTCTGCAGTGATTACGCCTCTGGATATCATTATGGAGTGTGGTCGTGTGAAGGCTGCAAAGCCTTTTTCAAGAGGAGTATACAAGGTAAGACTCTCTGAAAGTACCCATGAAATTTTATTGTTCTTACTTGTAGAGATAGTGCTAATATTAATATCTTATCCAATGATTATTGTGTTTGGCTGATAACAGAGAAAAGACTCATGTTAAAATTCTCTCTAAAGGAATTAACACAAACATATCCAAGAAAATGTCATGCTATGAATGATAATAAATATTCTATTAGTTCAATTGTGTATATATACATATATAAATATATATAAAAAAAACTAATATCTGCAATTTCACGTTATAGCCCATGGGTCACCAAACTTGTTCCTGGAGGGCCAGTGTCCTACAGATTTTATATCCAACTCTAATCAAACACACCTGAACAAGCTAATTAAGGTCTTACTAGGTATACTTGAAACATCCAGAAAGGTGTGTTGAGGCAAGTTGGAGCTAAACCCTGCAGGGACACCGGCCCTCCAGGACCGAGATTGGTGACCCCTGTTACAGCCAATAGCTGATCATTTAAATGTTATCAGATGATAAATGGCTGATAGTAAACATTCAATAGTTTTACTCAAAAGCCAAAAAATCTGTATTAGGGGTATGTAATTAATTGAAGGCTATTTGATTAGTAAATTTGGTCGGTAAAGGCAGTGTTGGGCTTTTTTTTCGTCCCCATGCCAAATAATTACAGCCTTGTTGCTACCTGATTGCTTAATCCAAAAACTTACCACTAATTTTAACCCCACACTTTACCCTAAATCTAACAGAACATAGGGGTAATAATCTGGCAGTTGTCAGAACAAGGCACAACACTTGTTCTAGTAAGTTTCCAATACGTGCTTTTTAGATGGAGCAGCATTTACGACACAAAGTTGTACTACACACAGTTGTGCTCAAAATGGAAAGTGATTAAATCAAACAACAATGACATGATTATAAATATTCTTTGATAATGACCGCTTTTTGCATAGCTTCTGATGAAGGTCTGTGTATTAAATGCTGCACGTCAAAATACCACATTTAATTAAGTTTTTATTCCAAACTCACCTCATAACTTCAGTTGAGTGTTTAAAATAAATATTTTGTGAGACGATTCCATAGTCGTGTGATTTATTAGTCCCACTGAATCAATGAAAGCAGTTAAATATTTCTTTATTTATTTAGTTTATAATGCAATGCTTTGGGAATTTCCTGGATTTCTTCTTGTGGGTATTTTGAGTTTTTGCATGAGAGCACCCTCTGGCCTTCAGAGGAGATTTTAGGCCCAGTTCCAATTCTATTTTTGTACCCCTACCCCTTCCCCTTAGCCCTTACAACCGAGGGTTAAGGGGAAGGGCTTCAAAATGTACCTCTAAGAATCGGGGCAGCACTACAGCACCTGCACACGTCATTATGTATCATTGCTCTTATGTATCATCTCTTGCTTCATATGAGATCAGACGATCGCGACTGTTGTAGTTATTCCAGTAGTGTTTTTTTTTTTGGTATTTATCTTCAGGAAATCACTAAAGGCAAATACTGTGTTATCATAACGATTTAATGTGGCAATAAGATCGTAACTGTACTGTGCATTTACACAGTGGCAGTGTACAATGTAAACACACCAAAAACAACATTAACATTATAGCAGACACTGTAAAAAGCTCATTGACAGCCACTAGACTTTTATGGGTATTCCAGTGTCATCGAGTGTCAGAATGTTGTGGAACTGCTATACAGGTGTTATTATTAGGGATTATAGATCGCAAAATTTTTATTTTAGTATTGTTTTTTAAAAAGCATGATGGTAAAACATGAATGTGGTTATGAATATATTAAAACATGTGTTTGTGTGTTGTTAAAATTCGTAATAATGACAAAAAACACAAATTAGTGGATCTCTTTACTTGCGTGTGCAGCTGTGGCTGGTGTATTCTGGGTAATTTTTCTTACCCCTTGGTTTCGAGTGTGGTCCTGAAAAATCTTTGTTTAAAGGGGTGTATGCCCCTTGCCCTTAGCCCTACGCCTTCAAGCTTAACAGAATTGGGACACCACTACCCCTTCACGGGCATGCGCAAAACGAGGGTTAGGGGTAAGGGGAAGCGCTAATGGGTAGAATTGGGATTGGGCCTTACTACTGATCACACAACAATGCTTTTCTGACAAGATGTACAGCACTTGATAATCACACCTTTGCTTAATTGTGTCTGATTTATTGGTTGACCCAGCACTAATCATTTATTTTCAATTCACCAATTTTAATATGATTTTCATCTTTAAAATTTAAAATTGTTAGCTTGAAAATACAGATTTATTACCATTGATAAATGTTATCATAATAATCATCTTTGCACTGCTGATAATAAGTAAAATGCTGACATCTTGTCCATACCTACTGCAATGTAAGATCAATTCATGGGATCAAAATCTTCACTCACATTGCTATAATAGTCTGCACTCAAAATGTTACTAAATTGTTGATGTCTTTATTGTTAATTAATGTACAAATATGTGACTTGGTAAAGTCTAGATCGAACGCGCGGCCGGCCGGAAGCGTGATATGCACATCCATATAGCAGCATTTTTTATGACACTGTATAACAATAATTAATATTTTTACAGAATTGTGACAGTTAGGTTTAGGGTTGGGGTGAGGGTAGGCGTTAAAAAATGCAATTTATTAGGTAATTTAATAGATAGAGTAAATAATACTCTGTGCAAATCCTGTTTTTACATTACTGTGACGGTTGTGTGGGGGTAGACATTAATAAAACTAATTTAATTAATTTAATTAATCAATTAATGGATTTTTTTTATAAGTAATAGAAATAATTTTTGTTAATATCCTGCTGCAACCGTATACAATCTAGCCACAACTATGTGACTAGACTTGTATTTTTTTGTTGTTTTTGTTTTTTTACATCTATAATAATGATAAATTATGAAAGGTTTCATTTTGCTTTTATGAATGTACATTGACATATTTAATGTTCACAATAACACCATCACAGCCATCTAATTTAGTTTTTACACTTAAAATATACTGGTCACACTTTATTTTGATAGTTTGTTAAATATAAGGTACATTGCGTCTACATGCCAACTAATTCTCATTAGATTAGAAGGTTGGCTATAGGGTTGGTGTAAGTTGACATATTTGTGCAAAGTTTCTTATAGTCAGTTAAATGTCTGTTGAAGGAGCAGTATCAACATATTAAGCAGACAGTCTTCTAATACTCAAACGGACTATCAAAATAAAGTGTTACCAAAATACTTTTTAATAATAATTAATTTTAATTGGTCAGTGAAAGCATTCAGAATTCATTGCACTCTGCATTTTTTTCCATATGACATAAATAGAAGTAATCTTGGACATTTTGTGATGTACTATGTCTCAACAAGACTACTCTGCTTTGCTTTAGGATCATTAAATATAGTTCATAAATAGTTGCTGAGCTTTAAAAACTACTCAGTGGACAAAAGACGAACATCTAATTGATTTTTTCAGGACACAATGACTACATCTGTCCTGCCACAAACCAATGCACTATCGACAAGAACCGCCGCAAAAGCTGCCAGGCCTGCCGACTCCGAAAGTGCTATGAAGTTGGAATGATGAAATGTGGTGAGTCTCTGTCTTTTTAATCCTCCATCCCTCCATTTTTACGCCCACACAGCGAACTAATAGTTCAAAGCTGAGTTCATGGACTTTAGTTTATGTCCCAATATTAAGCAGCTATCATGCCTTGAAGGTGTGATATGCATCATCATTGTAATCATAATGTGATGGAGCCCTGATTATTTATTTATTCAAGTTTGTTCAAAGGTAGCTTGAACCTTAAAAATCAAAAGTTTTATATTTGAACATATATTTTAATTTTACAGCAGGTAAAGGATGAGATAACAATCAATTGTCTTTGGTCTTTGGTTGGATGAGTAGTGTGGAGGGCTAGTTATCTTGCTGTAGAGACTGTTGCTGTTTTTCCTTGTCCATTTTTGTAATTGCTGTTTTAGGACATGCTACTTTCACAGGTTTCAAAGGAGATTGTGATGTACAGTACTGTCATCTCATTGGTTGATGTGTTTATGAACTGTGTGGTTTTTGATGGAATACACTGTTTTTGTAATTGTTTTTCACAATTGTGTTATTTAGCTTTCTTTTTAAATGAGGGATTTCAATTTTCACAAATGTTCAATTTTCAGTGTGCAATGTATACACTCACTGGCCACCTTATTAGGTACACCCTACTAGTACCGTGTTTGACCCCCTTTTGCCTTCAGAACTGCCTTAATCCTTCGAGGCATAAACAGGGTACTGGAAATATTCCGCATAGATTTTGGTCCACATTGTCATGATAGCATCATGCTATTGCTGCAGATTTGTCGGCTGCACATCCATGATGCGAATCTCCCATTCCACCACATCCCAAAAGTGCTCTATTGGATTTAGATTGGGTGACTGTGGAGGGCTTTTGAGTACAGTAAACTTGTTGTCATGTTCAAGAATACAGTCTGAGATGATTCACGCTTTATGACATGGCGTGTTATCCTGCTGAAAGTAGCCATCAGAAGATGGTACACTGTGGTCATAAAGGGATGGACATGGTCAGCAACATTACTCAGGTAGGCTGGGGCATTGACACGTTGATCAATTGGTAGTAATGTGCCCAAAGTGTGCCAACAAAATATCCCCCACACCATTAAACCACCTCCACCAGCCTGAACCGCTGATACAAGGCAGGATGGATCCATGCTTTCCTGTTGTTGATGGCAAATTCTGAACCAACCATCTGAATGTCACAGCAGAAATTGAAACTCATCAGACCGGGAAACGTTTTTCCAGTCTTCTATTGTCCAATTTTGGTGAGCTTGTGCGAATTGTAGCTTCAGTTTCCTGTTCTTAGCTGACAGGAGTGGCACCCAGTGTGGTCTTCTGCTGCTATAGCCCATCCGCCTCAAGGGTCGACATATTCTGCATTCAGACATGCTCTTCTTCAAACCTTGGTTATAACAAGTGGTTAAATGAGTTACTGTTGCCTTTCTATCAGATGGAACCAGTCTGGACATTCTCCTCTGATCTCTGGCATAAACAATGCGTTTGTACTCACTCACTGATTATTTTCTCTTATTCAGACTATTCTCTGTAAACCCTAAAGATGGTTGTGTGTGAAAATCCTGGAAGATCAGCAGTTTCTGAAATCCTCAGACTAGCACATCTGGCACCAACAACCATGCCTCGTTCAAAGTCACTTAAATCACCTTTCCTCCCCATTCTGATGAACGGTTTGACTATAGCTGCGTCCCAAATCGCATACTTATGCACTATTCTACGCCATTTTGTAGTATAAATAGTGTAAGTAGTGTGTTCACACTGAAAACTCTAAAAATAATAAGTGCACTTTAATTACCCGGATGATGCACTCATTCAGCCGCTAAAATAAAGTGTGGAATGATGGACACTTCACGCACTCAACGACCGCAGGTTTGCTTACGTAGCGGAAGGGGCGGAGCTATCGGACGCACATGTTGGATAACTTTATTTATTTTGGATGATGAAAGCAAAATTCTCCTACGAGAGTGATTATAGCGCTGAATACAACACTACATACATATACTATTCTGTTGAGTGTGTAAGTGCATAAGTGCATAGTGCATGAGTGCATAGTGTATAGTGTGCCATTTGGGACGCAGCTTATGTCTAAATGCCTAAATGCATTGAATTGCTGCCTTGTGCCTTGCGTTAACGAGCAGTTGGACAGGTGTACCTTATAAAGTGGCTGGTTGAGTGTATTTCCAATAATGATCTTCGTAATGTGAGGCAACCCATTCTAAAAGTATGATCTATATAGTTTTATATGTAAAGAACGCATTTAGACAGCAAAAAACAAATATAATCTGTGGGATTTAATTATTATTTTGAAAATATTTAGCTTCAATTACAAGTTAGCTTGTGCGTTTTTACCATTATACTTCTGTATTTCCTGGTTGATAAAACAGTACCAGTGGAGCCAAGTGCCAGTGATTAATTATCTTATTTATTTATGTTTGTTTACATTGTTAAAAAGTCTTATTTTATTCATTCTTATTCTTATTTTATGCAACAATACATCATGGCTGTTCTTCAGACGGTTTAGTGATGCTTTTCTTTTTCCATGAAATGAAAACATATGTTGGTTATAACATTGTTTATACAAGGATCATCAAACTTGTTCCTGGAGTGCCGGTGTCCTACAGATTTCATATCCAACTCTAATCAAACACACCTGAACAAGCTAATCAAGGTCTTACTAGCTAGCCAACAACATCCAGGCAGGTGTGTTGAGGCAAGTTGGAGCTTAACCATGCAGGGACACTGGCCCTCCAGGACCAAGATTGGTGACCCCTCGTTTAAAACATAGTATGTCATTTAGAATATTGTAATATTTATCATGCTATCACATAAAGTCTCACATTTTTTCAATATTGCTCAATCTGGTTGGGACATCAATGAAACAAGCTGTGTTTTAAAAGCAGTGATTTGCCAAAATGTTACACTCACCAACACATTGAGATAAATGAACAACATACTGCAGGAGTGCCCAAACTCGGTCCTGGAGGGCAGGTGTCTTGCAGATTTTAGTTCCAATCCCAATTAGACACACCTGAACCAGCTAATCAAGCCCATTCTAGGTAGAAACTTCCAGACAGGTATGTTGAAGGAAGGTGGAACCAAACTATGCAGGACACTGGCCCTCCAGGACCAAGTTTTATGACCCCTGACATATAGTACTTTATTTCTGACATATTAACAAAATTTCTTCACCCTCACATTTGTATTCATATCAGTTGCTATCGAAAGCCAGTTTATTTACTCAATTTACATTTGACACTATAATCCTTTAAACTAGCATACATCAGTTACATTGTGTTTTCTGCAGGGTTGCGGCGAGATCGTAGCAGCTACCAACAAAGAGGAGCACAGCAGAAACGACTGGTCCGATTCTCTGGCAGAATGAGAATGACTGGTCCGAGGTCTCAAGAGATAAAGAGTATCCCGCGTCCTCTCAGTGGGAATGAGGTGGTGCGCATATCACTGAGCCCAGAGGAGCTCATCTCCCGGATCATGGAAGCAGAGCCGCCGGAGATTTATCTCATGAAAGACATGAAGAAGCCCTTCACTGAGGCAAACGTCATGATGTCACTGACCAACCTGGCTGACAAAGAGCTCGTGCACATGATCAGCTGGGCCAAGAAGATCCCAGGTCAGTCTACTACCAAATTTACAGTTAAAATTATTAAACCCCCTTTGAAATTTTTTTCTTTTTAAAATATTTCTGAAATGATGTTTAATAGAGCAATGAATTTTTCACAGTATGTCTGATAATATATTTTTTTCTTCTGGAGAAAGTCTTATTTGTTTTATTTCAGCTACAATAAAAGCAGTTTTTAATAAAAAAAAAAAAAAAGTTTTTTTTTCAGATCACAACAGAAACCATTTAAGGTTCATTTTCTATAGAACCAGTCTATATACTTTGTTCTTTTATTAAGCTAACAAAATTGCCTTATACCATATATCTTATTTGCTTGTCATTTCTGTCTCTACATGGTTGTGCGTTTGCATTTTTCTGCTCTCTGTATTTCACAAATGGTGAAATACTTAGCAGGTGAAGTGACAATACAAACAGCAGCTCAATTTTACTTGCATAAAAATCTGGTAAAGGGATATTAATTAATTATATTTATATAATAGTAATAGTTAAGACTAGTACACACTACTAGAATGCATATAAATATAATTTATTTCTCTAAATCTCCCAATAATAGGTCTTTAGAGTGATGGCATTATAAAGTTTAGTTTTATGATGAAAGCACTGTAAGTGTATACTAGTCAAAACAGTGCAGTATAGGCCTACAAAAATACATTGCAGAGGATCAATAGTTCTTGGTTAAAAAATCATATAAATGAAGAATTATGATGTATATATTGTGTTCTTACAGCAAAACAACAGAAGAAATATAGTTGAAGTCAGAATTATTAGCCCCCCTTTGTTTTTGTTTTTGTCTTTTTTAAATATTTCCCAAAGAATTATTAACAGAGCAAGGGCATTTTCACAGTATGTCTGATAATATTTTTTTCCTCTGGACAAAGTCTTTTTGTTTTTTTGTCTTATTTTGGCTAGAATAAAAGCTGTTTTTAATTTTTTAAAAACTATTTAATTAGTAGCCCCTTTAAGCTATATACCATCGTTATACAATAACTTGCCTAATTACCCTAATCCTGCCTAGTTGACCTAATTAACCCAGTTATTAGAAATGAGTTATTAAAACTATCATGTTTAGAAATGTGTTGAAAAAAAAAAACTTCTTTCAGTTAAATAAAAATTGGCTAACAAAACATACAAGGGGGCTAATAATTCAGGGGGTTTAATAATTCTGACTTCAACTGTATAAGTAGAACTTAAACTACCAGTCTGGAATCAGTTGGATTTTTATAATTTAAGTTCATTTTCACCATTTTTCAAAACTAATGAAGCACAACAAAAAAGCTTTATAGGATTGATAATTATAAGAAATAATATTAATTATTGAGAATCACTAACACTGTAATTGATTGTAATAGAAAAGGAATTCAGCATGTTTTTTTAATAATAGCTGAAGGATTACATAACACTGATTGGAGCAATTTTGCTATAGAAATGTGCTTTTAATCACATGAATAAATTAAATGTAACTACATTCAATATGAAAACAGTTATTCAACATTTGCTAATGCATTATTCAAATCCAAATTCATGCTTGTTAACTTTATTAACGCACTGTGAGTTAAATTAATAGTCGCACTTTACAATAATTTACAGTATAATTTCATTAGGTTATGTTAGTAAATGCATTAACATTAACTAATTATTGTAAATGTTATCAAATTAACTTAATTTCCATTAACTAACATTAACAAATTAATATTGTAATAAACAGTTTTCATTGTTTGCTCATGCTAGTGAATACAATAACTAACATCAACTGATACACCCTTAATGTAAAGAGTTATCAAAATAGCTTACTGATCCCAAACTTTTGACCAGTGATGTATAATACTTGCTTAGTGTGTTACTTTTAATACAAATCCCAATTATTATGTATATTTACTTGAAGTAACACAGATCTGGCTAACTATAAATCCTCATGTAATAGAACTCTTGGCTAAATGATACATTTGTAGATGAAACCCTGAAAGCTGATTCACTGTGGATTCCCTCTGGAATCTCTAATGGGTTTTCAGAATAGCTGCTTTCGATTTATGAGTACACTAAGGGACGTGGTCAACTTTAGCTGATAAGAATTTAGACTGATCTCCTGTTTTCAAACTAAATTGCAGTTATTACATCATGCTATGATCTGACACGATTTGTGACATGTTTTTCCTTTTAATGTTGTTTTGTCATTATGAATGTAGGCACAGACAGGGTTCTCAAGCTGGGGGACTCTGGAGTAAGGTTGACAAGCTTTACAATATTATTGTACAGACTTTATATTCTACCAGTGATAAGAACTGTGCTAGGATTATAAAACAGAGAAGGCACACCTTTGTGAACCACAGCAGCACCAGAGGAGAGACTGTGTGTGCTGATGTTTTCGTTTCTATGGTAACAGATTGGCAGGACACTCTAGGATTGTTGCTATAAGCTGCAAAAATATATTAAATTTACAGACGAGAGTCAGTCGATTTACATTTTAATTAATATCTTTAATATTTGTATTAGATTTTGAAAAAATCTTGATTTTTAAATATCTCGAATAAGTATTTATCTAACAAGTTTAGTGTTCTGTTTTTTTTTTTTTTTTTTTTACTAGACCGCATTACTGGATTTACTTGACAACATTACAGGACAGGCGGCGCAGTAGGTAGTGCTGTCACCTCACAGCAAGAAGGTCGCTGGTTTGATTCTCAGCTGGGTCAGTTGGCGTTTCTGTGTGGAGTTTGCATGTTTTCCCTGCGTTCACGTGGGTTTCCTCTGGGTGCTTCGGTTTCCCCCACAGTCCAAAGACACGCGCTACAGGTGAATTGGGTTGGCTAAATTGTCCGTAGTGTATGAGTGTGTATGGATGTTTCCCAGAGATGGGTTGCAGCTGGAAGGGCATCCGCTGCGTAAAACATGTGCTGGATGAGTTGGTGGTTCATTCCACTGTGGCGACCCCGGATTAATAAAGGGACTAAGCCGAAAAGAAAATGAATGAATGAATGAACATTACAGGACAATCAAGGCCAGCTGAGATGTCACTTTGAAGAAAGAAGATTTTTTTAATGAAAACAGAATCTATATAATTACCAATATACACCCTCTGAGTCTTGTCGCCTATCCTTGTTTTAGGAATATTACACGAATATAAGATTACGCTTTTGATCATGCCTTGATTTTTAATCGTTTAAGTGGGACAGTACGGTCTGACTTTGCTTAGACAAAAGTCACTTAACAGAAAAACTGTACAGTATAGAATTTAAGGACATGGTACAGTGGAAAACCAATGCATATTGTGCATGACCCCCATGAGCTAGGAGGACTGCATCCATACATCTCTGCAATGACTCAAAGAACTTATTAATAAAGAAAAAGCGTTCTTGCAGGACTGCAGAGTTCATCAAGATTTTTTGGATTCATTTTCAATGCCTTCTCCTTCATTTTACCCCACACATGCTCAATAATGTTCATCTCTGGTAAACGGGCTGGCCAATCCTGGAGCACCTTGACTGTCTTTGCTTTCAGGAACTTTGATGTGGAGGCTGAAGTATGAGAAGGAGCGCTATCCTGCTGAAGAATTTGCCCTCTCCTGTGGTTTACAATGTAATGGGCAGCACAAATGTCTTGATACTTCAGGTTGTTGATGTTTCCATCCGTTCTTCCATCCGATCTCTTGCACGCCCCCATACTGAGTGTAACCCCAAACCATGATTTTTCCTTTACCAAACTTGACTGATTTCTGAGAGAATCTTGGGTCCATGCAAGTTCCAAAAGGTCTTCTGCAGTATTGTGATGATTGAGATGCAGTTCAACAGATGATTCATCAGAATAATCTACCTTCTGACACTTTTCCAACTGAGCAACTAGAAGTCAAGTTATTATTTGTTGCTTTTACAACTGGCATCCACGTCTACAATTATTTTAAAGCAAAGACAGTTATTAAAATATACCGTGATTCAAAATCTGTTTTCCAAATGGGCAGTGGTGTATTTTGAGTTTTCATCTCATTGGGCTAGTTTTGAATAGCCATTGGACGTTTTTGTTTTGAAAACCTGGCAACCCTACTCTCGAGAGCAGTTTTGTGAACCTCGCATTAGACTCTTGGAGGTTTATATTTTTACATTGATATACTGATGCTGCTTTGTACTTAAAGTCATGCAGGGAGAAATGCTTCTGCTTCATTCTGAACTTTTTGATGGGTTCAGATTAAAAAGAGTTTCCGGATAAAAGATGTGATTTTGTGCTACAGGACATGAATAATGAGAAATTCATCTGACAATCATTGAAATCCTCATGTTAGCAGCTTGTGTTTTTAAAGCAAACAGTGGTTTCATATTCCATCTGACCATCGGGTAACTCGAGTAATGTTCACCCTGGACATTATTAAACCCATAAATCAGATCTCACTATTTTAAAATACACATTAGAAATGCCTGAGAGAATTTGTGGCTCCAACAGTGCTAATTCTCCTTCAGGTTTCTGGACTGCGGGTAGGCCTACAGTATATATTAAACCCTAAAGAACTATTTATATTGTGGATGGATTAAATATATTTTCTGAATTAAAGTGAGCTCTGATGTTTAAAGTATAAGTGTGTTTAAAATGAGCCCCTGCAAGGATTTTGTGAAACATTTTTCGTCACATTCTATTTTCAAGTATTTATAAGTTTTTTTGTGTTTGCTCACAGAACTTTTACATTTACACTAAAGGCTTTGCGGTTGCTCATAAATCTTTTGGTTATTATTTTCAGGCAGTAAAAAACATGTTTCATAGTTTTTATGTATTGTGTGGGCGGCACGATGGCTTAGTAGTTAGCACTGTTACCTCACAGCAAGAAAGTTGCTGATTTGAGTCCTGGCTGGGCCAGTTGACATTTGGGTCAATGTCAAGTGTGTTGAGTTTGCATGTTCTCCTTGTGTTCACGTGGGTTTCCACCAGGTGCTCCGGTTTCCCCCACAGTCCAAAGACATGCACTATAGGTGAACTGGGTAAGCTAAATTGTCCGCAGTGTAAGTGTCTATGTGTGAATGAGTGTGGAAGGGTGTTTCCCTATACTGGGTTGCGGCTGGAAAACATATGCTTTGTAAAACATATGCTGGAATAGTTATGCCTAGTTCACACTAAAGGATTTTAATCCTGATTTGAGCCCGATTTGGAAGTTAACGAGCTCGCCGACAGATCGGGCTGTGATCGGGAAGAAATCTGCGGGTGCTCTGCGCTCGCCGCTCTTTATGTGTGAACTACTGAACAACGCATCAACGAGGCTCGCTGACGCGTCGCCGACACCTCGCAGACGGAAATCCAACATTTAGCATGCTAAATATTCCAGAGCAGTCAGCCGACTCAACCCCACGTGTGGTCAGATGTAGTGACGAGCTGCAGCCAATGAGAGAGCATATCAGCATGAGCTAAATGTCTGTGTGCTCAGGAGCTCAGCAGAAACATCTGTGATTGGTTAGAGTGGGCATTGGTGCACTCGCTTCATTCTACGTTAGTACAGACATGAGAGTAAGCTATATTAACAGTGGAACTAGAATTCTGTAACTATTAGAATTACCATACTGCTCATTCTGACCGTTCTCATACAAAACGCCATACTGTCACAACATATTTACATTCAAACTATTATTGTGTGTTAAAATTAAGCTTTGAATGTCTGGCATCATATTTAATGACACATTACCCTAAAAATATAATATTTTTTTGGTAATACAGCCTATAAATATGTAGTTAAGATACTGAAACACTTAAAGGTCTTGGCTTTCATTTTCACTTTCAAACAGGAGCTATTCGGCACAGAATATGCTGTTTTGAAAGATATCTGAAGTAAATTGATGTTTTTGCCATCAGAAAGTTTTGTTTATGTTAGCAGGAAGTTGCTAGGCAAGAAAATGCACACATATTTAAAGTCACAGAAAAGTATCAGACATGCATGCAGTCATTTTAACCAATATGGTAATTTAAGGCAGAAATGCTCAGTTCTTTACTGTTTTGTAATAAAAAAAAATAACAATGTCAGAAAGAAATACACTGATAGTTAGAAAACGGCAGGGTGTTATAAATATGTTAGTTTTATTTCAAAGAGTTATAAAATTACAAAAATTAAAAACTCTCTGTGTATCTATCCACTGGAACCTTGCAGATGAGTGATTAATCTGCTGATGCATCAGCTGATTTGACGATGTTTTTAAATGCTTTCTCCAAAGCGTGAAACGCTGTCAGTGATGTAATCAGCACACAAGCAGCCAATAGTGTTCAGCTTTTTCTGACGACTCCTCCCTCAAAATTTCATTGGCTGTGGTTTGGTAGCTTGAATGAGCTAATGGGGAATGATGTTGCATAGTGTGAAGTGTTGCGTAGTGTGAACACAAAAGAGATTAAAAGACACAAAGTCAAGTCATGTAGTGTGAACGGCACAGCGATCTGCTGATGTTTAAAATCCTGTAGTGTTAACTAGGCTTTAGTGGTTCATTCGACTGTAGCAACCTCTGAAATAGAGCCTAATGAAATAAAATGATTTATTGTTTCCTTCAGTTCTTATATATGTATTACGGTGTGAAAAGCTGATGCGTTTACATCATAGACAGTAAAAGATATGGACGTAGTATCCGTGACGTCACCCTTAGGTTTCTGAAGAATGCAAAATAAGCTACATGTAGGCGCGGCCTACCGGCGCAATTTTGTTTGTGCATCATCACACCAACCGGAGGACACCAAACAAGGGCAAAGGGGCGGAATGTGAGCAGAGCTACAGACGCCTGCTAGCATTTTGCTGGCTTTTTTTTGGTAGAAACTCTTAATACTTTATTACCTGCAACTCATTTGTGTTCTGACCACATGTTCTTGGTTGTATACTATATAAATAGTGTTTAGACTTTTAAAAACACTGTTGTAATACATTGAGCCACTAATCATTGTTCTTTATGATGTTTTTCTACAGGAGAAAAACGCAAATTACTTTCAAACACTTCAAATATAGTCTGTGTTAGTAAATGCAAGGCTACTTATGAAATCCAGGCCTAACACTGTATGACAATGTTTCCGATGTCTGTTCTAGAGCCCAGAGTTAATCAGTCTGTCAGATTCTGGTGTGGATTACAGGTCTCATAAAATATATAAATGATAAATTATCTTGAATAAAACAAAAACATTTATAGAAATGGTATACAAGTATATAATTTCACTCACCTGGGAATTGGACGCCACTTGAATGGTTTGTGAGCACAATTAAGTGCACACAGCATGCTATATCATCTGATAATTATAGGAAATAATCCCAAAAGGCAATTGAATGTCTAAAGCCACATAAAGCAAAACAAAAATATGATGTATATGCCGAGATCAGCAGCTAATCAGCCGGAATCAGCTGAGGTGATATGACATCGACCAGCGACACATAGCTCTCACTTAAGTGGCCACACCCTTAATTATGCAGACTTAATATAACTTAATATGAACAAAACAGATGAGTTATTAAAAAAATCACCCCCTCACAGTTGTCATGAAGGGTAATATTACCTATTTAAACCAAAATCTTTCTTTGTTCCAGTATGTGAACACCTGCTCTTCTGCTGTAAAGTTGGCCATTTTAATAGTGGTGTAAATAGTTATTAGCCCTATTATGCAGCGAGGCCTAGCGGAATTTTAATGACTTGCAGTTTCAGTTACTTCGTATTAGCATCACAAGGGAAAGCTGGGGGTTGCCGTTTGGTTTTTACCTGCAATTTGTGTGTGTGTGAGTAAAAACATAACATTCTGTATGGCATTTAATTATTGTTTAAGGCCATTTGTTGATGTCAGTCATCATACAGTAAACAGCTGTTATCTTTTCATCAGTAAAATGCAGTCGTACAGTCTTTCGATCATTGCATGTAAAGATTTTGGACATCTTCTTGGACACTTTTAAAACTTCCAAAAGGTTTGCTGCATTTATAAAGGACCCATGTCTTGAGGTTGTTCAATATGATGCAATTTATTTTCAGTGTGCGATTTGATTGGACATGAATCACAGGATTGATTTTTCTACTCAGCCAATCACCATTGACAAGTAAAAATAAAGTAGTGACTGCAGATTGAATGAAAAAAAAAGTAGTAAAAGTACCAATACAGCACTAAGAAATGTACTCAAAGAAACACACTTTTAAAAATACTTAGTAAATAACCTTAAAAAACTTTTCTATTTCCGTACTTTAAGTATTTGTAATTTGTGGCTTTACACCACTGGAACTCACATGTGCAAAATAGTTTTAAAGTACATTTTCCATGTTTAAATGCACATTGTGTATTACTGTAAATGTACATTGTCACTCAAGAAATCGTTGAACTTCAGAGGCAGCAGTTTACAGCTATCAGGCACAGATTTAAAGACAAAAGGAAAGCAAATGCACTGGCCAAACACACTCAGTCATTTATCATCACAATGGGATTTAGCATAAGGTTTTTGACCTTCACAAAATGGGAAGTGGCTCAAAGTGTTTGTCTTGTGTCGGGCTTGTTCCAGCACACTGGTTTTTGAGTGGCAATCTGAAAGAATCACAGATGAAGAATTGCAGAAATGATTTGGTCAAAAGTACATGATGTCCACTACATCAACACCCACCAATTGTTTGGATGATTTTTAAGAAAAAAAGCCTCTACTAACATTCAAATCAAACTCAATCATCTTCATTTTTTGTTAATGATTAAAAATAAATTAATTTAAAAAATAAAATAAAAAGAGCTTTCCCAGCCTTTTTTGCTCATCATTATCAAAGGTGCCAACATTAGTGGATTGCATTGTTTTTCAAATCTATTAGCGATTCACTGGCAAATGATGTATCGGTCTAAAATGTGAATTTTAGACCCCCCCAAAATGAGTGTTATTACAGTCAATATCTTCAGTTTTATTGTTCAGATAATCACTTTAATTAATGTCTTTGATTAATGAATTACTGTGTCCTCATTCTGAACACGAGCAGTTTGTTTATTCTCAGAACATCAACAAACTTTCTTCAGACTCTTCTTTTTAGTTATTCCAGATCTGAGAGTCTTATATTTTTAATTGAAAGCAGCTCTGCCTGCAGAAATGAATTTTACCTGCCCAATTATCCTCAAGTTCTGAGTTTGTTGTGCAGGTAACTGACTGAAGCTGTTTTTTTTTCTTCTTCTTTTTGGAAGTGTGTGCAGCCAGTAACGACAGCTTCTTTCTCTCCACAGGTTTTGTGGAGCTCAGTCTTTTCGATCAGGTGCATTTGTTGGAGTGCTGCTGGTTAGAGGTGCTTATGCTGGGATTGATGTGGCGCTCCGTTAATCACCCTGGAAAGCTCATTTTCTCTCCAGACCTCTGTCTCAGCAGGTAACTAGTGCCAATTAATTGTGTTTATCTGTGCTGATGGCTAATTTATGAACAGGCACGTGCTTGGATACGTTTATTCATAAACGGTTCTTTTGGTCACTGGTTTTATGCAGATGTCTGGTTATACAGTGTGCCAGGGTGGTATGAAATTGTGTACTGTATTGGTGATTTGAGGACATGTCTTAAATGTCGTTTTAGCCATGGTTAGTCAAAGTTAGCAGTTCACATATACAAATGAATACAATGGTTTGATCTGTATTTCTGCCAGAGCTGTTGTTAATATTCTTTGAATTGATGGTATTGTGAAAGCTACAGGTTTTAATTTGTCATGTAATTCCTACTAGAAAGCAACTAATTTGTAATAGTGTTTTTTTTTTAGCATAACAATGATCCCGAACACACTGCTAATATAATGAAATTTCATTTAGAGGGAAAAACAACTGATGAAACAAAGAAAGTCATGAAATGGCCTTTACAGAGACCAGAGCTGAATATTATATAGAGTTTAGGCAATATTATAGGCAGTATGAGATTCACCTGGAGAAAAAAAACAAATATAGAACATGCTAAATCTAAGGAAGAGCTCTTCAAAATGCTTAAAGATACTTGCTATTAAATAGCACATAATTTAACAAAAGACTCAACAAGCTATTGGTATAGAGGTCACTTCAAACATAATTTTGATGCTAGCATTTTGATTCCAAAAGTAATTTTGTTCTGAATATTGTGTACATATTTTTCATAATTTCTGTTTGTTTGTTAAAAGTATAGTCAAAAGCAATGATCCTGCACTTGCTCCATACCTTTTAGATAGATAGATTTGTGAAAAAGGCTTCCAAACAGTGGTGGATGTTCGCACACTCCACACTCCGGTCCACACTTTCATCTGCAACATCATCATGCGACTTGGTTGTCGTTTGCCTAGAGTACCAGTTGGTGGTGGCCCAAGACTTTTGCACAAATATATATATTTACAAAAGCATAAACTTTTTTTTTTAAACTTAATTTAAAACATATTACCTATATTTGACAACTTTTGTCTGTAAAATAATTCTCGGATAAAAAGATAAGGGCTCTATTTTAACGATTTAGGCACAAAGTCTAAAGTGCAGGGCGCAAAAGCATTAAGGGCAAGTCTAAATCCACTTTTTTGCTATTTTAAGGACAGAAAAATACAGTTTGCGTCCTGGCGCATGGTCTAACAGAGTTGTGCTTATTCTCTTAATGAGTTATGGGTGTGTTTTGAGAATTAAGTGTGCATTAAACAAATCAGAATCTTCTCTTACAATACCTTTAAAAGTCAGTTTCATCGCACCATGGCGCATTTGCTATTTACATGGCATACTTTTTAAGTGGAAAAACTGAACGCTTCACTAGTAAGAAAACAGTTAAACAGACCATGTGCAGCGCGAGGATAAAGAATGAGCCTCCTCCATTCGAACTCTGTACTTTCTCTTTACTTTTTACTTTACTCCTTTACTTTTGTTGATAAGGAAACGATGTTGTACGCACCAATGAAGACATCCATTAGTCTACAAATTTAATTTAATTTGTTAAGCACAAAGATTTGTTTCAAAACTATTTCTAAATTCATTTCTGATTTCTAGCAAACGAATAAATGAGCAAAGAATAATGAAGTGTGGTCGAAAAACTGAGTTATATCCAAACACGCATTCTATTCTTATGCCCCATATAGTGACGCATACATCTCCAAAACCCGACAGGCAGACAAATCTAAACTTATTTTATTAAAACAAATATAAATATGCATATAATAAATAATACTGCTAATAAAAATGGAGGTAGTGGTTTTATAATTATGTGGAATATTTAAATCTTAATTTTTTTTTCTTCATATGTAAAGATTTTTGTGTGTTGCTCTGCATCCTGTTTGTGTTAAGCAATGCGTAAGCATTTGGACTTGCAAAGGCACATAAGTAACGCGCTCTGTGCTCGGATAGTTGGTCAATGGCATGATCTATTTCAGTTTCTCAAAATAGCAACGCGCTAACAATTCGCCTTAGCACACCTCCTTTACAGAGTGGAACAGCCATGATTCCACAAAGTGATGCAAACGGTTTTGCTAATTAAAAAATGAGGCACAAAACATAAAAAAAACTGTTGCACTGGTCTGTAAATACCAACATATCACACACAGCACGTCTTGCTCCTTATTGTGCTAGGTGCATGATAGGGCATATGAGATCTGTGCACCCCAATAATGATTTACACACTCACTGTTTATGCATTTAGCTATAACAACCATACTTTTTTTAGGTTTATTAATTTATAAGATAATGTTTATATTGAATTTTAATTCATATTATTCCTTTTAATTAGTATGTCATTGGATTTAAATATAAATCAATAAAACAGCATCAAAAAACTAACGTCAATAAAACTTTGTTTCTAACAAATTGAATCATATGTTTCAAACTAGAGTTTTTCCTTTCCCCATTTATTCAGAACAGTTGCGCTTGTGTAGAATATAGCTGAACATCTCAAGAATACAGCTGTCAAAGTAATTGAGCGGTTTGGCCAGATGTGTGAAAGAGAGCTGCCAGTACAACTGTGGGAAGACAGGAACCGATTCTGTTCTGTTAACATGCTTGCTCTACTCTGATGCCCTTTGTACCCTCTGACATGCTGTGCCCATGTCGTAATGTGAGAAAAAATATAGGGCCTCCACAGACTTTATACTGGACTCCACTTCCAAAGCTCTCCAGTTTGCTGTAAATATGCTCAGCACCTGATCTGCTGCCAGACTTTTACTGGATTTTCACGGGCTGAGTTTTGGATGAGGAATTTGCTGTATCATTGCTAAAAGGATCCCTGAGTTTAACTTGTAAACATCAAAAACGTGCCAGAAAAGAGTGCGTGTCGCCTTTGTGACTACAGTACAGCTGCTATTAATTACTCTAAATATTGGTTGACACAAGTACAAATTTCCTATAAATTACGGCTTCTTTACACCAAGGACCATAGCTGTAACAATAACAGTAGAGATTCAGTGCCAGTTAAAAGTCTCTTTTGGCTGTAAAAATACTGTCAGCAATTTACAACAAAACCAAACGGTTTGTGATTAATAATTCATTTTAGATCATAAAAAAATAATAAAAATAATCAGAAGATGGCAAAACACTTTAAAAATATACAGTATATAGAAGGGTAGCATACTGTCACTTGGATGTTCATATAATATAATTATAATATAATCTAATTTTAATTAATAATAATATAATTAGGGTAATAAGATAAGAAAATAAATTGTGGTTTTGTTATAGATCTAATGTTTAATTATATTCAACACTCACTGTCAAGACACTTTCAGAATCATACAATATGATTAAAAAAATCACACCAAAGATGAAATGTACTATTTTACCACTTAGATTAGGGAGAATTATTTTTATTATTGACCATTAATTCAGATCTACAGTACTTAGCTTAATGGCCAATCTACAGAAACTCTTTTCCTGACAGCCAATCAGAATCTTGTGGAATTTAGTTTTCTTGATGGCCAATCAGAATCCACAGAAGCTAATTTTAAACACAGCAAATCAGAATCTTCATTCATTCATTTTTTTTCTGGCTTAGTCACTTTTTTTAATCTGGGGTCGCCACAGCGGAATAAACCGCCAACTTATCCAGCATATGTTTTATGCAGTGAATGTCCTTCCAGCCGCAACCCATCACTGGGAAACAGCCATACACACTCATTCACACACACATACGCTACAGACAATTTAGCCTACCTAATTCACCTGTACCGCATGTCTTTGGACTTGTTGGGGAAACCGGAACACCCGGAGGAAACCCACGCGAACACAGAGAGAACATGCAAACTCCACACAGAAATGCCAACTCACCCAGCTGAGGCTCGAACCAACAACCTTCTTGCTGTGAGGTGACAGCACTACCTACTGCGCCACCGATTGCCCCCAATCAGAATCTTATAGAATTTAATTTTCTTTGTGGTTAATCAAAATACGTTTTTTTTCTGGCAGCCAATCAGAATCTACTTTTTTTCTGACAGCCAATCAGAATCTTATAATATAAACTTTTCTTGACAGCCAATCAGATTCTAATGGAATTTAATTTTCTTGATGGCCAATCAGAATCTACAGAAGCTAATTTTAATGACAGCCAATCAGAATCTTATAGAATTTATTTTTTTTCAATGGACAATTCGAATCTGTTATTTTTTCTAACAGCCAATCAGAATCTTATAGAATAAAATTCTTGATGGCCAATCAGAATCTAAAGAAGCGAATTTTCTTCACAGCCAATTAGAATCTCCTGGAATTAAATTTTCTTGATGGTCAATCAGAATCTACAGAATCAACATTTTTTGAGAGACAATCACAATCTACCGAATATAGTTTTCTTGATGGCCAATCAGAATCTACAGTAGTTATTTTCCTGACAACCAATCAGTATCTTATCTTTTTTTTCTGACAACCAGTCAGAATCTTATACAACTTATTTCTTGATGGCCAATCAGAATCTACAGAAGCAATTTTTCCTGACAATCTAGTTTTTTTTTCTGACAGCCAATCAAAATCTTAGAGAATAAAATTACCTTGATGGCCAATCAGAATCTACAGAAGTTAATTGTCCTGTCAGACAATCAGAATCTTTTAGAATTTAATTTTCTTAATGGCCAATCAGTATCTATTTTTTTCTGGCAGCCAATTAGAATCTGCTTTTTTTCTGTCAGCCAACCAGAATCTTACAGAACAACATTTTCTTAATGGCCAATCAGAATCTACATAACCTACTTTTTTTTCTTGACAGCCAATCAGAAACTATAAAATTTATTTATTATTTACCACCAATTAAAATCCATTGAATGAATTCATTTTGACAACCAATCCTGATTGACTTTTATTCTATAGAAAACACTAAAACTATTTAAACAGAACATAGATGTGGATGTCAATATAGTTATGGTAACATCTAGACACAGTATTTTGTTTCTTAGTGTAAACGGGACACTCCTGAGGCTCACAGTAATGAAGTACATCCACTCAATTATTTCTAACCTCTAGTGTTAATGTTGCGAAAAAGTCTTGTTTAAAGCTAAATACAAGTAACTCTATCTTTTTTCTATCTGTCCTCACAAGTTTTAATGAAGTGTTAGTGACTGTCCAGGTCACATTCACTGTCGCAGCTCCAATTGTAGCACCTCTTGGCGTCCCAAAAAGCTCTAGTACGCTTTTTTCCATCGACACTTTGTGCTAAAATGACCATTGATGCTGTCAGCAGGTGCCAGGTTTGGAATAGGGCGAGCTTGAGATGAAGGCCTGCTCTCTTGTTTCTGATGAGGTGAAGCTAATTTGTTAGGCTGAAAATGTGTGTGTGTGTGCGTGTGTGTGTTTGGCAGGGATGAAAGCAGCTGTGTGCAGGGGTTGGTGGAGATCTTTGATATGCTGCTGGCAGCCACGTCCAGATTCAGAGAGTTGAAGTTACAGAGAGAAGAGTACGTGTGTCTCAAAGCCATGATCCTCCTGAACTCCAGTAAGTGCTCTTCTTATTGTAGAGTTTATGAAGCATATGCGTCTCTATTTTTGTAGATAAATTATTGGGTATTTTTTTTAGTTGAGCCTCTACATACAGTACAACAACAGTACAGAAAAATACATTTGTCCGCAGTGAAATGAAGCAAAGTGTAAATGAAGACTTTAGCATTGACATTCTGATTTTTCATACGTTTATAAAATTAAAGAGCTCATATTATACATGAAATAGGATCATATCTTGGTTGTAAGGGTCTCCAACAACAGTCTAATATGCATGCAAGGTCAAAAAACACTTTCATGGTCTCATAATCTGCATTTATTTTTACCTAATTATTCCAGAGACTCCGGTAAGAATCGTCCAGTGATTCATTTGTTCCCAAACCCATATACCCATATATATATGGTAAGGATTTGGTTATGAATTGACGGGTAGAGATCTGTAGATTTCACAAAGGTCTATTTATTTCTAGACCCTTATTAGTCTAAAATACATATTATTTATAACATTTTTAAATTTTAAAATCTTAAAATAATACTCAAATAATACTAAATAATAGTTATCAAAATAATAAATAATACTTAAAAAATTACACATACTGTTTTTACAAGTTGGATTATTTTAAGCATTTTAAACTTTTAAAGAAACTTTTTTTATATTTAATTTGATAAATGCCTTTTATAAATAAAAAGCATAATATTTAATACTTAATAAATACCTAATACTATAATGAATTTGAATACTTTTTAATCTTTATGCACAATGATTACAGTAAAACCAGAAGAGAGAATGCTTTTTTGTTGCCCATAATTTTTTTTTGAACATCAGAACAATCAAGAAAAAGTAGAAAAGTAACACATGAGAAGGATCTGATCCTCAATTGACGAGTAGTGATCTCTGGGGAAAAAAGTCAGCCTTTATTCAATCCAATCTAGAATAATCAAACAACAGCAGAATAACACAATTCCAAACCTTATCAAAATTTAAAAAAAATTTAAACATATAATAAACATTTATTCATTTATTTATTAAATTAACACTTTATTTCTCATAAATGAAAATGAGATGTATTGTTTTCACTATTTTTAAACTTTTTGGATTTAATTTGATAAGTGAGAGCTTTTTCTTTTAATATTTCAAGTGGCAAAACTGCATACAAAATTAAGCAAATGTCAAGGATGCAGTATAGTGAATGGCATTTCGGCAATAAACATGTTCTGTTCTTTGTGTCTGCATATCATAAATGATCACTTATACTTGCCATATAGCAGTGTTTGACTCCAGCTGTTCACCGATCTCACACCGTTTCACTTCCTGTTCTCTTCAGCATCATAAGGCCAAACACATGTCTGACCCTCCATACAGTCATAATAAAGAGCACTCAGAAGGTTATAGCTGTCCTTGCTTGAACCGAAGTGAGTTTTTGGCGAGGCCAAGCAAGAAAAACGCTCACACACTGTAAAATCTTAATGGACACAACATGCCTGCTTTGAGGAGCTCGCCACCATGTCAAACCAGCTATCCATTTCATACTGTAGCAATGGCTTCTAAGTAACAGACAGAACCTGCTTAGTGTCTCCTGTCAGAAGAAACCAATATTTCTCTCTGCTCTGATTGCTCTGAACTTTTGATGTGTCTCGTCTTGGTTCTTTATCTCCTCATCCTCACCCCTAAACATCTGCCTTCACTCTGTCTCCTCAGTGTCACTTGTTTGAGGCCTCCAGATGTGCCGTGTCATTTTGGAATGGTATATTCTGCGGGTTGGATGTTTGTTTGGGTATGGAATGGCTGTGAATGTGGCTTTACTGTGTGTGTGATTGTAGACATGTGTCTGGGCTCGTCTGAGGGAGGAGAAGATCTGCAGAGCCGCTCCAAGCTGCTGTGTCTGCTGGACTCGGTGACTGACGCTCTGGTTTGGGCCATCTCGAAGACCGGCCTTAGCTTCCAGCAGCGCTCCACCAGACTGGCCCATCTGCTCATGCTGCTCTCACACATACGCCACGTCAGGTACTCCATGTTCAATTCAATTCAGGTTTTTTCAGGGTAATGATCATTTCAAAGCTGCTTTACAACATGTGCACGTTCATACAAAAGTTAAGGTGCACAGTACAACGGTCAAGCATATTACATCGGCAGTTATACATAGTGTACTTTTAAATAAGAAGCATCCATGCACACTTGAAGGCAAAATAATTAGCCCTGCTGTTAAATTTGAGTTCTTTTAAAAATATTTCACACCTGCTGGTAAAAGTCCCCAAGAAATCAAAGCTAACCATGTTTTTGTTAGCTTACATTGCTAGGTTTGTGATGAATTCTTCTGTGCATGTCATTAAGAAACAAAATAGTTTCCCCTTCTAATCTAAAATTGAAATCTAAAATTGTACTTCCTGTTTGTTTTTAGTTAAATTGTCAGATTATGTCTATCTTAGGAATTGGGCAAGGCCAAAGACCTTAGAATCACCAAGAGGTGACGCTCAATAGAACGTTCCATTGCAACAGCAACAGCCCCGCGATTATGCCATTTTGGAGTGAAATCAATCGGCCGTCCATTGCATCTTATCGCTGCCGCAGATAAGCTGCTTTTTTTATTTATTTATTTTAAAAGCGCATCAAAGCTGAAATAAAACCTTAAAGACGACAATACAGCACTTACCATAACAATCATCAGCACTTTTAATAGTTTATTTTACAGATTAATGTTTATATTTTAACTATACTTATTTTCTTGAAACTGTCTCTTTTAGGTAAAATTACTTTCAATTACTTTAATAGTTTCATGCTATATTCAATAGTTCCATGCCTAGAAGTCTTGCTGCTGTCATTAAAAATCACGGAGGCCATATAAACTACTGGATAAAGTAGGTTTTGATGGGTGGTGTACTCATTTTTGCATCACCCTATATTACTTAAACAAAACAAAAATTGTAATTTAGGTTTTTTGTTATTATTATTTTGTTTCATGTCATAAGTTAAAGGGATATATTAAAATGAGTCTAGTCAGCATTTTGGAAATCGTTTTCGTTTCATTGAGATATTATTTAAAATGTTGCTTTTCAATGGGGATGTAATAATCTATGTAATATTTTAACTCATATTTACCTCATTATTTTAATTCATTCTGTGTAACGTTATTTATCCATGCTGTTGTTCTATTGGAATTTTCATTTGACTCTATGCTCTTTGGCTGCATTTTAACTGCTGCAGGAGACCAACCTCATTTATGGCTGTTCTACACATTATCATCCTCTGGATAATGATTGTCTGATTGTGCTGGTCTTCTGAAGTTATTCACTACTTGATCTTGATGGCGAATCTCCTTCAAATGACAGCGACTCTTTGTTTAAGCGTTTGTGGCCGTTTGAGTAATTGCTGTCATGGGATGTGCGTTTGACAAGACAGCCTGTACCTCGCGTTCGTTTCTTACAGATTACAAAACAAAAAACTTTTATCATGAAGTGCACTTGATTCATTTAAAAGTCCAGTTTTCAAGCTTTATCTGGATGTTTTTCTTATGTCTGTGAAGCAACTATTCGCTGAGATTCCAGTGTGTTTGTTGACCACCAAACTGTCGTAAAAGCACACGTCTGGTCCGAGCTTCTCCGTCAGTCTTTAGCGATCGCTGATTGGCTCCTGTACTAGTAGGCGGGGCTTGACTCGCCATATTGAGTTACACTTTTCTCCATTCAAAACTATACGAGTGACATGTCTTGTGTATTCTGCAGTCTTTGCTCTTCAGCTGTCTCTCTTCAAATAATATAATATATAAATAAAATAATAATAGTTTACAGTTTAAAAAACTATAATCCTAACTAGAATTTTCTTATTTAAAATATTATTAAAATTCCATTTTTATTGTGTTTTTTTAATAGCAAAATTAATAAAAACTCAGTTTACAAAAAAAAAGGAAGTTTAACTAATGCACGTGAAACTTGAATTGCAACACCAATGAACTGGAAACAATTACATTTCTGGTTACCATAAAAAGTTGTTTGCCCTTTATTTTCTCAATATTAGTAAAATATGATTTTTGTTCTTTAAAACTATCCAAAATTAAAACTGCTGTATGATTTTATTTATTATTATAATTATTTATTTTTTGTAGTAACTGTAACTTTGTGTTGCTTTTCACAAAAAAAAAAGATTTTATTCACCAGAAATGTAAATAAATTGTCCTTTCTTCATTCATAGACTTGCTGAACATGTGATGCTTCATATTTGTTTATTTTTGAGTTGAGGATGGACACAAATAAAGGTTTTGTTTAAACCTGTATTATTTATACCCCATGGCTCTTCAAAAAAATGCATTTGCCCAGGAAATCTGAAAAGCTCTTTGCTGAAAAAGGTTCCCGACCTCTGATTTAGTACATGCATGTTTTTACATTGTACTGTTGTTTTTAAAAATGATACAACTGTAATAATTTCTGTTATTCCAGTCAAGCTAGAAGCTAATTTAGAATTACACTGTTGACCAAGTCCATACTTTAATACAACTTGATACCTGCCGATACACCAAGGCCTGTCCCTAACCTTACCTCTATACCACTTCAAGAGCATCAGAAGTGTTGTGCAATACAATCTATTTACATAGTAAGTACACTTTTTTCACACAACTCCATGTTGTCCCAACATAAGTGTGGTTTATTTATAAACCAATTTCGAGAGGATCACGTGTTTATGATCAACATGGCTGGCACCTCATTAGCTCTGTAATCTGCTCTATTAGATGATTACGGAAGCATTATAAATAATGAGTTTTTCACTCCAGTTATCTTCATCTTGATGTTTCCCCCGTTACACCCCTACTTCTCAACCCTTTTTTTTTTTTTTTTGTTAGAGCGACACGGTGGCCAGCACTGTCGTCTCACAGCAAGAACACTGCTGGTCCAACCTCCTATCAGGCCGGTTGGCGTTTCTGTGCGGAGTTTCTATGTTCTCCCTTATGGTCGCATGGGTTTCCCCTGGTTTCCTTTCACCATCCAAAAACATACACCATAGCCAATCGACTAACTCAAATTATCACCCAAGATAAGCTTAATTTACATTTCTCACACAGCGACAGGCAGGGGAGTTCTCGAGACCTACCTGAGCTCGAACTCCCCTCTCACCTTTTTAACTGGAGGGAGCCCCGGGCTCGAGGATAAGTAAAGGAACTCTTGAAATCAATTAGGTTAATTTTTAAGTGGATTGAACATAAAGCAATGAAGTTGTCCCAAAAAACTTTAAGAATAGTGTTTTCAACACATTTTAAATAAGTAGTTTAAACTAGCAGTAAAAAAACATTTTTTTTGAGTGTAAAGTAGAACCAAGAAATATTACAATACTGTGGAAATCTCTGTGCTCTGTTAAATATCATGTGGGAAATATTTGAAAAAGAATAAAACATTTCACTGGTTCGCTTATAATTTTTTGCATATGATACATTTTCAATGAAGCCATCTGATCAACAAAATAATTTAGAACAAATTGTGTAATATTTAAGTGATTGAGCTGTCCTCAGAGTCCTCGTAAGGTTGGTAATGTATCATCTCCTCACAGGTCTCAGATCTGATCATCTCGAGCTTCACAATCTCCAGAGGCCTTGGAAACAGAAATTATACTGAACTTATTCAACTTTTCACAGACATGACTGCGCATAATGCAGTGTTTTCAGTCAGACAAAGAACCCTGTGGCCCGACTTGTGCTTAATGCACAGTCATCTCTCTGAAGACTGCAACATTTACTGCTTTATCTGCTCAAATTATGGATGCAAAACTCAAAAAATTTGTTTTACAATGTTTATTTAAATTCCCATGCAGTTGATTTGGACGGCTGTTTATTCCAGAAAGCAAGATTAATTTAAAATCTGCTAAATCCTAAATTCTGGGTTGACTAAACCTATATACTCAAGGTATCCAAGGTATTTACTCAAGGTATTCCAAAAGCGCTCCTGGGATTAAGATCAGTCAACTCAGAGTATGTTAACCCTGAATACAAAAAGAACCCTGAAGTCGCAAGTCACCACAGAAACGGATACTAAAAAGCACACCTTAACCCTTCTGTGGTCTTAGAATTCTGAAATGACCCCACAATTCTGAACACATACTGTATCATCTCGAGTAGCTAGAAACCTGTTTTTTTTTTATTCTGAATAGTCCGTTTGTGTTAAATGAGTGTTTTCAATCTAGATAAACCCCTCCGCTGATTGTGTATACCCTATCTGCAGTAACAAAGGCATGGACCACCTGCACTGCATGAAGATGAAGAAGATGGTTCCTCTGTATGACCTGCTCCTGGAGATGCTGGACGCTCACATCATGCACAGCTCCCGTTTGTCTCACTCCGGCCCTCGAGCCCCTGCTGCTCACAAAGACAACAAGAGTGTCCAGGAGGCCTTTCCCTGCAGCTCACAGCACGGACCCTAAACACGGCCCTCACAGTCACACGAACACAGGTTTGCTTCTTATCTTACTCAATGTTGCTATTCTGATGTTGAACTGAAGTTTTAAAAGAAAATAAATCAACTTCAGATTAGGCTTGGGCGGTATCCAAATTTTGATACCGTCAAACCGCCTCCATATTTTACCCCGGTATCCGGTATTACCGGCGTGATAAAAAAATTATGACGTAAGGCTCAGACAGCGTCACCAAACTGTTGGCTTGAGCCTAAACCATTCAGAAAATAAATACCATATATGCGACCTGAGGCTCGAGGTCAGAAAGAGAGAGAGAGAGAGAGAGCGAGCGCCAAGCGACGCACAGCACCTCTCTCTCTCTCTCTTACGCAAACACACACACACACACAAACACACACGCATCTCTCCCGCGATTTATTCAGAAATTTACTCCCACACCGTAAGAAATCTGGCCGGCTCCCGCGGTACAGCCTCGGGAATGCTGAGAGCTGTAATCAGGCCATAAAAATTATACCCGATAGGTCCCGAGTCCGACAGGTACATTTTGATTGACAGCTTTATAAAGCCCGAACCCGTTTACAGCCCGACATTATTCAAATGTGCTCATGCACACAGCTCTAATGCATTTTTTCAAGAATGAGTCATTTACATGTTTTAAAATAATTTATTCATTACAAACGTAGACTATAGGCTACTTGGAAGTTGAAACAAAGAAATAAGTTCGCTGTAACATCGTAACATCTCAGCACTCGATAGGCCTGCGTACATACACTTAGCCTTTAAATTGGCCAACACACCAATGAAAAAAAGTCTTGCTTAACAAATCAAATTAAAATAAACTCTAACTGATGACGGCTATTTTGGCAATAACAAAATTAAGATAAAGGCTGTGCAAGATTTGTTTCTTCACTTTTCTTCACAATCTGGCATTAGGGCGGCGGTGAAGCTTAATATTAATAGAATAATGCCACCATTAGCCTGTATACTCTGTCTACATTATGATTATATAATTAAATTAATATTTATTTATAATTTAAAAACCCTTTACTCACCAAGATTAGGCTACGTGTGTTTGTTTGTGGAGGAACATTATTAAATCCACTGGCTTTAGCACAGACTTGCACTCATGGTGCGTCCAGCAATACTGAACACCCTTTCCTGCGGCTACAGGTCGAGATGCAGAGTTCTGATCTGGCTGATTTTGCAAGTTTTGGGTAGGATTGTTTATTCATCTTCTACCAGTCAGGAACATCCATTTAATTTTCCAAGACAGCAGTTTTAGTGTAGCGAGTGGCCTCGTCTTTTTACCTGTCAGCTTGCGGTTAAGGGCTCTACCGTAATACGCAGTGTATGAGCGATCGCCGAAATACCTTGGCGGCTGGAATGACCGCTCCTTCTGAGCTAGTGACTGGCTTGACCGCCGTCAAAATTAGCTTTTTTTACTACTTCGTCATCATTTGTTTCATCTTTGCAGGGATGGATTTTAATGCAGGGATTTGGATTTTTTCGAGTCTCGCCGGGTTCGGGCAAAGATCTTCAGCTCTAATGCAGACCTCTCGTTCATATTAACCACGTCTCCCTTCTGTTCAGTCGAAACCGGAAATACTGCCAAACTGCAGGTCACTTTGGAGCGCGACTCATCATGTCACCTCACGTCACCTCTCCCTCTCTCCCTCTCCCCCTTCCTCTCCCTCTCTCTTTCTCCTCCACACTGACCCGTGATGACAACCACACATACGTTTTTGTAGGCATTAAATAAAGGATATTTAATATTTTATGACGGTATAACGGTGTTGAAACTGACACCGTTGCTATTTTTAGATCCCGCGGTATACCATAATACCGCCCAAGCCTACTACAGATGCCCCCCGGAAATGGGCATCAAGACCTGACAGTGTAAACAGGGCCTTAGTAAGCTACACATTTATTTTTAGTCATCCATTTATCTGTCATTGGCCAGAAAAAAGTCAGGCGAGTTCATCAAGATCTGCCTGAGCTCAAACTCCCCTTTCGCCCAGCTATCTGGAGGGAGCTCAGGGCTCTCTTCTGCGACAGCTGATGATTGATAATAAAGCTTGTTTGTCACGCTAAGTGTGAAATTTTTATGATAAAGGTTTCTACTTGTATGTATGTCTGACAGTAGAAACCATTCAAATGGCTTAATTGGGCATTATTTGATGGTTTGTGGAGTTTATAGATTTTATATTTGCTGTGGAAACATAAAAACTTCTATGATGGTTTCTGTTCTTTTTTTTCCCTGCAGGTTAGACAGTTTTACTACTGGAAATGTCTGTTTTGTAAACGATTTTTCACAGTCTGTAGCCAGCTAAAATTCTTCCAAAAACTGTAAAATAGCTGAAAAAAAATAACATGCTGCTCTTCTTTCTTTCCAGTACTTAAGGATGATCTGTAGTTTCGGGAGGATGGACAACCAAAACACCCACATAAAAGCAAGGAGTAGGATTTCACAAGACGAAAAGCATCATGGATATCTTGAATGTTTTTCCTGTTTTTAAATGTTGGCAATTGCTGTGAAATCTCTTTATTGTTTCCACACAACTCTGACAACTTTTTTATGATTTTATGTAGCACAACTGCAAAAGAAAAGAAAAAAAGAAATGAATACCCACATTGGATTTCAAGAGATTTTTGGAAACTTCATTACACGGTGAACTATAATTTCTGGCATTATATGCATAATGGAGGCCATCTAGTAGGAGAAAACCAAGTAAACCAATCATGCCCACCTTCTTTTTTAAAAGAACCAGTTCAAACTCAATTGAGAGAGTGCATTGGTGCCATGACCCGGATGACAGTAGGTTTTATTAAATCTGTCATCTCTGGCCTTGAGAGACTGTGGCCTTTAGCATTAGCCTTGTTAGCAGCCTGCCTCTCAAGTACTCACCAGTTCAGATCCCGCTGTAAGTAGGACGGGGTTATAATGTCCATGAAAGTTTTGGCCTCATTTTCATGACATCCGTGACAACATGGACAAGAGCAGTGTGCGATCTCTACTTTTTCTCTTTCTTACATAAGCTTGCTGCTTTCACATTTTGTAAAATGAAACAAAATATCGTAAACTCATTACTTTCGACAATACTGGCAGTAAAATCAAATTTGATTTAGTCTGTTGTAAATGGACAGAATCATTCCTGATAGATGAGACAAAGCATTGTATGCTGAGTGAGCAAACCATATTCTGGACTAAGGGCAAGCAGTATTTTAGACTTACAAAACAAAAAACCTGAATGATTGAATGAATGTCAGCTGGATGTTTCATTTACATCTGTTGTTATTGAGAAATGGAACCATTGCAAAATGGCCTCGTGCACATTTTAGTGATTAATTCTTTTTTGCAAACAAACATTTATGTACAGGAGTGACAGCCGCATTTTACAGCCATCGCCGTGACCATATCTTGAACATTGGAGGGTTTGTGTTAGAAATTATAAAGTAGGACATTTCAGGCCTAATTCTAGTGGAAAGGTATTTGCAAAAAAAAATTACAAAATCAATTTGTAAACCTAATATGTTTCACATTCAGTTAGAAAAGACTAATTAGGTAACATCTCAGCTCACAATGATGAAATCTGAGTTAAAAAGCATCATTACTGCTGGCTATTGAATATTTCTACCATAAAACCATTCGTATAACATCTCCACACTTTTTTTTTTTTTTTTTTTTAACCCTGCCTTCTTTAAATTGATTGGTCATTTTGACAGTGAATGACGCTGGTACACCAGCCTGAATGGTTTTAATATATTGTCATCCTAACAATAATATTATGCATGTAAAAACTCGGGAACAGTTTGGGGTCATGGGTGACCTTAATGTTTATGGTGGTTACGGCTCTTTCTAAATTGACTCCTGATAATGAAGGTAGTGACAAGCGCATTTAGGAAAAACTCTATGCACTGTATATGGAACCAAAAGCTGCATCCCAATTGGCACACTATGCACAGTATGTGAATGTAGTGTCACCGCAAATGGAACACTAATGTTTTTTTTTTATTATTAAGCGGAAATTTGTTTCCATGAGGACATTTGTCAGTTGCCAAATTAGTGAAATAAATGGCCAAAGTACCAAATAATACCTGCCATGAGTATAACCATATTCACCATCGGGAGGCGCTATAAACAGTCTCATAGGAGAATTCTAAATAAATAATGTAATCCAATATGTGCACCCGACTGCTCCACTTCTTCCGCTGCATGAGCAAAGCAGCAGCTGTTGCGTGCGTGAAGTGCCCAACATTACACCCTTTATTTTAACAGCTGGATAAATGCACTTATTCTTTTTAGAGTTTTCAGTGTGAATGCACTACTAACACTATTTATACTATAAAATGGTGTAAAATAGTGCATTAGTATGCGACTTGGGATGCACCTAATATCATTTCACTCACTTCATTCTGCCATCTTTGAAACGCTTTTCCGTCATGGAAGTGCAGCTCATCTAATTTTCCAAACTTATTCACTAAGTTACGTTACAATTACCTTTCATATTTGAAATCATGGAAGAAATATGACAATGGCTGGCGTCTGTTTGTTGTTTCTTATCTGTAAAAAAGCCCAAAAATCTTATCAAGCAGAGACTTTACCAATTATGGCCCATTTCCACTGAGTGATACGGTATGGTTTGGTACGCTTTTATGGCCGTTTCCACTGTCAAAAGGTACCAAAAAGCGAACTGTACCATATTTTTACTGTATACTTTTTGGGTACTCTTTCAGAAGGGTACCTACAAAAGAGTACCAAATGGCGGAGTAAGATGCACAGCAGACTGCTATTGGTTTACAGAGATATGCCACTAGCTCGTGCACAAGCCAGGAGAATGAAAACAAGAGAAGTGCCATTTTTAAACACACAGCCGAGACATTACACAGTAATAATATATACATATAATAATGAGCCATAGTCAACCCGAGCTCAAACAAAGCTTGTCGTCATCGTGATGAACAGCCACAAAGCCAAGAAGAAGCGCATAATCTACCCTGTGCCCCGTAGTCATTTACAAGGCCATCTAAAGCACAAGCGGTTTTACTTTCTTAAAGGAGCTTGTGTCCACGTCTATATTTGAAATAACAGACTTTTTGAGCTGATGATAATAATGTACATGTGATTATAAAAGTGCTTATAACATCCAATCCTTTCAGAAATGATACCTTTTTAGTAGTAGAATCAAGCCTGGTAAAGGTGACTTGTAACGACCCATACCGTACTATACAACTCAGTGGAAACAAGCCATTAGCAACTTTTCTGCTGTCTATTACCCCTTTTCCCCCCTCATTCAAAAGTAATTTATATATATATATATAAAAAAAGTAATTTCATCACTGAACTACTTTAGGTGTTATCGAATCAAAACATGCATCTCCATACTATTCTGTAAGTGAAGAGCAGATAAAAACACAAGCAATGAGAAATGAGGAGCTGTTAGAGCTTGCAAAAACAAAACAAACAAAACAAAATCCTTAATAATTCAGTCCAAATACATTACTCTGAAAAAAATACAAAAACGTTGTGACCTGTATTAGTTCCCCATAATAAGCCAAGTCTAAACTACAAATCCAAGGGTCCCTGGAATGTTCATCAGCCAATCAAATTCAAGCATTCATGAAAACAATGCTTAAAGTGTGGTAACTAGGGCTGCACCATATAGCAAAAGTCTGATATTGTGATATTTTATTTTTCTGCTATATTGCAATATGAATAGTTTCACAAGATCATTTGATCAGCACGATTTGATGGTTTTCTGGGGAGTCTAATTCTTAGAGCAAGTACAAATATAGTTTTGTTTTCACTGTTAGAAGAAATAAGACACAATTTAAGAGATTTTCCTTAAAACAAGCCAAGTTATCCTCCAGTGGGTAGGCAAAATAATCTTGTTTTCGCTTTGAAGTGTAGATATTTGGACTAGAAACAAGACAAAAATGTTAAGATTTTTACTTTTTTTTTTGCATAAATCATTTAAATTCTGTATAAATATCGTCATCAAATACAGTTATGTAGCTCCTGCTCAACTATATTTCAGATTCAACATTGCATATCTTTGCGATATGACTAGTGCGTACAGTATACGCACATTGTGATATCAATGCTAAACTGACATATTGTGCAGCCCTAGTGGTAACCATTGATCAATTGACTGCGCTGTTGACATATTAGTAAATAACGCACCCGTTTGCTACGTATACATTTGATATGTAAATAATAATGTGCAGCCCATTGTCAAATATTCCAAATGTCCAAACTTTGACCTGGAGGGCCGGTGTCCTGCTCAGTTTAGCTCCAACTTGCCTCAACACACCTGCCAGGATGGTTCTAGTATATCTGGTAAGAGCTTGATTAGCTGGATTAAGTGCGTTTGATTAGGGTTGGAGCTAAACTCTCCAGGACACCCACCCTTCCAGGACTGAGTTTGGACACCCTTGATTAAGGGGATTTATTCCTGTATTTAAATGCGGTTGTTACTCCTGAAATGTGTATGTGGCACAAAAAAACAAACAATCTATCTGCCTTTTCACTCTGTGAACACCCTTTAACACCATAAAGGCCTTGTGTAAAACATTTTCTAGACACAATTCATCACTCTATTCCACTGTGAAAAGCGTTCAGTTTGCAAGATGCACCACAACTACCAAAATGAATTGTTGTTGCACTTTAAAAGTTCTCAAATATCTGGAGCCTTCGTTTGAGAACCCAAAAAGCCCAAATATTGCAGTGCCTACAGTGATGATTTTACTTTGTCTTTTTGTGTATCCTGGTAAGGACAATTATTACTGTAGAAGCATACGCATTCAATTTAGAAAGATAGATTTTGATAAACGCACAAATGCAGGCAAACTATGTATAAATGTTTCTGTACCTGCTGGCAGCCATCCGAATTGTAACTTTGTTTTGAAAAGAAGTGCCAATATCGATTTCAGAGGTTTTTGTAAACTGGTAAGAGCTAAAGAGCAGCTGTAAAGCAGTTTAGTTGAAGAAGACAATGTTTATTTTTAAACACAAAACATACGTTTAATTTGTAAAATGTTTTCAAAGTTGACTTTCTGTACACACGTCTTTGTGTTCGACTTTGCAACGCATATGTAACAATGTGTTATTTACACTTGGGTGAATTAAAATGTTTTAAATGTGTATTTAGCATTGTTTTTGGGGGCTTTCATAGTGTAGAAAATGTAAAAATGGGACAACATAATCCCAAAGTTATAGTACAGTATTTTCCAAACTCTTTTAATCTTTAATCAGAGCATAAATCTAATAAAACATAATAATAATATTAATAATAAGTTCAAAATACATTCATGCTCATTAAATGATTGACTTTTGTGACGAGACGAAGGAAATTTTGATCACAATGTAACGTTAACAACAAATTCTCAGTAGTATGGCTCTCATAGAGGGGAATAAATAGTATAAAATCGATCGTATAAATACATCTGTTAAAATATTGCTTGGACAAAAGTGAGGTGCATGTTTGAGTCCGCCTGGGATAATGAGGGACTCATGTTGGAGGAGGGCCGTTGGTGTACCGTAACATGGGGTGGAAAGAGCGAGCAAAGTTATTGGAGAGAGTGCAGCTGTAGTCGTCCTCGGAGAGCGGGACCAGACAGGCCAGAACCAGCAGCAGGAGGAACAGCAGATGAAGAGGGAAAGCGGCTCGCAACACACGGTAGAAGAACGAGCGCTGAGGAGACGGCTCACCATTCCACCTGAAAAAACAACACAAAGCACTTTTACTCACCACCTTACTATTAAATAATTTTTGGGGCTCTTTTAAAGAAACAGTTCACCCTAAAATAAAAAATGTTGTCTCTATTTACTTTGAAGTTTGTTTTAAGAAAGCTGAAAGCCTGAAGCCACTGACTTCCATAGCAGGAAAACAAATACCATTGAAGTCAATGGCTACAGACATCCAGCTTTTTTTTATCAAATTATCTTCTTTTGTGTTCAGGTTTGGAACAAGTTAAAGTAAATAATGACATAATTATCAGTTTTTGGTGAACAATTCCTTTGATATAGTTACAATTATTAGCCCTCCTGAATTATTAGCTCTTTCCCCCTTATTACTCTTTAACGAAGAGAAGATTCTAAACATCTAATAACTCATTTTTAATAACTGATTACTTTTATCTTTGTCATGATGACAGTAAAGTTTTAATAAATATCTTTCAAGACAGTAGTATTCAGCTTAAAGTGCAATTGAAAGGCTAAACTAGGTTAATTATGTTAACTAGAGTAAGTTAGGCAAATCATTATATAGCGATCTAAAACAAATATTGCTTATGGGCTAATAATATTGACCTTAAAATGGTTAATAAAAATTAAGAAATGCTTTTATTCTAGCTGAAATAAAACAAATAAGACTTTCCCCAAAACAAAAAAATATTATAGGAAATACTGTGAAAAATTCCTTGCTCTGTTAAACATGATTTGGGAAATGTTTGGAAAAGAACATTCACAGAGGGCTTTAATATGTACTTTAACAGTATATATATAACTTTATGTACACATTTTAACTATTAATATGTGTTCTTTAAAGATGTAAAAGTTTGGAAATGCCTGTACCGAGAGCACTCAGGGGATTTCTGGTCTCCTGAAGCATCAGTTGTGGACCCCTGAAACACACGATAAAGAAACCAAAATGACAGCTGTTCAACCAGAACATATAAAAACATGAAAATATGAACACACAATATGCAGTAGCTTTAGAATTTTGTTATATTATGAGAGAACAGTAAATGCCTTCTTTCTTTGTATATTTGTGGACAGTAGCTGAAGTCAACTGCTTGTTAGGAAGGTTCAGATCAGTTTAGATGCAAAAGTGCCGCATGACATTTTTCTCCAGCTCCTGCGTGTAGGTTCACATAGGTTCATTCAATTTTTATAGTGATGAATAGATTCTTTTCAGTGCCTCCAGTTCAATAACTGAACATAATCATAGTTCTGAGGCTGAGAAAACGGCTCATTTTAGAAGAAAAGTATATAGGGCACTCACAGGCTGTTGTACCTGAACTCTTCATTTGTAATTATTGTTACAGTTAATTCACATTTTATTCAGTTTTTTTTTTATGTTTCTTATGTTGAGCAAGGCTGCATCTTTATTTCTATAGGGCTTTTACAATGTTGATTGTGTCAAAGCAGCCTAACATAGAAGTTCTTGTAAATTGAAACTGTGTCAGTCCAGTTTTCAGAGCTGAAGTTCAGTTTAGTTCAGTTCACTGTGGTTTAAATTTCATGGCTGAGAGTCCAAACACTGAAGAGCACATCCATTGATGCGCAGCTCTACGAGTCCCAAAACAAGCAAGCCAGTGGTGACAGTGGTGAGGAACAAACTTTACCAATTGATGAAAGTGAAGGGGAAAAAAATCTTGAGAGAAACCAGGCTCAGTTGGGCACGACCATTACTCCTATGGCCAAACTTCGTGTGTGAAGCTGCAGTCTGGGTGCCGGTTACTTATTAAAATACAGCTAAACAGTAATGCTGTAAATAGTTACAATAAAAATTTGATTTGAATATATTACAAAGTGAGGTTCATATCTGTAAAAACAAAACAATTTTAAGCAGAAATCATTGAAATCTTTCTGCTGCATAATACTTTTTCAATTTGCTTTAAACCATGGATGGCGTTTCTCCCAAACTTAAAACATAAATGTTGCCTTTTTCACTAACACAAAAATGACAACTGATCAAAATATAACAATGCTGTAAATATTCATTTTTAGCCAACACAATGGCAATGATTTAACTTCATATATTAGACCACTATAATAGATCAACTCATTTTCATTTATTCCTTCATTTTCCATTCGGCTTAGTCTCTTTATTAATCTGGTGTCACCACAGCGGAATGAACCACCAACTTAAAAATTATATGTTTTACGCAGCGGATGCCCTTACAGCCGCAACCCATTAATGGGAAACATCCATACACACTGATTCACACATATGGGCATTTTTAGCCAACACGATTGCCAACTGTCATTTTCTGCAACAATAATTAAAATGTATTATTAATTTGGAATTCAGACCTTCACAAAATAACTCAAGTCCAGACCTACTAAATACAGAAAATCCAGAGAAACCAAGAACTTGAACGTGAATTTCCAGAGTCATCTATATTCAATAAACGACTTGATAAGTGACAGTTTAAACGAACAACATTTAATCAGAACAGTATTTTGACCATTAATCTTACTATTTTATTGCTGGTCTTTATTGTGACTTTTGACTTTAATGTGTCCTTGCTGACTAAAAGTATTACTTTCTTTAAAAAAAAAGAACTTACTGACCGCAAACTTTTGAACAGTAAAGTTTTATGTGGAAGACAAATGTGCTTCTGATGGCTTAAAGTAAATCCTCAACGATTGACTGAAGGTTTAAACTTTAATTGCCTATTAATTGTCTCTTGGCTAAAAACATCACTCAGTGAAGCTTTGCAGAACACCCCTCGGGGAATCCTGTTTCTGGGAAAAGTTCATTTTTCAACAAAATGTGCTCAGAAAGCAGTAATAAAGAAATAATTATTTCGTCAGTTGAAATGAAGCGGGATACTCTAAAGAACGTTTTCAGCCAATCCTCAGACCCCTGATATAAATCATTTGCAGTTTGCATCACAGAATGTTCGTCAGAAGCTTCTCACCAGTCTCTCCTGGATGGTCTGGAGGTCCTGCTCGACCTGACGCGACAGCAGTCGTAGTTTGCTTCCGATGACGTGGAGTTTCTCTTTGGCTTCGGTACTGTCCTCTCCTCCAGCCTCCGGGAGCAGTTCAGAGGCGATGTCCTGCAGAGAGTTCACCTGCTTCTGCCTGCCCTGAAGATCCACCGCCAGATCCTGCCACCAGGGGGAGCAACACTTGAGCTTAAATCACAAACAACAACAACTGCTATCCGTTAATGCCTGAGGTTTCAGTGGCTCACCTTTAGTGTTTGTGTGTGTTCCTGAAGCGTGGACAGCTGCACAGAGGCATCGTTCATGTTGACAGCGTAGCGTCGGCTCTCTGCATGGGCCAGCCATAGCAGGAGAGAGTGAACCATCTCGTGAAACTCCTGCAGGAAGATACAAAACATAATACGCCATTGAGGTTCTGTGACATTCAGTGTTGCCTTTATCAGGTGTAGGTATAACTGCTCAATCAATCACATTGCTCCAACTCAGTGCATTGAGGCATGCAGATGTGATGATTTACAGAATATCTAATTGCAATATTTTTGGACGGTTATTATGATAGCGATTTGATTTGGGATTAAATTTGGTAAAGTCAAGATTAACTTCAACATTATAGTTTCATTCATTCATTTTCGGCTTAGTCCCTTTATTTATCAAGGGTTGCCATTGAGGAATGAACAGCCAACTTATCCAGCATACGTTTTAGACAGCAGATACCCTTCCAGCCACAACCCAACCCTGGAAAACACCCATACACTTTAACATACACTACAGCCAATTTAGCTCATTCAACTTATCTTTACCACATGCCTTTGGACTGTGGGGGAAACCGGAGCACTCGGAGGAAATGCTAACCCACATAACAAAATTTCCCAGATCTGGCCCACACTATCAGCTTTTGCTTGGCCCACATGCTGCAGGGAATTACGGTACATGACTGGCTAGGTCTGGCTTCCATACAAGGGCCAAACATGGACCAGCAGTAAGGACATCCGGCACTGGCATACAGCATATGGCCTGGTTTGGCAGAGGTGGCACCATCTTTAAATTGGTACAGAATACTTGGGCCAGATGTAAAATGTATTATTTGGCCCAGATGTTCATAATTGATAAGTGGGCCTTGTAAGTTTGGTCTATGGCCCACATTTAAAGTACATTTTAAACAATTTTAACAATCAGGTCACTTGGAGAAAAAGCATGCCCATAGCACGCATAAAAGGCAATGATTCATATTTATTTCAAGTTGATTGCAGTTGTGGCACACCAACATATATGGCCCAGTTTAGGCTCAGTTTAGGGTTATTAACTTGGCTGAGACCTGGCCCAGATATGGTCCATGTTTGACCCTTGTCTGGAAGCCAGACATGGTCCAGTCATGTACCGTAATTCACTGCGACATGTGGGCCAAGCAAAAGCTGATAGTGTGGGCCAGAACGGGGTCAGAGATATTTTGCAATGTGGGGCCAAACTTATGTGGTCCACATTTAATTTTTTAACATCTGGTCCAAATACTACATTTGATATCTGGCCCAAGTATTGTGTGACGCCTTAAAGACGGTGCCACCTCTGCCAAACACAGGCCAGGTTTGGCCCACGTGTTATAATGCCAGTGGCAGATCAATGCCTGCTGTGCCAGCTTTATGCCAAATCTGGGCCAGAATTCTTTGCTACTTAGAAACTGACCCAAGTAAGACTCAAACCAGCGACATTGTAGTTTACACACTTTAAAAGCAATTTAAGAACATTTTTGACTCAATATATAATTTGTACAATCAGATAAGCTGTGAATGCGCAGAAAAAACTGTGCTGCACCATAATCACTCCCCGCGCTTTCCTGTTTGTTGTTGTTGTTTATGGTGGGAGTTTATTCATGGCTGGTTTAAACACTGCTGATTGGGGAGTATGAATTTGCACTCATGGTATGTTATTGGTTAATAAGCACATCATCATCACACAAACAGGAGATTCGTGTATTTCCTCTTGGACATGGTTTAAATATGTTCATATATTTAAATTGCAGTCTTATTGGAGCATTAAGATTAGCTAAGCTATTAAATACTCATCACAGTCATTTGTACTCTTTATTGAATTGGCCTTCTTTTACATCATTGGTTTTTGTTCATTTACAAAACTCTTATTGGGAAAACTCCACTATATTTAGTCACTTCTTAACATTTAGAAAACATGTGGAAACCTGCGCTCAAGTAGCTTTATTAACCTTTGTACAGCCAAAGTTCGCACTTCATTTGGGCGCTCTTTTCAGTTTTCTGCTGCTGATGCTTGGATCATCTGCAGCAGACCTTAAAGCTTAACACTTTTATTCCACTATCATCCTTTAATAATTCAATCCAGTTTATAGTACAAGATCACTGTGCTTGCTTTTAGATTTTGCTTGGTTTGATATGTTATTATCTGCATTTGTGAAATTGTTATTGTCTTGTGTCCCTGCTGCTTCGTATCTGCTTTTTATGTTGCCTCTTGTTCCAGGTCGTTATTGTGAATGTAAACTGGTTTTGAATGTTTGTATTAAACATCTGAAATTTAAGACAATTGTATTTTTAAGGCTGCATTTTTTAGTCGTATTTTCAAACTTTAAATCTTTTGTCTTCTGAACTCCTAGACTGCACATATCCAGTTTGTAAAAATACAGTTTCAAGTTTTCAAGATGAAGAAATTCAGAGCATCAAACTCAAACTTTTAAAATTCCAAACCAGAAATTCAGATTATGAAATTCAGATTCAGGAGAAAGTAGGTCAGGGGTCATCAACAGGCAAGAGTGGACAATTAACACAATTCAAATTCATATTGTTTTGGCATATTATTAGCTCCATACACAAGTCAGTTTCAGGCTACATTTTGATAAAAATGATGAAGCAAAATAATAATAATAATAATAAAAATGTAAAAAATAAAAATAAATAAAAAAGCATCACATTTACACAATGTTAAAAAAAAATACACATTTACAAAAATGTCAAAAATTGTTGTATTACGTATGCCAGGCCAGTATTTAGTGAGGGTATCTTTTTTAAACAGTACCTGTAGAGAAGTGACAATGACATGCAGTTGGCGGCTCAGCACTGGTGTGTATGTAGAATTTGCTGTGTGTGTAAGACGCGTTTCCGCTGTTGGTTGTAACTTGAAATAAATCTAGACTTTGCTGATAAAGTTTTGGCAAACACTTACTCTGCCATTGTTGTACTTCCACTTTGTAACCCGTTTTTCAGATTTGGTAACACTTTCTTTTGATGGTCCATTTAAGTATTAGTAGACTGTCTGCTTGACATCTGTTGATACTGCTCTTTCAACATACATCTGACTATAAGAAACTTTGCAAGAACATGTCAACTTACAGTAACCCTAACCCCAACCTAACAGTCTACTTAAAATCAAATGAGAATTAGTTGGCATGTAGATAAAATGTAACTTAAATTCAATAAACAGAACCTTAAAATAAAATGTGATCTCAGATTTCACAATTTTAGCTGAAAGCGTTGTGTAAACGGCCTCTAAAAGTGGCATGTTTGTTGCTGCCAGATGGGCTGTCCTGAGTGTTTCAAAAGCTGCTGATTTACTGAGATTTTCATTTGCACCACCTCAAAGATTTAAAAAGAATGATCAGAAAAAAATAAAAACATTTCTAGTGAGTGTCAACAAATGCCTTATTGATGCCAGAGGTCACAGAAGAATGACCAGACTGCTTCAATTTAAACCACAAAGAACTACAGCATTTCCGAAGGTCCATCTCAGTACTAGGAAGGTGCATTTAATTGGAACAGTATTTTTTCATTAATCTTACTATTTCATTACTAGTCTTTATTGTGACTACTGAATTGAACGTATCCTTGCTGACTAAAATGATTACTTTCTTTAATGGGCCATGATACTCCCCAGCAGAGGAGAAGGAGGGGATTGAACAACTGTTGTCAGTCGGTTCACAAAATGAGACACAAAGCATGAAGAGACGCATTATTTTAGTTTACAAAGTTAAAATGCAAAGAAATAAACAGTAATTTAATGCCCTGCTACATTTGTAATTTGATTCACACACAACCCCAATTTATATCATTATAAAGATAATCGTGTTCATATAAACACTAAAAATGAGTACTTTTCCCTCAATCCCCAGGTCTGAATGCAGAGTCAGTGCAGCAGGTCTCTTGTCCTGTCTATTTAAACCATTAGCCCTGCTGGTAATCTGGAGGATTTAGGCAAACACATCAGCACGGCGATGTGTCTAAATGTGAACAAACTTCTGATAAAGGACAAAGTCCGCCATTCTCCAATTCTCATACTGCTCTCCCGACAAAAATGCTTGCAGCACACACACAACTTTGCTGTATCGGCCCTGACAAGATTGCGGGGAAAAACATGCAACAAACCCCATAGATCACGGAAACAAAACGCATATGATCCTTCATGAATGACTAAATATTGTGTGTCGTGGGGTTCGTGGATGCGTCTCACTCAGTCATCAACGTAGGATCTCGCAGCTTGGAACTGGCAGCCAGGTCTGCCTTTGGAAAGCACGTGCTCTCATGAATAATTAAGAAGCAGGCTCTTCTCATAGGATAAGAAAACTCCGCTATGAATAATAAGAACCGACGCGTCATCTTTGCACTTGCAGTTTTGCACTATGTCGCCGAATTTGATCCCAACCCCAAAAATCATTTTAAACCCGGAAGCTGAAATTAGCTGACAACAACTCCAAATTACCCAGTTTTCCCCACAATTAAAGCTGGCAGGTGCTAACATTGTCTTAACTGATGCTCAACACACACAAATCTGGTAAAATCTCAAAAAAGTACTCGAGGTTTCGTGAACCTATAAAATGGACGTGGCTGATGAGTGTACATGTTTCTCTGTTTCCTCACCTGACAGCGCACAAGGGTGTTACGTAGGCTGTCCTCCCACCGCTCGAGACCAGCACAAGCCTCCGTCCAGCGTTGATTCATGCTGTGCAGACCCTCCTGAAGCTCAGGTGCTCCCCCAGAGGCCTCTTGCTGCAGCTCTCGGCCACACAGGTTGAGAGACAGCATCATGGTCTTGTAGCGAGCAAAAGTCTTCTGCATTTCCTATGTGATTGATGATGTGGATATTAAATGGTTTAGTCTAGTGTACTGTATATTCAATTCTAGGTGAAATCACATGACACATACTGTAGAAGAATACACCTGTAGAGCAAAACACAGCTCTCACTCACTTTTAGTTGTTTGACCCTCTCCTCTAAGACCTCCACACTGGCTGATGTCTCAGGCCTCTGCAGCATGTCCAGCTCAAGAGTGATGCAATCCAGCCAGGAAGTGATGTCATGCAGGTCTGAAGTCAGCTGCTGGGGGTCTCTGGTTCTGCACTGCTCTTTGCTCACTGCTTGAGCCTGCAGCAGCTCCCAGCGCTCAATCACTCCTGTGGAGAACACAGGACACTCTTCTTTTACAACTGATCTGCTGTACACCAGTCTACTCATTCACACATACATCCATGCATGCATACATCTCTTCATTTATTTTATTTAACCAGTCCATCACCTATCACATATCTGTTCATTGACAAACCACTAATCAATCCATTCTTTCATATGCTTCTAACCATCCATACGGTACAACAGTTGATCCAACCATTCATCTATAAGCATCTCTCACAATCACATTTGTCTATCCACTACATTGAATTAAATCAATCAATCAATCAATCAATCAATCAATCAATCAATCAATCAATCAATCAATCAATCAAACTACCAATCCATTCATTCATCCATCCTCCACTCATCTCCAATCAACTCACATATCCAGCTAATTACCTATCCACTCATGCAGCTAGCAATAAAACCATGAAGCAGCCTGATGCTGTAGTTCTTTTTTGTTTTGATGCTGTAGTTCTGCTGATAAAAAGTATTTATGCTTTACTAGACCTAGTCCCCTGTACACGTGATTAGATGAGTCACTCAAAACAAGACGTCATTGTCGACGTCAGCGTCTGTACCTGACTGTTTGTCTGCAGTGTTGAGGCCAGTGAGTCCTTGTTCCTCCTGCTGTTCTTCATCATCCAGGATCATAGAAACCCTCTTCACACTCTTGATGCTGCCGCTGCATTCAGACATCAGCTGGACCTTCACATACAGTACGTCACATCACAATCACCTTTCACTCAAGTGCTACATGTGTTTACCTTTTCTGATTCCACAAGAAAGACTGTGTGTGATTTGTGGGTGCGCTAGGTTAAGAAAGAATGGGTATATACTCACATAGCCTTGTTTAAAGGGAGTGCTGGTGTGTGTAGGTGAGGATGACTCCAGCTGGAAGGATTTCCTTTCAGGCATGTTTTGGAAGTGCCAATTCTGTCCTGTGTGTGTGAGAGAGAGAGTTTTAGGTCAATTAGGTAAGTTCATTTAGATGGTGAAGTGTAATTTGGCCTTATGCAGCATCCATTTTTAAAGTAGTAAATTAGACCTAAGAATCTGCAAAACTTCTAAGCTTTATCATGGTTGTCAAATAATTGTATTTCATGGTTCATACACATACCACCAAAATTCCATGACTTTTCCATGATTTTTCCAAGACTTTCAAGTAAATTTTCATGATGTACTATTTCATGCAATATATGTGTGGTAAAAGAAAAACAATGCATGTTCAAATTTATTACATTTATTATTTAGTTTTAATTTATATTTATATCTATGTGAAATTGATTTAGATGATGCTTACACCGCACTAATAATGTGAAAGTGTGTAATTGGCCAAGAACAGAAAAGTAAAATTAATGATATATATTCAAGTATACAGGTATCTGTTTTCCATGACTTTTCCAAAACTTTTTGGGATTTTTTTTTTTGTTTTTCCAAAACTTTTCCAAAGCTGGAAAATACCATATTAAAATTTCATGACTTTTCCAGATTTTCCATAACCGTATGAACACTGGTATTTGCATATTTGTAAGTTGCTTTGGATAAAAGCATCTTCTAAATGACTAAATGTAAATCTAAATGCATATGACACCCACGTTTGCAAATTGGTCTAACCTGACATGGTGATTTGATAAAAAGGTGCTGCAGGACAATTACTTTCACATGTGACATTTTTTCTGGTTTATTATGTTATAGAATATATTTATTTATATATATATATATATACATATATATACATATATATATATATATATATATATATATGTATATATATATATATATATATATATTTAAATCCATTACGCTTATGAAGAGGCTGCATTTACATGTATTTATATCATATTGTCATTTAAAACTAGAACTACAAATTTTGACAATTTTTTAAGTTTTTAATTTAATAATTTTGTTATAAATAAAACCCATGATAATCTATAGTACCCTGATTTTTTTTTTAAAAAGTGTGTATATTTCATTTTAGGAGTTTTATTTTATTAAAATGACAAAATACAAAAAGAGTTCAGAGTTTTTCTAGCTTACATGGCCAAAACTGTCAAATTGACCTGACATGGTAATTATTAAAAAGGTGCTTAATTACTATTACAGGAGAGTCTGTAAAGCTTTTTCTGGTTCTTTAGGTCTCAGCCTAAATTAGATATAAAAAAAACAATAAATAAATAAATAAATAAATAAATATATATATATATATATATATATATATATATATATATATATATATATATATATATATATATATATATATAGTAAGGTATAAGGTATATTTAAGGTAATGACTTCATTAAATATGATGACATCTTGAGAGCTAAATTGCAAAATCCCAAAAGCTCTAAATACAAATAAAACGGTAGAATTTTTTTTCAATTCATTACAGAACATTTAGAATGACCCCCCCTACAGCCATTCTATTAATGATAGAATTCTGGTAGTTCCATTTTTAAATGTTTCAAAGTTTTGTATTTTAAAATATAGTAAAATGTAATTTATCATTCATAAATCAAACATACATAAAGTACTTTATAAGAATCATATTTACATAACACATTTAGTCTCATAAAAAAAGTTTCCGCAGAGTAGTTCAAAGCATTAGTTCATGTCATCCTTGTCAAAAACAAGGCATTTTATTCTAAAAATCACGAAAAGCACCAAAAATAGACAAAGATTTCAATGTATATGCAGAAATACAAAAATATTTTGAGAAACATAAATTGAAAACTGCACAACCTCTTTAAAAACAATAGAAAAACGTTTTTAATGGTATGCCAAGTACGCTTCTCCAGTAATGAGCTAAGCGGTTCAGATAAAGGAGCATTATTATCCTTTGAGTGAGCATAAGGGGGATGAGCAGGTGCACTGAGCTGTGCAACCTTCTTGTGCCCTCTCTTTTACTCCCTGAGATGTGGACATGGCTAGCTCTCAGGCCTCCTCTTCCCCAACAGAGCCTCCCCACTGGCCTGAGTCTTTCATGATAAGAGCACATAGCAGAGCAGGGTGAGGTAAGGACGCCTCAATCTTTTGATTTAAGAGAGAAAAAGTTCTACAATCAAAGGAAAAAAAAATACCAGGCCTTTGATGATCCGGCAAACGTTTACTGTTCATACCCACACTGACGTGGAAACAGATCATTATGGAGAAAAAGAATTATGTGAAAAGAAAATGAGGGAGGTGTCTGACTGGTAATTTATGAACAAAAGATACCATATTTACAGTATGTATTAGATAGATGCCAAGCACATATAAAGTGACATGAAGTCCTATTGTACCAAAAGGCTTCTTTGTCACCTCAGTTCAATTCTGAGATCTCGGTGACCTCTAAAACTGGAGGGAGAGAAAACAGTGGCTATGCCAGTAGTATGTTAAGCCAAGTCTTAGCTTCAGATGAAAACCTAATGGACATAAAATTGACAAAAGCCATGTTGAAACTGTCCGTTACAATCTGATTGGCTGGCAATTCAGTTTTAAGCAATTTGTTAGTATGCAGCTGTTTATCAGTATGCCGGGAAACACATTGTTGTCTACAATCAGTACAAGTCTGATATAAACGATAATAAAAAATATATAAACGTCTGATATCAGCGATCTGATATAAGTCTTTCTTTGCTTTTTAAGAGATACTAGGATACTAAGAGATACTTTTCTTTTAGGCATTAACAACTAACTTAGGCATTTAAATATTACTGAGATCACTTCTTCAATTAACGTTTAAACATCATTATATTATTAATTACAATCATTCCAAACCTATGAGTTTACGGATTATCAAAAATTAAGATGTTTTATATCAAATTTAGATATATTTTAATCTAAAAAAAAAACACCCAAGTCTAGAAAATAAAATGTCATAACATTTCATGTGACTTTATGATTTATGATTCAACACACACACACACGCACGCACGCATGCACGCACGCACGCACGCACGCACACACACACACACACACACACACACACACACACACACACACACAAAACAGTATTTGCTGGATTAATAGTAAACAGATACCTGAATTGATATGGAAGACACTGGCAAACAAAGTCACATGGAATATTTTGACATTTATGGTTCCTTTTCAAGACTTTAACTGTCTTGGGTCAATGCTGTCTATGGAGGGTCAGAGAGTTTTTGAATTTTATCTAAAAGATCGTATTTTGAGATGTGAAGATGAACAAAGGTTTCAGGGGATTTGCATGACATTATGATGAAAAATTAATAAAGAGAGTTTCATTTTTGGGTAAATTAACCCTTTAACTACAAATTCAGTAGGCCATATTTATTCAAGATCATCAAAAACGCAGGGTTGAAATGTTCCATATTAGTGATTTTGAGGGTAAAAAGATAGATGATCTACTGTGAATAGTTTACATACGTGCAAGAAGTTGTTTTCAAACCAAATCAATTCCTTCAGTTTTTTATGTGTATGTGTGTTTACTTTACTGACATATTCTTATGTTTAACTGACAGTTGAAGAAAATTAGAATTTGCTCTGACAGTCAGCTCTCAGTGCACTTCCTTTGTGTATGTAAGCTCTGAAAACATTATATGAGGAGTGGAAACTGAAAAGACAACAAATAAAAGGTTCTGTTTTTTTGTGTTAAATGTGCTTTTAAGAGTCTCCATTGGAGAAACACCCTATTCAGAAAATGTGGGTGCGGAACAGCAGCTCATTTGCATTTAAGGAGGCAAACACAAAAAGTGTATGCTTTTGCTTTCATCTAATGGGGAAAATTACAGCATGGAATAACAGATGTCCCGAGAAGTAACAACCTGAGATAAAAAATGAGATGAAATGTGAAGGGAGCTTAAGATGACACCAGCAAAAGTGTATTTACCTGACAGGGCTGAGAAGAAGGCAGCATCCTCCTCCTCCTCATCATGTGATGAAGAGCCGCCGACATCCCCAGTGTGGTCCCACTCCAGAGGAATGGAGTCTACACTGACGGGGGTTTCACGTCCTGAACGCTCCTGAGGTGGAGATAACAAGCACATGGAGGGCTGACTAGAGGAAGGAGGACTCTGTGTCTCTCTCGACCGCTCGCCATCATACACGTCTGGATGCTCCTGCAACTGTTACAGAAGAAAAACATTGTTACTCATACTCATATTATCTGAATCATATGCAAAATTATTTGGTCATCTTTGTCACTGCAAAGAGAATTTGCGTAAGATTATTAATTTGATAAAAAAACACATTTTAATATTCTAAAAACTAGAATATTGCAAAATATTGCAATATATAGAAATCATTTTTCTGTATGAACAAATTTTGAAATACATGATCCTTTAGAAACATGCTGAATTGCTGTTGAAGAAACATTTATGCCTCTTACCAACTTTGTGTTTTAGTTTTCTTAATTAAAAGATTTGTGATTAACAGGAATAAGTTCAAAAGATTGGCTAAATTTTCTAGAACCTAATTCTTGTCTTTACAATCACTTTAATTAAAGGCATTCCTGCTAAATACAAGCCGTCATCTATTCTCTTTCTTTTTTTTTCTATTTAAAAAAAACAAAACCTTTTTTGAAATAGACTCATTTTAGAAGCCCCTTAGAGCGGGGATGTCCAAACTCGGTCCTGGAGGGCTGATGTTCTGCTGAGTTTAGCTCCAACTTACTTCAACACACCTGCCAGGAAGTTTCTGGTATATCTAGTGAATGCTGGATTAGCAGTTGGCGCTAAACTCTCCAGGACACTGGCCCTCTAGGACTAAATTTGGACACCTTTACCTTAGAGCAAAACAATTGAGTTTTACAATTTTTAAATGTATTCAGTCAATCTCCGTGTCTGGTGGGAGCACTTTTTGCTTAGCTTAAATAAATTAAATGCTTAAGTCAGCTGCTTAACTCGAAAGGACTTAAAAAAACGAGCCTATTTCCAAAAAGGAGTGTTCATTTGAGGCATTCCTGCTAAAATGAGCATTGGTTTAAGTATTTATTATTTATTTTATTGTGATCTGAAACTTGGGATCAAAAACACTGTTTAGGATAAATCTAATTGGCCCCAAGTAGGCTCAAAATGTTGAAATAAATTTGTGTGTATTTTATGACACTGTATTTTATATGTATTTATGTGTGTTTACTGTACTTTATATGAAAGAATAAAAAAGAAACCAGTAAGTGTGAATACCGGGCGTAGGCTGGTGAGGCGCTGGTGAAATCGGGCCACTCTGCCGAACACCTCTTGGCAGTATGTGTGTAGCTCCTCCAACTCATCTTCTATCACTACAGCATCTAAAGGAGCACTTCTTTGAATCAAACCCTCACCAAACACAATCAGAGCATCGATCTTGTTGGTGTTCAGAGTGATTTCCTTCTTGAAACTCTGAAAGTGAAGAGACAGAAAGTTAAGATCATTTCTCTGTATCTATGGACTGATAGAATGACTGGAGGAAACAGATTGCTTGCTAACCTTCAGCTGTTTCATCCTGTCTTGATGATGGCTTTCTGAGAAGTGCTCCATGTCAGTGAGCTGAAGTTCAATCTCAGTCAGCCAGACGAGGAGGCTCTCACGGGTTCCCTCAAACTCTTCCCTCTGGCCTGTGAAATGCTAAATCAGACAAAGAAAAATATGAGAAAGTCAGAAAAAAACTGTTGATTTTGTCAGTATAGTTGATAACCATAGATCAGAAGCCTAGACCAGACATTCCATTTGGGTGTCTGTATTACTTCTGCTTTGACTATGAAATATATGTTTCAAATAACTTTTGTGAAATTATTATATATTTTTAAATATGAGCTAAAACGATGTTTCATCGTTAATCAGTACAACAGCCTAACAGCATAAATATATATATATATATATATATATATATATATATATATATATATATATATATATATATATAAAACACACTACTTTAGTCTGACCTAATATACTTAATTCAGATTCAATATACTGAGTTCTTAATTTAGATTAAATATATTGAGTTATAATTCAGATTTTAAACATAAAATACAAGTGATCAAACAAAATTGCCAAAATCTAACAAGTGTCTAAAACCTAATGGTTTGAAGTATTTAGGCATAAAGCATAAAAATTTAAAATCACACTTCACTAATAGTGTTGGACTGCAGGGTGACACGGTGGCTCAGTGGTAAGCACTGTCGCCTTACAGCTCAAAGGTCGCTGGTTCGAGTCCCAGCTGGGTCAGTTGGCATTTCTGTGTGGAGTTTACATGTTCTCCTTATGTTCGCTGGGTTCCCTCCAGTTTCCCCCACAGTCCAAAGACATGCGCTATAGGTGAATTGAATAAACTAATCAGGCTGTAGTGTATGTGTGTGAATATGAGAGTTATTTAAAGATGATTTTGTAATATATTATTTTGTAATATAGAACACATGGAATGGAAATATAGATTTATTCTCAAATGATGCAAATTCACAGCTTTGTATAGAAACAAGTGTGTGCTGTCCTCACTCTTAGTCTCCGCAATATTGCAGCCACTCTCCTCTGAAGTGCATCCCAGCGCTGGTTACCCTGATGCACCATGGCTCTGAGTCTGCTGGCGGCATCAGTGCGATTCTCCCACGCCAGTCGCCTGTACTGGTTATTAATGATCTCCAACTGAGTCAGGCTCTCATGTACCCGCATCTGGAAAACCTAACAACAAATCAGCGTCTTTTTAAAAAGCTTTTCTTGTCAGTGATGTAAAAAAAAAAAAAACTTTTTAACATCTTAATGCTATACAAAATACAAGTTCTACAAGTTAAAATAAGGTTCATATAAATAAATAAATAATTAATTATAAAATAAATAAATAAATAAATAAAACATGAAATCGTACTCTCATGTACCCCATCTTTTGAAACCTACAATAAATCCAACACAACTAGCTATGAATACAAAAGCTAATTCGAGAACTGCTATTAAAGTTGACATTGAAGACTACAAAAACTGTTAGAGCCTGATCAAAAACTGACTATGCTTTTTTTTAACATTGGAAAGATTTCACAGCTTGAGCTTACTTGACTAAAATATTTGTTAAATTAATAATTACAGATTTGTAATGCATGATTGCTATTGGAGTCTGGTATTCCTTTAAGTAGCAATTTATGTTGTTAAAACAGCAGGATTAAATACATGCTAAAAGACCGAAGTGGTCCAGTTGTACAACCATTCAAAGGTTCTCAGCGGAGTGTTGTAATCAAACCTCATATTTGTGAAGTTCCTCTTTGGCATCAGTGTATGAGACATCTGATGAATTGGGTTCAGCAGCAGTGCGTTCCGCAGCGTTCAGCCAGTCCTCAAAACAAGAGTAATCCTCCTGAAACTTACACCACAGTCTCCACGTCTCCTCAATCCTATGCAAACACAAAAACAACAATAATTGAAACATTATGCAGCCAGTTAGATTGGCATTTAAACAGTCTGTTTTAGTATGTCATGTAGTCTAGTCCTTCGAACCCCACACCTCCCCCAGCTCTACATGTCTTGATCTGCAGAAACAGCATATTTGCTATGATAAATCAGACGCAGCGCTGGGAAATATGGCTAAAATGCATCTTTTTTTTTTCATTTTGTTTGATAGCGATATACATTTCAATATAAGTTGTTAATGCTTCCAGATTTAAAAGAGTACCCTAACAATGACTGAAGCCACAAAAATTTGAAGGTCCATTAAATTGCAAAACATTTTTGGCTGCTAAATTTTCCGTGGCTAAAAATTCTGACATTTTCTCTAATATCAGCGTACTTTTAGATTCCTATCGTTGCAAATTTCTTAGATCAAAAATGAGGAAAAAAAGGAGTCCAGAGCTTATAATTTTTTTTAAACTTTAAAATTTTATTGTGATTCGATATAATATCGTTTATCAGCACAGCCCTAATTAGAAGCATAGTTTGACATGTGAATCACTAATTATTCATGCATTTTTTTTTCACTTGTAGAATTTATTTGCAAAGTTTAAAGATCACAGAATTAAAGAAAGCTCAAGTTGCAGTGAAACTATATAGAGAATACATTCATGTGTTCATGTGATCGGAGCAAGTTAATCCATCTAGAGAAGAAGAAGAACTTAAAAAGCCCCCTGTGTCATTCAAGTCAGATGTATTTAAGTGTATCAGGGAATTTGTTTATTTCCTCATAAAACATAATGTTGATAGAAGAACAGTGGTGAATAAAAAAAAATTTTGGCATGAGAAATTGGTAATATGTCGATCTGATCCAATGACAGATGCGTAAAAAAAAGTAAGCCTACCATATATAGCTAGCTTATATGATAGAGATAATAATGTATGGGCAGTGTCTGATTCTAAATGAAGCATTAATATTCACCAAACAATCTTAGTGCGTTACTAGTGACACACAACTGAACCATGCAAAGACAGACTCCTCTCACTGATGACACATGACCCTAAATCAGTTTGCTATATTGTGCATACCTGTCAACCCTCCCGTTTTTCCCAGGATTCTCCTGTATTTTGCAATTCTATCCTGCTATCATCCTGTATTTGTCTCGTATTTCTCCCGTATTTTTAATCTGTCTATGAAGGGTGGCAGTAAACATTAAATAGCCGATCCTCCCTATATGTAACCCATACCACCAAAGCACCAGGGGACGCCCCTGGCTCTTAAATGTGAATCTGTTCTGTGCTTTCATTTTATTTAGAAGTGAAAACACTTTAAAATAAATATAAAAATGGCAGAGTTCCCTTCCTTTCCATTACAGGTTTTGTTGCCCCTCCTACGCAATCCTCAAAACAGTCAGTTCATGTAATGGTGTATGATTATTAGACGTGCTCCATACTGATAAATAGATGCTGCTTCCCAAGCAGATTCTGTACAAGCGATTTGAAGCAGAGCAAAAGTGGACATTCTGGGTTTTGGGTGCGTTTGAACAGATATATACAAAGAATAATGATAATAATAATATCTAAACATGTCGATCTTAGTGGGTTTTCCTTTTCACACAACAAATTTTGACTTAAATGAGCATAAACAGCTAGGAAAGCAATTGAACGTTTTCATCATAGATCTGTGCATTTTTAAAGTGACTCATCTGTTAATGTAATCAAATGAAAGATCTAAATGAGAGAATCATTCGCTGCTCTTTAATTAGAACGTTTAAGTTACAGTGAAGAAAAGGTTAATGAGATATAATAACTTGATTCAATTTCTTTCTATCCTTTGTTAATAATAATAATAATAATAATAATAATAATAATAATAATAATACAAACCGTTTCATCTGTTTATTTACAAAAAAAAAATCAAAAATGTTATCTAAAATGTTAATCAAATAAAAGAAAAGAATGAATCACTCACTAATTGGATTTTTCATAAACATTTTACACACTTTATTTGTTAGTCTGCGTCAAGAATTATTGTGGTTATTAATAGACTAATTACCATTAATTGTATATTTTAATATTGTTTATTCAGCAGGTAAATTACTGAATTCATTTTTGTTAAAATTATGTACATTCCAATGGTTCTTTTTGTTAAAACCAGACTTTCTGTCAGTACTTTGTGAAACAAATGATATTTGTTGTAAATGTAATCAAAATAAAAGTATGCACAAGTAAAATTTCTTTATGCTTTTTAAAACAAATATGTGATGACATAAAAATCCATTAAAAATAAACACTTTTATATGCTTTTTATCCTTTTGACCTTTTAAAGATAGCCCCCTTGCTATACAGGGAGCAATAAATCCGAAAGTAGTTTCTTAATTTGGATCCAGTGTGAACTCAGATTTCATTTCCTTGAAGGGATTCAACAAAATGACTAAAATGAATAAACATCCAAGAGGATGTTAAGCTTGTGTTTTGAGTGATGTGGATAAATGCTCATACCTCAGTCTCCTCTCCAGAGACATGGAGCAGATATTTCTCCAGCGCTGGTCCAGGCGCTGTGTGGTCTGCTGGATGGAGTCATTCTCTCCATCACTGCTGCAGGCATCTTCATCATGGAGAAGCACATCACACAGCGTGAGCACAGACGCCACCCTCTCCGTGTGCTGCTCAATGTCACGCTGCAGATCCTAAACATGAATGAAAATGCATTAGAAACATAACTGACAGTTTTTTGAACTGCACCAAGATTGTGAAGTTCATTTGTTCAGTTTATTTTATTCATGTCCAATTGATGACACAAAAAGCATTGTTTTAATTTTACGGTGAACTTTTGACAGCTAAAGGCATTTTGAATAAAACTACAAACAGAACTTTTGGATTTTGCACAAATAATAAAACAAATCAGACTTAATGTCCCAAAAAAGTGCATTATGGGTGTTGGAGTGTTTTGTTAAAGCGAACATCCCAGTCATTTTTTTTCACTTCTACTCTACTTTTGAAGCAAAGATTTAAAAAATGTTTTGTGCACCATATTCTACACATCTTCAAAAAGAAAAAATGATTGATTACAAACAACAACTATTTAAAAACTATTCAGTCAGCGAGACTGTCATTCACATTCCTTTGTTCTCGGTTGTACTGTAGTTACGAAGCAAAAGTTCAAATTTTTTATTAAATTAAATTAAATATTGAAAAAAATGGGACATTCTATTAGGATCGTACATTTTCACTCATAAAAAATGTGACAGGGTCTGACTTAAGCTTGTTCTAAAAAAAAAGCATACAAAACCAAGCAAAAAATCATTATATTCAATTTATTCATAATTGCATATTCAATATTCATAACATTTCTATTTATTTGTAGAATTTATTTATAATTTACTGTTTTTATTAAATTGAAGTGAATGATAACAACTTAAACTTGTTATTTCAGAAGTATTTTTTCTTCTAAATAACAGTTTTTAGCATAACAAATAATTAAAGCTGTAGGTTCAGTTGGGCTGAAATCAAGCATCAGTCTATTTTAAAATTTTTTAGGATAAAATACTACTTTATTTACTGTATTTATGTTTTTATTTCAGGCACAGATAATATACATTTCTGGCAGATTGTCCCAAAAATAAAAAAATTAAAAAATAAATAAACAAACAAAATAATTAAATAAATATTAAAATACAAATAAATAAATAAAATAAAATAAATAAAAATTTATTTAAAATCAGAGTTACCATCTTGCATGGTTATTTTGTACAAAAAGTATGCCAAAATCTAATCAAAACATGTCTTTATTTTAGTTAAGTTTGTTGATTTTTCTATAGCTTTTAAAAAGATGTCATTTTTTTTTTCTTAATCTACAAAGAACAAAATCCCCTCTTGCATTTAATATTTGTCCATACTAGAATAGATTACATCACTGCAATTTACCAACCTGTTGCTCTGCCAGTCTCTTCTGAATCTCTTCTCTATGGCAGATACTGTAGTGAACTGGTTTGGATAGCTCAGCCTCAATGCGCGTGAGCCAAGAGCGAAGGTTATTCATGTTCTTATCCAACTGTTGTACTGTCACCAAAGTCTCGGTCAGCTTCTTCCCCCTGAAACAGACAGAGATACAGCATATTCGCTTTGAAAAATTGAACACCATAAATTATACCCGAATGCGTCCAAAAGACCTAAAAAAATATTTCCACTAGATAAAAAATGATTGTCTATGAATGCCAAGCAGTTTTCTCCATACTAAAACGCACTAACCCTTTTAATAAATCAGTCAAGCAATTGTTTTATTTGGGATCTGGGACTGTGCAGTTTGGCAGGAACCCAATAAAATTCTGTCAAAGTTACAAAACATCATCAAAAAATAAAAATAAAAAGGTCTGATAACTCCAGGTCAGATGACACTGAAACAGACAAAGGGTGTTTGTGTGAGATTAGATTGAACCATTTAAGTGTGACAGTGGGCAGCTTCTGGTTACGCTGTTTGGCCATACCTGCAGATGGTCGGCTGTGATTATAGCGTGCCTGAGTACAGCCTGTCCCTCTGACCCCATTGTGCCCCTCTTCATAGAGCTAATGTGAGATGACAGACCACCATCCCCTCCGCCCAGTTTGGGATATACAGAAGGACTGGACAGACTACAGGAGCCTGAACAGGCCATATGGCAAAGCTGAAGCCGTCCACACCAGTGAGGACTTCGTTAATTCCAGTATTAGCACCATCTGGCTCCTTCAGAGCACGTCACACCGCAGGACTCAACGACTACATGAGAGTCCAGTGACGTCACAGACAAGAGCGGAAACCACTTGAACTGTTTTTATTTGCTTGCTTAGGAACACCGAGTGATTCATGCAGTCGGTATGTACAAATTTCTGATGAATGACTGGAAGAGCATACTGCAGCTGAGGAAAACATTCACAGCACTGAAGATCAGATTAAATGCTGGAGATATTGACTACATGCAGAACCTAGATTCAGCTTTGATTGATTAATCAAAAATATAAATAAACAAACAAGAAAAATCATATATATATATATGATTTTTCTTGTTTATTTACATTTATTATTTATATATATATCACACACACACACACACACACACACAGGTGTTTTTTTTTTTTTTTTTTTTTTACATGCATTTTTTATTTCTCTTTGCTATTAGGCTTATTGGAACCTATTAGGAAAAAGTATTATCTTTTGATACAATGTACTTTTAGAGAAAAATAATGTCCATATGTTTACTCGTGGTTCAAAATAACATAAAAAATATTTTTCTGGCTGTTTTTAATGCAGATACAACATATACATTTTTGAACATGTTCTGACTATCAGAGAGTAAAAACAAATTTTTTGCCCATATTGGACAGTTAAAAATAGTGTTTGGGACATTTCATATGCTGCAAAACAGTTGCAGGATGACACTGTGTCTGTAAAAATAGACACTTATGAGCTGAAATTTGCTGTCCACGTAGAGTATGTGGACACCCAAGCCCTATGAGGTTAAATGCATAGAATTGAAGTTTTGGTGCTTTTACTTGTAAAATGTTTGTTTATCAAACTGTAATGTTTAGATTTTATTGCAGCATTAAAGGAATTCCTGCACTGCAGCATAAAAATGTTTCTTAATTTTATTTTAATAACACAGAATAATGTTTGTAGTAATAACAATAATGATAAGAAGGATAAAAATAATGGAACTTAAACCTTTTTGTGAATGGTTACTACAACTACTTCAGTGTTGCTTTGATCCACAAATATTTGATATTTAAATTTGATAAAGTTTTAATACTTGAAACCAAGCTGACACAAAATATGATTAGAAAAAGTTGATTCAACAATAGGCAAACATAGGTAAACAATGGGTAAAAATCAATTCAGATGCAAAACACATTCCTGTTTTTGTAAAGAAAAAAAACTATTTGCAATAATGATAAGAAGAATAAAAAGAAGAATAAGGGGGAGAAGGAGGAGGAGAAGAGTGAGAGGAAGAAGAGAAAGAAGAAGTACCATTCAATGGGCTTTGTTATCGCCAATAGTTCTAAATAATAATAATAATAATAATAATAATAATAATAATAATAATAATAATAATAATAATAATAATAATAATGATAAATCCATAAATGACTCAATGAACCAATTTCAATAAATTACTTGAATGAAAGCTAAAAAAGAAAAATGGAAGCAAAAAAAAAAAAAAAACTTTGAGTAATGCAATGATGTTCAATTACTCATTAATAAATGGGGACAGAGCAATACCAGAGTGATGATATCAAGACGTGAAAATAGATAACACTTTAGTTTGCGGACCAGTTGGATTTTTTGCTCATTTGCAGAATATTACTAGGATTTTGGCTGTCTATTGTCTATTATGTCTAAAAACCTGAAATGGCACTGATGAAGTTTTAAAAGAGCATCTCATCTGCTCAGTGGCTTGCCCCACCTCCGAGTTCTTCTGATTGGTCCACTGCTTTGAAACTGACATTGATAAGCATCGATGTGCGTAAAAACTAAAGTTCTTCTAAGTTGATACTGCATCGTAAAAATGTGGCACTGATATGTGAAGTGCTGCAAAAGACACGAGATGTGTGCACAGTGGTCAAGGGTGTCTATCAAGTGTGTGTTTACATAGAAAAAAAAGTGGAAAAGGGCATTAAAATGAAATACAGGTTCTGTGATAATGGCCCCTAATTATTCTGCAGTACTATATTTCAGAAGCCTTAAACCTATAACCCCATAACCTAAAAGACCCCACTAATGAATAAGATGCAAGTTAGATATTTATTTGAGCCAAAAGTTATAGTTAAAGGAATAGTTCACTTAGAAAACTTAATTATGTTATGATTTAAAGAGTTCAGGTGCAATATCCTTTAAGTGCCATGTAGAATTTTCTTTTACAATGAGCATTCTTCAGTGCCTCTTATGTTTATGTTTAGTTATTTCATGTTAATAATTTATGAAAATAACCTTTTCTTTGCCATAAAAGTGAAATTACTGAATGAAGAGTCTGAGAAAAATGCAATTTTTAGAAGATTAGAGGTTTTTGTGTCTTCATTTACTTCTCTGTTTCACTTTGAGTTTATTTCTGTTAAACACAAAGCAAAGACATTCTAAAGAATGTTGGAAATCTTCAGCCACTGACATCCATAGTAAACAAAACCTGCTGAAGTCAATGTTTATAGGTTTCTGACATTTTTTATTAGGTCTTCTTTTGTGTTAAGGTTAAGTAAATGACGACAGAATGTTATTTCATGGGAAAACTATGCCTTTAAAAGCTCATCAATTATCAATGAATTGATCCTCAATCTAAAGTGTGGCCAGAAAAGAAATTAAAACCTAAAATTAGCAGTTATTCCAGCACAGCCTAAACAGAGTTTCTTACTCACCGGCCCTCGATGTGATCAAACAGTTGCTGCCATCGGTCATTGACATCTCGCAGGGCTCCATGGATCTCAGTCTCCTTTGCTTTGTCGCTGGCCAACAGGAGCTGCTCGCCGAGTTGTTTGAGGTGGCTTTTGTTCTCGCTGAAGAGGTTAATCTCCTCCATGCAGTCCTGAAAAGAGAGAAAGAGAGAGAGAGAGGTGCACAATGAGCACAGGCCTCTTACTGTATGTGCTTTACGATTAACACTTCCATCCCAAACAAAACTAACTAACTGCTTCTTGTCTCTGGATGGGCCTGACAGCTGTTAAATCTATGTTCTTTTTCTCAGCATGGGCCATTTTGAAAAGAGAAGAACAAGCCCTCACGAAAACCCTTTTCACTTGCTCTATATTGCATTCTCTGCTGCTTCTCAGAGTTCACTTGTTTTGTAGTATGGCCTGGTTCAGTATTTTGTTTAGTATGCCCCCTTTTTACACCTGGTTTTGTTTGACATATACAATTCACACCTGGCGGTCTCTTTTTTTTTCCTCTTCCAGATGGAAAAGGTCTAAGAGTCCAAGTGCAGGTGTGTGTATGGTGTTTGACAGACATTTGAATGTAAAATAGAGAAATAAGTTTGTGTTGTTTGCTTATAAACATGAAAAGGAGATGCAGCTATTTGATTTCTGTTACAGGGTTTGTATTACATGACTGGAGGACTAATAAAAGAACATGATTTTTTTTATACGCTTTTGTCTTCTAACTAAACTTTTAAATGGAAAAGCTTAAATCTTGTAAGGCTTTGATTTTTAAAGCTATGTTTTCAACATTTGGAAGTGGTCACAAGAGAACAAGGCCATAATGTTCCATTAACACCTTGATTTAGTGATTCCAGATAAAATCAGATTGACACATGCTACGTTTTCATCTACTAATTTTTATGCTGATTTTGGATATGCGCTTAAAAAAATGGTTGATGGAAACGCCAGGATACGCATAAATTTAAAAAAATGCGCAAACAAAACATACGGATGACTGAGTAGGATAAACTATTTATTCGATAAAAATGCACATAAACTACAATGGAAACAATTTCACTAAACAAATTCCAGTTTGTGCATTAAAAAAAGTCATGTGATTTGTTATAAGAGATGAAAAAAATCTGTGTGAATAGACAAACCAGCAGGCTGAGCATATTGTAAAACATCTGAAATGCTGTTTTGGTCATTCTAAGATGCCTTAACTGTTTCAGTATTAGTGTTATTATATTATTAATGACCTCCAGAACTGTCAAGAGCGTCTGTGCTCTTCTTCTCACGCCTTCAAATGCCACCACACGTTTATTGCATGCTGGCATCTTCTTCTAAGGTACAAGTCAATTATTAAATAAAGAAAACATTCATGCAGCTTCTCCTACCTCAATATATTCATTTTTTACTGTTGATATTTGGAGCAAGTCAATTAGAAAGTGACGGTTCTCTTTGACTCGTTGGGTGGAAAAGTTGCTTTATTCGCACGTCTTTTATGCGCATAGTTTTGCGCAAAAAGTTAATTCAGATTTTGGTTGAAAACATAGCTACAAACTTCTAAATACCGGGTGTAAACGAGGCATATGAGGGGAAAAAATAAATAAAAAATTGCATACCATAAATAAAAATTACAATTAATATTAAATGGATCAAATCAGTGTTCTTTAAAAATTATCAACAGATGAATTAAAACAATAAACTAGCTAGTATACCATCATTTTTTTTTTTGCGAGTTTTTAAATAATTTAAAACATGGTCAAATAGATGACAAAATGTAAAACAAGTCTGCCAATAGCATTTCATCATCAGTATTGACCTAATAAAACTATCAGAATATATTTAGCAACCCTAAAATTTAAATAAATAACAATTAAGGTGACACTTTATTTTAAGGTGCCCTTGTTAAGTTGTAACTACATATTTAAATACTGAGCACTATTATTTACGTACACATACATATTATATGGTTAAATAGGATAAGGGCTTAATTAGTTAAGTAGTTATGTGGTATTTGTTGTTATTGATATAGAATGAACATGGAACGTGTAACAAGGACACCATGAAATAAATAATTACCAGAATTAATTTGCAAATATGACACAAATGGTTAAGCCACACAAAAACAACAACATTTTTTAAATAATTACAAAAGAAAAACATAAAATATGTAGTACTACACAATAACATCACAAATACAACAATATTATCCAAATAATAATAAAACAACACTTGATTGCCAGTAACGGTTCTAGTAAAAGACAACAACCAACTATCTGATATGTGATCATTAGTGGCGCTGCCCAAAACACTCCAAAACCTCAACGGTAAACTATGTGCTAATGACTGCAGAGTGCTCAACAGTTGCACTGTTTGATGGTGAGAGAGAAACGGCACATATGAGGCCATTGTTGAGCATGAACAAAGAGGTAAACAAATGAACCCACAGTTATGTGCTGCAGCGCTCTGCCCTCGATTTACAGTACATGCAGTAAGCTAGATTAGAACTTCATGTACATTTGTAGCATATTTCAGTACAAATAAACAAATGCGACAGTATGTGAGTGGATAAAACAGGGCCTCAGTGAAATGCAAAATCTGTGGGGCCCCCCTTGGGAACACTTAAGCGTGCTGTTCATTTGAGATCGTTTTAATCCTTCATAGACACTTATAATAGCATATAACATATAATACCATATTACTGACCTACTTAATCTCCTTACAAATGTACAACAAGAACTCACCATGACAACCGCACATACAGTAGAAACCGATCCATGTGCCTTTTTCTGAAGTTATGTAACCACGAAAACAAGCAGTTGTGCTATTGTATATAAGAATTTGTTGCAAGGATATAACAATCACATCCAAGGTTAAATTTTTTTGCCATCGATTTTCATATTTTTATTCGAGTTGATCTAAACAAAACAGTTTTCTCTTTTTTGCATGGCAACGCAAAAGAAAAAACTATAAGGAAATGTTCTGTTAGGTCATTTCAGTTACAATTGTTGTGCCCTGAGACTTTTAGCTTCAATGACAAAAATTTTGAATTCATAGAAAAAAAACTACACTACCACTGCAGGCCCACGGGGGTACAGACATCGGTCCAGAATTGGTCCCCTATATGAGCTCAATTATTCAATGTTTAACTGCTATCATGAATTCTGAAACTAACCCATCAAAAAAGGCTTTAAGACCAAAAGGAAGGCTCTGTTGGATTATTGGGAATCTGAATGTACTGGCCAGCTTGTTATTTGCATAAAGACTTCAGTTTTCTAAAATGTACAGTTTAAAAATGCACATTTGTAAAAAAGTAAAAAAAAAAAAAATAGAAAATCATATCTCTGCTCCTTTAACAGTAAAGACAGGTGTTCCTCAAGGCTCAATTTTGGGGCAAATTATATTCTTCGTTAATATAAATGAACTTGGTAAAGCTGTTGAATCAGCAAATGTACAGCTTTTATGCAGATGACACAATTATTTACACTATGGTATCATTTATAAAAGTGTCAATAGACTCTTTACAAAATGCTTTTAATTCATTTCAAATGTCTCTCGATTGTAAAAAAATTAGTATTGAATGCAAAAAAAAAAAAAAAAACTAAATACATGATCTTTACCCAATTCAGATTATTAATACACAATTTTAATATTAAAACATATAATGGCACACAGATTGAACAAGTTGCATCTTATAAATATTTAGGTGTCTGGCTTAATGATAAGTTGACTTGTAGTTGTTATATCGATAGCCTTAAAAAAAAAAAAAAAAAGATAAAAACAAACCAATATTAGTTTTTTATTTTTGTTAAAAAAATGGTAGTACATTTCTATCAGTACTGGATTACGGTGATATACTTTATATGCATGCACCTCTGAATGTTTTAAAAAATTGCCATTTCACTTTACTTCAGGACGCATTAATACCGATCTGTAGGTCTTTTGAAGATATTAATAAATATTCCTAGCAAATCTTATGAATGTTGAAGACATACTCACTACATAAACGCACTAAATCGCACTTCAGCTGTGTTTATTTGAGAGCGCACAAGAAGATCTGCGCTTAAGCAGCGTGTTTGAGGGCGTGCAAGAAGTTTTGTGCAAGAGCAGAAGAAATCGGCGCGCAAGCAGATATTGGCATGCTTGTATTACATAAATGCGATCCCGTCTTGTACTGCGCTCACCACATTTCTCTATTTGTCATTAAAATACGCCATAGGTAGTTGGTAGATTTGTGGAAAAGACCTGCTGCCACAGCTGGAAAAAACCCTAGAGGTTGACACTGTACTGTCAATTTAAAACAGTGCATATGTTTTAACAATTGATAATGGTTCATACTATTTTTTGTGTGTCTATGTGTTGTGACATGTATTTATTTATTTATTTTTTTGTAACTTTGTCCTTTGCTGCCTGTCTGGACCAGGACTCCCTGGTAGAAGAGTAATTGTACCTCAATGGGACGTTCCTGGTTAAACAAATAAATAAATAAATAAATAAATAAATAAATAAATAAGATAGTATGGTAAAAGATTTTGCAAAGTGATAGAAAATATTTTTGGTACATCTAAAAGTGTGGTTATGATCCCAATCCATCAAGTGAATGCAGCAAAAATGTGCTTAAAATGTCTCAAAATGCAGTATTTAAACCTCATAGTTAAATAGATAATGAGGCAAATAACTGCAAAAAGATCCAGTTTTTCAGAAAAAAAACCAACCCTTTCAATAAGCTAGCTACAGGAATGTACTGAGATGTTTAAGGTCAGTAAAAAAAATGGAGGAAAATGCATCTATAACTATAAACTAAAATAAAATATAATTAAATGTTTTGATTTTAATTTTCTATATTTTTATTATTACTCTATTACTCTTTTTGAAATTTAATTTAAATGAATAATAATAATAAAATAATAATAATAATAAAAACAATCACCAAATCATTTTATTAGTGATTTCTGGAGTACACAAACACACATCTTGAAAAAAACACTGGAAAAAAGACAAAATCAAACTCCACCTTTTTAAGTTTCTCCACCATTTCCTCAATGCTAAGGTTTTCGCCTCTGTGTGCCACCTTCTTTTCCATCTGCGTCAGCCAATCACAAAGCTCCTTGTTTTTATCATTGAAGATGATCCAGGCGTTCAGTCGGTCAGCGATTTCCTGTTTACGAAGTGACACCTACACACATGCAAAGGAAAAATGATTCAGGATGACAAAAAGACATCTAAAAAGCAAATCAAAGCAAAAACATTACAGTCAATACCCATTTGTTCTTTTAATATTCGTCCCAGATTCTAATAGTAATATTTTACGCGTGAATAAAATGAACAAACAACCAAATAAATAAATAAAATCAATACATATTTTTGTTTCATAAAATGTGTAGACCTTAAAGTTCACAGCTACTGGAGTCAAAACTTAGCGAGTTAGCACTTAGCGAATCCCAAAACACTTTAGTATCAGTTGAAGAATCTTCTTTAATGTTTAACAAGATTTTTTTGTTTTATTTTTCATTTCTGCAGTGTTTCCCCTACCATAATATAAGGCATGTGCTCCGCCCTCCCAACGGCTGTAACCGCCCCCTTTGAAGTCACATTAATTGTATTATCTATATAGCACCAGATCACAACTTTTTTTAATAAACAAGCTAAACAGCTGTATGTAATATCTTATTTCAGCATGTCATTTCTGTTCTGCGCTCGTGTCACAGCAGCTAAAATATATACAGATGCAGACATCTCAAGTCTCTCGAAAGTTCCGCAAGTCTCCCGCAAATGCATAGAGACTCCCGGATGCCCGCAAATGAATGATAATCTTCCGGAAATTGCGCGTCTTCTGGCCGGTCCTCAAATAATTTAATAATATAACTTCTTGTAACACACTCATTGCTATAAGTAGTTTATGGGCCTATTTCCTTTTAGTTAGAAAGTATTAAATTTATAGATGAGCATTTTAACTCATTTTCATCTGTCATCATTTGCAATGTTTCCAAATTGCATTGTTTTTCATTTTTCTGTGGCGGTTCTGCTTTGGTGACCCCTGATAAATAAGGCAGTAAGCTGGAGTAAAATGAATGGATGAATTATTTTCTGTGAAGCTGCTTCTGGCTGTTCAGGGTGGGTGAACTTTCTCTTTAAGTACCAGAGAAAGAAAAGCGTAAAAACTTCCACTCTTTACCCTCACTGTATATTGTAAAGTGCTCTTGAAGTAATATGACGGGTTACTACCCAAATTCTCATTCAAGTAAAAACTTCAAAACCACTCAGTCCAAAGGTGTAAGGTCACAATTTTGAGATTTTATTCCTTAAGAAGTCAGCAATCTAAAAAAGACTTTTAACAAAACTTACACTGCATGCTGTGAGATTGATTACCAGACTAAAAAGCACAGAGTACTGCATAGGCCTGCTTCCTTTACTGCTTTGGGTCAGTAAGTGGCTTGTCTAATAGTATGTACTAACACCAAGGCACACTAGGGGACACGGGCGGCGCTTTGTAGTTCCCTTTTCCCAAACGCTTACATGCAGCCTTTTAAAAAGAACGAAGGCATTTGTCAGTGAAGGCTATACGTTTTCCTTGATCCATTAATGTCACAGTTGGAGCTGTAAAAGAACTGCAGTTCCTTCTAAACGAATATAAATCATGTGGATAAAATAATTCACAAGGACACCGAGATTAGCTGGCTACATCTATTCAAGGCCTTGTTGTCGAACACATTAATTATGCATTTCCTTGAACCCACAAGCCTAAGCGACTTACCACAAACATATGCAACGACAAATAATAGACCTCCTTCCAGAAAAACAGCAAGCTGTGCCATCTGTCATTTATTTGAGGGAATGTTTCCACCTGCAACCTGTTGGCTGCAGACACTGACGCACACATAGACTGACCTCATTGGCTCCGTCTTGGCTTCTGGCCAGCGTTTCGAGTAAAGACTCACTCCAACAAACTGAAAAACGCTTCATTAAACAAAGGCTCCCTGCGTTGTGTGGCGACAAGTCCAAGGGTTGGGTGAAGGCCATGAAATGATCGGTCCTAAATGTGGCCTTTCTGTTTTTTAATTGCTTAGGCAGTTTACAGTTACAAGAGCAATTCCTTTCAAACGTCAGCCGGCCATTCAGTTACTTTGCTTAATGATGGCAGGCTGAACACCTGCGCGAGGCAGATAATCTCAAAAACATAAAAAGGTCAGGCTATGAAGAAACTTAAAGGGACAGCCAGGCCTGTAAGGATATGTATTTTTTGTTGTACGATATACTGCACCAAAATATATTGTGATAAACAATATTATTGTCATTTTAAGACCATTTTATGACAATAACTATATAATACCAGAATGACAATATAATATCATAACAACGCAAGTACACTTCTCCAAAGAACACATAATATTTTATTCCTAAAAATATTTATTTTAATTACAGTCATTTTAGCAATTGAATAATTAGACACTGAAATCAAAGTGTGAAAGTGCATATCCTAAACAAATAAATAATAATAAATGTAACAAAAAAGTGCAAGGCAAAAAGTAACAGAGGCTGCAATATCTGCTACCAGATCTATTTTCAGTTGTCAGGCACCCTCATGAAAATATACTATAGTAATTTATAGTAAATACTAGTGTTTTTTAATCATACTGACACCTCCAATATAGATAGAGATGTTGCACAATCAGCTAAAATGTTGCTAGAAATGTTTTTTATGCATGGGCGATATATATTGCATCACCAAAAATTATTGCAGTCATGTCAATGTGTTGTGCGATAAGTCGATTTATTGATTATTGACAGTGAATTCTGACTCACCCTTAATATGTTTTTAAACCTGCATCTGTTTTGCTGAACAAAAAGATATTTTGAAGAATGTTGGTAACTGTGCTGTTGATGGCAACCTTTGACATAAATAGTAAGAACAAAGGCTACATAATAACATAAAATGAAATTCAGAGACTATATTAGACTGTTTGGATACTAAAATTTGTTAAATTATCTTCAGATGAAACTAAGCTATTTAGCTGCTCCCATTGAAACATTTAAGTGGATGATGAGTGAATGACAGAATTAAAATTTTGAGATAAAGTACTTTCTTTAAATTATTTACCAAACACAACTGATTTACTTTCAGTCATCCAAGACAATAAATCTTCAAAGTATTCTGGCTAATAACATGTCAATGTATTGTAAATATATGTGATCTGGGGCTGTCAAGCACCAAACAAGTTTGACATGTGACATTTGTACTATATTTGAAGTTGAAGTCCTGCAATCGCTTTGCCTGATTCAGTTTAAAACAAAATCGACCAAATCAATTATGAATCAATGATTTCTTTTTCTTAAATTAGTCAGATTTGTAACGATTTGTTCTTAAATCGTATTGATCCATCCATTTAATTAATCTCTTTATGATCTACTCATCCTCTTATAGTGGTACCATGATGATATTCCATTTCTATTAAGATGAAGATTCCAGTTTCCTTCTGAAGCTGACAGTACATGTGTCAAATGAACGTCTTTCATGCTATTTTTATACAGATTTTTGGGTCTTTTTAAAGCTGAATGGACTTAAAAGATCTTCCCTTCTTCATTGCTTTATCACTACACTGTGTTGTTCAAACTTTCTCATTATGTGCCCCACACAAATACGGATGTTTTGTGATTTAAACCAACATTAAATGCAAACATTAATTTTGCTCTGAACTGGTGAAACGTTTTTCTTGTACTGTTTGTCAAATGCATTTACATTTTTCAGCACACTCCATGACACTTTCTGTGGTCCAAACTATCATAGTGAAACATAAATTATTCACAAACGTTCTCATTTTCCCTCTCTTTTTCTCTGTCATGCAGCACTGAAGTTTTCTCCCCCCATTTCCAGCAGTGAATCATTGTGTGCCTCTCAATTCTGCGCGGACAACAGCCTCTCTCTCCACGTCCCTCCTACACAAACACACACACTCTCTCTCAGCCATCTCAAACACACACACTCACCTTCAAGCATAGCTCTTCCCACTGGCAGTGAAGTTCCTCCACCTGTCCTTGCAGCAGTGCAGTGTCCGTGGGCAGCACATACTGGGACACGTCTGCCTTCATGGTGCTCAACTCTTTCAGTCCTACAATCCAAATCTGCAGCAAGTCCTCGTCCTCCTGCATAACACGCCAACAGCACCAAGTTAAACTTGCCTCCTGTGCAGCACGCTTTCTCTATCTCTCTCTCTCCCTCACTCGCTCTCTGTCCCTGTCATTAGCGAACGGGATTAAGGCCCTCTGGACAGGCCGGGCTAGGACGGGGGAGGGGAGGAGGCAGAGTGGGGCAGAAGGGAGGGTGTGCAGGGGGGAGGGCAAAGCACCCATAACAGCCTGGAAAAAGGCGATGATGGGGGTAAAGGCCAAACATGTTAAGGACACCATTATTTCCTTTGTTTTGTCAGTTTCGTCCACCTCCACTAAGAGGGCCTTAATCAACAAAAAATAATCAGTCTCAGCAGCTGTTTATTAACTCATTTCTAAAGGAGCGTGATTATATCAACAGGTGCTTTTTCTTTAGCAAAGGCCTTGGTGATAATGGAGTGTTTCTAAATAGTGGAGAAACACAACTAGCAGATGAAAGGACTTTGTCTAGTATTAACAAATCTACTATGTAATGTAAAGTAATAATGTCACTGTAAAGCATGGTTTAAAAGTCTGAAAGCATAAGTGAAAATTATTCTAGTTCAACTCAGGGGGCTAATAATTCGGACTTCAACTATATATACTATATATACTATATATATATATATGTGTGTGTGTGTGTGTGTGTGTGTGTGTGTGTGTGTATATATATGTATATATATATATATATATATATATATATATATATATATATATATAAATAATTTTGACCTAAAAATGTTTTTAAAAAATGTAAAACAGCTTTTATTTTAGCCGCAATAAAACAAATAAGACTTTCTCCAGATGAAAAAATATCATCAGACATACTGTGAAAATTTCCTTGCTCCGTTAAACATAATTTAGGAACAATTTAAAAAAGAAAAATAGTCAGTACTGATGCCAATTCTGGGGCTTATATAACAAATTAACTTTTGAGCTAATAATTTTTGAACCATTATCATATGTTATGGAAGAATATTAAATAAAAGTTGCAAAAAAAAAAAAAAAAAGAAACAAAAAGTATATACAATTTTGCTGAAATGTTATAGTTTGTAATTTTTTTTGCAATAGTTAAATTCAATTTGATTGTATTCTCTTTCCATTTCTAAAGATGTTCTGTGACTAAAATATTTATTTAATAAATATATCTGTTTAATAAATCTGTTTTGTTCAAATGCACCAATATATATTTCCCATATTCACTAAGAAATGGATAAAAATATAAATTTTAAAAATGTGGAGTGTACTCAATGCTGAGCACTGTACTTTTGATCTTACAGACTTTATAATAGTAGTGCACGGATTTCAAAAGGTCTTGGTATTTGGTTTCTCAAAAAAAAAAAAAAAAAATACAAATAATCAAGTCAAATTTCCTGAATCTAAAATTAGGCTTCATGTTATTTTTTTGTTTCCTTGGCTATTCTTAATATGTCCCCAAAGGTCACACTTTACAATACGATTTCATTAGTTAATGATAGTTTAATTACTAACATGAACTAATAATGAACAATAGTTTTAGAGCAGTTATTATTTCTTTTAACATTTACTAATTCATTATTAAAATACAAAATCATGCTTGCTAACAATAGTTAAAGCACTGTCAGTTAATATGAACAAACAATAAACAACTTTGTTCATTAATTACCATTAACTAAGATAACTTAATAGAGCATTGAATGTATTGTTAATTGTTTGTTCATGTTAGTAAATACATTATTTACTAATATACAACTAAATTATACAACTTTTTATAAAGTGCTAAGATCCAAACCATTCAGTAAATAAATAGTTTATTTCTAAAAAAATAATAATAAAAAAATAAAAAAATTAAACTAAAAATTTACACTTTCTGTTTGGGGATCAACTTCATATACAGGATTACCTTAGTCAGCTGTTCATGTTTCTTCAGATCTTCTATTTTCTCGGGCAGCGGACTCTTCAATCTTGCTTTTATCTCATCCAGTTTAAGAGCACTATCAACCAATCCAGTGACACAGAGCTTCCAGTTCTGCAAACACACAGAAGGATCTCTTAACTACTGAGGAATGCATTTGTCCTTAAAAGATTTTTTTAACATTGTTCACACCACAAGACCAAACCCTGTTGTTTTAAATGTAAAATAACCTTTCATGGTATTCTCTTAACTCCATCAATTGCGTGGAATAAGGTCTGTTAATTCAGTGTCACTCGCATTGATTTGAGCTGCTTGAGCACAGTGTTCATGAGAGGCCCTGGTGTGCTTGTATTTTGGTTGCTGTTTTATCTCATATCAGATCTCAGATCAGTGAAGAGGGATTTCCCATTCACACGGGGAAGCACAACCCCCACCTATTGTGAGCACATGCTCACATAAACACACTTCTACCCACATCACTATCTAAACCCCCTCAATGCAATGATGTCATCATACCAAACCAAACAGCCAATTAGAAATGGTTTTGAATGGGTGTAACTCTGGCCTTATATAAATATGGTCTAACTGCAGAGTCTCAAGTTTGGGGTGACGCAAAGCCTCATTGTGCCATTTAAAAATGGTTAAGTTATTTTTTTCTGTATATTTTTGCTAGATATAAGCTCTTCCATGTTTTCCAAGATGTTTAGAAACTATTTGTTTTTGTGACTTAGTGTAAATGTTCTCAAGATTTCATCTTTCATTATTATGGCCATGAAAAAAAGCAGATATTTTTTGATATTTTGATCAATTTAAAATCACAATTAGTTTGACTGACATGATTATTTACTGACTTTGCCAAATATATTGCATTTAGGCATCGGATGTTGACCGTTTTAAAGGTTTTAAAACCGGCAACATTTTCTGATGTACCATTCCTAAGGTACATGTAAGACGTTTAATTTCGTTTTTTTATTTTTTTTTATTTTATTTTTTTAGGTTTTAGGACAACAGTATCTCCAGTAGAAAAGATATCCAAAGAGACCATTTTAAATTGTAAAGAACTGCATTTTAGAAACCAATGAAGAGAACAGAAGTCAATAGCCCCTTCCACACATACACACATTACTGGCAATTTTCTGGAAAGGTCTGTATGTGTGAACAGTCCCTTTTTGAAAATACTGGTAAATTCGTTCTGGCTATTTTCCGGAAAGAGAAATAACATTTCCGGTAATTTGTCAGAATGCTGCGCTGTGTGAACGCAGACGGAAGATTGCCGGAAAGAGCGCGTTCACATTAAAGCCTGATTTATACTTTTGCGTCAAGTGACCGGCGTAACTCACGGCGCAGGCAACGCGCGTGGCTGTGCATTTATACTTCTGCGCGCTGTCTCGGTCTGCATTAACACTTCCGAAACGCTAGTGGGCAGTGAGGTGTAAATGTTCCTCTGTGTCGAGTTTCTTCTCTGCTTTTTTGCTTTTCCTGAACACTTCCGGGATGTACAAATGGCTCAAATTCGCTCATTTTGAGGCAGGAACCGGCGGACGTGCAACAACTTTAACTATGAGGTAAAAACAAATCAAAACTTTCCATCCGGAGCTCCTTCACGGGACTCCACACTTGTAAACAATCGCTCGCGCCATTCGCGCGGCTCTCGGTCCCGCCCAGACTCGTCAGCGCTACCAAGCCGACCAATCACAGAGCTTACGCTATGCGTTGTTGCGACGTGAAGTTACATTTTTTGAGAGGTGCACGTCAGTGACGGCGATGGCCACGGCGAAGGGCTATGCGTCAGCGCCGTAGCATACGCCGACGTTTGACGCAGAAGTATAAATCAGCCTTTAGAACGTGCTGATGTGAGAGGTCTACTTTAGCCAATCAGAACACTCAGACTCATTCACAGCCGCACGGTTTATAAAAATAAGCCTTTGAATATTTTTCAAGAAACATTAAGCCGCTAGATGTTAGTCAGATAACGTTTCTATGTTCCTTCTTAATTCCAACTGTGTAAAACAATTATCGGTAAAACGCTTATAATAATAAATGATATGTTTGTTTACCTTCAGCCAGCATCCACACAAATTATGTATATCTCGACATGCAAAAGTGTTTCTCCATATATTTTCATCAAAGTTGTTTATAATACTTATTCATCCACAGAGTTTGTAATGTAGCCAAATGTTTGCAAATACAGGCGCGGCTGTGTAGAGGTCTTCTATGGTTAATGATGTCAGAATTTATTGGTATTTTGGAATGATTGTGTGAATGGTCTTTTCAGGAAAAATACCGTAACATCCGTGCCTGTGTGAACAGCGCTTTTTAGAATGTACCGTTAAAATCGCTAAGGAAATTTTCCGGATATTTACTGATATTCCTGTGTGAATGGGGCTAATGATTCATTTGAATTATTTAGCCTGACATGTTATATATATATATATATATATATATATATACACATACACATACATACATATATATACATATACATACATACACACACACACACACACACACGCACATGCACACGCACACGCACACGCGCACACTCACACAGTATATATTTTAAAAAGCTCTGCTACACAAATCAGTCAAACTTGCATTGGGAGATAAAAGACAATGGTCACATTTCAGTAGCACGCTAATAATAACTATTTTAAACTGCTTCTAAAACAGAAAAAAGAAAGGAAAAACTAAGCAATAGTAAATATAACAATATGGTACTAAATTACACGTACAATTATTAATAAAATGCTAATTATAATGGTTTACTCACTATAAACGATATGCATCTATGGCAGTGTAACTGTTGCTAGAGCACCTTTAGAATTCAGAGAAGTGAAGTTTACCTGCACAGCACTTTACTAGCTGGCCTCTGCTACGCTGATTTTACAACAGCTATGAACATGCAAATATAAATGTTCATGTAATAAATTGTATCTAGAAATCCTAATCGTGTTTGACTTTCTTGTGATGTTCTAGCAAAGTCACTTACAGTAGTTTGCATTTAATAAAAAGATAATAAGCAATTAAATAAATCATTAATCAAAATAATAATCAGACACCTAGTGTTTGAGGATTTAATAAACTTTAAAAAATCTATTCAAGGAATAGTTCACCCAAAAATTCAAAATCACTTTGATTGTATTTACCTTCAGACCATTCAAGTTGTAAGTGCCTTTGTTTCTTGAACAAAAATCTATGGACTTTGGTAAATCATTAAATATGCAACTCATCAGATGTCATCACTTTCTAAAAAGCACATACAGTCAACTCTGTATTATTATACTTTTTCCTTTGACTGTCAAAGTGCCAGTAACTGTTGATTTTTATTTTAGGAATCAGTAAGGGATAGAGTTAACAATCCTCTTTAATGTTGTACTGAAAGAAACAAAAAAGTAACATCTTAAGCCCTATTTGGCAGTTTTCCAGGAGGTCATTAGAGAAATTGTTTTACAGGCATACTTACTGTAGCAATTTTAATCCCATCCTAATCTGCTAAATCTGTGTTATTCTCACACATTCGCTTCAATAATTACAGAAAAAAATGCCTACTGTTTCTGGCAAACTCTGTTATCTTCAGAGAAATTGAATCCCACCCAAATGTGAATGTCTTGATGCTTACTATTCATTATGGAAGCTGATGTGTTTGACTTCCGGTGAAGAGGTTAAAAAATAAAATCAAGACTGACTACAATAACATCAGCATCAGATTGACTGCTCACTTTCAATTCTTCACTCAATTATATAATGTTTAAAATGCATAATATACCATCATCAAAATTTAACAGTTTTACTTCCAAAAATGTTTAATAAAAATAGTTGTTGTAACTCAACTAATGGAAAAATTTACCATAATTTTTACCATACTATCCATAGCTTAACTGTTGAATTTGAAGTAAAACAAAAGGTCCATAAAAATAGTTTTTTTTTTTTTTTTTTTTAAAGTTGTACACTATGCTACAATAAACCAGGGGTAAATTTGCAAATAAAACCCCTTTCTTTATTTCACTGTTTATTATAAGCAGCCAAGTCTTTAATGAAAATCACCCAAAATGCATGTGTATGGAGTATGAGATCTCTGCAACACCTAGATTTTGAGTAAACTTTCCCCTAATTAGAAAACTGAGTTATTGTCAATGACATATTGCAAATGTCTCTTTTTATTGAAGATTTTATTTTCTTTCATTGAAGATCATTCCATTTGACCTTTGCATTCCTAGTCCAGGAGATCTGAAAAAAATTGACCACATACCTGAGTTATGGTGTATGCAAGGGCCTTTCTTTTCTGCACAAGGTCACTGTTTGGCTCCCATGTATCCTTAAGGGCATCCAGTTGCGTTTTCAGGCTCTTCTGCATCTGCGTATCTACTATAGGAATAATCTGTCCTCCAGCCTTCACAGTCTGCCTGTAGAGGCCTTCATGAAGCTGAAGCTGTTCCTCAGTCCACTTTAGGACAGAAAACATAATTTGACTTTGTAGCCAAACATTGGAATGATGGAAAGATCATTGCAACCCCTTTACTGAATGATATTACCTCAAAGTCTTTTATAGAGTGCTGGAGTTGCTGTAGGCTGCATGGTGCCAGGCCTGCTGGAGAGAGAAGTTCTTCCATGTGTCTAAATAATCTTGAAAGTTTCCTTGTACCGGCTTCATATAGCTGCCACTGTCCCATCAGCTCCTCCAAACGTGTCTCATGTTGATGCAGCCTCTGCTGGGTCTCCTGCCAGCGTGTCTTCAGCTGGGTCAGTCTCAAGAGAAGTGAACTCCTAAACATAAAGACATATGCTTGTTAACATTTCAAGGTTTGCTAAAGCTTATTTGAGTCAAAGGGTGTTTTAGGCTTATACCATCTACTTGGGTTGGAACATCATGTCATTGCAAAGACTTTGCATGAGACTTTAGGTCACTATCACAATTTAAGTTATTTTAAGTTATTTTAAATGTACTGAAACTGAGATTTCTTTAGCAGCATTTATCTTTAAAATATTGGAAAGTAATCCTTTTATGTTTTTGTCTTTACAAACACAAATAAATATATTTTTCATTAAAATCCTTCAAAAAAATTTGACTAAAATAATGTTAAAAAATCATTTTAGTCTGTTTATTAAAAAGACTTTTGGCCATCAAAAACACTTATTAATTAGTTTTTTAATTGATTGAAATAATAAGAATCTATACTGTAGCACCACAAAAAAGTAACCCTTGGATATATTTTATTAAGAAAGACTTTTGTCCATCATAAACACTAATTAACTTATTTTCAATTGACTTAAAACCAAGAAATTTTTCGACCACCCCTGAAAGTCTATTTGTCTAAAACTTTGATACTTTAAAAAAGTTAATCAAAATATATATTTTAAAAATAACCCTTTTATGTTTTATGAAAAAGAACTATCACAAAGAAAAATAATTAATTTTACTTAATTAAACGGTACATATTTCTCAAGCTCCACTGAAAGTTAATTCACCCAAAACATTGATGCCTCAAGAAGTTCATGAACGAATGATGTTTAATAAAAAACTAAGATTTCCTGTCTTCACAAGCACAAATTAGGATGCTTTTTTAAGAGATTGAAAGCTGAGAGAAGTATCTATCTTCATTGAAAATTAATCCACCCAAAACTTTGATGCTTCAAAATGAACAAAACACTGTAAAAAAAAAAGTTTTGGCTGCGTTATATTTTTAAATGAATCAAATGAACTTTACAAGCAGTTTAGCTTTTATTACAATAAACCAAAGACTATAGAATACACAAGACATGTCACTCATATAGTTTTGAATGGGGGAAAGTGTAACGATCAATATGGCAAAAAGTGCTTTTACAACACTTTTTGTCAACAACAAACACACTGGAATCTCAGTAAATACTTGCTTCACAGACATGAGACATATATCCACATAAAGCTTGAAATATGTTCTTATAAATTAACTAAGTGCACTTAAAAACAAAACCTTTTTGGTTTTGTAATCTGTATGAAATGAATGCGAGGTACAGTACATCCTGTCAAACGCACATGCCATGACAGCAGCAACTACTCAAAGGCCCATTAACTTGTAAACAAAGAGTTGCTGTCATTTCTGCAGGAGATTCACCATCAAGATCAAGTTGTGAATTACTTCAGAAGACCAGCGCAATCTAACAAAGCATTTTTCAGAGGATAATAAAGTGTAGATCAGCCATAAATGAGGTTGGTGTGGTAATCTCGTTCCTTTTGAGTGCGCATGCGCATTAACTCGGGCAATCTAAAAAATAGCAATTTTGTTTGATTCGAACGTTTAGAAATTAAACTTATTAATCCAAATACGTAACATAATTGTAAGCTTGGCAAACAGGTGTGGAGAACTTGATGTTTCTCAATTCAGACAGAATGCCTGCGCATACTGGCGTTTCAAAGATGGCAGAGTGAAATGACTTGCCCTAACGGGATTTTGATTAAACTGACTTAAAACATCAAGTTGAATCTTGCATACCTGACTGAATGAAGCTGAAATAACAAAAACATTTGTTGGAATGACTTATTGATCATATGAGTTTATTTACAGTGTTGGATTAACACAATCCATTCATGTGGATTACTTTTACGAGCCCCCTATGAACCGTAAAAGTTTTGTGGGACTTTCAATGAAGACTTAAAATGTCACAGTGCAAATTATCGATGACAGAACTTCATTATTGCATGTACTAGCCTTATAAATTGTAGCATTACAGAATTACTTTCATGAATTCAGACCACAGATGTCAACAACTGAGCAGTACATATTGGAGATATTAACACTGAAAAACTAACTGCAATTCCACACGCCAGTCATGTAAAAAAAAACGAACCAACCAACTCCATTTATGCGGCTCTCAACATGACATTTACTCTTGCAATGGAAAAACCCGAGCTGAGAAACATCTTGAATGCAGCCATGCAGGAGCTTCATATAAAGCAGCACTTATCGGCTGAAAAGAAAAATTATTTCATGCTGGTTTCACATGCAGTTTCATTTCCTGAGAGTGAGCCAGCTTGTTCCAGCTCTTCCACACCACATAACTTCAAGAGTTATGGCCTCAGCTGGAGCCTGTGCACAAGAAATCTACTGGAGAACCTCACTTTTAATTAGTCATTAGGTGACGTCCATTTCAGAGTGAATTATTGCACGGCGTTCTTTGATTTCTTATCCATGGCAAAATCCCACAATGAAGGTTAGTGAGTAAAAAGCAGAGTTTTTTTTTTTTTTTTTTTTTTACTAGGGAGCGAGTTATTGAGTGCAGTGTTATAAAGCTTACCTGTCTTCATTCTGACTGCTTTCCAGGAAGTGTAAAGCCTCATTGATTATGGCATCCTGTAGCGGCTGGCCGATGAGGAACTCCACTTTCAGCCTCTGAAAGATTTAGTGCTAATATATGAGTAAACAAGCATCTCTGAAATGATTTAGTCAGCACTCTATTACTAGGAGCTCCTGCTGCATTTATTTCTTTTAAAAAGAAAAGAAACAGATCATTAGAGGTCATTTAGCACTGACTGTGATACAATAAACAATAATATTGATTTTAATCAGATTGACACAAATTTTTTTTTAAAAAAGGGAGAAATAATTCTATTTTTATTCAGAAATGAAGGATTTAGGTGATTTAAGATTAATCTATGCACTCTGAAACATATTAACTTTAAGACTTTTCAATAGTAATAAGCAGCAATATTACTGATAATCAATGTTTGATTACCAAATCAGCATACTATAATGATTTTTAAAAGGATTGTACGAGAGACTGAGAGACTAAAATAATATTAAATAAAAATAACAGAGTCATATTTTTATATAAAATATTAAGTATTTTTTAAAATTGTATTAACATTTTATGATACTAAACAAAAATTAAAATAGCTTTGGTGAGCATAAACCTTCTTTAACATATTTTTTATTATTTATCATGCTTATATGGTCATTGTGAAACAACACAATTAGTATTATAAGCCTGCAATTTCTAAATATCAAAAGAGCTTAAATTTAAAGAATAAGCTCTACCTGATGTGCAGCAAGAAGATCTCTTACAGAAGAACAGTTTCCAGGTGTCGGATTGGCTAAATCAGTCTCCATTTTGTCCAGGAGCTCCATCCAGCACTGGCACTTCTGCTGGAAGTTCTGATCACGCAGCAGCTCTCCATACATCTTCCTACAGACAGTGATGTGCTTTGGCATTAGATACAGGTAATGTTACAGTGAAGTCTGTTTTCTAGGGAAAACATGTCATGATATATTTGTATTTTTATAATATGTATTGTTATTATAATATGATATTTTAGAAGGGAGGTGGATGGATGGATGGATGGATGGATGGATGGATGGATGGATGGATAGATAGAGAGATGGATGGGTGGATAGGTGGAAAGGTAAACAGACAGACAGACAGACAGACAGACAGACAGACAGACAGACAGACAGACAGACAGACAGACAGACAGACAGACAGACAGACAGACAGACAGACAGACAGACAGACAGATAGATAGATAGATAGATAGATAGATAGATAGATAGATAGATAGATAGATAGATAGATAGATAGATAGATAGATAGATAGATAGATAGATAGATAGATAGATAGATAGATAGATAGATAGATAGATAGATAGATAGATAGATAGATAGATAGATAGATAGATAGATAGATAGATAGATAGAGAGATGGATGGGTGGATAGGTGGAAAGGTAAACAGACAGACAGACAGACAGACAGACAGACAGACAGACAGACAGACAGACAGACAGACAGACAGACAGACAGACAGACAGACAGACAGACAGACAGATAGATAGATAGATAGATAGATAGATAGATAGATAGATAGATAGATAGATAGATAGATAGATAGATAGATAGATAGATAGATAGATAGATAGAGATATGGAATAGGTGGATAGGTGGAAAGGTAGACAGACAGACAGACAGACAGACAGACAGACAGACAGACAGACAGACAGACAGACAGACAGACAGACAGACAGACAGACAGACAGACAGACAGACAGACAGATATATAGATAGATAGATAGATAGATAGATAGATAGATAGATAGATAGATAGATAGATAGATAGATAGATAGATAGATAGATAGATAGATAGATAGATAGATAGATGACACTGAAAAAACATTGATAAACAATATTGACACATGGTCATTTATATCTAACAAAAATATCTTGTTATATATATATATATATATATATATATATATATATATATATATATATATATATATAAATACTAATGCTAATGCAAACTTTTATTTTGTACTCAATTTAATAGCACTAATTTAAACAGCATTTAACAGCACTACTGCATATACTTGTCTACAGAAAAATTGATGATTCCAACTGTAGTTCAGGGCTACAATGAAATTTCTAAATAGCAAACAGGATAAGTGCAGTGAAGCTTTGTCTTGCCTGTGTCTTTCTGTAGCCTGAGAGAACACCTGACCCCACTGCGTGTTAAGGGTCTGCAACCTCTCTTCCTCTGCAGAACTTAAAGAGCATCTGAGGCTCCTTTGATTCAGAGCAGCAAGGTTAGGGTTCAGCCCACTCAGATCTAACAGAACCATCTGATATGCATGAAAAAAGAGAAACATTTACATAAAAATATAACTATCGCAAAACAATGAGGAAGATGAAAAGAAATGTTAAGACGGGCCACAGTTTCACCTTCAGTCTCTCCATGCTTGTAGTGGAGGAGCTCATAATGCTTTCAAAGTTCTTTACTTGCTTCTCGATGGATTTTAGCTCAGTGCTGAAGTGCCGCTGCTCCTCCAGCTCCTCCTAATGACAAAAAACAGCACAGCACGTGTAAAGGACGTTGAATTTGTGTTCTGCTATCAATTTATGTATAAATCAAACTAAATAATGTTGTATTTAGTACAATTTTCCATCCTCACCTGTACTTGAATCCTGATCTCAGAAAGCACCCTGCCAAGATGCACATGGTCACGTGACAGCAGCCTGGTTTCTGATTTGATTAGGGGGGCTGACTGGGGTTGCATCTGACCGATGAGAAGCTTTGAGGCCTCCATGACTTTACCCACATTGCTTTGCAAGGTTGTCAGGTCTTTTTCCAGAGCCTGTGAAAGGCAATTGTGTTCATATTTAAAAGCCACATGGAAAATTAACACTTATCACCTCAAAGACTCTTAACTTTCTTAATTAAAATGTTCATCAGTTTAGAAAGATTTCATTCCATTGATCAATGATGCAACAGTGATTAAAAATGAAGACATTTGTAGTGCTATGAAATAAAAATTCATTCATGTGAACTTTCAATTATTTTAATAAATAATATAAATAAAAAAAATTATATTGATTTCCACAATGATATTATTTATTTATAAGTCTCAAAAAATAAAAACAAAAGGCTAATTTGAAAACCGTTCATAAATCCTATTAACTACTAAACGTAGTGGGATTATAAAAAAAATTCTAGTGAGCCACTGATAACAAGTTTTAAGGAGTTAAGACGAGTAGGATTTTCATCATAAAAATGTCTGGCAGATACTGAAACACTACAATTAAATAACTCTGCAATGATTCATTTGAGGAGTACAGTATATGTGCGGAATGTGAAGGAGATTCAAGTCTTGAAAACAAAAACACACCACCTAAGGTTTTACAGACACGTTGCGAAATTGAATGAACTGTGCATGTTTGTTTTCAAAGACTTTTACTACTTACATTTTCCATTTATACAAAATATATACAGATTTTTTTTTTTTAAATTTAGATCTTAAATTGTAGAAATAGTTTATAAATTAATACATTATTATATTAGTTATACAATGTTTCAATATGTATTAAAACATATTATTATTATTATTATTATTATTATTATTATTATTATTATTATTATTATTATTATGACTATTATGCAATTCAAATATAATACTATTTTCATATTTTTAACATTCTACAACTGTAGCAATCCATTCATTACTATATGTTGTGTGTATTTATTTGTGCATGCACTGCAAGCTAATAAACATAAGAATAAACATAATAAACAAAAGAAAAACACCAATTTAAATGGAATAAATTAGAACTGCTTCACAATTCCCTGTTCTTTTGTGTTGGCATTTTTTTTTTTTTTTTGGTAAGAGCAGCACAGGTCTCAGATATTTTTAGCCCATCAAGAAAAGCTTCAGCTCAGATCTCAATGTTCCTTCTTTTCAAAAGCAAAACTGGAACTGAAGTACCGCAGACCCATCTGCAGGACTCAAACAATTAACACTTAACAAGCACATGCTGAAACTGGGGATGTTTTTCTGGTTGGTGTTTTTCCCTGTGCATCATACAACCCAAAAAACAAAACAAAAAAGAAGCTATGTTCTTAACAGTACAAAATCAAACGAAAACCGGTACCTTTGTACATGTAGTTGCCATGAACAGATTTTTATGTGGATTGTTACGTATACAGTAGGTATATTATATAAGTGTAGAATGATATTATAGCATAGACTTTCATTATGACCTCCAATAGGAGATCTTGGAAATTTCAAATGTCAGCCTGATAGCAATGAAAGCCTACATCCCACCTTGCAAATTACCATTCAAAGCCACGCCTTCTGAATACGTAAATATGCACAAGACAACATAACTAAAATACATCACTCAACATTCACCGGAGAGACAACTTTATAGTACAGTTAGTATTTACAACACCAAACTTTGTCTGCTGTTCTCTGTCTGAAGCGCACATGTGAACGCTCCAATGATGTAATGCTTTCTCCATTTTCAAGTTGAGCGGAGATATGCAATAACATATTTTGAAAGGCAGGCAGGATAGCCTATTGTAATGCTCAGACCCAGCATTTTGATTGGACGAACTATTCTTGGTCCCACGACTTCGCCAGAATATTAAAATACATTTCAATACATTTGGACCACATCATACCATAAAAACGTTTGCACCTGTAATATGTTTGTACTCACACTAATGTACTGCATCCTGCTGATGAGCATTTCTACAGTGTTTTCTTCTCTATCTGATGAATTCATAAGCTCTCCAAGTCTCTCCCAATGCTGATTCAAAAGAACACGACACTCTTCTGTGAGATGCTCATATCCCAGCCAGAGCTGCAATGCATTCTGGGCTTTTAGCAAATCTTCACAAACGTCTTCAGTTACTGTATGACGTCTGAAAACAAATAAACATGAACAGCCACACAGGTTCAGTAAACATGCAAACATTAGCTGAACTAATCAATCAATCCAATAAACATTCATCTGACAATTTATAAAGAAACGCTACCAGCTATTGCTTCCTCACTGATGCTGACTCAATTTCAGACAGAGATATACTGATATTAACAATTTGGTGACACTGCAATTTTAGGTAAGTGTCAAGTATAGTACTGAGAGGTTAAAAATACTCACCGGATTCTCTCCTTCTCAAGGCGATCAGACAGAAGTTTAAATGCAAAGGGCTTGATTTTTTCTTTCAAGTTAGAGAGCACCTCAGTTGAGCATGTCCAGATGTCTGGTTGATTTAGTTCCCTTTTAAGCTCCTGTTAGAAATCATAGCAACAATTTGGTTGAAGTACCAATTCCCACAATTAACTACAGGCTTATTACCTGCTTATTATTAAGAAAATATCTGTTTATTAATACTTAAAAAGTATAATCTTATTTTCAATTCTAATTACAATCCAATAAATAAACTCTGCTACTACTTTAATAACTATTAATAAGCAGAAAATTAGCAGTTTAATGAGCTAAAAGTGTTAGTTAATGGTTTGTTAAAAGCAACAATTATACCTTAAAATAAAGTGTGACCAAAACAATATACAGTAGGATAACATAATCTCCAAATCATAACTGATGACCATGTTGAATTATGTTATGCAAATTCTCAATAAAATTGGAACTTTTCACACAGGGCTTCAGCGTCAAGGCTTTATGGAGGACGTGTCTGAAGATGGGGTTGACGCGATCATCAAAGCAGTATTAGCCAATGAAATTAGACTGCAAATGCTATTTGAGCTGGGGTATTTGCATTAAGCAATCTGGGGTGCTTTTCCCAAACAACGTCATAACTTGTGGCTGAACTATTACAGTACGGTGCATCGTTTGGAAAAAGAACGATGTAGTGATGAGTGTTTCCCAAAACCATAGCTGCTTTGCCGCAGATCCATTGTTTGAACCACGTTAGTTATAAATGTAAAACGCCCATAATGATGCTTTTAAGAGGGTGGAGTAAAAACGTTTTTAGAGAAAAGCCACATACTTTTTTTGTGCAAATTACATTGTTTTAAACGCACAAGCATTTAAAAAAATCCAATATTAGTTTTGATAAAAATTTCGATTCGATTTCCATATTAAGTCAAATATATGTAAACAACACATATGGATGGGGTCAATGTTTCCTTTACAAATATTATTGAGAATATTCCATATTTTACTCTAAAACATAAAAACCACTTAGCTAACACTCTAATCTGATATATAAATCATATAAATCATTAGACTAATGGTTCAAATTTACAGTAGGTCATTTATTAAGAAAGAAAATCTTTTTTAAATCTTGTTATTAATAATAATAATAATAGTTATTATTATTATTATTATTATTATTATTATTATTAATTAAAATATTGTTTATTTGTTTTTAAAATTATACATTTACAATTTGACACATTTAAACCACTGCAGAAATATTCTAACCAACCGGTCCATGTCATACAGTATACTGTACAGATACATTTCTTTATAAATAACCTACTATAAATTAAAAGCATTAATTTATAGTAAATATTTTTGGTTTCACAAGCTTTGGAGACGTAACAACAATTACGCTTTTAAATAATAGGTCACCTATAGCTTTCGTCATGAGCCATGGCTGCGTTCAAAATGGCATAAATGTTTTCAAAGACCACTACAAAGGGAGCGCAAATGTAAACAAGTAGATGGCTAAAACTGAACAGTAAAAATACTCTGAAAGCAAATTACACCTATTTCAATGTAACTTTTAAATCATTCCAAGTTTAAATGTTAGAATATTCTAAATAAATGGGGCATAGGGGGGAAAACGGGGACACAGCCAGGAACTATGCTTTTAACTACAGCTCTAGTGGTGTAGTTGGAAATGTACAAGTTTGGTATGCAGTTTGCGAACGTTCATTGGAATGATGGATTTGGGGAATGCCAAATCAATGAATTATGTTTGTAACAACAAAACTTTAGACCTTAATTGGCTAACGATGGTTTTCGGAAAGCACCCCTTATTGGCTGACGCTTCCATTAGCGCTTGAAAAGTTGAAAAATGTCCAACTTCTGAAGTGAGCAATGCCGCTGAGGCAGCGGCAACAGATCCACAATTCAGTTCGACAATGCTTAATGTCACCCAATAAAAGTGAATAATAAGCGTTGATGCTGATGCCCCCAGTGAATAAGGTCATGGTGTGCATTTTTAAAAAGTAACTACATGTGTCTGTCAGATTTCATAGGGAAAAACAGGATCATTTGTTATATATTTGTGGGGTGTGAGCAAAAACATACTGTTAAAAAATTGTCTGTTTAAACTACTTTAAACTACTACTAACAAAGACATTTAAACATCAAATAAACACAACTCAAGCGAGTTCCCAATATTATTTATGTCCGAGAGTATAAGTTGGGGGAATAAAAGCACATTTTGTTTCAGTAATTTTGATATGTTAAACAGCATCTCTTGCATGTGTAATGACACACTAATAACACCTGTACTGTACCAAGCCTTAGGCAGGAATTATGTAAATTCTCAAACAAAACCTCAGAAAATAATTTACAAAAAAAGTGCATTTGCAATCTTTTTCCACTGGGATTTTTTGTCAGAATTGTTTGCTCACTTGTATTTGTTCCACGTGACTTCGGCTCTGCTCAGATGAGAACACTGGGACTCTGCAGAGCTCCAGTCTGTAGATCACCCCGGTTGTTTGCAGTTCTGCTGCACTCATTTTAGATTCAACGCGTACCCACTCATCCTTGATTGGCTGCAAATCTGACCTGAGAGCATTTATCTGAGGGGGAGAAAAAAAACAACAAGCTTCTAGGAACAACATTTCTTCAATAAATCAGAAATAATGAGTAAACACTCACTGGACATATTAGCAATCTGTGGCCATTCAAAACAAGCAATACAAGAGAATTTTTGTATTCATGCAGCATAACAAGTGCAAACACAAAAGAGAACAATAGAGAAGAAAGTTAAATGTACAGCACTGAAATGGTTGCAATTACATTTAAATGAATGGGTGAATCATATAGGCGTGTGAGTGGAATATATAAGCCACTTCTCATCACATGGTGCTTGGCATAATGATTCAAAATTGCAATATATTTGGCATCTTATAGCTGTAAACAAGACTTAGGGATGCAATTGTATTTTTGTAATGCGTAATTAATGTAGTGGCACACCTTTCATGCACATCCTTATATATCACCTTTTAGAGCTAGTACAACAACCAGTAATTGAAAAGACGCAAGACCTAATCTTAGACGTAATCTTCTTTTAAAAAGGGTTTACTGAAGAAATGAAAAATGAAAATAGAAGGATACAATAGACTCCATATACAGTTGAAGTCACAAATATTAGCCCCCCTCTTATTTTAATCCTTAATTTCTGTTTAATGGAGAGCAAATTTTTTAAACACATTTCTGAGCATAATAGTTTTAATAACTCATTTATTTTATCTTTGCCATGATGACAGTGAATAGTATTTGACTAGATATTTTTCAAGACACTTCTATACAGCTTAAAGTGACATTTAAATGCTTAACTTGGCTAATTAGGTTAAAAACAAAAATCAAAGGGGGCTAATAATTCTGACTTCAACTGTATATCGCACCATTTCATAACATTATACATGTCTTTACCATCAGCTTTGTTCAATACAATACAGTACATCCCTGTTAAATAAAATATTTAATAAAAAAAACACAGTAAAACAAGTTTCAAGGAACTTACCTGTTGGCTCAAAGTTTGGCAGTCCTCTATGGCTGAATTGAGCTGCCTGGAGAATGCTTGATCTCCAGGATGTTCTCTGTCCTGCTGTTTGAACAGATGAAGAGCTTCCAAGCCCTTCAGCTCAATGGACTTCACCTGCAGCCGCTTCTCTGTGCCCTGAAACAAAGCACTGTGTGACTTTTCTGATGTTTCTCACTTTAAAAGCTCTCCTTTGATTCGATTTCACTCTCACACCTATCAAAATCGTGACAAAAAAAAAATCTTCAGGTTGGTTGAACTCACCTCGCACTCTTGTAATGTTTGCTCAATCTGTGAGCAGCTCCCTGGTCTCCAGCTGTTCTTCACCCATTCCATATGCTGAGAAATCCAGCTGTGTATACAGCGCAATAGCTTTTCTCTGTCTCCACAGGCTTGCCATTGGTCCTCCACATCATGTATCTGGAGACAACAGAAACCATCACATTGTAAGAGGCTATATGTTAGAATTTAAATCTATGTAATAATCATGCATTTTTGATTGCTAACTTACAGACAGCAAGAAAGAAAAAAAAAACCTTTAAAATTGTTTATGAAAACCTGTAAATTAAATGTTCTTGAAAACACAATTAAAATTTGTAATCTTCCACAATTTAAGTAGATTACTCAATGCAAAATCTAAAACTGTGAGTAAAAAACACAACATAAAAAAGGACTAGATGATCGGAGATGCACACTGACTAGTCGTTATTTCATTAGATCCATTACATATAACAAACACAGCAAAATACAAGTGGAACATAATGTGCATTAACTGAACTTACTAACTAAAGTTAAACATTATCAGTAAACAGATCCTCAGCAAACATTTCGTCAACCTTAGAATTTAAAGGTTTTATCTGACATTTTTGTCAAATTTGAGTTATTCACATTTTCTTATTAAATGACAACTTATTTACATCATGTGATGTTTGTGTAAAAGTTGTTTACATTTTAAGACTTTATTTAAAAAGCAAAAAAAAAGGTTTTATCAACAAAGTCGAACTCTAGCTTGGATCTATAAGGTTCTTTCTGTGAACAAATCAGCATTTCAAATCAGCAGGATCTTTCTTTGTCATTCCACCTGACTGCTTTGTAGTAAAAAAAAAAAAAAAAACGTCATTAAATGTGAATTATTTTTTATTTGTGTCTGTATAATTATAGTTAGTTAGTTATTTTTTCAGTGTTTATTAAACTCTGTTAAACAAGTCAGTTGCTCATTGTCTTTAAATTTAATATTAAGCCTTGAAGAGTCAATAATTTATTTAATTCATGAGGTTTTAATTACAACAATAAATAGCATCATATCAATTACATATAATTAACATTTGAAAAAATATTTAGCACAGCCTTGTATACTTAATTTGAACAAGAACAAAATATTCATCCTAAAACATTAAATAAACATAATAGTAAGCAAAACATTTAACATTCTTAAACATGAACATATTGTTACAATATTAATTTTTATTTATTTTTGAATTAAATTAATAAGACTAATTGCATTTCTTGAAAAGTAATGCTTTAATTAATGATCTGCCACATAAAACCTTATAATTCCAAGCGGAAAATTAGTTTTTAGAATCAGAGGGTTCTATCTGCATTTGCCCTGTTTGTTTTTTTACCGCAGTTTGCAAATGGAAGAGGATTTTGATAATTTACATTTAGAGTACATTTAGGGTCAGTTACACGCATACTATTTGCTATATGGAATGCAAAATCTTTGAAGCTCAATATCTCAAAATTACTTAGAATGCAGACAGAACCTTATAATTCCAAAGCAACATTTCTTTTTTTCTCTGAATGGAGCATCTGGTGCCTATATAAACATGTGCACCCATAACTTTTGAAAAGTCCACAAAATGTATTTGACAATTCAACAATGTGACCATCAGCCTTTATATAAGATGGCTACAATGTAATATAGGCTACTGGATAAATGATGTGCTTCTGTACTCACCACACAGCCAATCTTAGCCTGTAGAAGAAGCCATCTTAGATTGAAAGCTCCAAGTTGCTCAGCTAAGAGGATACGCTCACTGCGATTGGTGGATTCATTCATTGACTCTGCCCCTTTCATGCATCGGTGGTTCAGAAAGTTAACACATGGCTGCTGATTGGTTATTTCAGCCTTAACATGCTGAAATGAAAAAAAAAGTAGCTCTAAAACAGACATTGGATTTTCTATAATATAATGAAATATAAACTTGTAAATTATAATATTGTGAATTGTGAAGTGTGGGTTAAAGTTTCAACAATGTAATTAAAAATGTAATTACAGGTATTTATTCAACAATAAGCACAATGTAAAAACATGTATTTACAGAGGAAGTCCATTAACTGTCTAATTTCAGTGCAAGTACATATTAGTTAAGGTCAACTAATATTAAGTCAGTCCAAATATATATTTAGTAAACAGAATTCAGATTTTGCAGCAGAACAAGCATTTTTAAAGCAGAGCATAAGAAACTTCAGACGAACCTAACAAGATGACTGTAATATTCACAAATTATACAAATCAAAAGAATTAAAAGCGTAGGTGCAATACCTTTAAAGCTTGTAAATGTCTAGACAGCTCTGATGAATCCAGGGCACAATGAACCCCCGAGCTTTCATCCTCCAGCCGCCTCTCTATATGCTGCAGCCAGGAAGACAAATCAGCCAAGATCTGACTGTCTGACTGGCCTTCCAACAGCTAAGAAGATAAAGAGACGCTTACTGTAGCAATATCTGTTTGATGAAGCTATTAAGAGCAAATGAAGTGACAGAGGGAGTGAAGATGAGACATTAGTAATACTTCTTGCTGTGTCTGTTGAAGAGCGGGCAGCACGCTGGTCAGTTTTGTCCATTCCTCCTGGAGGTTAGCCAGTCGTGTCCGCAGATCTGGGGCTTCACTGTTTGTTAGCTGAAGGATCTGTGTGCCTGTGGATTCTGCTGACACTTTCTGTGCAGAACGAACCTCCAGATCCTTGAAGAACTCCTGAACACACAATGAAAGTCACAACACTGGGCATGGCGAATGTGGGCAGACAATATAAAAGAGAGATCAAGTCACCATGAGCTGGGTAAAAGCCATTCTGGACTCCGGCGTATCTGAACCAGAGAAACTCTTCCACTTCTGAAGCTGTTCATGAGCACATCTCATCCACTCCTCTAGTTCTGTTGAGTCACGCTGAAACCTATACACACAAATACACACCTCGGTATGCTTTACAGTGTAACAAGATTTGCTCCAAACCATGAGGAATTCAAACCTCCAAATAAAATCATAATTTGGTGAAGGGAAATTATAGATTTTTAAAATGATTCTACATTTTCCCCATACCTCTCATAATTCATTCTGATTTTCTGTGTAGACTGTATCTTCTGCTGTAGCTGATTATGAAGATGTTTCCAGTGCATCAACAGTGGGGATTTTGAGACAGTCTGGAATTTCCGTTCACAACAGTAACCTTGTTTCTGTAGAGACCTGAGGCAGTCTTCAGTCTCCCAAACCTGAGAACATGTGTCTTCCAGGATCTTGTGCAGCTTCTGATAAAGAGATGAAGTCAAACAAAATAGAAAAGAAAATAGTAAAAATTATAATAATAATAATAATAATAATAATAATAAAAAGGCAGATTAAAGACTGCAATTTACATGCTTTCACTTGGGACTTTTATTGTACCACCAATGCCTAGAATTAAAATTAAAACTAGAAGCAATTTAATAAAATAACTTAATATCACTGTGAAAAAATGAGTACGGCCCAATCAATATGCCAAAGAAAAATATTCAATAAAATATTAATAAAGTAAAAAAAAAAACATGAAATTTTGTAGTTTGTAAATCTTTTTTTATTTAACTGCATTATCTTTCTATTGCTAGATGATGTTATGAGACCATGCTCTTCTATTTAGTTTTTTATTAAGGTTTTTGAAGGCACAGAACAAACCCATCATGAAATAATAATCTGTGCAAAATGTTAAATAAAGCATGAAACAAGGGAAATGGTGACATACATAACCTATAAAAAGACAAAACAATGGTTGTAAACAAAGAGAGAAAACATTATCTATTAAAATTATAGATCTTCAGAAATTAAACAACATTACAGTATTAGTCTTTATGGTGTTTCAGGGGGAAAAAAGAAGTGGTATATGTAATTCTTTCCAAATGTAAAGTGGAGGTAAGTCCAAGAAGCCTAACATTTTCTTCTAGAAACAAAGGATAACTTTCTTAGCTATGATCATGCCATACTAAAGAGGTAACCATACATTTCAGTGGAGAGTCTCCAGAAAATCTGACCAGCCATAAATTGCTATCATAGTAAGGGAGTAAAACACAACCGTAAACCTTAGCAGAGAACTGAAATATCTCTAACCAAAAAATCTGAATTTGAACACAAGACCAAAAAAGATATGCTAATGTACCCTGCTACCTCACAGCAAGAAGGTCATTGAAGGTCATTCAAGGTCATTCAAGCCTCGGCTGGGTGAGTTAGCATTTCAGTGTGGAGTTTGCATGTTATCCCTGTGTTCGCGTGGGTTTCCTCCAGGTGAATTGGGCAAGCTAAATTGTTCGTACTGTATGTGTGTGAATGAGTGTGTGTGTGTGTGTGTGTGTGTGTGTGTGTGTGTGTGTGTGTGTGTGTGTGTATGTGTGTGTGTGCGTATGTATTTTTTTTGACATATCAGGACACAAATCTATATAATGGCATGGGTATGACACAGGTATTACGAAAAGGAGATGAAATATGAGGACAATGGTGACGTCGTTATTTCTCAAAAAGCTTCTAAATCACACAGGATGATTTTTTTCAGAGAGTAAACCTGTACACTTTTCTGTGATGGTTGGGTTTAGGGATTAGGTGGGGTGAGGGCAATACAATATACGGTTTAAACAGTATAAAACGAAAGGACACCTATGTAATGTACCCACTTTTCACAAAAAAACAAACGTGTGTGTGTGTTTTCCAGTGATGGGTTGCAGCTGGAAGGGCATCTACTGCATAAAACATATGCTGGATAAGTTGGTGGTTCATTTCGCTGTGGCGACCCCAAATAATGACAAAAATAATTTTTGGAAAAGTAAATGGATATTTCAATTAGACATGCTACTGAAAAATATAGAAATAACCAACTTTAGGTATTTTTTAAAGTGTTTTGTGTGAAACTACAAGTGACCTAAGAGCAGTACTGTGTTTACTCTAGTACCAAAGCCAAAAGCGGAACTTATTTAATAAGATAACAGTGTACAAATGAGTAAAGCCCAATGATTATGTTAAGGAAAATATTAAATAAAATGTAAATAAAGAGGGGGAAAAAAAATCAAGATAACCATAAAAATTATTAAATGTAGATTCAAATTTGTACTTTGTTTTTTATTTATTGCTTTATTTTTCCATTCCTAAAGATATCATGTGACCATACTCTTCTATTTTAATTTTAATGTAACCATTTAATAAAAGTATTAAACGCACCAAAATACATTGTCTATATTCACTGAGAAATGGAAAAATAATTTTCTGAATTTTATGTATGTATGACTACCAATGTTATCAAGTTTCATCAAGTTTTTATATAAACAGAAAGTTCAAAACAAAAATGAGACATTTTTATACTAAGAGGATCTATTGTAACTTGACTTTAATTTTCCTAAGCAGAAAAATTATAAAGCTTTCCAACCTTTGAACTTTTTTTAAGGTTTATAATATAATGTAGTGCAGTGTAATTAAATGTAATTTAATTAGTGTATTAATATAATAAAATGAAATGTAATGATAATGAATAATTTGTGTGTGTTTGAGCTATGTCTCTTACCATATGCTTCAGTGGTCTGTCAACATAATTTAACTTCAATATCTACAGTATATTAATAAAAACAAATGGCAAATGTTGTCAGGCATAAACATTTCAATTCATTCAGCTTTTCAAAACACCCAGTGATTACGTCTTAAAACTGATCAACTGAAGTGGTCAAAACTTTTAAAGAAAAACTTGAGAATCTGCTCCACCTCATCTCATCACATCACATCTCTCAGCTTCAAGCGCTTGCTCAGGTGGAAAGGCTTGTGGGAATGAGAGTGAGTCTGATGTCCATCTATTACAGACACAAAAAGGGTTGCTTGATGTTCCTCCAATATCAATCCACCCGAGTAATGAGCTTTGGTAGTTATGAAAGGAGAAATAGTACGAATACAACCAAGCGTACCACTGGTCGGCGTGAGGCAACGTATCTGAAAATGTGCTTTCGCAATTGTTATGGGGCAAAAAAAAAGAAAAAAGACAGGCCAATTCAAACAGCAGAACATGAAGTTCTTCAGATATGGCAACTATTGTAGTAATTGAATCAGGAACATTGTGTTCTAGACCAAAAAATATATATAATAATAATAATAATAAAGATCCTTGTGCTACATATAGCCAAAGAAAGAAGACCTTAACTTGGCCCTCCTCATACACCATCTCCAAAACGTATTACTTCTTGCTCGGGACCTAACAAGATAACTGTGTTCAGCCAGTAAAATGCAACCTTACAGCGTCTATGTGGTATAATAACTGAGAAATCACAATCCCTTGATCTTTTGACATTGAAGAGGTCTTAGTAATATAAAAAAACATCCAGTAAGTTTCAGAACTCAAAACTTTTGTTAGTCTAAAAACAGCATATATGGACCCTTTTCACATTTCAGAGTTTTTCAGCAGCGGAAGTCATCATAGTAGGGTAAATTTAGAGCGCAGTGAATAAGAGAGTACAACAAATATTTGTTGTACAATCCTGTTGAAAACCAAATGTCCAAATCCCTGCTGAAATCCCTGCTGAAATCATAAAAGAAAAACACCATGGTGGTGCTAGACTGATAACGATGGCGGAAAGAGAGAACAATGTCAGATTTTCTGTTCTGCCCATAGAAGCTTGGCTTTTTAACAAGAAAGCCTAGTAAGAGCTTGATTAGCTAGCCCAGGCATGTCTGATTAGGGTTGAAACTAAACTTTGCAGAACACTGGCCCTCCAGGACTGAGTTTGGACACCCCTGCCATAGATGCTGCATCACAAATGCCTCGCATATGCGGTAATTCGTTTTTGTAATTTGATGCAAAGATGATATAATATATACATAAATAGATATAAATGTTCATACATTAAAAAAAATCTAAATATTATAAACTTTTAAGCATTTAAGATGCTATTGTTACATTAAACAGTCTTTTGAAAAGGGTTTATTAAAGCCAATCAGCCAAAATGACAGGGCGGTGAACGCGTCACTTTATTATGTAATAGAGTGTATAAACCCCACACCCCACCGAAGAAAATCTAAGGCAAATCTACAAGTAATGTAAATAATGAGAGAGGCAAATCATAACTTTATATAGCTTTACATATAGATACAACTGTAACATTCCAGAAACATACACTGAATCAAATTTTAAAATCAAAGAAGCTCAGAAATACTGAGAGAGAGAGAGGCAACACTGCACTTTCCCATGCATGAGAAATGACTAACCTCATAGGACCGCAGCTGACCTTGCAGGTCTCCCTTCGGCTCTACATTGAGACTGGACATGTCTGTCTCCAGCTCATCCAACCGGCTGTGCAGTCTGTGAGAGACCTCCTCATACTGAGACCACTTCTGTAACACCCATACAACAGAGTATATTGCGATGCTCATAATTAATTAATAATTTGTTTTCTGCACGTCATAAACTCCTATGAAATATTTCCGTGTTACATTATAATTAAATCAAATCAAATAAAATCACTTTAATTGTCACATCATCAGCAGCATATGTGCTGTGATGAGTGAAAAGCTTAGGTGCTGGCTCCAGACTGTGCAAAAAAACAGACAGTGCAAAATACAACATACAACAACATACACCTACAAAAAAGACAATGTACATTTAGTTGTGTTTAGTTTTAATTGAGACACATAATGGCTCAATGTAAAAAAGGGGTGGGGAGGAAAAGTAATATTGATAAAAAAAATCTGAATAATTTATGGTATTTTTCAATGATGATATCTTTGTAATTTTGTTAAGTATTTATTTTGTTTGGAACTATTTTCGATGGTGTAAAAAAACAAATAAAAAACAAACAAAAAACAAACAATAGCATGCCTGCATATACATGCATGTATATTGCACCTCACTCAGTGTTAACTTGTTAAAATGTTGTCTAAAATTGTATAAAACAAGAATGAAAATGGTGTGATCTTACTTAAATATTTGATATCTTTTCAAATATAAAAATAAAGTGCCTCAGAAGAATATTATCTGCTTTCAGAGCTTGAATTATAGGGTTGATCTAATTGCACTCTAATCACAAAGTCAGTGCTTTAGGAGACACAATATGTATTTTCTTAAAAGTTACATGCGCAATAATGTCAGCTCACATTTTGTAAACACAATAACAACAACATTACTGTAAACAATAAAAGTCATACACTCAATTTATGAAATAAAATATTTGCTTTAATTAAACGATCTCTGTACCTCTGAGCTTTGCTGCATTTGGATGCCTTGTCTTTGTGCTCGATGCAGTAGATCCGATATCAGGTCCTCAACTTCTGCTTGGCCCTGCACTGCCCCTTCTGGCAGCTTTTGGAATAGCAGCTTTACCATCACAAGATTCTGCTGCATATCTTGGAAGTATTTCTGTTCCCAGTCAAGAGTAAACATCATTAGCATTCTGCATCTTTTTTTCCAAACAATACTTAAAATAGGTCAGTCTACAGTGTACCTTGTGTCCAGCAAGTAGATTGTGCAGTTGGCTGTAGTTGTGTGGCACTTCATCCTGACTGCGCAGGAGCCGATCAGAGCCCAAATCTAGCAGACCCTGCAGACCTTTCAAAAGAGCTTCACAGCATCTCTGAATCTCCTCGGTATTTTGTCCCGCTGTTTTCTTTTGGTCAATAACTAACATCCAGGTGCCGCCCTGCACATTCTTACAGAACAAACACTTGGATTAGTAACACCAAGGTTGCGTTTCACAAAAGCATTGTGAACTTAATGGTCCCATGAAATTTAAACAGTATTATTAGTTTAAGGTATCTATAAGCTAGTGTGCTTCAAAACAGTTATATAAATCGCGTTTATAAGTATAAAACTGATACAAACATGTAAAGCTTGTAGTTTGTCACTTCCGCCCAAATAGGTCAACAGTTTTATTCATGTCACCTCATACTTCAGTTTCTTATCAAATCATAACCAATCAAATGCTCTCTTGTATCTGACATGCCCCACCCTCTTCATGATGCTTCTTATTTGCTTTTCATTTGATGCACTTAAGCTCAACCACTCTCACCAGCTGAGCTGTGATAAACGCTACTGGCTGTTTTTAAAAAGGGAAGGGGCTACACTAAGTCCTACCTTCTCTTCGTGTTTCGGTTGAGATTACATCAAACACCGATTAAAAAATGCATACTTCTAAGCACTTCATGGGACCTTTAAGAAGTCTGTAAAAATGATTCTTATTACGGTCTGTTTCCCAAAGGCAAACATGTCTGTCTGTCTGTCTGTCTGTCTGTCTGTCTGTCTGTCTGTCTGTCTGTCTGTCTGTCTGTCTGTCTGTCTGTCTATCTATCTATCTATCTATCTATCTATCTATCTATCTATCTATCTATCTATCTATCTATCTATCATCTATCTATCTGTCTGTCTGTCTGTCTGTCTGTCTGTCTTTCTGTGTATTCCTTCATTTTCTTTTCAGTCTCTTTATTAATTTGGGGTCGCCACAGCTGAATGAACCGCCAACTTATCCAGCAAATACTTTACACAGCGGATGCCCTTCCAGCTGCAACCCACCACTGGGAAATATATATATATATATATACAGACATACACGCATCTATAGACTACCTCAAGATTTCATTTTCGTGTAGCCTTTATAAGTGCATTGATGATACCTTGGTGCTTGAGAAATCCTTGAGGAGTTTGGTTGCGTCTTGAGTCTGAGTGGCATTCAGCAGTGACACAGGAACATCCAACGGATGCTGTCTAGTCTGTGGACAGGCAGGAAACAAAAAGACACATAATGGCAGAATATTCATATTTATACTAATATTCTCTGAAATAGGACTGGCCAGACACTCGTCTGAGTAGTTCAAATACGAATAACCATTTTATTTGACATTATCTTCACATCATCCATTAATGTTCAACCTTTTAGGGTAATTACCCTTTTTTCTAAAATAAATTAAAGGTTTTATTCAGCAAGTTTGCATTACATCTATCCAATGTGACAGTAAATATACCACTTAGTTAAGTTTTTTTTTTTATGGTGTCCTCAATACACATGCACATATACTTCCTATAAATTACTAATACCAATAAATTATGAATGACTGCATTCAATTCACCTTAACCTAACCCCCATTCTAATACTAACTAAATAGTAAGTAAATTTAACAAATGATTAGTTACATAGTAATAAGGACTATATGTATATAAGGACTATGTATTTATACGCACACATGCACACATTTTTGACTGTCCATTAAATAATCCTCAAGATTGCACAATAAAAATAAGCAGCTAAGCCTCTGGTTCTCTTCTGGCTATAAGACTGATTTAGTTTAAAAAGAAAGACCCTTTTCCACCCACGCATAATCACTGAATAAGAGAAGTGATGTCTCATCTTGAGTTGGAGAATATAAGGCATACTATTAAAGGATCTGTTGAGACATTCTGGCAACCTTTTTAAACTCTTGTGATGGAAACAGACGCACACAACATGACAATATGAGGAAAAAAAAATAGCATCATATTTTGATTTTTTATTTTCTCTATAGACATTAAATTATATATTGTTCCTAGATCTGGTGTTCTGGGAAAGGGGTGTTTGTTTTTGTTTGTATGTTTGCTCTGTATGACGTGTAAAACCAATAAACAAACCTTATACCAAAAAAAATGCAGCTATAAACATTAGCCATTATTTTTAACATCAATATATTGATGTTTACATTTACATTTTTGTCATTGATGACAACATTTCATATTTGCAATTAAGTAAATTACATACTAAAATACATTATAAAATAAAAAATAGACATGAGATATATGTATTGATAATTCATGATATTACAGCTTTTATTGAATTTAAACCATGTGATCATTTTACAGTTTATTAAACTAGACAACAATTACTTTACATTATAATAAAATTTCACAATATTGCTGTTATACTACTGTGAAATATTTGCAAGTAATATCTGCAGCCTTTCTGAAAACAAATAACTTATTTCAAGAACAATTTTTAAATATTAAGCAACAGCCATAAACAAAGAAAAATAATCAAGACACATTGGTTTCTTAAGGCATTTTTCATGACTGAAACTGACCTCAGAAGAACTGATATCCTGTGATGTTTCCTTCAATGAGGAGAGAAGCTGGACCAAACTCTCCTGATCTTCAGACTTGCTGACGGCTGTTGTCTGATGAAGTGTGTGTTCCTGAGATGGGGTGCTGCTCTGGTAAACGGCTGTCTCATTCACATCTATCTGTAAATCCTGGAGAGTCAAGATTGTAGTATTTAGTTAGACAAATATTTTTAATTTGCTGTACTTTAAATCAGATGATACATGCAAGTTTACAGTTGGGTTTGACAGAATTACCAGCATTGCATCTTCCTGTGAAACAGATTCTGTGATGCCAAGAGAAGCATTAGCGTCTGGAGGTTTTGCCTCTGTCTGGGTCTGATCGCCATCAGTAACATTTATTGGGTCAGTGTCGAGTGTCTTTGAAATTAAACCTTCATTATGAACTGTAGTTTTAATTGAATTTCTTGTGCTCATTTCACCATTCATAGGTTCTTCTTTCTCATCCCCAGATTCAGACATCTTTTGAAGATCTTCTTCACTTTGTAACTTGGTGATTTTTGAATCAATACCTGGCTTGGCTGATTCTGTATCAGACATCTCAGTTTCTAAGTTTATACCTGGCTTGGATGATTCTGTATCAGGCATCTTTGTTCCTGAGTCTTTACCTGGCTTGGCTGATTCTGTATCAGGCATCTTGGTTCCTGAGTCTTTACCTGGCTTGGCTGATTCTGTATCAGGCATCTCGGTTTCTGTGTATTCGTTTAGATTTTTCTCAGCTATTTTTGTGGCATCAGGTTTCAGACTGTTATTATTTGTAAATTCTTGTAAGTGTTGCGATGTTAGTGCAGACAGACAATTTGTCTCTTCAGTCTCTGGTTTGCTGTCTTTTTCAGAGGATTCTGAAGACTCCAGTAAACAATATTCTGTGTCCTGTGATTCATGCTCGATCGTCACAAAATCTTTTTTTATTTCAGTAGTTGGTTCCTAAAGATCAAAATAAAGCAGTAGTAATGTAAACATGGTAGAGGTGATATACTATTCACAAAAATATTAACTATTTTAAACTGTTTCCAGCAGTGATGATAATAATAAACTAGCAAACTGGACTAAATTGTGAAAGACACTGGAGACTGGAGCAACGATACTGGGAATTCAGCTTTTTGTGACAGGAATGCATGGATTTTTATATAATGCAATATATAATAGTTATTTTAAAAATGCATCATTGGTGAACATAAAACATTATCAAAAAAAAAATTTAAAAATTAAAGACTCCAAAATTTTGGTAGCGCAATGCATTATTCTAATAACAGACTGGTTACCAAGCATATCAGAGCCTTAATACATAATATACAGTTATGCAAATGTCATTAATGGCATTCTACAATGATCAGATATCATTTCAAGAGCAATATGAAAAATAACGATGATGAACTAACTACTACAAATCAAAAAAATTGCTCAATTTGAGTCTTTACCTTAAAGTCATACTCTGTTAAAGCTGGAGCTGATTCTGACTTAATATCTTCATCCACCATTGTTTCATCTGGGTCCTGGAACAAAGAAAAAAAAAATTAAATGATTTGGTTTATTGAAAGAATAGACATCTTCAAGGCAAAGGAGGAGAGCAGCTGTTACTGTAAGAAGAAGTGGAGTTATATCCGGCATTAGTCCTCAGAAAACCAAAGCAAAGAAAAAAAAAATGTTTGCGAAGCTGACTGAAAGGGAGACATTTGGAATTGCATAACCAACAGTACTGCGATAACTACGGTCATGCAATTCTGAGACTAACAAAAGCATGAAATGGTCATTTCTAACTAGAGATGCATATTTACTGGTTGAATTTTGATTGTTTAAAAACTCTCTACACATACAGTATAGCATAGGGTTGATATAACAAGGAACTGATTATCAATTTTATAATCAATTCTTAATGTTTTACAGTTCCGACACAGTGCAAAATTAACATGACATGAAGAAGACTTTTTATTTTCTAGAAGTATTCTCTAAAAGTATGCAGTAGTGTCCAGTAAACATGAGTCGGGCTAAACTGGGTTTGTGCAAGATGAGTGGGTCTTCACAGGAGCAACACTATCAGAAAGTTATGATGAAGAATAACTGAATATGAAAAATATCTGAATGTGTAAAGCACTGATTATACATGTTAAATACTGACATGAAGCTATACTGCATATGTAAGAGGCATTCAGAAGAGTGATTGACATTATTAAGACCTGAGCTAGTAGGGTTGAGAGCCGAGAATAACAGGACCACCTAAACATATACTTGACCTTTCAGTAAAGACCTCTGTAGACGGTCACAATTACACAAAGGTGGGGCAAGAATCTGTATAAAAGCAGGATCGTGGATCTTGTTTTCAGACATCTTGGCTTTGTGGCTCAATAAAGCCTATTTTTTTGGTAACCAAAACCTCCAGTCTGATCGTGATTAATGAATGAAAAGGCCAGGTAACTACAACACATAACACAAAATTGTAATAATAATGTAAATTTAAATTATCCCTAATTTAATTGACATCGTATTGCACGTCATGAGTTTGTGAGAATCATATAAGTCATACTCATGTTTGTGTTTTAATAAAAATGTGTATTACAAAAGAAAATCTACTAAAGAACATCATCTCAACATCTACGAAAACAGAAATGTATGCAGTTAAAGTGTTTATATAACTAATTGATGGCTGCTAAAAAATATACAAACATATTTTGCTATTTTCTGGAATTTGAATGAATGAATGAATGAATGAATGAATGAATGAATGAATGAATGAATGAATGAATGAATGAATGAAAACACACATACTCCTGGATGAACCATGAAATGTCTATGCATAGTATTTTTCAGTTACACTTTATTTTAAGGTACAATGCTCACTTTTAATAAACCATTAACTATGACATTTTCCTGAATAAACTCCTAACTTACTGCTTAATAATAATTTAAGTAGTACCTAAACTAAAGTGTTACCAATTTGGAAATGTGTGTAAACATAAACATTCTTGCCAAAAAAAAGTAGATGAAGCCTATACAAAATGTAATTTAAGTAGTTTAACAAGCTAGCAAGTATATCCTACTGCATACAGTGTGTATTGTGTGTCTGATAATAGTGACCTATTTCAATTATTTAAAAAAAATCTAATAAATTAATCAAAATCAGCAAATAGTTGACCAATTAAAATCCATTCAGTGCATCCCTAATTGAAAACATACAACATCATGAAGAGAAAATAGATCAAAGCACAGGTGAGCAAGTCAAAGACTGTATAAATAAATGGTCATATAAATATTAACATATATTTATAAATATATTTCTACTCAGTGTTCCAGTTCATTTTTAGAAATGGAACAAGAAATGCATGCAAATGAGCAGCCATAGCAAAAGAGGTCCAGAGAGAACAAAAAGCTCAGAAATGCTCTCTTTTTCAGGGCTTGGCGAAAGAGAAACATCAAGCCTGGGAGATAATCTAGAGGATTCCAGGGCTTTACCTCTGGAACACTGCATGTGAGAGTTCCTGAGGATGAAGACCGACTGTCTTCATCTTCCTCCTCAGTGTAAAGCCCGTCCACAGACATCTGCTGCACTCAGGTTATAAATTGATATATTATTTCTTTGAGGTCTTTATAGTGACAGATTAAGTCTTATTTAGTTCTTAATCAGACTCTTCCTTGTCTTAGGCCTGTTTTACACCTGGCATTAAGATGTTTTTTTTTAATCAACACAAACAAGAGGACATACAGGTGTAAATGCAGTGAAAAAAAGTTTTGGCCTAGTCCACTTTTTGACCACTTCGAGATGTGACCCAAGTTTAAAACAAAGTCAGTTGAATGCTTTCAAACATCTACTCTCTGACTACTGACCTCTTCAGAAATCAGGATCGTTCAACCAAAAATGAAATTTCTGCCATAATTTACTTTTTTCTTGATTTATTTAAAAGTATGAGTTTCTTTCTTCTGTTGAACACTAAAGAAGATATTTAGAAAAATTGCTTCTCTTCAAAAAGAACATCTGATCCAGCACATATGAATGGGTGCATATTTTTCTTAAAATACAGGTTTGTGAACCTGTTTTATTTAATATTATGCATCATTAATATCTTGTCTTATTTTAATGCAAAGCAACATAGAGGGATGCGATTTAGGTCCTCAAAACTTTGCATGCTTATTTTTGGTGTTCTAAGATTTCATCAAATGAGTTTGAATGTAGACAATAACGTACATACATGCTTAAGCATTATAAATGCTGTAGTGGGGCGAGGCAGTGGCGCAATAGGTAGTGCTGTCGCCTCACAGCAAGAAGGTCACTGGTTCGAACCTCCACTCAGTTGGCATTTCTGTGTGGAGTTTGCATGTTCTCCCTGCCTTCGAGTGGGTTTACTCCGGGTGCTCCGGTTTCCCCCACAGTCCAAAAACATGTGGTACAGGTGAATTGTGTAGGCTAAATTGTCTGTAGTGTATGAGTGTGTGTGTGAATGTGTGTGGATGTTTCCCAGAGATGGGTTGCGGCTGGAAGGGCATCCGCTGCATAAAAACTTGCTGGATAAGTTGGCGGTTCATTCCGCTGTGGCGACCCCGGATTAATAAAGGCACTAAGCCGACAAGAAAATGAATGAATGAATGAATGAATGAAATGCCATAGTATGTATAAAATTTTATCTTAAAATATTAACTTTCATAGCTAGAGTATATTTAATGTTTACTAAGCATTTGCAAGTAAAAAAAGTATTACTTTAGTTTGATGGTTCCTTTAACAAATTTTGTTGACTTTTAAGATACATTGAAACTAGATGATAACTAATTCTCATGAGATTGTTATTAGACTGTAAGGATAGGGTTAGGTTTGACGGGAATGTTTGTTGGTGAAGCATTGTGGGCAGATATTAAGTATAGTCTAATAGACAAATAGTTTAATAATACTTTGATGTGAATTAGTTCACATGTATTTGCAATTTGACTAATAGTCAACAAAATGAGCAAAAGGGAATCAAAATAATTTACCAAAATGCCAATCATACCAAAAACCAAAAGTTCAAAAAAGTCTTTACATAATGTAAAATTTTTAACTGGACAGTATATAAAGCTCATTACACCATATTAAATTGAAAAAAAAAAAAAATCTGAAAAAGCCAGAGCATAAACACACCCGTATACCTCTTCATTGCAGAAAAGTGGTTGAAAGTGGACAAACAAGATGAATTATAGCAGGTGTAAACAGCAGAGTATCTCACTCTCATCCACATATTATCTGATCAGTCAAACCGCATCTTATTAGCATCAGGTGTAAAAAGGGCCTACAAGGTGTATTCTGAGCTGGGGAAGGAATAACTTTGAGCTGTGTTTTTGACTGGACTGATGGACTCACCTTCACATCTTCAGAATAAAGCTGTGGCATCGGCACTTCTGAGGGTTGGTCTGAAGGGAGAATCAATTCAGCTGGCTGTCCAATAGAGGCCTAGAAAAAAAAGTTTCATTAAGTCTTTAAACTTGTACAAATCAAAGTCAAGGTCATAGCGTCACATGAAAAAAATCATGAGAACATCCGCAAGAGTGTATTTACAGGATATTACTCTTTGCCAATAAAGTCAAGCCTGCAATGATTTAGTGATGCACCATTTTAGCACTTCATTTTTAAGCACAATCAGAGAATTCAAGGTTCCCACACATCTCTTCTCTGAGTTGGCTTTATACGCAGGGATTTTCTAGTCTTCTTTCATTCCCACAGACATGAAAGCAAAGACAAGAGGTTATGCTCTGGTCACGGTCACCAAAAACTCCACAAATTTACTGCACTAACTAATATCATGTTCTTTGAAATGGCTTTAACTAGTCCAAAGGCCATTTTATATGCCTCTACTTGATGCTGCAACTGCTGAAAATGCATGTGCCAAATCAATTTATCAAGCTTCACTGTCCTTTTGGTTTCTAAAATATGTATTTTTAATTACAACAGCTTATTTAATAAATAAATAAATAAATAAATAAATAAATAAAAAATAAATAAATATATATATATATATATATATATATATATATATATATATATATATATATTAATATATATATATATATATTTTAAACGCCCTAAGTAGTGAACGCTGCTGTTCAAGAATTGAATAAGCAAAATTCCTTGCAGGAGAGTAAATAGGAGTAAAGGCTGATTTATACTTCTGTGTCAAACGCACGTGTTTGCTACGGCGCTGTGGCATAGCCCTTCGCCGTGGTCGCTGACATGCACCTCTCAAAAAATTTAACTACACGTCGCAACGACGCATAGCGCAAGCTCTGTGATTGGTTCGCTTGGTAGCGCTGGAAAATCTGGGCGGGACCGAGAGCCGCACGAATGGTGCGAGCCTGATGGAGCGATTGTTTACAATCGCTCCATCAGGCGATGGAAAAGTGTGGAGAACCGTGAAGGAGCTCCGGATGGAAAGTTTTGTTCTGTGTTTACCTCATAGTTAAAGTTGCACGTCCGCCGGCTCCTGCCTCAAAATGAGCGAGTTTGAGCCACTTGTACATTCAGGAAGTGTACAGGAAAAGCAAAACAGCAGCGAAGAAACTCAACACAGAGGAACATTTACACCTCACTGCCAACTAGTGTTTCGGAAGTGTTAATGCAGACCAACAGAGATAACGCGCAGAAGTATAAATGCACAGCCACGCACGTTGCATGCGCCATTGGTTACGCCAGTCACTTGACGCAGAAGTATGAACCAGGCTTGAGAGAGAGAGAGAGAGAGAGAGTGAACAGACCGTTAGTGCTGCGCTGTGCTGCACACTGAGCTGCTGGAGCTCTTGGATGGGTTGCAGGAGCTCTTGAGAGCGACTGAAGACTGTGAGAGTTTGCTCTGCCCCTGCTGGAAGACCCAGACCTGGCCTGCAGCTCTCGATCTCATCAATGGTCCTCTTCATGGACTGGACATTATCCAGAATGACCTGGAACAGAGGAGAGTAGAGACATGTAAAACTAGATCAGCTGAAACAGAAGGGGGTGAGACGAATCGTTTGTTATACCTGTATGTTTTCCAGATGCTCCTCGGGAGAGATGTTTTGTGTGTCAGAGGCTGAAAGAATTGTTCTGATTTTAGTTACATTTTTCTCCATCGTCTTCACCTCTGCTTCAATGGCATCCATCTCCTACATGGAAGCAATGAGTGAATTTAAAAATGTGGAAAAGTTAGTTAGTTATAAAAAATAAAACAACAGTAAAAATATAGAAAAATATAAGTGCAATATTTAATGAAAATAGTTCACAGTATGACTAATTTTGATCAAATAAATGCAGCCTTGGTGAGCATATGAAGTTCCTTAAAAAAACTTTGGAAAGGTAATGTATATTTTTAACACAATAAGTCTTATAAACCTGAAAACAAAACTCGTGCATGTTTTGTTTTCAGGTTTAAAGACTTATTGTGTTAAAATATACATATTTTGATAAATAATATACAATTCCTTGCCAAAGGTTTTTTTAAGAAACTTCATATGCTTCATTTATATGCTTTATTTATTTTGAATCCTTCCTTTTCACAATTCTAACTTAACTGAGAAATGCTTTAACACTTTATTTAATAACATTTTTGTGGAATTTTCTTTTAATAAAAGGGCTGTGTTTAATATCATAAGCTTTTCCATAGTATCAAAGCTGATGTAAAGACTTAAGGACATTCATATGGTATTGCAGGACCATAGCCCGGGGGTATTCAGATGGTTCAGAAGACCAACGCCTCACTGACAAAGGTCCAGAATTTGCCCCATACATAAACTCATTTGTCCTGTTTTGACTGCCATGCCATCATGAATAGTGAAAATGAATAGTGAAAATAGAAAGGCTTTAAGACCCGTGTGACTTCAGCTAACAATTTTACCGAATGTTAACAAGTATTTTTCATGAGTCCAACATACAGCTGTGGAAAAAAACATACAATCTGATTATTATTATTATTATTAATATTAGTGGTATTATTATTATTATTATGTTTTAACAATTTTTTTATTCAAATAGCCAAATTCTGACTGAGGAAAGTTGAATGTGCTGGCCAGTTTGTTACTTGTCTAATAAATGACAATTGGCTACAGTTTATAAAACTTTAACAGATTACGTTTTGTTTTGTAATGATATATGATGTGATAAATTTGTACTTATATTTAAGTAAAAGTAAATAAAAAATATTTTTTGGTACATCACAAAGTGTGGTTATGATCTGACAAGCTAATCCAGCTAAAAACAGTGCTTAAAACCTCACTAAAGTACAGTATTTAAATATCATAAATAAATGTGAAATGAGGCAAATAACCGCAAAAGGTCCACTTATTGAGAGAAAAGAACCACCCCTTTCACCAGGCTGGTTACGGGCCGGTATTGGTTCAAGTACAAATCCAGTACTTTATCTTACCAAATCTGAACACACATAGTAAAGCAGATTAAAGACTAATGGAAGCTTGCTGTAAAAATGTGTATGTTTATATTTAATTCTATAAATGGACATACATATCTAGTTGCAATAAGTAAAATGCAGCTCTGTAATATGTTAAATGATAATTATACCTAATAATTTACATACACTGTAATAAGTGATATCCTTTTACATACATGTTTTTGGTAACACATTATACAAATCTTATTGATTGAGTTAATTTGTTAAATTATGTATTTTACACAACAGACAACTTAAATGCTGTTAAAAATGTCATTTTAAATACTGGTATTATAGTAAAAACAATTCTAGGAAAGCAGTTCCAGGAGGCAAACACTGCACCATGATAGAAAGGAGAATTTTTGGCAAGGCTATAAATACACACAATAACTTTAACATTTATTGAATGTAATGCAATTTCTTACAGCTGCAAGGTGCTGAAGGTGAGAGAGAGGCTCCAGAACGCTTTGCTGCATGAGTGTGATGTTTTGCATCCCCAGGTGGAGCAGCTGTTTTTGAGGGGAGATGTCAAACACTGGACTGATTTCCTGAAGGGAAGGCATGAACGTCTCCAGAGCTGCCCTGTAGCCCTCTGATTCGTCTAACATCATCTGCAGACACAACACAAGACATGTTACTGCATTGGGTTTATATCAAGTATGGTAAGTTCAACTCCACTGTTTTCATAATAACGAAACATCTAACTTCAATATAAAACCCTAACAAATATTCACAAATATTCTGACTTTAAGTGAGTTGGCGTGTCCGTGGATGCATTTGGCAGTGGTGTAGGTTCTAGGTGTGAGCAGCCAGGGCTCAGCCTCCTTCAACCAGCAGTTGGTGCTACTGAGTAAAGCCTCATAGTCCTGCAGACAGGCCGGGATCTGATGGGAGTGAAAGCAAGAGACACAAGCAATCAGGGTTGCAGTCAGTGGCATTATATACAGGCACATCTAAAAAAATGGGAATATCATGGAAACGTTTTTTTTTTTTTTTCTTCAATTTAATACAAAAAACTAAAACTTTTTTAATTCTAGATTCACTGCACTCAACATGAAATGTATTGAAGTTCAGAAGTACATCAGTACACTTAAATAAAAGTCTCAGCAACGTCCAGGTTTTGAGCCTGTATGTTTGGTTGTGAGATAATAGAAGGATTGTGAGTGAGATCTGACTTTGCTGATGAGGGCTGTCCTGTGCTCTGCCTGTTTGGCTGTGGTCTGGTAGAGCTGCAGAGGCTGTGTGAGCTGGTCCATGAGGATGTGTGCTCTCTCAGGCTGCTGTTCTGCCAGATCCTGAACTTCGCCCTCTAACTCAGCTATCCGAGTGTGCCACTGGTCCAGCTCATCCCATATTCGCTGCACACACACATGCAAATGCACATCAGAAATCAGGTACTCATTCACTAATTCATTTTATTTTCGGCAAAGTCTCTTTATTAATCCGGAATCGCCACAGAGGTATGAATCGCCAACCTATTTAGCACGTTTTTATGCAGCAGATCCCCTTCCAGCCGCAACCCATCTCTGGGAAACATCCATACACTCATTCACACTTATACACTATGGGCAATTTAGCCTACCCAATTCACCTGTACCGCATGTCTTTGGACTGTGGGGGAAATCGAAGCACACAGAGGAAACCCACGCGAACGCAGAGAGAACATGCAAACTCCACACAGAAATGCCAACTGACCCAGCCGAGGCTCGAACCAGCGACCTTCTTGCTTTGAGGCGACAGCACTACTTACTGCGCCACTGAAATCAAGTACTGTATATTTTAATGAACATATGAGGGGAAAGTTAAAGAAAAATTGGCAGCGGGTTTAGTTAGAGCTAAACGACAATGGTATTTTTAGAGGGAAGTTTTACATTTTATAAAACTTTTATTTCAAATCATGATAACCCGATTTTTTTTTATTAAACAGTTGCAAAATAAATTCAAATGTATTAATAAACCGAGAAATCACCAGTTAAAAACTAAATCATTTATTGCACATTACTTTGTTACTGTTGTTCAATCAACAGCTGCTGTCCAAAGTCTAATAATGCATGTCACTGTAATTTGCATATTCAGCTCTGAATACCTTTGTTAAGTGAGGAGAACTAAAATATATTTGTTTGTTTATTCTTAAAATGTTTGTAGTGTTTAGAATGTATGCAAATTTGTAATTTTATAGAGTAGGATTTTGCATTATTTCTGAATGTGATGTTAAAACCTAATTTATACATAGACGCAACTGTGTCTTTTTCTTTAAACAAATCAACTGTGACCATGTCTGACATATAATAAGTTGTGACAATGTTGTGAAAAAATATGCTACATTCATATGCAGAGTAAGAATACAATAAATGGTAACACTTTATTTTGATGGTCCATTTGAGTATTAGTAGATTATCTGCTTAATATCTGCGGTTACTGCTCCTTTAACAGACATTTAACTGACTATAAGAAACTTTGCATGAACATGTCAACTTATACTAACCCCAACCTAACAGTATACTTATAATCTAATAAGAATTAGTTGGCATGTAAATGCAATGTAACTTAAATTCAACAAACGGACCATCAAAATAAAGTGACCCAATAAATGAACAAATAATAATAAAATAGAAAATAAACAGAAATAAAACAAACAAACAAAAATGAAGCTGTAGCTGTGTCCCAAATGGCACACTATACACTACGCACTCATGCACTATGTACTTATGCACTTACACACTCAACAGCATAGTGCATGTATGTAGTGTCGTCCTAAATGGAACACTAATGTTTTTTACTAAGCAGAAATTCAACCCTTTCCCTGATGACGCTTGACGGTTGCCAAATTATGGTAATAAATGAACAAAGTACCAAATAATATCTGCCGTGAGTATAACCACATTCTCCATCGGGAGGCGCTATAATCACTCTCATTGGAGAGCTTCGCTTTCACAATCCAAAATAAATAGTTAATCAACATGTGCGCCCGATAGCTCCGCCCCTTCCGCTACGTGAGCAAAACTGCAGTGAGTGTGCGAAGGGTTCATCATTACACACTTAATTTTACCAGTCGAATGAGTGCATCACTCAGGTATTTAAAGTGCACTTATTATTTTTTAGTGTGAGTTTTCTGTGTAAACGCACCACTTACATTATTTAAACTACAAAATGGCGTAGAATAGTGCTTAAATATGCAATTTGGGGCGGATCTAGTGAGTAATAACCATGTTTTTCAGAGTGTTTTGTCCTCTGCAATTTACTAGGTCAATTTTAACATTGTGCTTGTGGAGGCAAGCAAAAGAAAAGTACCTTTTGTGTACGTTCAGCCTCAGAAAAATTAGGACTTGTTTGCTTCAGCAGACCCTGAACACATAACAAGCCCACCGTCACTTCTCCAATCTGCTCTCCCATTTTACGGAGAGGACCACTTTTCTCCATGACCATGGCCAACTGAAACACACAGATAAACAGGCATACAAACTTGTAACAAAGTAAACACAGCTTCTGTATAACATTTTATTTCCCCATGCATTAGACAATGTGCAGATTAATTTTATTTGTCTCTGTATTTTATAACTTAACTTAATTTTTAAGTCAGAACTTATTTCTATTTAGCACAAATGCATGTTTCTAGTTAGTGCAACTAACTATAAAGAAGTGCCAGGAAGGTGTCTGAAAGACCCACTGTGAGCCAATAAAAGGTTTTCTACAATTGGGCTGTAGAGGGTTTGCAGAGCTTGCAGAGAGGTTTTCACTCTGTAAAGTCTTCAACCAGCTAGGCCTAGCAGTAGTAGCTAGGAAGATGGCCATTAAAGAGCCCATATTATGGGTTTTTGAAAATTCCCCTCCATGTAGTGTGTAACACAGCTCTAAATGAAGTGAAGTATCCAGCTAAGGCTTAAATCTGTAAGAGTACAGTGTTTAAAATGGTTGATTCATCTATAAAAGAGTCGACTCATAGTGCTTCAAACGAGTCTCCTTGATACCGAGTCATTAGGTGTTTCACCATGACGTACGAACGAAACCAAGTTATTCACGTGCACGCGCAAACCCGGGAGATTTCAAACCTGAGGCCCCGCCCTCTGACGCAGAAACCCAGACACACACACACAAACACACGCACACAAACATGCCGGTCGATTGAAGTCACACTGCAGATGGATATTATATCGAGTCTCTACCCAAAGATGAAACATCAGCATTATAGCCAAGCATTTGTAAACTACTGGAAACTTCTGCAAACTACATGCTACAAAGAATACTTCATCGGCGTTTGTTAAAGGAAGGATCAGTAAAGAGTAACTTACTGATGGACGTCAGGATGGGTTTCTTCCTCCATTTCTCAAGTGTAAGTACGTGCGATTAAAGTTGTTGCCTCGTTGACTCTAGCTTGCAAATGTATTTAGTTGTGATTTGTGACTTGTAACCGCGTGTACTGTATCAGGTTAACTGGCTATATTCTCTTATCACGTGCAAAGTCATGTAAAAATGTGATGCGTGATGCTTTGTTTAAGGAGCTCCGTGGACGAGGGTAGTGTGTGTGTGCGTGCGCTGTCGTCCGGAGGTATGTGTGTGTGTTTGTGTGTGTGTGCGCGCGCGTTGTCGCCCGGAGGTGTGTGCGCGGACGAGGGCAATGTGTTTGTGTGTGTGTGTCTGTGAAAAGAGCAGAGTGAGACAAGCTATGTGATCTCCTCGACAGTTTTTGGAGTTTTTGCTCAATAAAATAGTTAGTCTTCTGAATTTTCAAGTCCATCGACTGTATTTACATTGACCCACTGGCAGCTAACCCACTATCAAGCGTTTATGAACTGTGATTACTTTTATATTGCTGATTAGCTGTTTGGCATTTCACTCTGACTGAAGGCAGTCGACCAATCGCAACAGGCTGTCATTGGTCCAATCAGCGCAGATTAGCTTCGCGCTAAGGAGGGGTTTGGGAACAAATGAATCACTGGACGATTCATACATGAGTCGCTGGGATAATTAGGTAAAAATAAATGCAGATTATAAGACCATGAAAGTGTTTTTTGACCTTGCATGCATATTAGACTGTTGTTGGAAACCCTTACAACCAAGATATGACCCTATTTCATGTATAATATGGGCTCTTTAAGTCTGTTTGTGAAGCTGCAGAGAAAGCCACAAGATGGCTATGGACAAGAGGGCTGATCCGTGGGTGACTGGGCTACTGGGACGCAAGCTGGGGTCTGATCAACCTCAGCTGAGTCACCTGGGCGAGGGTGTCTGATGTTGAAAGACCCAAAACCCCTAAGACCCAGGATGCATTCCTGACGATGTGTCTCAGTGCATCTAGATGATGTATCTTGGACACATGGCAACTTAATTTTCCTAGTTAGCACAACTTCTTTTTCCTTGTCACTGCAATTTAGTTTTTTTTAGTCATTGCAACCTAATTTTGCTAGTTAGCACACTGCTAGTTCTTGTTAACTAATGCATTAACAAAAACAATGTTTAATTAACACAGATTAAGTAATGCATAACAGATGTGTGGTTCATTGTTAATTCATGCATTAACTAAAGTTAACTAATACAATCAACGCGTTACCCTTAATTTGTGTAGTTCTCATAACTTAATTTTTGAGTTACTTAAACGATTTTTTGTAGTTCTCATAGCTTAATTTTCCTAACTACTGCAACTTATTTTTTTTATAGTTAGCACAGCTTAATTTTGGTAGTTAGCAATAATTAATTAAATAAATGCATTAACTAACACATTAACATATGTTTAGTTAACAATAACAAAGATTAACCAATGCACAACAGAAGTGTTAATTCATGTTAATTAATGCATTAATGTTTAGGTAAAGTGTTAACCAAAAACAAAGCTTCATCCAGCTTTTTTCAGCACACTTCAGCTATGTCTGAAATTGCAGTCCGTCTCACAGCATCGTGTAACACTTAATTCTAAAGATGAATAAATGTAATACTTTGTCCTTTGCCTCCTGCAGTGAGGCATTGAGCTCATTCTGTAAGATGTGAATCTCCGAGGGCACAGATCTCCATCTCTTCATCACTCGCTCCATCACATCTTGCAGTCGAGCCTTTTGTGACACCAGTTCCACTTTGACTTCCTGCAGAGCAATACAACACCATGAATACAATATCGACAGAGTCCCTTCCCTGTCAAACACAGGCCATGAAGCACAAACCTGTAGGTGTTCGGCAGCTGATTCGGACTGTAAAACAGTCAAAAGAGAGAGAATATTCTGCTGAATGGAGCTCATCTCCTCCTGCACGCGACCAAACTCCTGCATTTCAAACAGCAGCTCTCTGCGGATGCTATTGCTCTGATCTCTTAGACTGTAAATGAAAAAGAAGATCTGTAAAATTATTTCTCAATGTGTGTGTGTGTGTGTGTGTGTGTGTGTGTTTGTGCATGCAGGGCCCAAATCAATTTGCTACACGGGCCAAGGCTGGTTAAAATTTATCCTCCTTGATATATATATACATATAATTTTACTGGCAAAGAAACTGTATGTGCATTATTTATTTAAAAACAGACAGATTGAAAATTTGCTATTATTAGTATTACTATTGTTGTTGTTGTTATTTCATTAAATATTATATCAGTGGAAGATTGAATTGCTATTTAAGAATGTTTTTCTTTGCTTTCACATGTTAAATGATAGACTTGTGTTGGCGTTCTTTTCTGGAATGTGTTGAAGTACTCTTCTGAAATGCTTCTCTTATGTTAACAGCAGATTTATAAACCATTCCCTTTATAAACCATTTCAAAAATGTTTGGCACATATTTGCTGGCATATTTCTATAATTACAATGAATTAGAGATTTCTTATAATCACACTACACCATACTGAGATCTCAAGAATTGTTAGAATTGCTAAAAGAATTACAGTGTGTATTATAAACGTGTCAACGCTGAATTTTTCTCTCATTTGTTCCTTGGCAAGTGTTCATTTTAGACTGTTTGTGGATGAAACAGTCATACCTTCTGCAGTGACCCAATAAAGACTGCAGGTCCTGACAGATTTGAGGAGATTCTTTCAACTGCTGCAGATTTGTAACCCCGAGCAGTCGAGTCACATGGTGTTGTAGTGATGCCAGAGTTTGATGTTCCTGTTCAATCCCGTCCTGAAGGTGATCAGTGAGGCTCAAAAAACCCTGAAGATCCACAAGTGATCCCGTCAGCGGAGATGAGTCTGGGAGATCAGTCTGAAGTCTGTGAAGACCTTCTTTTGACTTATTAAGCTGCACCTCACAAGCAAACAGGAAGAGAAATTAAGAGTTTTATATTAATTTTGCATTAATCATTTTACAGTGAGCCTACATAAAAAATTAATTAAATAAATAAATACATGTATCATATATCAATAATATAAAATATAAAAATAAAATAAAACAACGTCCATTTTGTAGAAAGTAGTGTAAAAAAAAGACAAAATAAAAAAAATAATAAAAAATACAATAAAATAATATAAACAAAAATAAAATAAAACAGCCAACTCCCATTTTGCAGACAGTAGTATAAAAAAATTATAATAAAAATTAAAGACTAAAAAAATAAAATAAACAAACAATTATAAATAAAATAAAATGGGCATACCCATTTTGCAGAAAGTAGTGTACAAAATAAATAAATAAAAAATGAATAAATAACTAAATAAAATTAAATAAACAAAACAAAAATAACTATAAAATAAATAGGCCATAGCCATTTTGCAGAAAGTAAAGTGAAAAAAATAATGAAACAAATAAAAAAAACTAAAATAAATAGATAAATAAATTAAATTAAATAAACTAGAAAAAATATATAAATAAATAAAATAGGCCATACCCATTTTGCAGAAAGTAAAGTGTAAAATAAATAAATAAATAAACCAAAAAAGAGAAAATAGGCCATACCCATTTTGCAGAAAGTAGTGTAAAAAATCTAAACAACAACAACAAAAAAAAAAACAATAAAATACTCCATACCCATTTTGCAGAATGTAAAGTATAAAAAAAACATCATAACAAAAAACAAAAACAAAAAAAAAAAAACTATAAAATAGGCTATACCCATTTTGCAGGAAGTAAAGTGTAAAACAAAATAATAAAATAAAATAAATAAATAAATAAAAAACGAAATAAAAATAAAATAAAAATACTTCATACCAACATCAAAAAGTCCTACTTTATAAATGCTTTACATTTTTAAGTAGCCGGGGGTATGTAAATGTAAAAATAAATGTAAAAAGACAAAACTAAATTTAACAAAACAAAACAAAAATGGCCATATCTGGAAAATATTCATTCATTTTCCTTCTGCTTTGTCCCTTTATTCAGTAGTGGTTACCACAGCGGCATGAATCGCCAACTTATCTAGCATTTGTTTTACGATGCTCTTTTAGCTGCAACCCAGTACTGGGAAACACCCACACATTCTCACATGCACACACATACCATAGCCAATTTAATTTATTTAATTCACCTATAGCGCATGGGCTGTGGGGGAAGCCAGAGCACCTGTAGGAAACCCACACCAACATGGGAAGAACACGCAAACTCCACACAGAAATGCCAACTAGCCCAGCCTGGACTCAAACCAGCGACCCTCTTGATCTGCGGCAACAGTGCTATCCACTGAGCCACCGTGTCACCTCTCATGGAAAATCAAAAATAAAATAAGCAAATAAAAAGCCTGTACCCGAATCATGAAATCTCTCCACTCTGCTTCTTTATGGGATGTGCTGGCTTTAAGTGCTTCCACTCTGTTCTTCATCACAGCCCAACACCTCCACAGATGTCCCAGCATCAGATCCACAGGTGCACTGCAACGACTACCAGGACAATGTTCCCTCAGTTCCTCTAGACTTTCTGCCAGTTTCTTTAGTTCTGTCTGGAGCACCTGCAGATCAAGACAATTTCAATGCATGGCATCCTAGCATACAAGCAAGAAGACAAGAAAACCCTAAAAATTCAGAAGCCCAAGCATGTAAATCAAAATGAATCATAATTAATTTTAATCATGATCTACATTTCCTTTCATTTATTTAGCAGACACTTTTATCCTATGCAAATTACAAACAATGTCAGCTGAAGCAAGTAAAATCAGAGCAGTACATGCAAATTACTGCAATGCATTTAAGCCTCTACCGCATGGTGTTGCCATATGGCAACGTGATATTTAAGTTCATTTCCCTGCCACTGTTTCTTTAAGACCAACATTGTAATTTTTTATTTTTTGCTGGAAAGAGAAGACCTTAGTGTAGCCAATGATGTGCTTTGGTTAAGTCACATGACATGCAGTGCTTTTCTGTGGTGCGATTTCTGACAGACGGGAGTTTATTGCGAGTAGTTGCTGAATGCAATCGAAAACATCAATAAAAACAAAGGATCAAATTATGTCAGATCCACAAAAAACCCTGAAACATCACCTCCAGTAAGTTCAATGGAATGTATGTGTTGCTAAATGGTTTAACGTGCAACACTGCAATGAGTTAGCTAGCTAGCAAGGTCAGCTGTGACCTTTTAGGTTGTAACAATAACAACATGAATGCTAGTAATGTAATGTTTATTAGTTTTATATTAATGGCATTTCCATTATAGATAAAATCTAGTTTAAACAAGAAAAGGACAGAACTGGCGCTTCCTGCAGAAGAAAGTGAGGGTGAGATGGGTTTAGTGACCATGAGAATGATGCAGATTGGACAATTGATAAGAGCAGTGATGGAGACAGTTCAGGTAAGTTAGCTCTGAAGCAGATATGACAGGCGTAGTAAAGTATTTAATATAATATATAAACATTGCTAGCTTGTAGCTAAATTATTCTGATGCATCTGGATATACTAGACTTGTTGTTTATTTGTTATAATATTTACTGGAGAAAATATTTATATGTACTGCATGTTGTAATCATGATAATACAATATTATGATTTTTTCAATAATATTCAGCAAAAAAGATTGGATTAAATAAAAACTGTTGGAATATGAATTGTTGGAAAGTATGTATAAGCTGTCGTTTATAAGTTCTTTGTTAAAGCTTATAATACTGCAATACCAATTAAATAATTTCAAACAACAAAATTATTAATTATAAGGAAATTTTTAAATTTGAAAGTTAGATCCGCTACTGGATGTTGTTTCCATATGGCAACATATCATAGAAATTTTCCCAATTTTTTTTTACAGCACTTTAAGTTAAGTCATTCTAAGAAAACAAAAACAATCAGACATTTTTTTATAGATGTATTATAATGCGTGCAGTAGAGGCTTAAATCAAGTGCATTATTATGATTTATTCAACACCATATCAGCAACATTTCCATGTAATCATAGCAAGATTATTAATTAATTATGTGCTAAATATATATATATATATATATATATATATATATATATATATATATATATATATATATATATATTCAGCACATAATTCACAATCATAACAGCTTCTTATTAAATAAGCATTATAAAAAAACTTACAAATGACAATACAATACAAAAACATTGATCATACAAAAAGGTCATACAAGATCTTTCAATTTAATCAAAGATAGATATTCGTTTGAGGAAACATTTTTAAACAATTCCCTTAAACATATTTTGTTTTAATAAAGGCACATTATCAATTATAAACATGGTATTTTGGTTCTTTCACATAATGACAATTATTAGCACATAATGACCACAAACCTTCACTTTCAGCTGATGTACTTGGCATGATTCAGGATCAGTGGGTTTGTGACTGAAGCATTTAGAGATTTGAGAATCAGCATTTTTGAGAAGCTGGCTCATTTCTTCATGATGACTCAAGTGTACGGTTTGGTCTCTCATGCGCCTAAATTGGAGCAGAAAAAATAGAAAAGTACATTTAATTTAACCAAACAGGCATAAAACCTTTTAGAATAATTGTATCAGAGTAGTTTTGCTGAGGTAAATGTTTCCAAGGACAGATACTAAAAGAGCTTTTTCAGAAAAAGCTTGACCACTTATTAAAAGTATATTTTCCTGTTAGTCCAAAAACGTAAGTCCCCCACATAAAGCAATTACGAAATGATTTTCCAATTTAGTATGAAAATGTCAACAACAAAGCACTGTGAATGCGACAATATGAATCATAAGTAAACGTCACCACACTGCAATTAAAAAATAATAATAATAAACCATGCACTTTAAAGAGTAGGACTAACCTCTGTAAGGCCTCCAGTTGGAATTGAGCCTGAGCTTCTAATTTGGCATCTTGTACTAAAAAGCAACTCAAAACCTCTATATGAAGCTGCTCAGTGAGAGGGATGGAGAGGCATGTTTGCTGGGGCACGCAAGCACCAATTTCTGACAAACGGGCCTGGAAACCCTCAGCAAGAGAGCTGAAGATCTGTTGAATATAGCGGAGCTCCTCTCGGTCATTTTTAAAGCCAGTGGAGGAGATCATTAAACTGGATTTGATCTGCTGAAGGAAGCTCTCTGCACCCTGAACAGCCCAGTGGTAGTGCTTTAATGCCTCCTGAGCTTGGAGCAGCTTGTCCTGGATCAAACAAAATATCAGAAAAAGCATTAATAATGTTGAGTTTTACAAAAATTGATGTATGCTTTTCCCCAAAACAGAAATGCATTGTATGGCACTTTCCCTCCTACAGATATTATTATCAACTAATTTTCTCAACTGCATACGTTGGGAGATAACTGTATAGTTGGGAATGTAACTACAGTACTGATACAAATGGTTGTCAAAATGTACCTCGAGGACTGTCTCACGTAAATACAGTTGGATATGGCATACTGAGAATGTGAAAAGGTGGGTAAATAGCTAAGGTTATGGGTACTGTCTAGTTCTGAACTCTTTTACCTTTGCATGTGTTGTAAAATGTTTTTGTCATAGTTTTGTGATCACTTATATCTATCAATCAAATCAAATCAAATATATCAATCAATCAATCAATCAATCAAATCAAATCAAATCAAATCAAATCAAATCAAATCAAATCAAATCAAATCAAACCAAATTAATCAATCAATCAATCAATCAATCAATCAATCAATCAATCAATCAATCAATCAATCAATCAATCAGCCTAAATAAAACACAGCTACACATTTGACACAATGCACTCAATGGAGTGAGTGGCGTTAATGTGACAGGTAGGGTTAAGGGTGGGGTTAAGTGAGTGCATTAAAAAGCATTGAATGCCGCTCAGATTGCACTGCACCAGGTCTGCATCCAGACCCCTCCCACCTAATGACCCTTGTCTATGCTTATTTGCCACCATGCTTACAAGGGTGCAACAAGGGCACGTCTGAATCCACTTTCAGACAGGGTTGTGCTTATACTCTTAAGGAGTTATGGGAGTGTTTTGAGCATAATGTGCATTAAACCGATCAGAGTCTCATCTCCCATTACCTTTAAGAGTCATATATATAGTGCCATGGCATATTTGCTATTTACATGGCAGACATTGTAAGTGAAAAAACTGAACACTTTACTAACAAGAAAAACCGTAAAACAAACCATCTGCAGCACGAGGATAAAGAATGAGCCTCCTACATTCAACCTCTTTTTTTATTACTTTATTTTCCTCCACTCCTTTACTTTCGTTGATATGGAAACGTTGTTGTACGCACTTCGCTGAAGACATCCATTAGCTTACATTTTTAATTTCACTTTCACATCTCAGTTCTAATTTCCAGCAAACAAATAAATGAACAATAATAATGAAGTGTGGTCAAACAACTAAGTTACATCCAAACACAGGTCCTATTCTAATGTCCCATAGTGATGCATATGTCTCCAAATGCTGACAGGTGGACACATTTAAACTTGTTTTTATTAAAACAAAGATAAATATGCATATAATAAAAAAATACTGCTAATAATAATAACATAATACAAGTACAAATTGTCATGAATAAACTGAAAAAAGCCCCCGACATGAAGAAGGTATGGAGGCAGTGGTTTTTATATTTATGCAGAAAAATAACATTTTTGTAACGTTATAATACTTTAATTTTTTTCCATATGTAAAGATATTTGTGTATTGCTGTACATGCTGTGTGTATTAAGCAATGTGTAAGCGCTCTGCGCTCGTCGTTAGATCAGATCTTAGATGGTTAACGGCGCAGTCTATTTCAGTTTCTTAAAATAGCAACGCGCCAACAATGCGCCTTATTGCGCAGGCTGTATGATAGGGCCCATTATGTCTGTGTTCTTTATTTTTGTATTGTCTACAGAAATGTCCACTACCATTTGTGCTGTCTTGCACAAATTTAACCTGTTTATAACATTTGGCCCAGAGTGTTTTGCATTAGCTCTATTTTAAAGAAATTAGATGCTATTAAAAAGTATAATAATAAAATATTATATTACTAATATAATAATAAAATAATAATATATAATATATTAATAATATTACTGTAAATAATAAATAAATATGAAAATAACTGCATCTCTAGCACTGCTTATCTTTACCTTAAATGGTAAAGATGACATCAAGTTATCTGATATAACACTTCTTTAAAGTTTGAATGATCAGGAATAATACAGGCCAATCAAGATAATGAAGACAGCTGCAAAAATCTTGATTGAACCATCTCTGTTGCACATAGACTACAGTATCAACTTCAACTGTTATAAAAGCAGATTTTTAGTGGGTTTAGCTTACCATATAAATACTGCAATCCCTAAGAGTTTTCTTTCCAAGATCAATTGTTGTCTTGTAGCTTTCGTTCTCTTTTCCTTTCCTGCTGCTCTCCAACATTCGTAGCACCGACTCAATGGTCTGGATCACCATCCAGTGGTTTTGTAGTTCTGCATCAATGGTCTTCTTATCTGGCCTCAGGCAGATGGTCTTCTTCAACCTCTGTCTGACACTATTGAAGAGCTGAATGGGTGGACTAAGGTCAGTGGGACTGCCAAATCGCTCCGCTACAGAGCACTCGAGGATTTTAGCCTCCTGTTTGAATGTTACCTCCCAAGAAGCTAGCTGCTCAACAACCAGACGGATCTTTTGCCTTTCGGCTGTCAGCTGGGATGGATAAAGATCTTTTGAAATGGCCTCTATTTTGTCTGCTGTCTCTTGACATGCCATTCTGACCAGAGGAAGCTTCGCCAGGACATCCTGACAGAAACCAACCCTTACATCATCTCTTAAACTTGAGTCAACAATTTGGGACAAACTCTTCTTCATCACTTCTCTGGAGTTCTCCAACTGCTGCTTTAAAGTAAGGTACTCTTCATGCTCTTTGGCTTGCAGCTCCAGCAGATGTATTTTTCTCTGAAGGTCTACAATAGCATTGAGCATTTCTTTCCTTCGAGGTTCTGGACAATGTGGAACTTCAGGCACCTTGCAGAGGAGCTCCATCAGCATGTGTTTAACAGACTCAAGAGCCAAGAGGGAGTCCCTTGTTACGGGATACTTCTGTCTCATGATATCAGCACCTATCTGTCTTAAGCTTTTCTGAATGACGTTCTGTTCCTCAGCTGAAGATTCCTGAGAATGAAGGAGCTCTTCAATCACCCAGCGAGAGGCAAACCTACGGTTCACAACCCTGGAGACTTCTTCTTGTAAGGCAGCAAGCCTGTCAATCAGCTGAAAGCTTTCGTGTAAACTCAGACCGTTATTCATAGTCTTGGAATCATCCAATAGAGTCTCCAAGTTATTTTCTTGTCTCTCAGCATCCTTCAAAGCCTCTGTGCATACCTGAAGCTGAACCCTCAATTCTGGAATGGTAGTTTTGGGTTCAGAAGCCACTGACTTTCCAGACTCTTTTTCCAACACTGAGGTCAACCAAGAGCTGCTGTCTGTGATCTGTTTCCACAGTCTATCTCTAATAAGCAACGTTCTATTCATTTCTTCAAGGGCAGATTCAGTCTTTTTTGCAGTGTTATTATACAGCTCCTCCAAGGAATCGAAGGTGGACAGCATGGCTTTAGACTCTTCCTCGTCAAGCTCAGTAACCTCTTCTCTAATTTCTTTCAAAACAGAGGCCAACTGAAACCTCTTAAGAGATGTTTCAGACTGCAATTTCTTCATGTGGTTGACTTGATGACTTGCCTCTTCTGGAAATAGAGACATCCTCCTTCTCCTGCTGATTCTGCTTTCCATTTGTTTGGCCCATGTAACATAGTCCCTAATAATCCTCACTACAGCTGAATGATCACTGCTATTTGGAGTCTGGCAGCCAATCTTCTCCTTAGTCAGTTCAAGTTGAGAATTCAGAGCCTGGATTGTGTCTTCTACATCTCTGATCTCTTTCTTTCCCAGTGGACTTGAAAAAAGAGCTTGAGAGACCTCATGCAGGTACAAGCAGCGCTCTGTTAACACTGCCAGATCTGCAGCTCTCATGGTGTCCCGTATTGCATTTTGCCAATCAATCTGTCCTTGAGAGAGGTGGCCAGAGGAAACTGACTTCACAAGAAGCTCCATTTCAAACTGCAGCTCTCTGGACTCTTGAAGGAGTGCGGAAGCTTCTGTTGTGCATATGTTAGCGCACCACAGACTCCTGAAAGCGGTCTGCTCTAGAGTCTGCCATCTTTCCTGACAGGTCCTGACAGGTTCAATACAGGCCACATGTCCCTCTGCCTCACCAAGATGGGCTGAGATCTGAGAGCAAGTCTGTAGAAGATCCTCAAGCATGCCTCTATTCTTCTGCATGTTCTTCAGGAATGCGTTTAGCTTTTCTGCTTGCAGGGTGCTGCTTTCAATACAACCCCTTTAAAATCAGGAGAATAATGTGGTTACTTTTCTGGCATGATATTAAGTATTATTCTTAGAGTCTCTGAACAAAAACTCTTCAGACATAATATTTTTTCCTTAAAGTACAGTTTGAATTTTTAAGGTGCATATTTTATAAGCAGTCAATTAAAAAAAAAAAAACACCTTGGTCACACTTTATTTTGATGGTGCGTTTGTTGAATTAAGTTACATTGCATTTACATGGCAACTATTTCTCATTAGACTATAAGTAGACTGTTAGTTTGGGGTTATGGGTTGGGTTTAGTGTAAGTTGACATGTACTAGCAAAGTTTCTTTTGGTCAGTTTAATGTCTGTTGAAGGAAATTGAAATTATACGTTCTCGTCAACTGTGTTACATCAGTTACATTAAAAAAATAACACTCTTTAAAACACAGTTACATTAAAAAAACACTCTTTAAAACACTAAAACATTGAGAGAAAAAGCAAGTGATACGCTCAAAGTAATGTTACTTTCTCTGCCAGAATCCCTGGAAGGCATGAAGAAATGTCATTTATACTTCATTCATTCATTCATTCATTTTCGGCTTAGTCCCTCTATTAATCAGGGGTCACCACAGCGAAATGAACCGCCAACTTATCCAGCATATGTTTTACAGAGCGGATGTCCTTCCAGCCGCAACCCATTACTGGGAAACAGCCATACACACTCATTCACACACACACTCATACACTACAGTCAATTTTTTAGCATATCCAATTCACCTGTACCACGTCTTTGGACTGTGGGGGAAACTGGAGGAAACCCACGTGAACATAGGGAGAACATGCAAACTCCATACAGAAATGTCACCTGACCCAGCTGAGGTTCAAACCAGCGATGTTCTTGCTGTGAGGCGAATGTGCTACCCACTGTGCCACTGTGTTGCCTACTTCTTTTATTAATTTGTCAAATCTTTTTTTAACATTCAGTAATTTTGATACACCAATGTTAGAGTAATGATTTGTAAACTACGTTATTGTGTAATTTCAGTGAATTTTTCACTTATATTTTAGAAACAATAACATGATAAAACCCATACAGTTCTGTTTTAGACATGTGGTATCTGGTTTAGGTAAGGAACTAAAGCACAAAATGGAGTAAAATCTCAACCCTTACTTTTATGTTATTGTCAACTCTGATAGTGATTTTATAAGTTTAATAATCAGATAAACAACAATTACTGTAGTAACTTATTTTATTTGTAAAAATAGCAGTTCTTTGATTGCAAACTCTACATTTATTATTTAATTAAAAAATAAATAAATATGAAATGCTTGAAATATTTCTGCAGTTCTGGAAAAACTTAATCTGGAATAACTGATGAAAATGTCAAGAATACTCACAGTGTCAGTGTGCTGAGCTCAGCCTCTAGCTTGTCTAGAGTAATCATAAGAGCCTGTTTTTGCTGGTGGTACTGTGTAATATGTTGTAGCTGTGCCTTTTTAAGCTCTGCCATTGTTGAGGTAGCCAGCAGTACTGCGCTCCATCTAGCATCCATGCCCTTCTCAGAGTCTGTAGGGTGTCCCACACTACATTCATTATGAGAAAGCCTAGCCACCTGCTCCATGACACATTGACGGCAGGTCTAAGACAGAAAAATGTTATGCATTAATGTCCATTTACTTTTGTTTCATAATTTTTCATTTACTCATCCTCAAGTGATCACAAACATTTTTCTGTTGAACACAAAATTGTTAGAAGCCTGTAACCACTGACTTTAATAATAGAAAAAAACAATACGGTAGAAGTCATTGTTAGAAGCTATTTTGAAAAATGTTGTAAACTTCTGTGTTCAAACTGGTTGAGTAAATGATTTTAGGTGAACTATCCTTTTAAGCATTAACTACAATCGATTACATAATTACAGCATTTCTTAAACTGCACGAACTCAAGGATGTCTTTCCCAGGATGACTTAAAACAATGCAAAGATCATTTTGAAATTAAATGGAAGAAGACAAGATCAGTGTTGCAAACTACACGTCACATGGAAATCTTAAAAATTACGATTTGTTTAATTATTTTAAGTAATTTTAATTTAGATTCGTCTTGATTTCTGTCTTTATTTACAACCAGTTTTGAACTAGTGCAATGAGGTAATGTACTGTACCTCAGCTTCTTCCAGCTGATGAGTCATATGTGCAATGTTGAGCTGGGCTGGTCGGTACTGACATCTGTAAACATGCAGGACAGTCCATGCCAGACTGCTGTCAGGCTCAGAAAGCAATGCGTTCTGAAACGAGGAATTTGCCTTTGGCCAAGATTCCTGTAAAAATTAAAGCATTACAATTTAAAACTAGTTAGAAATTCAAAAACAGTGAGAAGATGGTACAGTTAAAAGTAGCAAAGACCACAGGAAATCCCTCCCTCCTGTGCAATTTCCTCCTACAAACCTTGAGGGACTATGTTCAAGTCAAAGACAGACCAAAAACAGATAGATGAGCAGATAAAAGTTGCATTTGAGAGAAAATGTTCATTTAGATTTAAACCTCTAGCAGACTTTTACATTTTACTCCAACAGAAATTGCATTTTATATTTTCAAGTATCAATGTTTTATGTTCAAAGCCCAAATATTTAAAGAACTTGAGTTACTTCTAATTGATCATAAACAATTCCAAACCTTGTTGGCATACGTACCTCAGAACATTGACTGCTCATCAGAAGTGGCTGAACAGTAGTGGTGGCGTTTATTAATGTGGTCCATATATTTGTCCCTGCGGGTTGCTCCAAAGGCCTCGTTTGATCTTCACCATCTTCTTCTGATCCTTTATTTTGGGTTGATTTGTTCCTGGCAGATGGATTTGCATTGGTTCTTTGCATTTCTTCAGACTACAAGAAAGCAAATCCATCATATTTCATATTTCAGTACAAAAGTTCATCACAACAGCACTTACATGTGCTATCACAGCCTGTCTAAAAGAGAAAGATGGCCCTGCAATCAAAAGTCATGGTTGCAGAAGAGAGAGGAATGCTGTTCCGCTGGGAGAAGAGTCTTCCCTCTGAAGGGCGTGCTGTGCCTTCAGGCCTAAAACTCAGGAGGATGTACTGCAGGAACTAAAGCCAACAAAGTCTAAACTGTGGAAAATAATATAATCAAAAAGTCACAACAACCTGTTTTTGTTATTTAACAAATATTTTTTTGTTACATAATATTTTACTTTATATTTTAAGTTCCAAAAAGCTAATATTTCATAGTTTTGTTAGCAAAAATATGTTCAAAATATGTGTTCTGCATTAGATAGCATAACATAAAGCCAGAAAATGAAATAATGTAGGAAGGATGCAATAATGTGAATAGGGGGCATATGGTTAAAATAATAAATAAATAAATAAATAAATAAATAAATAAATAAATAAATAAATAAATAAATGAATGAAACAGGTAATTCTTTCTGTATATGGATTTCAAAATATAAAACTTATATATATTTAAGAATACAAGGCTATAAAAACCAACTTATCGGTTCATATGCATCAAAAGGAGATGACACTGTTGAACTAACTTGAACAAAACTATGCTGAGCATGTTCAATGCTTGCCTTTGGAACAGCTTGGAATAATTTTGGCTCATTCAGATAATAAAAGGTCTTTCAGACCATTTTCGAAACAGTGGGCATCCTACATATTTCTTAAAAAGAAAATAAACGGAATTGTCAAGTCCTTTACCTGATCCTTTCAATGACTTCTATTCTTTGATAATCATTTTCATGTGAATAAACCGTGAATGGTGCAAAATGCAAGCTAAAATGCATCAATTCAGTTTTAAAAGAAGTCATTTTCTGCTTGGAATGAAAGCACTGTAGGTTCACTACTCTAGTGCCATACAGCTATTACAAATGACATAATCCTACATCCTTTTAAATAATACACTTAAAAAAGATTTTGAATGACAAAAACTCATTCATTCATTCATGACTCATTATTTAAATACTGAACGTGAGAAGAGAGATTTTTAATTGTGATGTCATTTTAGACTGCAGAGTTCGAAGTTAACTTTTTCATTTACTGGCCAATTAGGCTTTTTAATTTTTTAAGATTTAAGTTACAGGCCAGAATTCAATGTTCTGCTTCTCCATTCAAAAAAGTCAAAACTGACATACAAATGCTGACAATGACATTTGAAAATGACATAAAAATTAAAAGAAAAAAAAGAAAAAGAATAAAAATTCTTCACAGTTCACAAATGATTCTTCAATGGAATCATGTTCATGAATATACTCTATTTACTGGGGCAGATGCCCAAATATCTACTATGCCCAAGTCAATGGGTCCCAGCAAACAGCATTCTTCAAAATATCTTCTTCTGAGTTCAACAGAAGAAAGAAACTAATGAAAGTATAAAAATCACACGAGGAAGAATAAATAATAATGTAATTTTCTTTTTTTGGGTGAAGTATCCCTTTAAGAATCGAACAAAGGGGTCAGCAAGACTGGATTGGGTGTATCATGAGAAAACAGTATAAATAGAAAAAGATAATTAGCTTTTTATTCTAATTTTACTTAGATTTGCAATATTTTTCTGATTGTGGAACCCCTTTTATGTTTGTTTATGCAATGTTTGTGACTAACTTTAGGGAATTCATTCTGAAAATAGTTAAATGAAAGGTGAGAGGTTATCTGACAAACTGTCTAGCATGTTGATATGCGTTACCCAAAAATATAAAATTTCTTCTGCATTTGGTAGGTGCTCACTCAAACTCTGCTGGGGAATTTTTATTTGAAAAAAATGTGAATCTTACCTGGGAAAGAGAACTGCCATCTGAATCCCCTGTCTTCTGGGCTTCAGCATGACTGAGCTGTAAGTCTGATGGGATGACAGTAGGAGTCTGTGTAATACATTCAGCTCTCACAACTGGCGGAGCATCTGTTAGCATTGATCCTGAGTCCTCTGTGAATGTTGACTGCATGTCCCCCACTGCTCCAACAGCACAGAAGCTAATCGTCTCAACATGTTCATGTTTTACCTCAGTCTGCAGAAGATTCACAGTTTCTTCCTGCACAGTGTCCACAGCTTCTGTAAGTTTGTCTTCTGTACTCTTTGACTGACTACAGGTTGAAGACACATTCAGTGAAGTATCTGTAGCTTCCGGCACCATAAACTCAAAAGTATGAAGACTTTCTAAATCGGCTGTGCTTTTATGTTCAGATCTAGATGTTAGTTTTATAGTACTGATATTGTCTGATTTCTCTGCATCAGCTAATTTCTTGATCTTTTTCCTGCCTTCAGCAACATTCTGAGGATTCTGAAGTGTGTTTGCTTCATTTGAGGGCTCTCTAGATGTGTATTTCTCTGACATTGTGACATCCTGTTTAAGTGTTTTAATCCCTGATTCATTGTCTTCAGAACAGGTGTCCATATGACTTGATCTTTCAGCATCAGTGACTTCATGATGCTTCTCTTTTTCACTTTTTTCAATGCCAGTCTCCCTGATCTCAGAGGTTTTGGGATGGAGAGCTTCCTTTATTTCAGAGCAACTCGAGTTCACATTGTCATTTTCTGAAAGCAATCTTTCAGGCTTTTGTTTTTCAGGTCCCTCTGTGCCAGCAGAGCTCCTCCATTGATTTCTGACATCTGTATAGGAAAACTCTTCTGTTTTTGAGCTTTTAGGACCTGTACATTGTGTATGCAACAGTGACTGATAACTCTCTGATAATAATGTTGGTGAATCGACATCTACAATGACAGCAGGAATTTGTGTAATACATTCAGCTCTCAAGACTGGTGAAGCTTCTGTTGGCGCTGATTTCTCTGTGTGTTTTGACTGCACAATGTCTCTTGTTCCTAAAACCACACTATCTGTGGCTTCAACATGAGCACCTCCAACCACTGAAACTCCAACAGCCCCAAAATATCCATCCCTTGCCTCAGTTTGCAGGAGATGTAAAGTCTCTTCTTGCACAGTGTTCAAAGCTTCTGTGAGTTTTTCTTCTGAAATCACTGACTTTGTGGTCCTTGACTGACTACAGGTTGAAGACACATTCAGTGAAGTATCAGTAGTGACCGGCAGTATGATCTCAGAAGTTTGAAGACTTTTTGAATCAGTTGTGCTTTTATTTTCAGATCTGGATACCAGCTTTATAGTACTGATATTGTCTGATTTTTCTGCATCAGCTGATTTCCTGATCTTTTTCCTACCTTTACCATCATTTTGAGTTTTCTGATGTACATTTGCTTCATTTGAAGGCTCTGCAGATGTTTGTATCTCAGAAATTGTGATTTCCTGCTTAAGTGTTTTAATCCCTAGTCTATTGTCTTCAGCACGGGCATCTATATGACTTGATGTTTCAGCATCAGTGACTACATGCTTCACTTTTTCAATATCAGTCTTCCTGATCTCAGAAGTGTTGGGCTGAAGAGCTTCCTGCATTACAAAGCTAAGTGATTTCACATTGTCCTTTTCTGAAAGCAATCCTTCAGGCTCTTGTTCTTCAGGTTTCTCTGTGCCAGCAGAGCTCCTCTGTTGAGTTTTGACATCTGTATGGGAAAATACATCTGCTCTTGAGCCTTCAGTATCTGTACATTGTGTTTGCAACTGTGACTGAAGACTGTCTGATAATAACGTTGGTGAATCAACATCTACAATGACAGCAGGAATCTGTGTAATGCGTTCAGCTCTCATGACTGGTGAAGCAACTGCTGGCATTGATTTCTCAGTGAGTTTTGACTCTACAATGTCTGCTGTTTCTGAATCCATATCTGTGGCAAAATGACCATCCTTTGCCTCAGTGTGCAGGAGATTTAAAGTCTCTTCTTGCACAGTGTTACCAGCTTTTGTGAGTTTGTTTTCTGATCTTAGTGACTCTGTGGTCTTTAACTGACTGCATCTTGAAAACACGTTCAATGAAATATCTGTAGTGTCTGGCACTATGATCTCAGAAGTTTGAAGACTTTCTGAATCAGCTGTCCTTTTATGCTGGGATGTTAGCTTTACACTACTGGTACTGTCTGATTTCTCTGCATCAGCTGATTTCTTGATCTTTTTCCTACATTTAGCAACATTTGGAGATTTCTGATGTGCATTTGCTTCATTTGAAGGCTCTCCAGATGTTTGTTTCTCAGACATTGTGACTCCCTGCTGAAGTGTTTTAATCCCTGATCTATTGTCTTCAGCACGGGCATCCATATGACTTGATGTTTCAGCATCAGTGACTACATGTTGCTTCACTTTTTCACATTTTTCAATGTCAGTCTCCATGATCTCAGAAGTGTTGGGATGGAAAGCTTCATGTATTACTAAGCAACTTGATTTCACATTGTACTTCTCTAAAAGCAAACCTTTAGGCTCTTGTTCTTCAGGTTTCTCTGTGCCAGCAGAGCTCCTCTGTTGAGTTTTGGCATCTTTATAGGCATTTATGTCTTCTCTTGAGCCTTTAGAATCTGTACATTGTGCCTGCAACAGTGACTGATGACTGCCTGATAATAATAATGGTGGTGAATCGACATCTACAATGACAGCAGGAATCTGTGTAATATGTTCAGCTCTCATGACTTGCGAAGCATCTGTTGGCATTGATTTCTCTGCATGTTTTGACTGTACACTGTCTTCTGTTTTTAAAACCACACTCTCTGTGGCTTCAATAGGAGCACATTCAACAACTCCAACAGTACCAAATTGTCCAAGCTTAGCTTCAGTCTGCAGGAGATTTAAAGTCTCTGTGTCCACAGTCTCAGAGAGTTTGTCTTCTGAACTCACTGACTTTGTGGTCTTTGACTGACTACAGGTTGAAGACACATTCAGTGAAGTATCAGTAGTGTCTGGCAGTATGATCTCAGAAGTTTGAAGGCTTTCTGAATCAGCTGTACTATTATGTTCAGATCTAGATGTCTTCTGATTTCTATTTGTGGTTTTGTTTGATTTCTCTGCAAGAGCTGATTTACTGATCTTTTTCCTACCTTTAGCAATATTTGTAAGTTTCTGAAGTGTGTTTGCTTCACTTGAGGGCTCTGCAAATGTGATTTTATCAGCCTCACCATGACTCTCTGACATTGTTTTATCCTGCTTGTGTACTACAAACCCACATTTACTGCCTTCTACCATTAGTACACTTATTTGACTTGATATTTCAGAACTAATGTCTTCATGCTGCTCGTCTTTTTCATTGTCATAGACAATAGTCTCTGTGATTTCAGAGATGTTGGGCTGGAGAGCTTTCTGTATTACAGAAAAACTTGATTTCAAATAGTCTTTTTCTAGCAAGTTCTGTTCAGGCTCTTGTTTTTTATGTTTTTCAGTGCCAGAAGAACTCCTCTGTTGAATCCTGAAATCTGTAAGGGCAAACTCATCTGATCTTGGGCTTTCAGGAGCTTCACACTGTGTGTGTGAAGAAATCTCTGGGGAGTCAACATCCAGGATCAAGTTAGAAATCTGTGTTTTAGTTTCTATTCTCACAACTGATGACACGTCTGTTGCCGTTGATTTCTCACAATGTGTTGATTGTGCAGTTTCTACTGCACCTGAGACCAAACTGTCTGTGCCTTCGGTAGGTGCACCTCTACAATGTGAGATGCTAACTGTCTTAAACTGTCCATCTTTTGCAGTCAAGGTCTCCTGCACAGTGTGTGTTAGATTGTTTTCTGTACTCTTTGATTGACTACAGGTTGAAGACACATTCAGTAAAGTATCAGTAGTGACCGGCACTGTGACTTCAGAAAATGTAATGCTGTCTGAATCATCTGTGTTTTTATGTTTAGATCTAGATGCTTTTATTTTCCTTCTGCTGATTTTGTCAGATTTTTCTATATCAGCCAATCTAATAATCTTCTTTGTATCTTCACCACCATTTGGAGGATTCTGAAGTGCATTTGCTTCATTTGAGGACTCTGCAGATGTGTGTTTATCAGACATTGTGACTCCCTGCTTAAGTGCTTTAATCCCTGATTCATTGTCTTCAGCACGGGTATTCATTTGGCATGATGTTTCAGTATCAGTGACTTTATGCTGCGTCTCTATACTGCTGATATTGTCTGATTTCTCTGCACAAGCTGATTTCTTGATCTTTTTCTTAACTTTACCAACATTTGGAGGATTCTGAAGTGTGTTAGCTTCATTTGAGGGTTCTGCAAATGTGTCTTTGTCTGACATTGTGACATTCTGCTTAAGTGTTTTAATCCCTGATTCATTATCTTCAGCACAGGCGCACATTTGGCTTAATGTGTCAGTATCAATGACTTCATGCTGCTTCTCTTTTTCAATGTCAGTCTCCATGATCTCAGAAGTGTTGATCTGGAGAGCTTCCAGTATTTCAGATCTACTTGGTTTCACAATGTCCTTTTCTAAAAGAAATCTTTCATGCTCTTGTTCTTCAGGTTTCTCTGTGCCAGCAGAGCTCCTCTGTTGAGTTTTGGTATCTTTATGGGCAAATACATCTGCTCTTGTGTCTTTATAATCTGTACATTGTGTCTGCAACAGTGGCTGATGACTGAACGTTGGAGATTTAACATTCACAACGACAGCAGGAATCTGTGTAATACCTTCAGCTCTCATGACTGGTAATGCATCTGCTGCCATTGATTTCTCTGTGTGTTTTGACTGCACAATGTCTGCTGTTTCTAAACCAATGTCTGTGGCTTCAATAGGAGCACCTCCGACAACTGAAACTGCAACAGTACCAAAAAGACCATGCTTTGCCTCAGTCTGCAGGAGATTTAACCCATCTTCTTGCACAGTGCCCACAGCTTCTGTGTGTTTGTCTTCAGTCCTCTTTGACTGACTACAGGTTGAAGCCACATTCAGTGAAGTATCTGTAGTGTCCGGTACTTTCATCTCAGAAGTTTGAAGACTTTCTAACTCAGCTTTGGTTTTATGTTCAGATGTGGAAGCCTTCAGCTTTAAACTACTGATATTGTCTTTTTTCACTGCATCAACTGATTTCTTGATCTTTTTCCTACCTTTAGCAACATTTGGAGGTTTTTGAAGTGCGTTTGCATCATTTGAGGGTTCTGCAAATGTGTGTTTGTCTGACATTGTGACATCCTGCTTAAGTGTTTTGATCCCTGATTCATTGTCTTCAGCACAGGCGCCTATTTGACTTGATGTTTCAGCATCAGTGACTTTGTGCTGCTTCTCTTTGTCACGTTTTTCAATGTCAGTCTCCATGATCTCAGAGGTGTTGGGCTGGAGAGCTTCCTGTAATACAGAGCTAAGTGATTTCACATTGTATTTCTTTGAAAGCAATCTTTCAGGCTCTTGTTCTTCAGGTTCCACTGTGCCAGCAGAGCTCCTCTGTTGAGTTTTGGCATCTTTATAGGCAAATTCTTTTGTTTTTGAGTCTTTAAGACCTGTGTGTTGTGTCTGCAACAGTGACTGATGACTGTCTGACAACAATGTTGTTGAATTAACATCTACAATGGCAGCAGGAATCTGTGTAATACATTCAGCTCTCATAACTGGTGAAGCTTCTGTTGCCATTGATTTCTCTGTGAGTTTTGACTGCACAATGTCTCCTGTTCCTAAACTCATTTCTGTGGCTTCAATAGAAGCACATTTAACAACCCCAACAGTACCAAAATGTCTTTGCTTTGCTTCAGTATGCAGATTTAAAGTCTTGGTGTCCACAGCTTCTGTGAGTTTGGCTTCTGTACTCTTTGACTGACTACAAGTTGAAGACACATTCAGTGAAGTATCTCTAGTGGCCAGCACTGTGATCTCAGAAGTTTGACGACTTTCTGAATCAGCTGTCATTTTATATTCAGATTCAGACGTCTTAAGCTTTGTACCACTGAAACCATCTGATTTCTTTGCATCTCCTGATTTCTTGATCTTTTTCCTACCTTTAGCAACATTCTGAGGTTTCTGAAGCGTTTTTGCTTTATTTAAGGGCACTGCAGATGGGATTTTCTTAGCCTTATCACGACTCTCAGACATTGTGACATCCTGCTCATGTACTAAAAACCCTAGTTCACTGTCTCCTCCTTTGTGGACGTCCATGACTTCATATTGCTTCTCTTTTTCATTTTTTTCAATGTCAGTCTTCATAATCTCTGAGATGTTGTGTTGAAGAGCTTCCTGCGTTTTAGAGCTACTGGATTTCACATTGTCCTTTTCTGCAACCTTTCTCAAAGCTTTCTCAGTCCTAGATGAACTTCTCTGTTGATTTTTGACATTAGAATGAGAGAATTCATCTGTTCTTGAGAATTCAGTACCTGAACGTTGCATCTGCGACAGTGACTGACTTTGGACTAATGATAATTCTGGGGAATCAGCATCCAGGATGATGGTAAACACTTTCTTTGCTGTTTTAGAGCTTCCATGATAAATCGATGTGTGTGAAATCTTTTGCTCAAGTGATTTAGTAGATGAGCCCTTCTCAGTTTTAGGTTTAAAATCCTGGTCTGAAACAGAACAAGTGGGCTCAGAATCATCAGTGGGATTGTTTTCATTAAGCGGACCTGATGTAGAAAGATTAGCATATAAACTATAAAGAGATTCATCAGAAGTACTTAATACAGCATGTTCTTCAGCTACACTAACACTTGGTTTGGCCTCCAGTGTCAAACTTTCATCTGCTTTCTCTGTGGTCCTATCATGAACCACTGAAACAGTATGCCACTGAGTTGAACAAGCTGAGGTAGTTTGTGCAGGCAGGTTCTGGGTGGATTTGCTAAGATCAGAATCCAGTACTATAGTAAAGATCGGCTTTGGGCTTCCACAGGGAGAAGTCATTTTACTGTCATCCTCTCTTACTTCAGGTTCAGACAAGGACTGAAAACAATCAGACCAAACATAACAATGACCAAATGTCAACAAGCATCTCTCAACAGCATGTGTTTCTTCAACCTCTAAGCATTTTTATGATGCATGATGTCATTTTAAAATATTAATACTGCATACCTCGAAATTTTTCTAAAATTGGTCCTTAAATCATGGGTTTCAAACTCAATTCCTGGAGAGCCGCACTCTACACAGTTTCGCTTAAACCCTAATCAAACATGGCTGATGCAACTAATCAAGGTCTAATTCTCAATTTTAAGAATGCAGTGAACAGACTTGTGTTCTTGTGAAGACCAGTTTTGCCAGGTCACCTCGGAAGAACGAACTCAGGAGACCGCAAGAACACAGAATGCATCATGTGAGAAACGAGATGCTGCGTTTTTCCTGATGGTCACATGACTTTCACGCATTTTTAATGGAAATTATTTAAATATTACAGCATTCATACAACTATTTAATTCATAGTTTTATATTATATATCTCTGAACTTTAATATTAACTCGACATAAATACTGCGCTTCGCACCTCCAGTTGCAATGAATTATGGGACTTCTAGAGCGAGTTCAGTGTTTGTTTGTCTGAATCTTCGATTCCATGAAACCATCTGGAAAGTGCCTCTGTTCTTGAGTTTTGGAACTCAACTTTGGCAGTTGAAGATGGCGTTACATGAGAACACGGGGACACAAGATCGCTGAAGAACACATATTGAGAAACAGCAGAGGTGTTCATGACTCTTGAACAACTTGATTATTTGAATCAACTGTGTTTGGTTAGGGTTGGAGCAAAACTGTGCTGAGCTGCGGCCCTCTAGGAATTGAGTTTGAGATCCATGATATAAATGAACCAACCAATGAATTATTTACTACAAAAAAAAAAAGAACTTTTTCATACACGGTAAAACCCAAAAAGTTAAGGTAACTCAAACCATTTGAGGAAACTGATTGCAACAAACAATTTAAGTTCAAAAACTGATCCTAATGAGTACTGTAAACTTAACCCCTTTGAGTAAATGAAGCAATTTGAGCACAGTAAAACCCAATAAATAAAGAGAACTCGAACCAACCAAGTACTGTAAAACCTAACAAGTTTGCTACAAACCATTTGAGTAAAAAAAAAAAAAACTAATCTATATGAGTACTGTGAACTTACTCCATTTAAATTGAAGTAATGAGATATTTAATTAACTCATTACCTTCAACACTGAGTTCAAAACTCTTTTCAAATGAGTAGAATTAACCTTCGGTAAATTTTGAGTTAACTACACTCATTTCATTTGATAAACTTGACTGTTGGTTTTACAGTGTATATAAAACACCTTTTTAATTTAACTTATCAACTATTCCCTCATATTCTGTTTGGGTCATTTTGACCCATAGAGAATTTTCTTTTTCCCCAGGTAGTTAATGCAAGTTAATGTTATCAGATTGAGCTAAAACTCACTGACTTTGTTCACATAGAGTTTAATAATGTCAAAGAACATTTGACAATACAAATACAAAAAAGTATTTAAACCACATTATCTGATATTATCATTAATTATTGGACCTAATCTTTTCCTCAGCTTGTTTTTTTAGTCAGGACTGCTCTTGTATTTCTTTTCTTGTATTGATTGATCACAGGGCTCACTGATCTAAGGGAGGAGATCCCAAGCATTTCAGCCTGCAACCAACAAACTAACAATGCCAGTGAATCGCAACCCCCAAATTTCTTGCAGGTGAAACATAAATATACAAACATTGCACACAACAATAGGCCTATATAAACACAAGAATATTGACAAAACAGTCTAAAAACTATATAATTTTGTGATCATTATTTTATTTGTTTAATAATAACCTCAGCTAAAGAAACACTACATAGGCACTATGTTTTCAGCACAAGTCTATTCTTGGTTTAATTTTGGAGACCTCTAATCAGAGATCAATCTCAATGTTTAGTTGTGACCTGTATTTATTTTTAATGTATTTGATTGCCATAAAGGTCTTAGAAAGTTTAACCTGGTGCTGTATAAATGAGTCTGCTGCAGCTGACGCTATTGCTGTGTTGTTAATCTAACATAAACACACAATCCTATCAAAGTATTTTCTGAAAGGCTGATGGCTTTTATTTGCTTGATGTTTTTTTTTAATGTAACTATAAACTACTATTTTTATCTTCTGTGGGTTATGGATAAAATATGGCAATTCAAATAGTTTAATAAAATTTATTTGATTTTTGGAAATCACCAAGCATCCCCCTGTCAATATCCCACAACCCCCAGTGGGTCCTGAACCCCACTATAGGCACCACTCATCTAAGGCTACACACATCAGTTTTTAAGTGAAATAAATGGTTCATTTGTAGACAACCTTTAATATTTTCTTGCACATGTGTTATGCTATATTATTGACCCTATTCATCGCGTCCGAGCAGGCACAGCCATTTGAATCGAGACTTCCAGTCTCATTCACTTCCATTGATTTTTTAGAAGTTAATAACAGCTCGTTACGCTGCTTGATGTTGCAAACTGATATTTTCTTATTATATTATTCTGCTTTGTATGTATAGTTATGAACAATTTTGTTTGTAGAGCAAGTAGTTTGACCATTTTCTGCCATTTATTATTCCTAATCACTTTTCCCATAGGCGACGGAATCAGACGTTCTAAAACAATCGCAAAAAAGAGCACACTTTTCCACATTGTAAAATAAGATCAATACAATTTATTGATTATTCGATTCAAACTTTTAGTAAAATAGTTTTCTTACCATCAGAGCTTTCTTTGCATTATTTTAAAACCTCTTACTGACTGCAAACTTTTAAATGGTAGTTTATGTTGAGCAAAATTGGGAAACTGGGGATAAAAGTGTGACAGGATTAGACATAACACCACATCAAGTAATTCACAAAGCCATTTTAAATGCTGTGAACATACGCACTCCCTACTGTGCTACACTTTTTGGCTCTTTTTAAACTGTTCTGAGAAACCATCAAGCAGAGCAGAATAATGCTGATAATGCAGCCTAAAGCTCTGACATCAGAAAAGCACCGGACTAAAATGATGTGCCACACAGCAAAACAATGAATATCCAGCATTTTTCTCAGAGCAAGTAAAAAACAAGCTCTTAAAAGCAATGAGGTGGCATTCTACAATAATGGCCCTAAATGCAGCGCAGAACAAATACTCCATTTAGCAGGCTTTAGGCAGAATAGAGTGATTCTGTACCTACGCCACAGAGGTACACTCAATGACTTTACTCCTGCTGACCCCAAACACAGACCCAGCACGAAAAAAAAGGTGGATGTCTGTCAACGATTAATGATGCACAACGTTTCATTGACAGACACAAATCCTGTTAATTTCGCAATACTTCCTGGAATATATCACTATTTTATGATTTGCGTGTGACATTTTTTATGAGGGACTTATTTTTAGTTGTTTTTTCAGTTTTGAAACAGTCATACAGCTTGATCATGCATGCACTGTACCAAAGACTATAGAATACACAAGACATTTCACTCGTATCTTTTTGAATGGGGGTAACTCAATATGGAGAGTGAAGCCCCACCTTCTAGTACAAGAGCCAATCAGAGATTGCTATATTGTGAATAAAGCCTGCCTTCTAGTACAGGAGCCAATCAGCGATTGCTATAGAATGACAATTCTCTGGGGGAGGCAAAGAATAAACCAGAGTCTAGAGATGTGGTAATTATGTGAGTCAGTGTTGGTATGACTGCAGGAGAGATGGTTTGTAAGAGATGAGAGGGAATGGGATCAAGTGGACAGGTGGTTGCATGGCAAAAATAAAAAAGGTATTGCATTTGTACACTACTGTAATTATACTAGGGGGACGCGGTGGCACAGTAGGTAGTGCTGTCGCCTCACAGCAAGAAGGTTGCTGGTTTGAGCCTCGGTTATGTCAGTCGGCTATTCTGTGTGGAGTTTGCATGTTTTCCCCGTGTCAGGGTGGTTGTCCTCCGGGTGCTCCGGTTTTCCCCACAGTCTAAAGACATGCAGTACAGGTAAATTTGTTAAGCTAAAATTGTAGTGTTAAAAAGTGAATGAGTGAGTATGGATGTTTCCCAGTGATGTGTTGCAGCAGGAAGGGCATCCGCTGTGAAAAACATATATTGGATAAGTTGGTGGTTCATTCCGCCGTGGCGACCCCTGGATAACAAAGGGACTAAGCCGAAAAGAAAATTAATTAATGAATATCAGTATACTACTTACTATTATTTACTATTACATTTTCATTAACTAAAATTATTACAATGCAATTTTCAAAATACAGTTGGAGTTTATTTACGTTTTAATTATATATTAAAATGTTAAACATTTAATTTAATAAAATGCAATAATACCTTTTTGTTTAAGTTACATACTGTATAAATGATTAAAAACATGGAATGTGTCTTGTGAATGCTTAAATGGAAAGAGTTTTTATTTAATGATTTAATTATTTACATATGAACTACATTAAAAAGTTGGTTACTGAAAGAGGTTAAAGGGTTTTTAACAAACTCTAACACATTCACTGAAAGTTTTCTTCCCAACATTGTTCACCTTATTAAATAACTCACTCATCGATCAAATCACAGACTAACTGATTGATTAATTGACTCATTGATTGAATGATTAACAATATTATCAGAAGCAAAAATGTGCATATGGATGTAAAAAACTCATTGCAATTACAATTATTGATCACACTTTATTTTGATGGTCCGTTTGTTGAGTTTAAGCTACATTGCCTCTACATGCCAAATAATTCTCATTAGATTAGAAGTTGACTGTTAGGTTGTGGTTAGGCTTAATGTAAGTTGACATGCACTGTCCTTGCAATGTTTCTTATAGTCAGTTAGATGTCTGTTGACAGAGCAGTATCAACAGATATTAAGCAGACAGTCTACTAATTCTCAAAAGGACCATCAAAATAAATTGTTACCCAATAATTAAATCCAATATGTACAGTGTAGACAAACCTAAAGATACAAAGAACACAAAGTTCAGTTTTTCAAGCTCCTTTTCCCCCCACATTTCATATCAAAACTACATTTCCTTTAGTGCGTCAAAGGTACTTTTTGCAGCATGATGGAACTGGAATGGAATTTAAATTGCTGTTAACAGACAAAACTCTCATTACAGCTGTTTCCAAGAAACAAATTGATCCTAGTTCTTAAACTAAAATGATTTCCAACCAGACTCCTTTGTATTTCAGTTCAGGTCACTTTAAAGGCACAGAACAAACATATAAAAGAAAAGAAACTAACCTGTGCATATGTGAGTCTCTCTTTAGGTGTGACCCGCCAGTTCTCATCCTCAGACAGAAGAATATCCTCTTTAAAGTACTTCTGCTCAAGAGCCGCATCTTTTGCCTTGCTTCTCTGTGACTGTTCATCTGCTTTATCATCCCATACAGTCTGTAACTCTGTGGTATCTTCTACTTTTTCAATATGGGCCTCGGTATGCTTAGACTCTTCGACAGGCTGAGAAGTTACAGGCTTGTTTGGGTTCATTGTTTGTTCTCCCTTCTTTATATTAAGCTCTTTGGCAATTCTAATGCTTTCTTGAAGGTGAGCACCAGCTTCAGAAAGAGTCTGCAGGTTTTCCAGACCTGCAATGCTGGCAAGGAGATCCATCTGCTGCAGTAACGCATCTGCCTGCTCAGCCTTCACTTCCAGCTGCTCCGATAATCTCTGTCAGTCAAAACAGTTACATTAAAGGATTAGTCCATCACAAAAAATAAAAATATGGGTGAACTAAAGTATGAACTAAACAATGTGACAGAGCCATTGGATACATGCACATCAAAATAGGCATCTAATGTACACACCAGTGCCTGATGATTAAAGGGTAACAATAATTTTCCTTTCATAAAATTACAACATTTTCAATATGTTTATGCTTCAAAGCAGAGCTAAACAGCACTGCTTGGTTGCAACACATGGATCATTTAGTTATTGGTGTGAATCACAGTGTCTTGTCTTAAATGCTACATGCCCATCAAAAACAACACACCATATTTTGGTGTTTATAAAAAAAAGTCTAAAGAATAAAAAAACAATTCTTTCTAAATGATAATGTTTTGGATGAAAGCAATTTCAGAATATCAGAAAAAGAACAAAAATGCTATTTTCATGAATCATATCAAAAGTTTACCTGAGCCACAATGCTGTAATGTAGATAGCTATATATTGTTAATCCACTTTTCTTTAATAATCTTTTCTTCATAATTATTGTAACAAATATGGCTGATCAGACACATAATTAGTCTGCTTTTATTCAACAAATACACCGTCAACTTCTTCCATCAAGGAAAAGACTGGATGGTCAGTTTCCATCCCATCCAATTCCAAGGTATTTACAACAAAGGAATGCTCAGAACTGGACACACAGAGAGCTTCCATAAGCTCCTTGCTTAAGAAAGCTATTAATGTAAACTTTTATTCTCTTTCTGTGTAATCAGCTGTTTTGCAATAAGTCTCTTGCTCATGTATTAATACTACAGTATGCCATCAATGTTTAACTCTAAGACAGCTTAACAAGATCATAGATGGTTCATGTTTGATGTCTTTGCAAAGCTAATTTGGCATACTGAACGATTGTTTACATTGTATGTTAATACATGTGCAACACATCAACATTTCAAGAAGCTTTGAACATTTCTGCATCAGTTTACACCCAGAAAGATTATAAAACGTGCCTCGGGGGAGTTAAATTTTCATTGCATAACTCGGTGCTGGAGGGTGGGTGCAAGACCATCCTTATAAAAGCTGGTAGCCTAAGGCCATGGTCCAAACCAGAGAAAGACTAGAACCCAGACCACAATCCAGGAGAACCCCAGAGAACTCCAGGGAGCAGGCGGGGACCCAGAAAAAAAGGGTCAATCGCACAGCTCAGACATTCCCATCTCCAATACTTTTCTTTCTTTTCTGTCGAGAATCTAGTTAAGTTTGGTGTGCCGCAAACCAGTAGTAAATGCAACTATTAAAAACAGCTTGATTTTGTTTACCGGGAACTGATTGGTTCATTAGATTCTTGTGGTTTGCTATTGGTCAGTATTTTGTGATTGACAGGTTGATCGCATCCTCCTGTCCATGACATGTAAAACAGATGTTGTTGCATTGGAAAAAGGAAGTTATTTTTGATTAAAGATTATAATCACACATGAAAAATCTGTTATAATAAACACTAAACTGAAGACCGAATGTGAAAGGAAAAAGTAGAAGAAAAAGGTGAAGCAGAAGAAGAAGGGTTCGTTTTGAGTTGATGCTGACATTACAGCACAAACATTCACCTGGATGGAGTTGAGGGCATGTGTGCTTTCAGATGTGTTCAGAGCGTTCAGATTATCTGTGATAGTCTGTAGGGAGGACAGATGATCTGCAATCTCTGATGCCACCTGCATTTTGGCTGTTTCCAGCTGTCTGAACACATCTTTGGTCTCAAAAAAGAGCTCCTTCACCTCTGCCACCTTCTTCCTCAGCTGGCTCTCAATCACCTTTAAGAATATAGAAGCTTTAATATAATTACATTTAAGAACTAGAGTGAACTGTGATGATATAAAGAGAGGTTTACCAACAGATCTCAACATACATATAAAAATTATTTAAACAAATGACAAGTTTTACAACCTGCAGCTCCAGTGGAAACTCTTGACTCTGCAGAAGCTCCTGGATCTCTGAAGATCTACGATGGAAATGATTAATGTTCTCCTCTTGAACCTTCAGCTCATTCTGTGTATATTTACAAAGAAACAGTCAAAACTCATGAAGAAAAACATGTAATAAATGTAGTAGTACATTTTATATAACAAAACATCTGTTCAAGCCTATTTATAACAAGAATCAGTTTTGAACCTCTATGTTTTTACCTATTTGTCAGCATGAGTTATTTAAATCTTTGAAAATATCATTAAACTTGATTTATTTTATTTTATTTTTTTAATTGCGCACAGGTCCAGAATAAGCCTGTTGTTTAATTTTCACACCAATATATATCTGTTCAAATTCACCACTAGATGAAGCATATTCACAATGACAACAAAAAAGGCATGGTTCGATGAATCCATGACTCAAGAGTCAAATAATGGAGGCTGTGGTCTTCATTACATTATATGGGACTCCTGCAGAAATCATGTTCACAGATGATCTAAAGTATTTAAAACTTATAGAAATAAGTAGTTAGGCTAAAAGCAATAAAGTGAAAGGGAGAAAGATTAAGCAATTGCTGATGAGAGATGAGCATGATGCACCATAAAAGCAGCGGCGCTTTTGTTATGACAAACACCGCAGTCTTCTGATTCCTTCACTTGCGATCACGTGGAAAAGAAAAAGCCCTGTTCGATCATACTAAATACATTTAATAATTCTGTTATATTGCTACCCAATGCAGTCTAATAAAATGCATGACATATTAAAGCGCCTTGGGTGTTTCCATGTTTTATATCATTTAAAAAATGGAGATCGAGAGTGTATCATGTCATCAGCATGACAACATAGGACATGGTCGAGTCGATAGCTGAAATTGCTTATTTCTCTGGATTCAAACATTATTTGAAACATTAGCAGACAACACAAGAAAAAAAAATCATAATATTAGTTATATAACTAAAAACTTTTTTATAAAAAAAATTAAAAAATCGGCTGCCATCAGCCTGTCTGAGCAAACAATGTGACGGTTGTGGTTCTGCAACAAGATGGCGACAGAGACCGCATAATAAGTGCTTAGGGGAGAAAAACTTATTTTTCTCAGTGCAATTTTCAAACTACAGTTGAACAAATCATCATAGATCAGGTAAGTGACATTCTAAGTCGATCTGTCTCCCCACCACAGAAACTGGTAGTGTTTGCTTTGCTCTGGCTTGTTCAGGGTTAATTATTGCGATATCCTGATCGCAACTGATTAATACTAGGACATCTCTGTAGACTGATAAATCACTTTCAGCCTCGTAATCCTAAGCAAAAATTACCTGTTTTGTATGCTAAAGAATCATTCAAATACTAGCTCTATTGTGACGTTGGTGAAGTATCGATGGTTTCTGCTGTTCTGACGGTCAACTGCTGATGTGAATGAGTGGCGAAAGAAAGTAGTTCATTGTACAAAAGACACATTTTTGAGACTCCGTGTGCTTGATTTTCATTTTTATAAACACAATTGTGCCTTCAATTTTTTGTATAAATGTCATATCACACTCGTAGCAGTGCAATATGGCTGTATATCAGCACTGGTGGGGGCACTAAGGCAATGATATACAGCCATATCGCACTGCTACTCATGTAATATTGCTCATCTATTACATATTGCATCTTACATATTAAATATAAGTTCAATAATGATGAAACATTTAGATAGGCAACCACTTTCTTTTCCCTTGAAAAATACTTTAAGCTCAGCAAGGCTGTAGTTGTTATACAAAACATTAAAATCAATAAGATTTTGAAATATTCTTGCAAATGAATACAATTATTTATTTGAAAAGATTTTATTATATTATTTATTTTTGTGATGCAAAAATATCAGCATCATAACTCCAGCCTTCAATATCACATGATCCTTCAGAACTCTAATGGACCCTTTTCAAATTTACAGATTTCTTATTAACTTAAGTCATCACAGTTGGGTAAACTTTAAGCACAGTGAATCGGAGAGTACAACAAATTATTATTGTTATCATGACTTTCAGAAAAATAAAATAAAAAAAGTGTTATAACGGTAGCTACACTGTAAAAAATGTCTGTGATTTCAACAGTAAAAAAACTGTAAAAATGCTACAGTAAAAATCTCTAACCTTGATAACAGTTTCCTTAATATATACGGCAAACAACCGTAAACTAACTTTCCCAGAATTCCCTGCATAGCACATCACTTTTTATGCTTTTTGTTGACATTAATATGGTTCTTTTTAGTTGTTTCCCCATCAGTTATGTACATTAGAGATTTATGTTACATCTATTGTTGATAAACGATGTTTATTTCATGACTTTAATTTTATGCATGTTACCATACTGTTGTTTAGTTGCTGTGTGAATGACACTGAGCACCTTCTATACACTTATACACTTTTGGACTTGTGGTAAAAGTTTTGTGATCAGCATTGGTTCATTATGTAACTTTCTCATCACCAGCTGCATACGGCTATGTTAACGTGTCTATCTGTGTCACAAAAGATGTGCAGATGTTAGTAATTCAAAATATAGATATATTACAGCTATAAATTAATGAAATACGGTAAAAATTAAAAATTACTTTTACGGTTTGTACCTTATTTTTAACTGTAAAATACTGGCAACCATAGCTGACTTTTTTTTTTACTGTAAATTTTACGGATTTATTTTTTTAAATATTCTTAAGTTTTTTTTTTTATCCAAATATTAAAAACTTTCAAGGATTATAGATCTGTGAAGAGGGTCAATTTACTGATTTGCAGAAATCTTTTGCATTTAATCTCACTTCAGATCAATTGAAAGCGTTCTTGATAAATAAAATATTAACTTCATAAATGTGTGGAAGTCTCAAGAAACAACTTAACGTCGATCTCCAATTCTAAAATAAGTGCTTTACCTGCAAAGCAGAAACATCCACTTCTGTCTGAAAGGGGTTTGACTGAGCAAGAGTCATGAGCTTTTGAGCACTCCAGCCCTCCACTTCTTCAGCCAACAGGAGGAGCTTCTCCCAAAGAGAAAAGCCAGCCTGAAGGTTATCCAGATAGCAGTCTGTCTTCTCAGTCACCTAAAATATAAGCAGTTTTACCAGGTTAAAGACTGCACTGAACATAAAAGAACAAAAGAGTATTTACATCACACTAAGAGATTAGTGAGAGAGCATACATCCAGCCAGCGGTCCATGAGGGTGTCCGCTTCACTTTCAAATGGAGCGTCTGTACAGTCCAGGACCCTTCTCACCAGAGACTGAAGCTGCCTGCACACAGATCTGAACTCCTCCACCCCATCTCCCAGACCACTGAGATCTGACTTTATACTTATCACCTGGACACACACACACACACACACACATATACAGGTATATTACATTTGTAATGATATAAAGTATTTTCACGATAGTACATCAGAAAACAAAACACTTTACAAAAGGGTTTTATTAGTGAAACCATTAGTGAAAGGGACTTGTGGAGCTGTGCATTGATGGATTTGCTCTTCAGTGTTTGGACTTTCAGCATTAAAAATTAAACCACACTGAACTGAACTGAACTAAACTGAACTGCAACTCTGCAAACTAGACACAGTTTTAGTTTCAATCTACTAGAACTTCTATGTTCAGCTGCTTTGACACAATTTACATTGTAAAAACACTATACAGAAACAAAGATGAACTGAACTTTAGGTTACACACTGACAACAACATTGAGAAATAGATACATTTATTACAGAAATTGATGTTGTTAATGATACTGTACAGTTGTTTGAAAGAAAACACTACTCTGACTTTTCCTTGACATCCACTGATTAAAAAGTTACATTTTTTAGTTACATGATGACCTTTAATGTATAGAAAAGCATGTGGCTGATGCATTTATGGATCTGTGATCAATTAATTTAATGCAAAATCAACAAATAGCACAAATAGTACATTTTAGAGATTTTCTGGAGATTTTAGCCATGCAGGAAACTGTGCCAAGCCCTTCAGTTCCATTTGCAGTGTTTTATATTAAATATTAATATTAAATTCAAGAATAGAAAGTACTCGTCCTGTGTGGGACCAGTGTTGGATAAGTTATTTTAATGCTAATTATTTATGATGTATACTAATTTCATGATTAAAAGTTGTATTCTAGTTACAAAAAATTATAATTGTTTGGAAATAACTTAATAAATCAATTAATAATAATTACTTAGAAGACTACTTGAATACTTAATGCTACTTAAAATCCATATAAACCACAAAACATAGACCACAGAAATAAAACTTGATTTGCATCAACATTGCAAAAAAACTTTCTTAGATTTTTTTACTCGTTTCTAGTACAATGATCTACAAATCTTAAGAAGCATTTTTTTAATAAGCAAAAGTGTTGTCCTGTTTACAGTAATAATATGCCAAAATTTTGGATATTTGGACTAGAAGCAAGCATTTGCTAGAAAAGCAAAAACAGGTTTCTGCAGGTTTCATAAAGTCAAATTTAACTTGATGGGCTGGCTAATAATTCAGGGGGGTTAATAATTTTGACTTCAACTGTATATAGGGCTAAACACTAAAAATTTTTGTAATAAAATGGTAGGACCAATGGAATTGAAAAAAACCAAACAAAGTTATTTCTTAACCACATATTTTCATGTGCCAAAAAACAAAAACTCTAGTTGTACAGACTTATTTTTCAAAATAATGTTTTTTTTTTTTTAATCACATGTTTAACTTTGTTAAAAGTATCTTTAATATGAAGAAAACTACATAAATAATCAAAGATATATATGTTTGCGTTTAGTCCAAATGAATTGAGCATAACTCCTCATTAACCTAATGTGTTTCTGTTACAAAACCTCAAGTTTCATGCCTATTTATAAATATTACAACCACTCACACTATCTTTAGTAAATAGTTTTTGTGTAAATAGAAAGTTATGTAAAAGGATATATTGCTGTTATTATCATGAGAAATTGTGTAATTGTTTTTAGTTTACTTTTCTGGATTAGGGAATTTAATTAAGCAAATTTGTATCTGTAAAATGTCTGTAAAAACAGCTGTTGTGAAATAAACATCTCTTTGCAATAAAAAAACTTATACTTTACATATAAATATATTACAGACTGTTGGTGATTGGATGGGTGTCGGCCCGAATGGGTAACCTTACTTCAACAACTTTTAAAATGAAGACCTGTTTAAAATGATTTAAGAACTAAAACACAACATTTCTATGAGATTAAGGCCTAAAATTTTGTTTTGAAATTTAAGATATTTTAAGAGTTTTTAAGACTACAGCAGACACCCTGCAAAATATTGTTTTCAGAAATAATATGCCAAAATTTGGGATATTTAGGCTAGAAACAGGACAAAAACTCTAACTAAGGACATTTTTGTGCAGTGAAACAACTTTATTTAGATATATTTAAAAAAAAAAAAACAGTTTAAAACATTTTACCCACAATCTAGCATTTCATTTATACTCACACAAACACATTCAACTAAAAGACCCAAGTCAAATCTACATCGATATACAAACAAACGGTACAAATCTGCTTTATCTGAAATGATGCAGCTAATACTGCCATCTGCAGTCCAATTCACTCATGATTTTTTGTACCTTGCTGATGAGTAGCTGAAGGTTGTCTTTGCCCATGTATGAGGCCTGATCGCCAATGGTCTGCTCTGCTCTCTGTAAAGTGCCACCCAAATTATTTCGACAGCTCTGAAACTTCTTCAGCAGTTCGGTCAGAGAAGCACACTGCTCACGACTGAAACAATAGCAAGAAACAAACACATACTGTACTGTCTGATTACAGCATTACAAAAAGATTTCTTTTTTTTTTAACCTAGTGTTTCTGGTTCACCTTTCAGTGACTGATCTATGTGCAGTTTCCCACTGCGTCTGCAACTCGCTGAGGTTTGTGTCTGATGTGTTCGCATCTCGCAGATCATCAATCTCTGAGCGGAGTGCATGCAGTTTACTCTCCATGTCTGTCAGGAAGCGCAATCTGAGACAGAGAAAGATGCTGATGAGATTCAGACATTTCTCTTAGTCTTGAGCAGCCACTCAGTAGATCAAAATCAAAGAGGGAGAGCAAGTTTCAAGAAGTTGTTAACCTCATCTTTTTTCTTACCTGCAATCTTGATTGGTATTCTATTGCATTGAGTTGTGATTATTTTACAATTCAGAATTTCTTTAGTTGTCTTCTTTAACTATTGTTGCAGTGCTTTGTGATTTAGAAAAGTGCATTGTAAATAAAAACATATTATTTTACTTATTATTCAGCGAAAGCCAAAATGAATCTGAAACTAATCAAAAGGTGGGAATTAATACAAGAAAGCCAATTTTTATATTTAGGTTTTTTTTATACCCCATTTCATTCTGTGTATGTTTATAACACACCAAACTTCTTTTAATACTATCATTTCAATTACATAAAATGACACAGAAGGTAAATAAAAATGTGCAAAAAAACTAAGAAACCTGGCTTTATTGTACTGCACTATATTTTATATTGCAATTGTGGTTTTAATTTATGTTTTTAAATTAATAAAAAATGCAATTTAATTACATTTTATTCATTTATTCATTTTATTTTTATACCCTTTATTAATCTGGGGTCACCACAGCGGAATGAACCACCAACTTATCCAGCATATGTTTTATGTATAGGATGCCCTTCCAGACACATTATCCGTAGTCCGAAGCTAAAATTGTCCGTAGTGTATGTGTGTGAATGAGTGTATATGAGTGTTTCCCAGTGATGGGTTGCAGCTGGAAGGGCTTCCACTGTGTATAACGTGCTGGATAAGTTGGCAGTTCATTCCGCTGTTGCGACCCCAGATTTATAAAGGGACTAAACCGAAGAGAAAATGAAAATGAAATGAAATGAAATTTTAAAATAAAATAAATAAATACATAAAGTTAACTAAGTTAACTATCTCTTGTTTTTGAGTCTCCTCACCTGTGCTGTAGAGCAGGAAGTGTGGGCTCCTTCAGCACATGTCTCTCCAGTGCTGCCAGCACCTCCCTCAATGTGACCAACAGACCCATCCTCTTCCTCCCAAACGCTCTCTCCTCCTTCTTCTCCTGCTTCTCTCTTCCCTTCCGCCCTCCATCAGACACTCTCTGTCCTTCAACGAGTCTGACCTGGAACCCCTCCTCCAGCGCTGACACCATCTCAACACAGCTGCCTGCTTTATCATCCAGTGTGATCCTTAGACCAGCATCATCCAGCATTGTGTCCAGCTGAAGCGAATCTTCCCTGACCTGTTCAAGGCTTTTCTGGAAGGACACTGAACTGTAGCTTTGGTCTGACGTCCTGTGAGCATTTAATTCATCGTTCAGCTGCTGGAGATGAGAAAGAAGCTTCTCGAGGGCCACAAGAGCCGACTCAGACTTTTGCACACAATGTCTTTGCTGCTCCAGGCATTTTGTGCGGTTGTGGAGAGTTTGTTGAAGAGGAAGATGAGTTTGAAGCTCAATGTGACTCAGATCAGTGCCATCCCCTACTAAACTTTCTCTCTCGTTAAGAAGAAACAGCTCTTTCTTGATACTTTCATCCACACACTATATAAAGAACAAAGATGTCAGGTTGTAAGTACGTTCAAAAATGCAAAGTACATCAGTTCATGAAAAATACATTACAGCTAAATTTGAATGAGGGAGCAAACGTATCTTAGAGGCATAGTTTACCCAACAAAACAAATACTATGGTAGTCAATGGTTACAGGTTTCTATCTTTCTTCAAAATATCTTCTTTCGCGTTCAACAAGTAGAAGAAAAAAGTGAAAGGTGAGTTAGCTGTAGAGATAGCACTCCCAAAAATGAACATTTTATGATGCCAAGTTTGCTTACAATACATTGTGTACTTTGAGTTTCTCTTCTTAGTTAAGTTGCATTAAAATATTACATTCAGTTTATTTGGAATTATTTTTAAAATAATGGTTGCTTGTATGGAATTATTCTCATAATGATAATACTATTTTTATATTACTATTTACAACATACTATTTTTGGTTCCTTTTAAAAATAAGGTTGCAAATAGAGATCTGCTTGTTTTAAGTTTTAGTTTTTTACTTAAAGTGTCAGAAGCTGCTAACTTGCATTTTACAAATCGCAAAAAAATTATCTTTAAATGTTCTAAGTAGAGTAAATTAATTGCTAATTTTGATTTTGAGGGGAATAATCACTTTAAAATGTGCATTTGAACACTTTTTACAGTTACAATTATGTAAATTAAAGCTACAGTGCTCAGCATATATGAGTACATCCCTCACACATATATCTTTAAAATTCATATTTTTAATAGGAAGCAATACAATATTATATTTGTGTATATACATTCGATTAGTCAGTACTGAAGCCAAATCTGAAGCTAATCTAACAAAATAACTTAAAATAACGGTCCAAAAACTAGTACACCAAAATGTATATGTTATAGAAAAACATTAAATACAAATTTAAAAAGGAGGAAAAATCAAGAGAATTTTACAAATATAAATACATATTTAAAAATCTGTTGAAATTTTGTAGGTTGTATTTTTATTTTAGTTGCAATACTCTGCTTGAATTTAAAAGTTTTATCTTTCAATTTCTAAATATGTTTGGTGACAAAAATATTATTTGAATAAATATATCTGTTTAATAAATCTGTTTTGTTTAAATACACCAAAATACATTGCTTATTTTTACTGAGAAATGGAAAAAAAATAATTATTTTCAAAATGGGCTGTACTTAATTATGCCGAGCACTGTATATTGTAAAATTGTGATCTCAATTCAAACACACATGCAATCTTTTTTCTAAATAACAACAACAACAAAATAACTTAATAAAACTTTGACAAAGACAATCATATCAAACTTTCAAATCTGTGTTCACTCATCCAAAGAGTAATTTGGTCCAAAAAAACCCTGATATGATTATTCTTTTTTGTAGAGTTGCTTTGAATCAATGTGAATGCTGCACACAGACCCATGAAAAAAGCTGTTTTATATCTTTAAGGTATGTTCACAAAAAATGAAAAAAAGTGTTCACCATCTTAGACTAACATTTAATATCTATATGTATGAAGATGAATTTGTATGATTGCCTACCTTTAGCTCTTCATGTAAATTTCTGGCATCAACAACAGCAAAGTTTCTAACATTCAGAGGCTTCTGACTGATCTGTTTGAGCTGATCAGAAATCAGTGCGATCTGAATGTCAACTGACTCCAGCAGCTCTATTGTAGTTTCAATGGATTTCACCCTGAACAATATAAAAAACAAACATTATTAGCATTTTTTCACATTGTTTTTCTTTTAATTGTTACTAACTACTACTAACAACAGCTCTTTAAAAGACTTAGCAAGCTCCCAAGCAGGAAGCTAATGTTTACAAAACATTATAAAAGACAGATTTGGACATTTTGTGGAAGTGACAAACTACAAGCTTTACATGTTTATACCAGTTTTATATCTTCTAAACAAGATACTAACTTATAGATAGCCTAAAAAATAACAAACTTTATTTTAATTTCACGGGACCTTTAAGAAAGCTGGTTGAATCTGGTTGAATAACCCTGAATTTCAAATTACAACAAATTGTTACTCTGACAAGCTGTCATATTCTGAAGAAAGAAATGCTCTAAACATTATCAGACCTTCATAACATTTTTTATACAATATTAACATTTTACTTAAACTTATAACTAAAAAAAATCCAGTAAACCCTTGGAATATTCAAGTGCTCTCTTAATTTTTTACCACAGCTGCAGTTTTAAAAGCATCACTTGTATCTTACCTGGCCTGAACACATATCTGTTGTTCCCTCCACTGTTGAATGAGCTGATGTCTCTCCTGCTCCATGTTACAGCCATCCTCCATGTGCTGAGAACTCTGGGAAAACTGAATCTCAAAGTCACACCACAGAGCCTCTGTCTGATCCTTAAGAGCCTGAATGAGGACACAGCATTCCCATTTGTATACAATATGCACCCTAGGTGTCTGAAAGTGGTGTGTGGGACTAACCAGTAGATGCTGGAGTTCACTTCTCAATGAGTCGGAAGAGATACTGGTGATGCTGCTGCCGGGGCTGATGGGAAAATCAGATTCCAACTGCTGACTATTGTGAAGCAGCTGCTGATGGAGGACTGATTGAGCATCTCTGTATCTGAAAAAAGTGGTTCAAGATTAACCATTCATTCATTCATTTTCTTTTCGGCTTAGTCCCTTATTTTAATCTGGGGTCGCCACAGCAGAATGAACTACCAACTGATCCAGCATATGTTTTACGCACCGGATGCCCTTCCAGCTGCAACCCATCACTGGGAAACATCCATACACTCATCCACACACATACACTATGGACAATTCAGCTCACCCAATTCACCTATACCACATGTTTTTGGACCTAGACGAAACGCACAAGAACACAGGGAGAAAATTCCACACAGAAATGCCAACTGACCCAGTCGATGCTCAACCCAGTGACCTTTTTGTTGTGAGGCGATTGTGCTACCCACTGTGCTGGCCCTCAAGACCAACCATAGCATATAAATTGTATAAAATCTGTATGTATAAAAAGGAGCATGCTGATTGCTTTAAAATGAATGAATATATATTAATAACGTATAACTTTATAATAAAAATGTTAGTCATTTATTGCTATCATGGCAAAGTTGAATTATCAGCATAATTACTCCAGTCTTTTGATGTCATTATCTTTCATATATCATCCATGCTGATATGCTGCACAAAAATATCTTGAAATATTCTGCAGCTCCCCTACTTCAGGATAATTTATTGTAACTGAGATTTGCTCTTTCACTTGCCAGTTTTGAAAACTGCTCTCAAATCTTATTTGTTTTCACTGGCTTTTGATTAAGATCAGTTTTACTATTGGATATTTTTATAATTTTTATCCCTTTTTTTCTTATATGATCCATGCTTTTATTGATTTTATGAATTGTGTTTTTTTATAAAGCTCTTTTGTGCAATGCTTTTGTTTTTAAACCTGCTATAAAAATAAATTATGACTTCACTGGACTTATGCCTGGGATTATGGTTACGATTGCTTTTTATGAAAAGCTGTGTTCTTTTAAACCTTAGATTTTTTATTTATTTATTATTTTTTTGTAAAAAATAGTCACTTTTGCATACAATGCATCTGGAAAGTATTCATATCGCTTCACTTTTTTCCATTATTTTTTTATCTCACAGCCTCATTCCAAAATGGATTAAATTGGTTTATTTCCTCAAAATTCTAAACACAATGCCCCATAATGACAATGTAATTAAAGATCTTTTTAAATTGATACAAATTTATTAGAAATAACAAACCTGAAAAATCACATGAACATAAGTATTCACAGCCTTTGCCATGAAGCTCCAAATTGAGCTCAGGTACATTCTGTTTCCACTGATCATTCTTGAGATGTTTCAGCAGCTTAATTGGAGTTCACCTGGTAAATTCAGTTGATTGGACATCATTTGAAAAGGCATACATCTGTCTATATAAGGTCCCAGGGTTAACAGTGGATGTCAAAGCACAAACCAGGCATGAAGACAAAATAATTGTCTGTACACCTCTGAGACAGGATTGTCTCGAGGCACAAGGCTGGAGAAGGTTACAGAAACAATTCTACTGCTCTGACATTTCTTATAAGCACATTGTGACCTTTATCACCCATAAGTTGAAGATGCTTGGAACCACCAGGACTCTTCCTAGAGCTGGCCGGCCATTCAAGCTGAGTTATCGGGGAGAAGGGCCTTAGTCATGGAGGTGATTAATACCCTTATGGTCACTCTGTCTAAGCTCCAGTGTTCTTCTGTAGAGAGAGAAGAACCTTACAGAAGGGCAACCATCTGTGCAGCAATCCACCAATCAGGCCTGTAAGGTAGAGTGGCCAGAGAGAAGCCACTCCCCGCCTGGAATTTGCCAAAAGGCATCTGAAAGACTCTCAGACCATAAGAAACAGAATTCTCTAATCTGATAAGACTAAAATTAAACTCTTTGGATTGAATGCTGGGCGTTACAGTTGAAGAAAACCAGGCACCGCTCATCACCAGGCTAATACCATCCCTACTGTGAAGCATGGTGGTGGCAGAATCATGCTGTGGGGATGTTTTTCAGCAGCAGGAACTGGAACACTAGTCAAGATAGAGAATTCAATTCTATTGAACATCCCTGGAAAGATCTGAAATCGGCTATACACCGTCGCTTCCCATCCAACCTGATAGAGCTTGAGAGGTACTGCAAAGAGGAATGGGCAAAAATTCCCAAAGACAGGTGTGCCAAGTTTGTGGCATCATATTCATAAACTTGAGGCTGTAATTGCTGCAAAAGGTACATCCATAAAGTATTGAGCAAAGGCTGTGAATACATGTGATTTTTCAGCTTTTTTATTTTTAATAAATTTGCAACAATTTCAAAAACTCTTTTGTCACATTGTCATTATGGGGTTTTGTGTGTAGAGTTTTGAGAAAATAAATGAATTTAATCCATTTTTGAATGAGGCTGTAACATAAACAATGTGGAAAAAGTGAAGTGCTATGAATATTTTCAGGATGCACTGTATAAGATGCATATAATTTTTTGTTGGAAAAAACATTCCTTTTTAATTAATTGTGTTAAAAATATGATATCCATTATTTAATATACATATTTTTAATACAACACATATATGTTCTTGCTGATTTTTTTCTTAATTAATATTGTTAAATAAAATCTATTGAATAGATTTTATCTAATAATATTTTTTGTATTGCTTATATTTTAACCCTTTCCATTGTCAGCTCCTGCCATAACTATTTAATTGAGTCTGCAGTTGGGGCAAGGAGGATTGGCGTGTTGGGATTTCTTTCACATGCTAAACCAGAAAAAGGTACTTTTAAAATTACTTTTAAAAATTATTATTTTTAAATTTTGAATGTTTCAAAAATAGCTGCAATTTTGAAGCCTTGCCAACAAAGTGTAATTGTGATAACAACGAAACTATGACAAACTGCTTAAACAGCACTTGGATGGGTTTGTCCTGAATGTCCCGAGGAACTTTTTGTACTGTACTTAGTGTAAAATAGATTTAAAAAAAGAAAAGATTAAATTACACATTTTAGCCTAAATGTATGGTGTTTGCTCAGCAAAAACTTAATATTATAAAAACTAAAACAAAAAAAGACCAAAATGTCAATAGCCATGCACAAGGTTTTTAAACAAATAATATTAATTTGATTATTTATTCATGTTGTGCTTTGCATTTTACTAATGTTCATATTTTAAATCTAATAATTACAAATAGCCTAAAAAAGTCAGCAGCACATACTATGAGTTTTGTATGTGAATTTTAAAAAAAGGCTCTTACTCTCTGTATTATCAGTTTTCTTAGATAGCGCTGACAGAAATATAAACAATATTTAAAAGCAGTGATTTGCATGCGGAGTTGTTTACCTGCTCTGAGCTTTCTCCACTGTGGCCTTCTCTTCCTGTGCTAAACAGGGGTGGATGATGGTCCTCTCTGCTATCTGTTTGATCTCCACGATGTTGGTCTGGACAACAGCCTATCAGAGAGAAGGACCACAGTGTCATTACAAACAGGCTCAAACAACCCCAAAACAAGCGAACACTGTCAGCGAACAGCCCTAATCAATCTCAGCAGATTAACTCCTCTGAGCCGTCCATGTGCTTAAGAAGGTCAGAAACATCCAATCAGAACTGAGAAGGAGCTCACAGGCTTTATCTCTGTGTTTGGTCACAACAATGCCAAAATAATGTGACGTTAGGACCGGGCAGATACAAAACTTATGGATGTTCTTTTGTTAAAGTAATGGTCATGCTGATGTGATATCAGAGGAAAAATTTTCTAAAGAGCTAATAAAGCAATAAAGCCTAATGCACGTAATGTAGTGTACAGAGATTTGGACTTGAGCACGTGTACCTGGGAGTGGACGAGGCTGAGGTCCTCAAGCAGCACAGTCTCTCTCAGCGGGACACTGTCCTCCCTGCTGAGAACACACACACATACACGCTTATTGAAGTACTGTATGTGAATGAAGACATGCTAGTGGCTTATATGTAAAGCTAATTATAATGTACCACATACTAAACATACTACAAACAATGTACACAAACTAAACAACTAAACTTTGTATACATATAATATGACTAAGTATTCTGTATAAAATAAAATAAACAAACATGTAAAAAACCTAGCTCTTTTTTTTTCTATAAAAAAGTTAGAGAAAAAAAAACACAACAGTTGATTAGTTAAGGGTCGATAAGTTTACAGTTAAAACTAGCCTTATTCAAGGATATTGCAAACAAATTATTAAAAATATAAATGTGTTTATATTTCAATGAATTTTATAAACAGATGTCACCACTTCAATATGTTCCCTCTGCTGCCGTGCTTGCTGTCGAAGCGCCAGTAGTAAGTGTGTCCGCAGCCTTTGACTGATGTGTGATGCTCTAAACATAGATTTTCAGCTTTGCCTCTTCACAATACTAGATGAGACGATACTGTATGTTTACCTTATATGTGATGCGTTCAATTAAAATATAATTTTGTTTGGGTGTTCTGCTTTTTAGTAATAAACATGCTTTTACACTATACTTTATGTTTAAGTATAAGAATAATATAAGAATTAGGTTTTTTTAGCCTTTATAGTGTCCTATTAAGTCGTGTTGAGATGAAAAGAATGTTGGATTTCTGAGTCCTTTAGTTTTATTTAGAATAAGAAAAAATTCTCAAAATATGCAAACAAATAAATAAATGAAACACAAATGTAATGGCATTTGTTAGAACACAGAACAAAACGGGTTTAATAAAACCTAATCAAATGTCTCACATTCTGAACGAATAAATGTTCGTAATGGAATATTGAAAAAGGGCTTTGTTATTCACTCAGCATGCACGGTGTAACAGTTTTCAAAGTCTGTCTAATTTGTTTCACAACAGGCTAATGTCATTTTAGTTGCCTTTTATTTCTTTAGTTTTACTTTCCAAAATTAATCCTCATTTCACTCAACAATTTTACAATGATAATAAGGCTTGTTAACAAGTTTTAAGGCATTTGTTTCATTATTTCAACTTCAATTTCAAGTAGCAGGGTTTTTACAGCAACTGTATATTTCCGTCCTTTCTCATCTTATGCCTTTGTGCCTCCTGGTGGCATAGTCACAAACTGCGGTCATACCTAAAATCACGTGTTAATGTATCACTCATGTCGGAAATGCTCCTTTTAAAGCGTCACCCACTGCATATTCACAGTATGTGTATGCATGCGCACACACAAGACAAGTGGTAACACTTTACAGAAAGGTTGTATCAGTTAAAGTTAGTTTACTGCATTTAAGTTAGTCTAATGCATTTACTAACATGAACAAACAATGAACAATACATTTACTAGAGTATTTGTTCATGTCAGTTGGTTAATGAAAATACTGTTGTTCATTGTTAGTTCATGTTAACTTACGGTGCACTAATGTTAACAAGTATGAATTTGGATGTTAATAAATCATTAGTAAATGTTGAATTATGATTAATAAATGTTGTACAAGTATTGTTTATAAGTAGTTCATGTCAGTAAATACATTAACTAATGAACCCTATTGTAAAGTGTGACCAAATAAGTTGTTTATATCTTTATTAAAGTTGTTTATATATCTTTATACATTGTTTACATATAACAACAAATTATACCATCAATTCCAATCAATTTATTGAATTTTTACTCAAAATAAAATAAAATAGAGTATTAATTTCCCTTTGCACAGTTGCACAGCAGTCTGTGTGGGGGATTTTGATTAACGTTCTATGAGAAACATGGAAATATTCAGATATAAACATTATAATGTTAATAAGGAAAACATATACATGTACAACAAAGTTTTAAACTTTGCTTCAAATAAGATTAAAAAAAAAAAACATTACAGCAAACTAAAAATATTTAATTGCAATAAATATATTTATTAATAATAAATGAAACATTTTTAAAAAAGAAATTTATAAAAAAATAACAGTTTAGCAATAGAGTGCAATGAGTAATTTCATTTATGAGTAAACCCATTATGACATTATACTTCTGTCAGTTTTGTACAAAAATTAAAAAATTATATATATATATATATATATATATATATATATATATATATATATATATATATATATATATATATATATACTATATATATGCACACTTTATATATATATATATATATATATTATGTATATATATATGTGTGTGTGTGTGTGTGTGTGTGTGTGTGTGTGTGCGTGTGTGTGTGTGTGAACGTCTTTTAAGTTTATTTTGGGATCAAAAACACACAATTGTACAACTGGCAAAATTCTCTTTGGCTGCTTTCGAAATTGCATGCTATTCGAGTAGGTACTGCATTTGAATTTGAATTTACTACATAACCGTGAATTCTATATAGTATTAATGCGAGTAGTATGAATTGAACATGGACATATTACATTCGCCATTAGTCATTATCATGTAACCTACCTTTGTTAGTTGCGTTGCTTCACTCCTATTCGGACATACTATATAGTACAAAAGTATGCGATTTCGGAAGCAGCATTCGTTATGTGATAGACAGGTATATTTCTAAAATTGCTCTTAAATTCTTGCCTGTTCTGACATGGTGCCAAGTCACTTGAAGAGACTGTGAGGTGCTGAATGTCCTCCACCCTCTGTGTGTCTGTTCTCTGATGAGTGGTGCTGAGAAGAACACTTTCTGCAGACTCCAGACTCTCCTTTATTCTTCTCAAGGCTTCCAGATGAACTGAACAATCAGCTGCTGTAGCACATACCTGTGGTTTAAACCCAAAACCCATCATTAAATCAAATAACTGCAAAATTGTTGAAGATAATGACATGTATTTTATCCATATAATTAGTTGGCAGCACTCAGGTCAGGTTTCCTGTCAATACAAGAAGTCTTGTTTTATGGTGAATGTAATTTACTGTAATGGCCATTTATAAAAAGTGATGAAAATCCCATTACAAGTAAAAAGGCATGATAACTTGGATGCGATTAAAGAGCAATGCACAAGCAGAAAATAAAACTGTCTATATCAACCTGTCCAGAGATGCATGCAGTCAATTCATGATCCATGTTTTAAGCAATGACATAAGGATTATAACATGAACAAAAACAGAGAGAAAAGAAATATAGGAACAAACTTCTGTACACATCATTAACTGACAGATAATCCTTCAGGTAAGAAAGACTAATTTCAACATACTGCATTAATTCTCACACGCTGCACAGGTATATTCGTTGTACACAGATGATTAAACTGATTAAAAAAGCAGTAAATTTGGTTCATAGAAATAGCAGTTCAATTAAAATAAACTAATCAAAACGAAAGGACTGTGCTCGTGTCGGTTCCTCGCTGCATACAAAATAAGGCCTCGTTTAAACTTATAAGTTTTAGTTTTTAAACACATAACTTTTGCTACGGTTACGCCTTCTGCCCACACTACTTTTTTGAGCCCCAAAAACAAAGCGTTTTGGAAATGTTGAAGAGGCTGTTTACGTTTTTAAAAACTGTTGCTCAGTATCAGTGTGTATGGGGGGAAAACGGAGACATCTGAAAACGGAGGCTGATTGGGTTTTTTTCTCAATATTAACAAAGTTCAGTCTTGTATTCTTTCCTTGTATGTTCAGACTTCACAAGTTTGATACGGAAAACAAACTCCCGAGGACACCTCAGGTAAATCTTCAAAGCAAATAGTGTACTTTTTTAACATCATTTACATCACCCTGGTTACTTAACAATAAAATAAAAACATGATATGAGGAACTGCCTATTTTTATTTTGATATTAGCAACTTAACAGACACCAAAAATGTTGAGGCTCCGTGTAGCTACATATTTATATGACCATCATCTCCACTGTATGCATATTTAGAGCAAAACAGAGCCTATAACATAACTGCCTCCTTTCATTTTCATTGAAAAATACGAAACATACCCTGACTCTTTTGCTGAATATCAAGTTTAATAATTAATAATGGCCACTATTAAAAGTATAATGTACACTAAGTTTATACAATATAGGAAAAGCAAACCAAATGTCAGTCCAAATGTCTAGAGGCAGTGTACGTGGTTACATAAATTCATTTAATAACTTATCTTTGCGCTTAGCCAAAACACATTACCTGATAACAAGTAATAGATTCAAAAGACCAAAAAAACGTTAGATAAAGACAAGATTAATTAAACATCACGTTTAACAACTATACATCCAGCGGTATATTCTTGATTACCTGTCCAACATGCACTGCTCTGATCTGGGTAGGTATGACAGATGAGATTCATACCGCGTTTTCAGTGGTATAGTGTGGACGAAAATCTTTTCAGAAAAGCTAGGTGAACTACCAGTGTGGATGTGGACCGTTTTTGTTCTATGCCGCTTAAAAAAAACTTAAAACGTATTAGTGTAATCTCAGTAAGGAGTAACCCTGATTTTTTCTTACCTCCCACTGTGTCCTGACTGACTGAGAGAGGAGGTCCATGTCTCTGAGCTGGGCATCAGAGCAGAAATCCCCCATACCCTTTAGGGCTTCTAGAAATGTCTCCAATACTGTAGGCCTCAAAAAACGTGATATTGCCTATAGGACGAAAATAGCAAAAAGTTGTTAATAATTTACAGTATGTGTTTTGGCTGACTATTTAATATTTTTAGAAACCATTATTTTACAAGTTTGTCTCACCTGTCTTTTCTTGCCTTGTTTTTTAGATTTGTCTCTGGTACGGATCACAGTAATCACATCCTGTATGTGTTCATCCAGGTGATTTTTGGCTTTCTCCAGTCTGCTCCTGGCTAAAGCCTGAGCTCTGGCAAACACCTCATTCTGAACTGGGATATGAGGAACGCCTGAAGCCTGTACTTGTTGTGGAAAGCTGTGACTTCTTGCTAAAACCCTTTGTTTTGGGTGTAAAGTTGTCACTGAGGTCTGAGATTGCAATTTTGGTGGTGAATCAAAGAAGTGTTTAATTGGGGTTCTTAGCCGAGTCACTGTGACCGCTTCACCTAAAGTGCTTTGGCAGGAAGCAGACTGGGTTTGCGATTGCTCATCATGGGGCTGGGTAAAGCTGCAACTTTTGACTAGAACAGTTTGTCTTTGCTTCGAGGGTGCTAATAAGGTTTGAACTTGGCGTGTTGGTGGTGAAGCTAGGTGCTGTTCAATTGGCATTCTTAGTGGAGTCATGGTATCTGATTTAATCAAAGTGCTTGTGCTGGACATAGTGCTGGATGAAACTGATGGCTCAGTAGATTGTCTTGAGTCTGTAGATACAACTTGAAGGTCCATTGGTCCAAAGCCACCCATTTGGTTTGACTCTACAGGTATAATCTGAAGTGGATCTGAGAGTCCAAAGCCAATGGTCGGGCTTGTGTTTACATGAACAACCTGTACCTCTGATTGTCTAAAGCCACTTGTTTGGCTTAAGTCTACAGAAACCACCTGGAGAGGGTCCGAGGGCTCACTGCATTGTTGTGATTCTACAGAGGTAACATGAAGATGTTCTGAGGATCCAATGTTGCTAGATTGGCTTGACTCAACAGACATAACCTGTAAAGGGTCTGAGGATTGAAGGCCAGTGGTTTGGTTTGATCCTACAGAGCTAACCCAAAGACGGTTTGAGGGTGGAAAGCCACTCATCTGACTTGAGTTTACACTGAAAACGTGAGGTTCTGATTGTCTAAAGCTACTGGCTTGACTTGAGTGTACAGAAATTTCTTGGAGAGGGCTTGATGCTCCAAAGCCACTGGTTTGTTTTGACTCAATAGGGATACTATGGAGAGTGTCTGAGTGTCCAAAGCTAATGGTCTGGCTTGTGTTTACAGAGACAACCTGAACTTCTGATGGTCTAAAGCCCCTTGTATGGCTTGAATCTACAGAAACAACTGGGAGAGGGACTGAGGGTTCAATGCTGCTGGATTGGTTTGACTCTACAGAGATAACCTGAAAAGGTCCTGAGGATCCAGGGCACGAGGTTTGGCTCGAGTCTACAGAGATAAGATGAACTTTAGTCTGGGGTTTCATTTGAACCTTCCTGCCAACAACGGATGACAACAAAGGCTGTTTGAGGTCTGCTTGCTGTATTTGGCATTTAGCTTTCCTTTGATCTTCGGGAGATTTATCATGAAACTGACTGAGGGCCTGGTGCTTTGCACCACCAGTGGCTTCAAATGGTGTCTGCAGCTGAAAGGAATGAAAGTCTTGTTTTTGAGATTCCACTGGGCTGTCTAAGGAAAGTTTGCTGCTTCGAGAGAACATCTGATAGTGCTGAATGCTTCCAGTTTGAAATTCAGGCTGAGAAAGTGTATGCACAAAAACCTTGGAAGCAGGCCGTGCACTTTCAGGCTGTCCTTCACGCTTTACTCCATGACAACTGAGCATCTCAGTAACCTCCTGACAGACATACAAAAAGATGCGAGATGTTATAAAACTTTCAACTTCCTCCACAGAACCTGCTCTGTAATGAAACACACCTGGCAGAGAGAGACTGTCTGCTTCAGTCGGTCTTGAAGGTCTGTTATGCTGAGGTAAGGCAGGGTGAAGTTCTTTTGCAAAGATGTCACGAGAACTTGCAGGTCCTCGCCCTCTGTCACCACCTGTCCTTCCAACTGTAGACCTCTAGATATCAAAGCCTGCAACAGGAATCAACAGGGATGACAGTTTGAAAGCTCTGCTTTAAGTATCCAAATTAACTATGCCAATCAAAGCCAATTTCTACTCACTTTAGCCCTAAGATGTGGCTCCAAGTGGCCTCGACGCTGCCTGCTGCTTAGGTGCTGGCAGACCTCTTGGGCCTCTGTGCTCCAGTTTTCAAGCTCAGCTAATCTGCCTTCAAGAAGAGACGCCGCTCTCTGGAGCCCCTCACACACCTGATCTACTCGGTTTAAAGTGTTATACATCTGGCCAAAAAAAGAGCACATATTTAGTCATCAATTACTCGCATTAGCATCACACAATATTTAAGAAAAGTAGTTCATCCAAGAAAAAGATAAGGGTTCCAGATTGGGGGTGTCAGGATAGAACTTCTATAGAGAGAAACCAAATAAAAATGAAATACTGACAACACACCTTAACATTGGAGTCAGTGTACCTACTACTAACACAAAATACAGGAACACAATTTACTGACAGTCTTAATAAATTAAATTGATATCTACAAATGCAAATGAATCAGTCTACAGACTTGATTCAGTAAAAAAAAAAAAAAACTGTTTATTTCTTTCACAGACATGACTGATATATGACTTTTAATTTCAACCCCATATTGTACACAACTAATAAATGAAACATTGATGGATTATTTCCTAACCTCTAGCAGTGCTTGCTTGAGTTTGTGAAGAGTTTCCTCTTTGCAGTCTGGAGATGGATATATTGAGTTTAAATCAAGCTCTGAAATCTTTTTAATTATGCCCTGAGGAAAAGGAAGAAAAACACATTTTTTTACAAAGAGAAAATGTTTGTAAGTAAAGGCTAAGACAAGCAAATAAGAAACCAAAACAAAAGCTAGAATAGATCTAGAACCACCATACAAACTGTAAAAGTTTGCAGCTTGAACAGAGAGCTCAGTATACCTGTAGTTTCTTTCTATAAATGCGCAGGGGTCCAGATGACACTTCGAGAGTATCTCTAAGTACACAGCCCGATTCCTGCATCAGGCCTTGAGCAGTTTGAACACCTGGAACTGTACAGATGGGCTGATGGGTCACTGCCTGAAAACATGCCATTCACAACAACAAAATTTATTATTAAAAAAAGAACAACTTTTAAAAAACATTTGTCACATGGGTGTGAAACGACAGATCAAAAGGCCAAAAAAAAAAATCGGATACTTTAATGAACAGCAAGTGCGAATGATGAAATGGAAAACCATAGGTATGCTCATTTGTTTTGAAAACACAATAGGCTGAAGTATACCAACTTGTCAATGCAAGAAAGGTAAAAACAGTTTGAACTATCCACCAAAAGGTATGCAACTTAAAAGAGGATAAGAGAAGGCTGGGTCTCAGCAGTTTAAAAACAAAACTCTTTATTCAATCCTGTTGAACAAGTTCATACAGCAAAATAAACTTTTCCGCCACACCTGCTTATGAATAAACTGAGCAGATTCACCAGCTGTAAATATTGCTTGACAGCTTTGAAACTATATTCTGCATATTCCTTTTCTCCATAAATAATTGTGAAAAATAATGAATACCACTTGCAACGTGCAACACATACACAAACACATACTTTTGTACTCATTCTACACACTGACATGCGTGTTGATTTTTTTTTAAAGGTAAAGTTAAAAATAGACAACCTTACATTTACATAGCGCTTTTCTAGACACTTAAAGCGCTTTACACAGTGGGGGGAATCTCGTCATCCACCCCCAGTGTGCAGCATCCACCTGGATGACGCGACAGCAGCCTTACTGGGCCAGACCGCACACCACACACCAGTTGATCGGAGGCCAAAGGGGAAATTTGGCCAGGATGCCGGAGTTAAACCCTACTCTTTTTTGAAGGACATCCTGGGATTTTTAACACAGAGAGTCAGGACCTTGGTTTAACATCTCATCCGAAAGACAGGGCTTACTGAGCAGTTTAGAGTCCCCTTCACTATACTGGGGCGTTAGGTCCCAAACAGACCACAGGTTGAGCTCCCCCTGTTGGCCTCACTAACACCACTTCCGGCAGCAACCAACATTTCCCATGTGGTCTCCCATCCAGGTACTGACGGGGCACACCCCTGCTTAGCGTCAGTGGGCAACCATGTGAGAGTTGCAGAGAGCTAGTTCGAACAATACTGAATCTCAAATCTAATCTATTTTATTAATTGTTTGGTTTAAACTTTATTTATTCTACAATTTCTAATTGTTGAGCAACTGTGAAAATTTTGACCGTTGTAAAATATTTACTTATTCTGAATGATCTTAAAAAGCATCTACTACTTTTAAACACAAATGTTTTGTAAATAATGCAATAATGCAAAGTATGAAAATGCAATCATTAAGCACATTAGACATGAAATTATAATTCAAGAGCACAGCATTTGAAGCTCTAGTTTTGTAACTGCTTACTAATGTTTATTAATGTAGAGTTTAGGGCTGCACGATATTGGAAAAATCTAACGTTGCAATATTTTTTTATTCTGCAATATATATTGTTATATGAAGACAATTTCACCAGATGAGTTCGGGTGAATAACTGGAAAGAATTTATAATTGTAGATTGATTGGGAGTGCATAAAACATAAATAAAAAAAAACTACAAAAAAATTTTGTTTTATGAGCAAGTCTATAAAATTAATCTTTATTTATTTTTCAAAGTTATAAACAGTGCAACTTCTTATGCCTGAACGTTTTTAAAATCCTCACAGGCCTTTAAAACACTTGCAAAATGATACAAATAATCCAGACTCAACATGGTGTATACTCGTGATGTAACTATTGCAAATGATCACATTGCTATCGATATCGAGGTAAAAACAATATATTGTGCACCCCTAGTAAAAATAATGCATAACAAATGATGAATTAACTATTTGCGAATGCTTAGTAAATGATTTATAGTGTGGAGTTATAAAAAAAAAAGTTAACAATTAATGTAAATCATCATTCAAACAGGCTTAAAATGTTAAGTGTGTTAATTTTGAAGCCTACTGAAAACTACAAGACAATGGTTTATCTTTACAAACTCACAAACTTGGTCCTTTTTATGAAGTCAGCCCACTGCATGTTGAGCCTGCGGAGCTCATCAGATAGAGAATGGCTGGTGGATGTATCACTCATCTCAATGAGAAAGTTGCCTGCTTCGTTCAGCTGGGCTTGACGTGTACTCCACTCATTCTCGCTGGAGGAAAAACGCTTCTGCTGCATTATCAAAAGAAAAGAAAAAAACACAAGCAAACCATGAAAAATGAAGCAACTACACACAAACATCAGCCATAACCTGAAGTTAGAAAAGTGTACGTCTTGAACACAACAAACAGGACGAAGCAGTCTCTTCATGAATTCGTCATCACAAAATTTATCACAAAATCAAGAAAATATCACAAAATTCTGAGGACCCTGCAATTGTTTTGTACAGTTCGGGGGATATTATGCAGACATCCCCCAAAGTGACCAGTGGAGAATATTATGTGGATGCCCTCTAAGTGACTGGCATGGAATATTATGTGTATGTTCACTGTTATTGTCAATTATGTTAACAATCCTCTGAGTGATAAATATAACTTTGTTTAAATTGTAACATTTGTTTAAATTGAAAGACATTTTTAAAATGTTGCTTATTTTAATTAGTTGTAGTCTATCAAATATAAAATGTGCTTTATAGGTTTGTGGGGTATCAGAATTAAAAAAAATAAAAAAATCACTCGGGCAATAAAAACGTTTCTTTCCATTTAACAATGTTTACTACATTTTCAAGCATTATAACAATACACTTTGTTAAAAAACTGTGTTTCTCCGTCTTTCTTTCGTTCTTTTCATTTTCCCATTTTGTAATGTAACTTAAAACAGTCCATTAAGGGCAGAGCAAACCATTACAAACAAAGGAGCAGTGGTGAAATCAACAATGTACACAATTAAACATATCAACATGTTTAAATTGTAGATGAATTTGAGCTCTAATAATAAATGATATTAAATGGCTCTTACAGGGTAGACATTAGTTTCTGTTTTTGTTTTCTCAGTGTTTACTTCATTTTAACGGCACAAAAATAAAAAAATGTTTTTGCAAATTTTCACTGCAATCCTTTTAGTAGGAATCTGAAAAATGTCCTGCAAAATCCTGAAGAGACTAAAAAAAGATGATCACTATTCTGATATTATAATAACTAATGAAATAAGATTTTCTAATAAAATAACAAGACACCAGCATTTGATAATGTCAGTTATCAAATGCTGTATTGTACCTCTTTCTCTTGCATCTGTGTTTGACTCTCCTGCCCCAGCCAGACCTGTAACCGATACAGGTAGTCTTTGTAGGACTCCCATGCACCCAGCACACGCTCCATAGTAGACTTGACTGATTCTGCAGCATCAGTGATGGCTCTTGTTTCACTATCAGCTTCCTTTACCTGCCTGTTTACCACAGGCAAGTCGTCCGCTGCAAAAGAAACAGAAAGAGCAAATCAGATAGAAGTAATAGGAAGAAGCCAATGACTTTTATTAATGGATTTAATACAAACTTACCCAGGGCTGCTTTGCTTGCATAACTGATTGTTGTGTCTTTCAGCTTATGTAGAGCTTCCTTCAACTTCCACACCAGGCCTTCCTTGTCAACAGTTTCCTAGTTGAAGATATATACATTATTTAATAGTTAAAAGATTGAATTAGAGTAACAGTGTAGTGTTAAAGAGAAAAGTAAAAAAATAAATAAAAAATAAAAAACTTTACCGTCAATGGACTTTTAAATGTGTTTTTGGTTGATATAGGGTGTGTGGTTAACACAAACTCAATATATCTTTATGTTTTATTCTACAATAAAAACTTTCAGCTTTTCCATGTCTTGAAAATGAGTGCTTGCTAGCAAGTGGTTAAATGGCTGTCAAATATATCACCACAACTCCAGGAAAACTCATCTACTCACTTTTACAGCCTTGTTGTTTTTATACTCTCTTGTAAACTTCATTCTTACTCAAACTCTCCGACATGTAGATTAAAGATTAAAAGAGATGTTTTAATCTGTTTTTTTTGTACGTGTAGCTTTATTTAACGTATTTGTATTATTTTTGCTTTAAAATTCAAGCCTTGATAATCTTTATTAATTAACAAAAATTAGCAAACTTTGTCAATAACCCAAAGGATAATGTAAAAGATCATTGAAAAAATCAAAGTTTGATGAAAACAGTCTTCTGCTTTCTGCTTGATTGAAAGCAGAAGATTTGAAAAGGCAGCTAGACTTCAATGGTCCAAGACCGCCCAAGCAGAAGTCTGATCAATACAATTCAGAGCAACCAATAACAGTACATTCTGTTTAATTCTGTTCTTTTTAAACGATACAATAACATTCTGTTTAATGTCATGGATGTGTGTGGAAGTGTTAAAAAGCTTTTTACAAAGCATCTATTTGATCCTGACAATCTTTGTGCACCATTTATCCAACTATAATACAATAACTTGTAAACACAATGGCTTTCTTCTTGCATGAAGAGGTTTGGCATCATAATAGCTGTGTTTCCAGATGGACCAAACATTAATATTATACAGTATGTGTCCACTGGAAATCCTGTAGAATTCTATTATTCAGATTATAAAGTTTTTTTTTTTAAATTTCCTTTTTGTGTGCATTATGTTTTTAAAATTATGTTAACGTTCAGTCTGAGACTGAACCTAGTGTGAAGTTAAATTCTGAGTTGAAATTGTAATCTCTAGTACTCTTTATTTTCATTTATTGCAGGAACATTTATTAAATGGTTAAAAAGGCAAGCAAACTGACTGAGCTTCAGGATTAACAGGATGAATTTTACTTATGCAATTTGTACATAGTTCAAAAAGAAAAAGGAAAAAAAATGTTCCTTTGTAATTTTAGAAATTCAACGGGTAATTTTCAATATCATATTAGCACTATAACTATTGTCTGATCAATAAAGCACATGAGCTCAGAGTACTGCACTTGTAGTCCTTGTGTACTGTCACAATAAACATTGAAAAAAAATCAGTTTTCTGACTTGACCATGTAATTTACGCTCAAGAACAAACTGTTGCAGTCATGAAGTTATGCTCATCACCCTGTCAAATTTATTCAATTTGTTTTTTATCTACACAATTTTTTTATTCAAAGTACTATTGGAACTGCTATTTTTATACTATAACCCTTCATTTAACATTTTACAAACAGAATGTGAAGTTAAACGTTCAGGCATACCTTGCAGAGTCTGCAAAATGCTAAATATTTTAATAAAACTGTATTTATGACTTAATGTACGAGGTTTTAAACCAAGTCCAAGCTAGAATTACAGCTCATCTTAGATATTTTTGCATCTCCAATAACACATAACCTTGCATATTTACAGTGTACACACTTTATTTTATTTTTAAGCTTAAATTGAATTTAAACATTTTTAAATTAACTTTAAATTGAACACAGAAATCATTTTTTAAGAGAAACCACAGCAATGCAATAACTGTTCTATATGATCACATACATGCCAATCCTGTAGAAGAGATTGCACAGACTCCTGGGAGCCATAAGGTCCTTTCCACAAGCTCAGCTTAGACTTCAGACGTCCCAGCAGGTCATAAACATGGTGCATCTGCTCTCTATATTGTAGCTTGATGCCGTGGTACTTGGCTGTTACTCTGGCACTGGTGAAACTAACAAAACAATGAGGAAAATTAACAAAAAAACAGAATATCTGCTGAAAAGACCATCTTGATTTAGCACATTTCCAGGACAATTCATGGTTACTTATAAAGCCTGATGTGGACACCAGCATCTCAGAATATTAAAAAACACAACATTTGCTGGTCTGAAAAAATATGGTATGCCCAACCGTCTTTTGATCTCTTCCAGCTTCTCGACTGGTACTTGAGGACAGTTATCATCATCTGCGTTACAGTAGTGATGAAGTGTGTTCAAGTGCTGGCTTAAATCTTCAACCAGGACCTGAGGAAGCAGCAAGAGAAAACACAAACATGTATATAATTCAGAAATACCTATCGAATCATGAAAAAACCTGGCATTACACTGACCTTCAGCTGTTCTTGCTTATGTCTGGCATCTCTGGCAGCAAGGGCATGATCTTCTGTGTTGCTGCTGTCTTCAGTAAGCACAGCCTCTATGTGTTGAAGCCACTGGCCTAGTGTGTTCAGAGGTGCTGGCAAACCAACATCAAGCTCACTTTTGTACTCTTGTAACTAGGGAGAATGCACAAATATTTTTTGTTTGTCATTCAAATGTATTGTACCCTGAAATCTTTTTCTTTCCTAATAAGATGTCTTCAATAAAAGGTACAATTAAAGAATGTCTCACACATTTAAATATAAACAAATCAACTAATTTAATTTAACTCCAAAAGGGGTTTCTTTAGATATTAAGGGATTTATAACGTCAATGTACAGTTGCAAATAACAGCCTTTAGAACAAAATATACAAATTGTTATGCATCCAAATCCCATAAGACTGGCAGCTGTCCACATCAAATGATAGCAATACATCAAAAACAAATCAAACCATTAATTTATGTTTGTTTGCTACATTTCAAATTGATAAAATATGCAAAACATGTATGTTTTTTGAATATAACTTGTAATAGTAGTATATTACCCCTTGTTTTTTTAACTTGTGGCACTTGTAATATATATTTTGATTTATTATTCAGCATAATACACTTTTTAATGTTATTTCTGTGGTTATCTCAAGGGTCTGGGATTGAACTGAACAAGCACGATCAGACAATTAATTAATAACTGTTACAAAAACTGATGTCTAATGTTTACCACGCTTATTTTGATCTCAGCTTTATAGTGGCTTTGAATCAAAACATAGTTAGAAACGATACTCTTTTACAGGGTTTATACTCTTTCACATTCACACTTTTGTCGAAAAAAAGAATGCAAAGATTTTCAGAACTATCCTAATTTCCATATTTTTCTGAATTCACTGAATGTACCCTCTCCTCCATGGCATCCCAGGCCTTTCTCAGTTCCATCTGCTCCTCGTTGGGTTTAGTAGATCGCTTCATTGCACTGAGCACTGGAATAACTGGACGTCTCTGCTCATAATACGTGCCCACAAAGTTCTGAAATGCCTTGAATAAAACAAAACCACTTGTTCAGAGATTTACATAACACTTGCATGTTACATTAGAAGGCACTGATTTACAATTGAACACTCAGCATACCTGGTACCTTTCTGCGTATCCCTTCCCCTCAGTGGAAATCCATGAATCCAGCAACTCCTGATAAGCTCGCTGTAGCCAACATTTCATCTCTCTGGCTTTCTGACTGGGTGAAGCCTGAGGGCAGGGTAGGTAACAGATAAACCAATCAGCGATTTATTGTTAAATCAGAAAGCATGCTGAAACAAGTAGACGTTGATTGTGGAATGATATTTTGCGAAGAAAACTTGACATGCACTCCTGTGATGTCTGTACCTGGTGCAGTGGGGAGGCCAGAACTGCAGGAGTGAAGTGTGTGGGAAGGTTGACAGGAGAAAAGCATGTAGGAAAAAGCAGAGTTTGAAGCTGTGTCCGACCAGGAGGGGGAGAAAGAGAGAGGGAATAGCCAATAATAAAAGGTAGGGGGTTTAAAAGAGAGAGAAAGAAGGAAGAATGAAAAAGAGACAGATGAAGCAAAGACACAGATCTGGGGTGCGTTTCGCAGACAACAATGTAACTCATTATAGTATGATGCATCGTTTGGGAAAAGAACGATGTAGTGACGGGTGTTTCCCAATACTCGTAGTTTCTCTGTCGCAGATCCATCATTTGAACCACGTTAGTTATAACGTAAAACGCTCATAATAATGCTGTAAATGGGGTTGTAACAACTTCTTTAGAGAAGAACCCCATAATTTATTTGTGCTAATTATATTGTTTTACACGCATTTAAAGAAAAATCCAATATTAATTTTGGTAAAAACACATCCTGCTTTAATAATAATATTAAGGATGATTATTATTATTATTATTATTATTAATATTATTATTATTATTATTATTATTATTATTAAGGTTATGATTATTATTATCATTATTAAGTAGGATATTGTTTATTTATTTTTTATTTTTTGATAAGTCTACTTTTACAATTTGACGTACAAACCACTGCTGCAATGTTCTAACCAGCAGGCCCATGCCATATACAGTACAGATATTTCATAAAAAAATACTATAAATTAAAAGCATTAACGTATGTTATGTTTTTCTGTTTTCACAAGCTTTGGAGGCATAACATAAATTCCGCTTTTAAATAATAGGTCACCTAAAGCTTTCGTCATGAGCCACGGCTCTGTTCAAAATTACATCAATGTTTTCAAAGTGCACTGCTAAGGAAGCGCAACTGTAAACATGAAGATCGCTAAAACAGAACTGCAAAAATACTTTGAAACTTTATTTATTTATTTTTTTAATAATTCCAAGTTTAAATGTCAGAACGTTCTAAACGAATAGAATAACTGGGAATAGAAGTTTCTAACTACAGCTTTGGTGTAGCTGCAAGTGTACAAGTTTGCAACGCAGTTTGCGAATGTTCGTTTGAACGATGGATTTAGGAAATGCCAAATCAACAAACTATGTTTGTAAAAACGGAACTTGGGACATTAGTTGGCTAATGATGGTATATGGAAACGCACCCCTGGCTGGGACATGTAGATGTAGATGGTCTCACCTCAATATCATCATCAGATAAAGGTAAATCATTGGAGTACTGAAGGAACTGAGCAATGTATGTCATGATGGACTTCTCATCAGGGTTACTGACGTCAACGTCTGTGAAGGAAAAGGTTTTAAAACTGCTTCAACTTTGAAAAAGCTTAATAAAGCATTAACACATTGCACACAATTTATTAATACAAAATATTAATAAATTGTTTTTTGGATTTGCCAGGGGAAAAGTAAAAAACAAAACAAAAATTAACAACCTGTGAAATTTAAATTAGTATTAAAATATTTCACAATTGCTGTTTAACAAAGAGAAGATTTTTTTTCAACCCATTTGTAAACATAATAGTTTTAATAACATATTATCCATTCTTTCATTCATTCATTCATTCATTTTTTCATTTATTTATTCATTCATTCATTCATAAATTTTCCTTCGGCTTAGTTTCTGATTTATCACAGGTCGCTACAGTGAAATGAACTGGCAACTATTCCAGCATATGTTTTACACAGTGGATGCCCTTCCAGCCACAACCCAGTACTGGGAAACAACCATAGTTTCTCACATTCACACACACACTCATAGACTACGGCCAATTTAGTTTACTAAAAAACCCACGCCAACGCGTGAAGAACATGCAAACTCTACACAGAAATGCCAAATTGTCCAGTCGGGACTCGAACACATGACCTTCTTGCTGTGAGTTGACAGTGCCAACCACTGAGCCACCGTGACGCCAATAACCATTGTCATTGTCTTTGCCATGACGGTAGAACAAAACAGTTATTTTGCAAGATGCTATTATTCAAGTTCATTTTAAATGATTAATTAAGTTAACTAGGCAAGTTGGGTAATTAGGCATGTCATTAGACAACAGTGCAATGTTCTGTAGCCAATCGGAAAGAAAAAAAAAATCTAAAGGGGGCTAACAATATTGACCTTTTTTCAATATTGTCATGTTTTATTCCAGCCAACCTAAAAGGTTAGCTAATAGATTTTTATTTTATTTTTAAATATTAAAAAATATAATATGAAATACTGTAGTAAACTTCCAAACCCTGTTAAACGGCACTTGGGAAAATTTGACAGGAGAGTTAATAATTTTGTATTCAAATGTATGTGTTTTCAGTAAAATTATCATTTGCGTTTTTTTCATAAACTACTACTATCGTGCCATTAAAAAAAATTAACCTCACATCACCTTGACCATCAGTGAATACGTTCACATCCATTTACATATATGCTTACATCATATATATGTCTTTCACATCACTTTTTATTGTATGCTCCATCAGCTCCAATCACAGTTTCAATTCAATCAGCTTTGCATTTAATTAGGAGTGAATAAACTATTTCATCTTAGAACAATGTTTTAGGTCTAATTTATATGTTTTGTGTCCATGTAATAGGCAATTAAGTACATCCAGGATGGTTGTTTACACAGAATAAAGCCCTTTAGTCTAATAGAACAGCAGTCGGCTTAGGTGAAAAAATGTAAACATAATAGGCTTCACCTTCTGGCTCAAGTAGTCTGGGAATCCCTAGCTCCTTCTCAGCAAGGTAAAAAGCTTTCTCCAGGTTTTGCTGATTGCTGCTGGTCTGAAATTGGGAGAGATCCACCAGATCTGGCCTGAGGGAGCAGAGGATAGCCAGAAATACCTCTCCACTCCTCCAGCTCGACTTAAAGTCTCTCACGCTAGCTGGACAGCCGACTCTGGAGAAAAAAAAAAAACCAACAACATTTATGTAGAGAGAACTCATCTAATAAAAGTCTTTGAATAGCATGAGCAAGATGAAGCTCACTTCTGGCACTGGTCCCGAACCCACAGGAGCAGAGCTTTTTTAGCAGACAGACGGAAGCGTGTGTGGAGCGGTGATGCTCCTCGAGGAACTGGACTACTGGCTGGAGAACCAGAAAAAGAGTCTAGACTGGACAGGGAGTCCAGGGAGGAGGAACGGGATCCAAATGAGAGGGTACTGGCTAGCTCCTTTATCTGTAATAATGTGGAGAAGAGAGTGCTTAATCATAAAAAAAGAAAAAGAAAAAAAAATGAACATTTAGAGTTGCAACATTAGTGACAACAAGAGCTAACTGTGTTGTCTCTTCATGCTGGCTATATCTGTACTAAAAAGACTACTGTATATAGAACATAACTGTCTATTGCAGAGGGTAAAAGCTGTCTGTAGTCATTGTTTGAAAAAGAAAATCGAAATTAAGAGTGCAGATATAGAAAAATCCTAAACAATCAGCAAACAACCGTTATATTTTAATATTTTAATTGTAATGATCTTATTAATGTAACTAATCAAATGTTACAATAAACATACTTTTTTTTTAAAAATATGCTCTTTTTAATTATACATCTAAATTTTTTAGCAACATAACTGTAAAAATTCATAATAATTGATCATAAAAATCATATGCATCAAATCACTGTTTTTTTATAGATTTCTGACAGATTGCGTGACTCTCAAAAGGACAGTTCACCCAAAATTGTAAATTACTTCATTATTTACTTGCCATCATTTGGTTTTTGCACCTATTTGAGTTTCTTCTGTTGAACTTGAACAATAAAGAATATGGGCTCTATTTTAACAATCTAAGCGAAAAGTCTAAAGCGCATGGTGCAAAAGCATTAGGGGTGTGTTTGAATCCACTTTTGCTATTTTAAGGACGGAGAAAAATACGATTTGCGCCGTGGCACATGGTCAAACAAGGGTTGTGCTTATTTTCTTAATAGGTTATGGGTGTGCTTTGGGAATAAACCAATCAGAGTCTCATCTCTCATTTACTTTAAGAGTCAGTTGTGTCACGCCATGGCGCATTTGCTATTTACATGGTGGACTTTATAAGAGGAAAAACTGAACAGACCATCTGCATCGCGAAGATAAAGAACGAGCCTGCTCAATCGGTCTCTTTACTTTCTCTTTTCTTTCTCTTTCATATAGATAAGGAAAGGAGTTGTACGCAATCCGCTGAAGACATCCATTAGCCTACATAATTAATTTTGTTTGTCAAGCACAAAGATTTTTTTTTAACTATTTGTACATTCAGTTCTAATTTCCAGCAAATTAAAAAATAAACAATAATAACGAAGTGTGGTCAAAAAACTAAGTTATATCCAAGCACACGTTATGCCCCATATGGTCCAAAACCTGACAGGTGGACATATCTAAGCTTGTTATTAATAAAACAAATATAAATATGCATATAATAAATAATATTGCTAATAATAACAATAACAACAATATACAAAAGCAAGTTGTCATGAATAAATTAAATAAAACCCCCAGAGATTAAAGATGGTATGAGGCTTTTTTTTGGTAATAATTTTTTAGTAATAGTTTTTGTAATATTTTAATCCTTTAATTATTTTTTCACATGTAAAGATATTTGCATATGTAACTATGAATTGCATATGAATTGCGCATATTAAGCAATGTGTACACATTTAAGGTACATAACTAACGTGCTCTGCGCTGAACTTTAGACCTGCTTTTAGCTGATCTATTGCACAGTCCATTTTAGTTCCTCAAAATAGCATTGCGCCAACAATGCACCTTAACACACCTCTTTTTTAGACCAAAACACCCATGAGTCCACAAAGTGGCGCAAATGGATTTGTTATTTAAACAACATGGTGGAAAACGCAAAAATTAAGGTTGCGCTGGTCTGAAAACAGCAACACGCCACGGCAAAAATGTCTGTGAACAGGCCCTTTTGTAAATTCGTTCTGGCTATTTTCCAGAAAGAGAATGTGAGGGACCGAGCCAGCACGGACAATAAGGGGCATACAAAAAAAAGAAGATTTTCAAAAATAATTATTTTTAATAAAGTCAAAAAGGTTCACAAAAAGTTCAAAAATAAATTAATTAAATAATTAAATCAATTGAAAGAACAATATACTAAACAAGGAAAACAAACTGAGTTCAAACCAAACAAATCATGTCTAAACCAAAAACAGAACTCCATGAAATGACAAGACAGACCACATTTATAGCACAGGGACTAGTCCACATTAAACAAGAAGGGGGAGACAAAAACATACAATTTACAAATACAATAAACTAAGCCAAACATCTAAATACAAATCTAAATATAAAGTTAAATAAACTATAAATAAGGCAAAACTAAATATAAATCTGAATAAACAAACATTGCAAATCATTATTGAACCTAAACTAAACATGAGCTCTCCCTCCAAGCCATTAAGCCAATGGTATCGGCAGGCGGAACCAAAAGACGGCATCTTGCGGCACGTCGGACCTTTAGTTGGGCGGACCACACCCGGAAACTCTGTTCCTCGTCGGCACTGCAGCACGGTAACTTAAACTCAAAAGAAAACTAAATTAACAAAACATACAGTACAGATAACTGATTTTGTGTGCACCCAAAATAGTAATAAATGTACTGTGAATAATAAAGAAAGGTAATGAGAAACTGAAAGTGTATGAGTCTTATTTAAATCAGATATGAATGAAACGAAAATGTATAAACACAATAACTGAACTGTGACCAATAAATAATCTTAAATGAATAAGTATAACGTGTGTGTGTGTGTGTGTGTGTGTGTGTGTGTGTGTGTGTGTGTGTGTGTGTGTGTGTGTGTGTGTGTGTGTGTGTGTGTATGTGTGCGTGCATGCCTCACTCTCAATGTGTGGCCACCACACTGGCCATCACATACTCCCTCCCTTCGGGAATGTCACTGGCACATCGGGACAGGTAGTCAGCCGTAAGGTTTTCTTTGCCAGGGACATGTCTGATAATAAACCGGAAGGGCTGCATGGCCAGGTACCAGCGGGTAATACGACTGTTGGTATCTTTCATTTCTTGAAGCCATTGTAGAGCTTTATGATCAGTCTCCAGTATAAACTCCCGGCCTAGCAGATAATACTTTAAAGAGTCCAATGCCCACTTCACAGCCAAGCATTCCTTTTCCACAATGGAATAGCGAACTTCCCTGGGGAAGAGCTTTCGACTCAAGAAGGCCACGGGGCGTCGAGTGTCAGGGCTGCCCTGTAGCAATACAGCTCCCAGGCCTCGATCTGAAGCATCAGTTTGCAAAACAAAGGGTTGGTGGAAATCAGGGTTATGCAAGACAGAATCTTTACTCAAGGCCTTTCTGAGATCTTGGAAAGCTGCAACAGTTTCTTGGGTCCACTTCAGCTGATTGGGACTCCTTGAACCAACCATGTCAGTCAATACTGCAGCCCGCCCAGAAAAGTTGGGAATAAATCTGTGATAAAACCCAGCCATACCCAAAAAGGACCTTAACTCCTTACGAGTTTGTGGCTGTGGACACCTTTCAATGGCCCGTACCTTCTCCACCTGGGGTCGGAGCACCCCTTTACCGATAACAAACCCCAAGTACTCTGTCTCTGCCTTTGCAATGGTACACTTTTGGGGGTTAACTGTCAGGCCGGCTGCCTGAAGGCGTTGCAGGACTTCTTGGAGATGCTGCAGATGTTGCTGCCATGTGTCACTGTACACTACAATATCATCCAGATAAGCAGCTGTAAATGGTAGTCCTCGTAGTACGTGGTCCATTAGTCTTTGGAAGCTGGCCGGTGCCCCATGCAGTCCAAAGGCTAGAACCTTAAAATGGAATAGGCCCCAGGGTGTTTTAAACGCAGTGAGTTCTCTGGACTGTGGTGTCAACGGAATCTGCCAATAACCTTTTGAAAGATCAATGGTGGTTAGAAACTTTGAGGTGCCCAGTCGATCAGTGAGATCACTGATTCGTGGAGTAGGGTAAGCATCAAACTTGGTCACGGAGTTGAGGTAACGAAAGTCTATACAAAACCTTATTGACCCATCCTTTTTCGGAACAAGGACCACAGGGTGGCACCACTCGCTTTTAGAGGGCTCTATAATTCCCAGCCTCAGCATCAGATCCACCTCCTCTTTCAGCGCTTCTTGGAGACGTTCAGGGACCCTGTAACTCATTCTTCGAACTACAGCATCGGGTTTCAACTCAATATTATGTTCAATCAAGGTGGTAAAGCCAGGGTATTCTGAGAAGACTTCTGGTAAACAAATTTCTCTCACCTCATGCTGTTGCTGTGAGGACAGGTGACTCAGATCCACATCTCCTAGAGCTGACTGAGGCAGAAATACTTCAGAATCATCCTCCTCTTTGACTTGCCGGATCATCAAGCTGTGGCTAGATTCAGGAGGACGAGGAAACCATTCTTTAAGCAAATTTATATGCAGAGTACGTGTAGAATGAGCATGGTCAAATAGAGCAACTTCATAGGTGGTAGGACCTAGTTTCCTTTTAATTTCATACGGCCCCTGCCATTTTGCAAGCAGCTTACTTTCATGACTGGGCAACATCACGAGTACCTTCTGACCGGGCTTAAACTGCCGCTCCCGAGCAGATTGATCGTACCAGGTTTTCTGGCGTGTTTGAGCTTCTGCCAAATGAGACTGAGCTAGTGCAGACATCTTTTGCAAACGTTCCCTCATCTGAATCACATAGGATGCCACATTAGTTTCATCATTTCTCTGTGGGTTTCCCTCCCAAACTTCTCGGAGTAATGCTAAGGGACCTTTGACTTCATGACCATAAAGCAACTCAAACGGGGAAAATCCAGTGGAGGCTTGTGGCACTTCCCTGTAGGCAAACAGAAGATATGGGAGCCATTGATCCCAATCAGTGCCAGACTCACCAACAAACTTGCGTAGCATCTGCTTTAACGTCTGGTTAAATCTTTCGGTTAACCCATCTGTCTGGGGATGATAAGGAGTGGTTCTCAAACTCTTGATGCCCAGCAACCTATAGACCTGCTTCAGAAGATTCGACATAAAATTAGTCCCTTGATCGGTTAGAATTTCACTTGGAAAGCCAACTCTGGAGAACAGTTGCACTAGACAGGTAGCCACGTACTTGGCCTTAACTGACCTTAAGGGAAACACTTCAGGATACCTAGTGGCATAGTCAGTCACTACAAGCATAAATCGGTTACCCGAACGACTTTTCTCCACTGGTCCAACTATGTCCATTCCCAGTCTTTCGAATGGAGTGCCTATGAGTGGCAGTGGTTGGAGAGGGACCCGCCTTGGGCAGTCAGAGGACACTTTTTGACATTCAGGGCAGGTTTTACAGTACTGGGCTACTACTGAGTTCAGACCAGGCCAATAGAAGTGTTTTCTGATCCGGGCGATGGTTTTACGTTTCCCCAGGTGGCCAGCCCAAGGAATCGAGTGACCCAGAGTAAGGATAACTTCTCGGACACACTGTGGTACCACCAGTTGTGTCACTTGTCCCATCTGACGATATAGTAGACCCTGGTACATACAAAATCTTTCCTTTGTCTCTCCATCAACAGTTTTTCCATCCTCCTGCTTTGCTCTCTCCAGATAAGGAACAAGACTGGCATCCTCTTGTTGCATCTGCACAATGTTGACCGGCAGCTTAAACTTGGGTGAGAATTCAGCAAACTTATCAACAGGCATTACGGAAGCATTATATTGGATTTTCTCAAACCGTTTCTGTCGTCTGGATTTCCTAGGTTTAGTTGAGCCATCGATTTCTGCATCAAAGAATGGTAGCGTAGCAAGCAACTCTTTACTTTCGTCTCTCTTATGGCTCTGGGCTCGAGTAACAACCATGTTACAGGTGGATGCTGGCTGCAATAAGTCCCACAGTACTGGCAGGTCATGCCCCAAGACTACAGGGAAAGGTAGGTTGTCAGCTACACCGACCTCCAAGAAGTAAGTCTGACCTCTCACCTTCAGATAGACCTCTGCGGTGGGTAGCAGCTTTTCATCACCATGCACACAGCGGACAGCCTTCAGGTTGGTGTAGCGAAGGAGGGCTGGAGAAATGCACTTCATGTGTACCAAAGTCTGATCACTCCCGGTATCAACCAAAGCAATCATTTCCTTTCCATTAATCTCAACAGTGGTGCTTGCTGGTGAGCGTTCAGCTTTAGGGGCTGGCTTTGCAAGATGCCTGGGCACATAACACAGGTGAGTATTCTTGATTACATTTCTAGGGCACATGGGCTTGGTATGACCTTCTTGATTACATAGGTAACATATTGGCATTTTCCTATAATTCTTAGGAGCATTGACAAATGCAGGCCCTCCTCCAGGAGGCTTACCAGCACCAGGGAAGTTTCTCATAGACTGCTGGGGGGGATTTGCTCTCCGGTCATCTCGGCTGGATTTCCACCACCAGGACTGATTTCTCTGACGTGCTGCCACAAACACATCTGCCAGTGTTGCCGCTTGTGAAGCCGACTGTGGATCATGTTCTCGTACCCACACCTGTAGCTCTGGAGACAACATTCTCAAGTATTGTTCAAGAATGATCACTTCACCAACTTCTTCAATAGACTTACTTTTTGGCTGCATCCATTTCCCATACAGTTCTTTTAACCTCACATATAGTTCTTTAGGGCTTTCAAGGTGTTCTACTTCAAGAGACCGAAACCTCTGCCTGTAGGTTTCTCGACTGATGTCATATTTCCTTAATACTGCAGATTTAAGTTCATCATAATTCAAAGATTCATCAACATCCATGTGTACATAAGCAGCCCGGGCCTTACCCGTCAGAAGGGGAATCAGATGAAATACCCACTCCTCTTTTGGCCATCGGCAAACTGCTGCCATTCTCTCAAAAGTAATTAGGAAATGTTCAACATCATCACCATCAGACAACTTTTCCAATTTAGGCTCTTTAGGTTGGCACTGACCTGTATCACGGGCTTCAGCTCCCTCTCTCCGACAGGTACTTGACTGAGATAATGGCCTACTTGGACCAGCACCCTCATCTGGGTGATCCAAATCATCTTGAGATGTTACCAAAGTATTTGGAACAGGAGTGGTGCGAGCCTGCACCTCCAGCTGCAACAGGCCAAACTGATGATGGAGAGCTTTGAATCGGCGTTCCTGCTGGGCCAGCTCTGCAATCCTTTGTGCTTCCTGAGCCTCCATTTTTGCCATGTGAGCTCTCAACAAGCCTGTCAAGTCAGCTATTGTTGGTTCAGTGCATTCAGTCTCCACATCAAATTCTCTCACCTCCTGTAATTCTTCATCCCCCAGCTCTTGTGCAACTTCATCCAGTTGCTCCACTGAAACAGCCTTTGGGGCTCCTCTTCGTCCTCCTCGGTTCATGGCCCAGAAAGTTCACCAAGGAAAAAAAAACTCTGCCCCCTACTGGCAAAATCCCACTTCTGACACCACTTGTGAGGGACCGAGCCAGCACGGACAATAAGGGGCATACAAAAAAAAGAAGATTTTCAAAAATAATTATTTTTAATAAAGTCAAAAAGGTTCACAAAAAGTTCAAAAATAAATTAATTAAATAATTAAATCAATTGAAAGAACAATATACTAAACAAGGAAAACAAACTGAGTTCAAACCAAACAAATCATGTCTAAACCAAAAACAGAACTCCATGAAATGACAAGACAGACCACATTTATAGCACAGGGACTAGTCCACATTAAACAAGAAGGGGGAGACAAAAACATACAATTTACAAATACAATAAACTAAGCCAAACATCTAAATACAAATCTAAATATAAAGTTAAATAAACTATAAATAAGGCAAAACTAAATATAAATCTGAATAAACAAACATTGCAAATCATTATTGAACCTAAACTAAACATGAGCTCTCCCTCCAAGCCATTAAGCCAATGGTATCGGCAGGCGGAACCAAAAGACGGCATCTTGCGGCACGTCGGACCTTTAGTTGGGCGGACCACACCCGGAAACTCTGTTCCTCGTCGGCACTGCAGCACGGTAACTTAAACTCAAAAGAAAACTAAATTAACAAAACATACAGTACAGATAACTGATTTTGTGTGCACCCAAAATAGTAATAAATGTACTGTGAATAATAAAGAAAGGTAATGAGAAACTGAAAGTGTATGAGTCTTATTTAAATCAGATATGAATGAAACGAAAATGTATAAACACAATAACTGAACTGTGACCAATAAATAATCTTAAATGAATAAGTATAACGTGTGTGTGTGTGTGTGTGTGTGTGTGTGTGTGTGTGTGTGTGTGTATGTGTGTATGTGTGCGTGCATGCCTCACTCTCAATGTGTGGCCACCACACTGGCCATCACAGAGAAGTTGTAACATTTAGCTGCTAGAAGTTAGTCGGATAATGTTTATAAGTTCATCTTAATGTCAACTGTGTAAATAATTATCGATAAGATGCTTATGGTTTGCGTGTGCCCGTGAATAAGCCCGTTAGCGACAGCACACACATATATCATGTACATCTCGACATGCAAAAGTGTTTATGTTTTCATTGAAGTTGTTCACAATACTTCATCCACAAAGTTTGTAATGTAGTCAAAGGTTTACAAATAGAAGCCCAGCCGTTTAGAGGTCATTTCTGGTTAATGATGTCATAATTTACCGGCATTTTGGAATGGATGTGTGAATGCTCTTTTCTGGAAAAATTCCGTAACGTCCTCGCCTGTGTGAACAGGTCTTTTATGAATTTAACGGTAAAGTCGCTCCGGACACTTTCCAGATATTTACCGGTCTCACTGTGTGAAAGGGGCTAATGAGTGCAAGCTATCAGCATTCTTCAAAATACCTTTTTTTGTGTTCACAAAAAGAAAGAAGCTCAAATAGGTTTTGAACAAGTGAAGGGTGAGTAAATGATAGCAGATTTTTGAGGTCTACTATCTCTTTAAGTGTGGGGTAATGATGATAAACCATAGTGGCAAGCATTTAGCTTTCCACCAAAGGAAAATTTCAATATATTAAAACAGAAAATAGCTATTTTAAATTGCAATAATATTTCACAAAGTTGGCGAAGCAGTGGCGCAGTAGGTAGTGCTGTTGCCTCACAGCAAGAAGGTCGCTGGGTCACTGGTTCGAGCCTCGGCTCAGTTGGCATTTCTGTGTGGAGTTTGCATGTTCTCCCTGCATTCGCGTGGGTTTCCTCCGGGTGCTCCGGGTCCCCCACAGTCCAAAGACATGCGGTACAGGTAAATTGGGTAGGCTAAATTGTCCGTAATGTATGAGTGTGTGTGTGAATGTGTGTGTGGATGGTTCGCAGAGATGAGTTGCGGCTGGAAGGGCATCCGCTGCGTAAAAAAAACTTGCTGGATAAGTTGGCGGTTCATTCCGCCATGGCGACCCCGGATTAATAAAGGGACTAAGCCAACAAGAAAATGAATGAATTTCACAAAGTCACTTTTTACTGTATTGGCAGCTTTGATGATAAGTATAATAAAAAATACAAAATAATTATTCATTTATTCATTTTCTTGTCGGCTTTTCTTGTTGAAAGGCAGGGAGAACATGCAAACTCCACACAGAAACGCCAACTGAGCCGAGGTTTGAACCAGCGACCTTCTTGCTGTGAGGCGTCAGCACTACCTACTGCGCCACTGCCTCGCCACAAAATAATTAAATGAAATAAAATAAAAACAAAAAAAAACTGTAAAATTCTTACAGACCACAAAACTTTGAATGGTAATGCATATGACAACCCATATGTTTGCACATTTTGAAATACTATACTGTATGACTAAGCAGAACCAATGTACTCATTCGACCCAGATTCCCTAAAAATGATCTTCTGAATGATATGCAATGCGATATGTTTCCTTTATCAAATCTCAGAAAGTACAGGCCTTCACTGTACAACAGTTCTAAAGGTCTTGAGGTAAAAAAAGGAAAACTGCTCAAGGCCACGAAAGCTACAAGTACATATGATATGTTTGTTTTTGTAAAAACATATTATATGGTGACTTCCTTGTTACACATACATGACAGTGCAGGATGATGGTCCATATCAAGCCCAGAATGATGGAAGGTTTCCCTTCTAAGATGTCTGGGATGTTTATATTCACCAGTTTGACCTAAGAGAACATAAGCAGTTGTTTATGCCATTTGTATAGAAATCTAAGAATCCTAACAGATGGAAAATAATCACCAGATCTTACGGATTTATTCTTCAAGAAGCTCAAAGCAGTCTCGATGTTGCCTCTCTGCTGAAACACACCGTGACCTCGCTCTCGCTTCTACAGAGGAACAAACAAAATCAGTTGCATTCAGCATTTCTAAACATTTCTATGGTTGTGTAAACAAAAAATTGAAGTGTAAATAAATGCTTTCTTGGCTGAATCTCAGTGTTATGATGGTAATATTCAGCCCTCACCATGCGCTGGCCGCTCATCACCTCCAGCAGGTCAAGCAGTCGTGTTCCGTCCCGAAGATCAGAGAACAGATCCTGGACAGCAGCTGGAGGACTCCTCTGAAAAACACATAATGCATTTTAGCATTATTTTGTAACCGTGAAGCGACTGTGGGGCATTTTGGTCATGCTGAGGCAGAAGTAGCAGGAATATATAATGAAGTATTATTATTCCATATAACATAAAATAAACTAAAATATTTGTAAAAAATTTTAAATATATAAATACATAACATGATGTATGAATATTAAATACAATTTCTATCATATCACATTTATTCATTTATTATTTATTATTATTATTAAGAGTGCACAAAAGCTGATGTATACAAAAGCGCATGATAAAATATAATGATTCACAATAATTAAAGGAGCATTGAGAATTATTAGAAAAACGGTAAGGACCTCCAAAGCACAAAAGCACCTATCAGCAGTAAGGGGCATGTCTATTAATGACAGGGAAAAATCAAACTGGGGCGAGGTCCTGTTGGGGTATTGCCATGTTTGTTTTGCTGCATTTTAATATCAACATAGTTGGGACCATATGGCATAAATACGTTTTACAGGAAGTCACTGCAGTAGAGGCGGCTCAAATATTGCAATATCACCCACTTTAGGAGGTGCTAAGTCATCCCCAAACCTTAACATTGCTCGCAGTTTAAAACCAGTTTAAGATAACCATGTTATTATCTGCTGTGCTCTTCCCTCTGAATAACAAAAACACTAGGAAAAAAGTCAATGGTGCAAAACAAGCTGTTAAGAAAGCATCTGATAGTAGTGATGTGGAAATTTTTATACAAGCTTTAGATGATCATTTTAGTAGTATGATTAAAATTGCATCAATCTGATTGTGTGAGACTATATTTTGAATGGATCCCTTTTCTCTGCATGACACTGACAGTTCAGTACAGAATTAAAGAATTTACGCTTTTTGCAAATTCTCAAACATTTTACCTTTTCAATGAATATGTCAAACGCAGAAGAGATGATCTAACCCTTTTGATTTACCTGACAAGTAAAAAAAAAAAAAGCTTTGGAACCCTTCACATAAAAACAATCTACAGTCACTCATTAGCAACCTAGATATTAGAGGAAGGTTTTGTATTAAATTTTGATATGACGTTCATATGTTGAGGATTTAATTAAACTTTAGGAGCCCATATTTGTCAAATGCTTATTTCAGGGATAATTTTAAGCCAGGACTGTATTTGATTACATTAAATGCTGTATCAAATAGTTAACCTGAAGTGAAATGATGCAACACTCTTTAGCTATAAAAAGACTGCTGGTCAGATCACTGGAGATCGACACTTGCATGAACTTCAACGCTTGTGGGCTTTATGCGCTTGTGTTTAAAACACAGCCAAGTGCTGGTGGATGAGCTACATGGCTCATGTTACAGCCTGTTGAAGTGCACTATAGCTGCCGGTGAGATGCTATAAATAAATCAAGATGCTCGGCATATGCAAAGCTCAAAGGCAGACGGAGCTGGACAGCCCTTCCTTTTCTGACCAGTGAGTCAGCAATTCAGACCTCAGTTTAAAGGGATTTTCTGCCATAATTGACTTGTACTACACTTGTTTTAAGCCTATTTTAGTTTATCATCTCTTTGATGAAAATAGAAAACCTTTTTGAAGAATGTTCAAAAACTGTAGCCATAGATTTTATAGTATTTCAAACTACATTCTTACATTAACATACTTTAAAATATCTTCCCTTGTGTTTAACAGAAATTATATTAAAATGTATAATGGTTTTAGCTACCTGTGAGTGAGAAAAAAATGAGTAACAATTTTGGGTTCCCTTTAACAGTGATTTTAGTACATCAAGTGTTGTTGTTGGGTTTACTGTACCTTGGAAAGCTGTGCATTGATCCAATTTGTGAACGTTCTCTTCTGAATCTGCTCCTGTTCCACTGTTAATTAAATAAGATGACATAATGCTTATTTCTGAACCAAACCCGCATGTTGAAAATCTGTGTGTGTGTGTGTGTGTGTGTGTAAAGGAAATAGTATGAGCACATTGGCACAACCAGACAGTATTCATACAAAAATATGTACACATCTTGCCAGAGAACAGCTTTGGGGCTTTCTGGTTTATAGCAGATCAAAAACACAGCATGTCTTCATACATAACTATTTATAAGCAAGGAACATTGCATGACCACTGGAAACCTGGCTCGACTTGGTGATCTCCGGCTTCCATCTCAAACAAGGGTTTGGGAGACACCATATTCCTATTTTCCCTCAGTTAAGTGTTTCCCTGAACAGCCTTGCAGACTTTCGGTTCGCTCTAACATTCACCCATCACTGCTGTATTCCATTTATACTTCTTCCCATGCTATTAAAGGTAGACTGGGTCTTTCCCTCAATAGGAGATGTTCATTTAGCCTTGTGGGAAGAGATCCAACAGGCTGAGTCAGTGACCAATCTTGATTTGAGCACTGGCTCATCTGGATATCCTGTCTATACAGCAGCAAACACACTTAATGCCTGTTACAATAAAGAAGTTTTGTCACATTCTGTTTAAGGGAGAATTTTCATTCTTAAGGTTATTAAGATTCAGTAATTAAATTTTTTTTAAGTTACCATCATAACATAAGCTTTGACATTGATTATGTAGAATGTCCTTGTAAAATCGCTTTAATTTTATTTGTGAATGTGTAGGTAAGGATTAGGAAGACTAACCTTAACCTACTTTACACTGTCATTTTAAGGAAATAGACTGCAGCTCTGAAACCAAGCTCATTTTGACAACTTCTTCCAACTTTCAGTGGTTCCACCTCTCAATAATCATTGTTTTTTTCTTTGTTTTTGTAATGTATGTTGCATCACCAAATAATATTGAGGTCGTTTCCATGTATTGCACAGGTCAACATACTAATTAAATAAAATTACTAATCTATAAAATAAACAACTAACTAAAATAAAAGTACTCAAATACTAAATTAAATGAAAATACAAAAATATTATCCATTAATAACAAAAGAAATCTAAAATACTCTTGGTCTTTTGAGATGCACATAAGGCTGTGTATCCAGAAAGTATTTATAGCGCTTCACTTTTTCCACAATTTCAATGTTACAGCCTTGTTTCCAAATGGATAAAATAAATGTATTTTCTCAAACTTAGACACACGATACCCCATAATGACAATGTGATTTTTTTTGTTTTGGAAATTGTTGCCAATTTTTTTAAAAATTAAAAAGCTGAAAAATCACATTTACATAAGTATTCACAGACTTTTCTCAATACTTCATTGATGCACCTTTGGCAGCAATTACAGACTCAAGTCTTTTTAAATATGATGCCACAAGCTTGGCACACATTTTTGCCCATTCCTTTTTGCAGTACCTCTCAAGCTCTATCAGGTTGGATGGGGAGCGATGGTGTACATCTATTTTCAGATCTCTTCAGAGATGTTCAAAAGGATTTAGGTCTGGGCTCTGGCTGGGCCACAAAGACATTCACTGAGTTGTTGTGAAGCCACTCCATTGATATTTTGGCTGTGTGCTTTATGAGCAGGGAACATAGCATGACCACTGGAAACTTGGCTCGACTTGGTGATTTCCGGCTTCCATCTCAAACAAGGGTTTGGGAGACACCATATTCCTATTTTCTCTCACTTAAGTGTTGAGCGGTAATGAGTGGTGCCAGGTTTTCTCCAAACGTAAGTTCAATTTTAGTCTCAACAGACCAGAGAATTTTGTTTCTTATGCTCTGAGAGTCTCAGCCTTGTGCCTTGAGACAATCCTGTCTCGGAAGTCTACAGACAATTCCTTTGTCTTCATGCTTGGTTTGTGCTTTGACGTGCACTATCAACCCTGGGACCTTATATAGACAGGTGTATTTCTTTTCAAATCATGTCCAATAACCTAAATTTACCACAGGTAAACTTCAATTAAGCTGCTGAAACATCCCAAGAATGATACCGAATGGTACAGAATGTACCTGAGCTCAGTTTAGAGCTTCATGGCAAAGGTTGTGAATACCTATGTACATGTGATTTTTCAGGTTTGTTTATTGTTTTTTAATTTCCAACAATATAAAAAAATCTTTTTTTTTACATTGTCATTATGGGGTATTGTGTGTAGAATTTTAAGGAAATAAATGTAATAAATTTTTGAATAAGGCTTTAATGTAAAAAATGCGGAAAAAGTGAAGCGCTACGAATACTTTCTGGATGCACTGAAAGTAAGAGTTTTTTACACTGCTTTTCTTGCAATCTCAATATAAGGAAATATATGTATCACCTTTATTTTTAGTGAAGTGTCAGTGATAACCTGGTAATTTGTTCATTACATTTTACAACATATTTATTTTATAAAATTATTTCTTAAATTATTTTATTATTACTTGCATATTATTTACTTATAGTATTTATTATTATATATTTTATACACTTATTATACAGAAAAGGCTTTACTCAATGCTGTATTTTTGGAAAAACTGAAACTAAAATGCTGTGCTGACTTTATTGTATCTGATAAAAGGCCACAAATCACACAAATGGGAGTAATTATATTTGTAACATTTTCACTTTTGCTTTGGCCATTATTACAGGTTGTGCATTTTTGCCTTTTTAACCTAAAACACAGCAGCATCCATTAAGGATGTAAGAGAAGTTTACATTTATTGACACAGAACTGTCTTTTCTACCTTTAGAATTTTTTAAAACATAAAAAACAGTCAGCCAATCACATAGTGGGTGTTTACCCGAGTGCACCACACATATTCAAAAAGTCTGTTCAGAAGAATAAGAAGGGTCACTACAGAACAGCTTATTACTTTACAATTATGTTTTTAATGCAACAATTTTGATAACATTACAATATACACTCAGAGAACAGCGCAAAATAAATTTATGGCAGTTCATGACCCCTTCAATGTGTTAATCCCTATACAGACGACAGGAGTTTTATCATAGAGAAAAATGTGACGTCACTCAAACAAGACTTAAGACAGAGCTGTTGCCACAGCAAACATTCAGCTGCCTGGCAACAATGAACCAGCTAACAGAGACCGTCTGAACCAACACACACACGTGCACTAATGTTTTTTTAGTGACAGTCCCGGCACATGACACACATTAAGCACAGCAGTGAAAGTCAGAGGAAATGAAAGAGGAGACACCAACAACTTCAGGCTCAAAGCTCTGTAAGGTCACAGCTGGACTGAGGAAGAATAGTAAATGAATAATTCAGAATATTTAATAATGCCTCACAGAAGACAATGTACAGCTTAATAAAGTCTGAGGGGTAAAGGTTAAATGCTCTGAGTTTTCGTATCTGAAATCGCCCCTATCACTATATAATCCACTAATATGAATGAGTGAACTGGAGCATTCAGTGCATTGAAAGGGATGACATATTGTTTGTGCTTTGCTGGTAGATACATCCTTCAGACGCATTCCATTTTAAACTTCTTGGTTAGACCTTGTGATAGTTATTTACAACACTTAACAATCTGTCTATTAGTAATGAAACAGTATGTTAATTTCTGTAATACTGTATACTATAGACGGTAAAAGGTACATTTTAAATAAAGATATTAACTAATTTGATTTGATTTGAATTGATTTCAGAATATCAAACACTTAAATCAATGCATCAAACAAAATACGTTTCATGTTGATCAACAAAATATTTACTGCCATATACACTTATAATAACAAAAAATAGCCAGTTCGAAATGGAGCGGCGCAAGGTTATTATCATTAAGTTTGTTTATTTTTATTTTGAACCTTATACTGAAAGGATTGCACTGTGGATGCCATCTGGAGATCAGTCATGACAAATTATTTGGCGCGCAAACTCTCACATTGGATTAAGGGTATTTTCTAGCAGTTGTGTGTTCATGGGTTGTAAACTCGCCATAGAAGTGCATTGCAAGATTAACTGAGTGCACTTCAGAATCTCCACAATGGTTTTGAACACTAGAAATGAATATTCGCTCAAATAAAGTAGTTAACATCTGAAGTGGATCAACACCTTTTATTAAAGTTGTCCTAAAACTATTGAACAGCATCCATTTTTGATCTACATTAATTGTATTAAATATTATAGAGGTGATTTCAGATAAAGCCTATATTTTTAAATGACCAGTGGCAGAAACAAACCAAAGAAGATTATTATTTATTTACCTTAATATTAGTTATTATTTTTATAATGTGTCTGGTGTCACAGAAATAGCACAATTTAAAGGGATAATTCTCTCTATAATTAAAATTCTGTCATCATTTACTCCCCCTTTATTTGTTCCAAACAAGTTTGAGTTTCTTTCTTCAGTTGAAAACAAAAGAAGATATTTTAAACAATGTTAGAAACACAGCCACTGACTTCTATAGAACTACTGTACTATTAAGGATGCCAATCATGACCAGTTCAAAAACATTCTCTACAAAATCTTCTTTTGTGTTCAACAGAAGAATGGGAGTACATTTTTACTTGTGGGTGAACTATTCCTTCAACTGTTAAGTTGCCAGAGGTTAGTGTTTGCTCAAGATCATTTCGAGGAACAGGTTTTCTAAAGCAGAAAACCATAAACTTCAAGCACACCCTCTCTGAACAAGTTTTTGTTTGAAAATGTGGTGAGTCAACAGTATACGATTCCCACCCGCCGCCTTGAATCCGCCCTAAACCTCAGAGAGATGAGACAAATGAAAAGGAGACCGGAGAACAGACAAAAGAGCAAAAAGACTGTCTCTGGTGGTGTATCGTACATTTCTTTTGGGATTGATTCTTTCGTGAAAAGACACCCTTCAGAATCCCTTTAGTAAACAACTCCATATTCATTTCCTTATGATTTAATATGCTAAATCAGCCCCATATCTTATCTACAAGGCAATGAATGGCATTAAATGTAATAATCCAAGTCTTTGGATTTCCCTGCTGCTTTAGCAGTTACGTGTTGGCTGATTGCAGTCATTTTTGACAAGGAACAGTTGGTGTTTTTTAACCTGGAATTAGTAACATTAAAGTCTGCACTATTTCATCAAGTTCACTTGCTTTAGAACTTGTCAAAAACAAATGTTTACACTTTTAAGGTTGAAACATATGATAACTTTTATACTTGGAGAAAGATTGCTAACATGGCTTCACGTCAGGTTACAATAAAATTATGACAACAGTGTCCAGTAGATGGCTGAAATGATCTATGAACCTTTTTGAGCTTTTGGCCCAGCTGCTCACAAAAA